CGCGTAATGATGGATGCCAGGTGTGCGTAATGATGAATCCCAGGACCGGTGGTTAGTATTCCGGCGGGGAGGAGCAGAAGTAGACGTGACAGTACCCCCACTCTGACGCGCGGCTCCCGCAGCAGGACAACACCAGCCAAAGGGACGACCCCGAGGACGAGGAGCGGGTCAGTCCGGGTGGCGAAGGTGGAAATTACGGATGATTTTGGGATCCAGAATGTCCTCCACCGGAACCCAACACCGCTCCTCTGGGCCATACCCCTCCCAGTCCACCAGGTACTGGAGCCAACCCCCACGACACCGGGAGTCCAGTAGGGATCTGACAGCATACGCCGGACTCCCCTCGATGTCCAGGGTGGGTGGGGGGGTGTCGTGTGGGACAGCTTCAGCTAGGGGACCAGGAACCCCCGGCCTGAGAAGGGAGACATGAAAAGAGGGTGAGATACGATAGTGACTGGGAAGCTGTAACCTATACGTCACCTCGTTGACCCTCCGGAGAACCTTGAACGGCACCACAAACCGGGGGCTCAGTTTCTTGCAGGGCAGGCGGAGTGGGAGGTTCCTGGTAGAAAGCCAGATGCAATCCCCAGGGTGGAACACAGGGGTTTCATTGCGGTGGTGGTCTGCCTGTTCCTTGCTGCGATCCGGAACCACTCATTAACCGCAGGAGCTTTGGACTGGCCCGGGGTCTACGGGGCCAGGGCCGGCTGACTCCTCAGGAACCTCCCCAGCTCCTGGTTCATCCTCTCCACCTGAATGTTGGACTGAGACCGGTACCCGGAAGTGTGGCTGACTGTGACCCCGAGCTTCTCCATGAAAACCCTCCATACTCGTGATGTGAATTGGGGCCCACAGTCAGAGACGATGTCCTCCGGAAGGCCATAATACCGGAAGACCTGCTGGAAGAGTGCCTCAGCGACCTGGAGAGCAGTGGGGAGACCAGGAAGAGGGATTCAATGACAGGACTTAGAAAATCTATCCACTACCACCAAAATGGTGGTAAAACCATCAGAGATGGGGAGATCGGTTACAAAGTAAATGGATAGATGTGACCAGGGTCGCTGAGGCACGGGAAGTGGCAGGAGCTTCCCTGCTGGAGCGTTCCGGGGGGACTTGGTTTGAGCACATACGGAACAGGAGTTGACATAGCGAGTGATGTCCTGCGCTAAGGTGGGCCACCAGTATTTCCCCGAGATGGATTGGGTAGTTGAGAAATACCTGGCTGTCCAGCGACGACAGCTGTGTGTGCCCAGGTCAGCAGCCGATCCCTTATACCTGTGGGGACGTCAATGCGCTCCGGAGGACAATTAGTGTGTGTGGGCTCCCTTTCCAGAGCCTGGCGGATGTCCACATCTACGTCCCTGACCACAGGAGCTATGACTCAGGAAGATAGAATTATGGGCGCATTCTGGACAGGACCCTCCCCTGAATCATAGAGACGGGACAGAGCATTGGCCTTGGTGTTCTTTGAACCTGGGCGAAAGGTCAGCGTGAAGTCAAACCTTGTGAAGAAAAGGGCCCAAGCAATGGTGCGGATTCAGCCTCCTCGCTGTCAGTATGTTCTCCAGGTTCCGATGGTCGGTGAGAATGACGAATGGTTCCTTGGCGCCCTCCAGCCAGTGTCTCCACTCCTCTAATGCCAACTTCACCGCCAGCAGCTCACAATCACCGACGTCGTAATTCCTCTCTGCAGGGGACAGTTTCTTAGAGTAAAACGCACATGGGTACAACTTCTGTGGGTTACCATGTCGTTGAGACAGAACTGCCCCCACGCCTACCTCTGAAGCGTCCACCTCCACCACAAAGGATGTCGTGGGATCTGGGTGTTTGAGTACTGAGGCGGAGGTGAAACGTCCTTTGAGTAGACAGAAGGCCTCCTCGGCTGCTGGGTTCCACACCAACCTACGGGGCCCTCCTTTAAGGAGAGAGGTGAGAGGAGCGGTGACAGAGCTGAAGTTCCTGATGAAGCGGCGGTAGAAGTTGGCAAACCCCAAAAACCATTGTAACCCCTTTAAGGTGGTTGGAACTGGCCATGACCTGACTGCATCTACCTTCTTGTTGTCCATCTTCACACCCTGCGGACTGATTTGGTAGCCTAAGAAGGACACCGTCCTCTGGTGAAATTGGCACTTCTCAGCCTTGACGAACAGGTGGTTGGCGAGAAGGTGTTCCAGGACTGCTCAAACGTGAATTATGTAATCCTCCAAGGTAGACGAGTAGATCAAGATGTCATCGATATACACGACCACCTGGCGGCCGAGCGTGTCCCTGAACACCTTGTTAACGAATGCCTGGAACACTGACGGAGCATTGGCTAAGCCATTTGGCATTACCAAGTACTCGTAGTGACCAGACATCATGCTAAATGCCGTCTTCCACTCATCCCCCTCCCGGATGCGGATGAGATTGTATGCACTCCGCAGGTCCAGTTTGCTAAAGAACCGGGACCCACAGAGCTGCTCGATGGCTGACGGCACCAATGGGAGAGGGTACCAATACTTTGAGGTGATTTCGTTGAGTCCTCTAGTCAATGCAGGGACGTAACCCTCCATCCTTCTTGGCCACAAAGAAGAAACCAGCCGATGCAGGGGAAGTGGACGTGCAGATGAAACCTTGTTGGAGCGCCTCTTGGATGTAATCCTCCATGGCCTGGGTCTCAGCCACCGACAGGGGGTAGATGCGTCTGCGCGGAGGCGCAGAACCTGAAAGCAGGTCGATGGCACAGTCCCAGGGGCGATGAGGACGAAGACAGGTGGCGCGGGTCTTGGAGAATACCTCCCGCAGGTCCTGATTTACCTCTGGGATGTTGGGCTGAAGGGCAACCACAGGACTCTCAACCGACGTGGAACCACAGGGGACAGGGAAGCAGGTCCTCCGGCATTCGAGTGACCAGTCTGTAATTCTCATTCTCAACCATGAGATGGTAGGGTTGTGGCGTTGAAGCCAAGGGAGGCAGAGGATAATCTTGTGGACTGGTGCACTGGTAATGAAGAAGGGAATGTTCTCCTGATGAATGGACTCATACACAATCCATGTCTCAACTGTCTCAAGGCTTAAAAATCCTTCTTTAACCTGTCTCCTCCCCTTCATCTACACTGATTAAAGTGGATTTAACAAGTGTCATCAATAAGGGATCATAGCTTTCACCTGGATTCACCTGGTCAGCCTATCTCATGGAAAGAACAGGTGTTCTTAATGTTTTGTAAACTCTGTGTATAACCAACAGCATTTGGTCTTCAACTGCCGTGAGTAGTAGAAGAAGTAGTAGTAGTCAATGTTGTACTATCAAATTGGCCACATTCACAAAGCCCATTTATCGTAAAACATTCCTTTTCCTGATAAATGGTGACGCATTATCACATATGCTAATAGACTTGATTGACTGTGAATCATGCTCTACATATCTTGACCTTAAGTGGGTCACAGTCAGTGGTACTGTAGCGGGCAATATGTGAAATTAAATACATTTTTACTAGTTTGAAAGATTAGATAAATCAGGGTCCCCAACTGGCAGTCCGCGGGTTGTTTTATTTGGCCCCCCAAGTTTTCGTAGCAAATTTGTTGTTGTTGGAATTTTCATTTTTGGACATGAAAGACTGGACAAACACCAGGAAATCAGCTCCAAGTGATTTTAATTTAGGAAATCTGTTTACAAGTATTCTCACGCATAATAGAGAGAGACACGTGATTGTATACAAATGTAAGCAAGGTTTGAATTGATAATGTTTTAGTCAAATATGATATCTGTTTGGGCTTTTTGCGGCCAATTTCCAGTCTCCAAATTTCCACTGTCCCTTGGCGACAGCCGAAGAACCCTTTTGGAACCCTTTTTTCTAAGAGTGTAGATCATGATCTACCTAATGTCACAGTTCCCTTTGGGCACTCAAAGGACTTTAGTGATAGTGTTATAAAGATAATAAGGAAGAGGACTCAATTTCCCAGTCATTTTACCATAAAAAGCCTTTCCCATAACAGGCAGTAAACCTTTGCTTACTGGTATCTCATCTGAGTGGAATGCATTCCTCACGCACAGCTGAACTAAACTGGGTAATTATCGATACGCTTGAGAGTGAAACAGAACAAAGTAAACAAAACATATTGACAAATTCACGATTAAGATGTAATGGGAGCCCTAAATCCAGCGGTTGGGATCAATCCCAATTTTCAATTTATCCCAACCCTGTTACCAATAACACACAGTAGCTAATATGCTAGTAAAATGACTCAGTGGTCATTAGCTTTACTAATATCTGCCACATCTTAGCCAACATGTCTAAACTACTGATACAGTGGTGTAGGAAATAGTGAAACTGGAGAGGAGCTAAGAAAACGCCCATGGATACTGTCCATTAATGATTGATAAGAATGCCTATTGATAAGAACTCTTCATCATAACACTCCACGTATCGAACACTTTATTGACTGGGATGAACTTTGTCCTTTACTCAGCCAGCTTAAATATATCAGGTCCCACAGTGGTTTTAGCATGAGACTTTGCTTTGACAATCCCTGACAACCGTCTGGTGAAGTTGTAATCTGAAATATACCTTTCACTTAGAGACAAAACCTTAAGGTTTTCAAAGTTTCAGACATGATAGACCGAAATATGAAAAATGTTCTGGTTGTATCCATTGGATTTTTATCTCTGTTCACAGCATATGGAGGACTTCAGAGTTTACAGGTAGGAAACTCAACATACTATAGATCTTGGGCGATTGCTCCAATTGAATTGGGCGGCAGGTAGCTTAGTGGTTAAGAGCGTTGTGCCAGTAACCGAAAGGTCGCTGGTTCTAATCCCCGAGCCGACTAGGTGAAAAATCTGTCGATGTGCCCTTGAGCAAGGCACTTAACCCTAATTGCTCCTGTAAGTCGCTCTGGATAAGAGCGTCTGCTAAATAACAAAAAAAATTATAACAAAAAAAAAATTGCTTCAATCAAATTCAACACTTTAATTTCTGGCTCTTGATAATTGATGGCACCATCCCTTTCCTGTGTTACAGAGCAGTCTGAATGCCGAGGACGGGATGGGGGTGACATCTCTCAGTGTTATCTATGCCTCCATCATCCTGTCCTCCATGTTCCTGCCACCCATTCTCATCAAAAACCTGGGCTGCAAATGGACTATTGTTGCCGGCATGGGCTGCTATGTGACCTATTCAATTGGAAACCTCTATCCAGGATGGTAACGCAAAACTGTCCAAAATCTCTTCAGACCTTTACTGTTACAGCTATCAACAAGCTGTGTTTCTTCTTCATGATTCAAGAGCAAAAAGCATGTACCTCCCTAGTACCCCAATGAGTAAACAATTTGGCTTAGCAAAATTAAGTTTCACGTTTAAAAGTTTATTAGCCACATGCACAGCGTACAGCAGGTGTAAAACAGTACAGTGAAATTCTTACTTGAGCGCTCTTTCCCAACAATGCGCTGATAATAACAATAAGAATATAGATAATAATAGAAAATAGAATTAAAAAACACACAAGAAGTACGATATATTTTGAAGATGCACAAGAATGCAAGTACTGTATATACAGGTCAGTGCCAGTACTTTATTCAATGTGCAGGGGTACGTTTATACATACAAAGTGACTGGTAGAAAGATATACACTGAGTGTACAAAACATTAGGGCTTACCAGGTGAATCAAGGTGAAAACTATGATCCCTTATTGATGTAACTTGTTAAATCCACTTCAATCAGTGTAGATGAAGGGGAGGAAGGATTTTTAAGCCTAGAGACAATTGAGACATGGATTGTGTATGTGTGCCATTCAGAGGGTGAATGGGCAAGACAAAATATTAAAGTGCCTTTGAACGGGGTATGGTAGTAGGTGCCAGGCACACCGGTTTGAGTGTGTCAAGAACTGCAACGCTGCTGGGTTTTTCATCCTCAACAGTTTCCCATGTGTCTCAAGAATGGTCCACCACCCAAAGGACATTCAGCCAACTTGACACAACTGTGGGAAGCATTGGAGTCAACATGGGCCAGCATCCCTGTGGAACGCTGGCCACACCTTGTAGAGTCCATGGCCCGACGAACTGAGGCTGTTCTGAGGGCAAAAGGGGGGAGTGCAACTCAATATTACGAAGGTGTTCCTAATGTTTTATACACTCCGTGTACATGTAAACAGAGCTGAAAAGTGACTGGTAGCAGGAATATCAAATAAAATAACATTGTAATGGTCGCATATACATGTTTAGCAGATGTTATTGCGGGTGTAGCGAAATGCTTGTGTTCCTAGCTCCAACAGTGCAGTAATACATAACAACAGGCAACAATACACACACATCTAAAAGTAAAAGAATGGAATTAAGAAATATAGAAATATTAGGACGAGCAATGTCGGAGTCCGGAGTATATATATATATATATATATATATATATATATATATATATATATATACTCTGCTCAAAAAAATAAAGGGAACACTAAAATAACACATCCTAGATCTGAATGAATGAAATAATCTTATTAAATACTTTTTTCTTTACATAGTTGAATGTGCTGACAACAAAATCACACAAAACTTATCAATGGAAATCAAATGTATCAACCCATGGAGGTCTGGATTTGGAGTCACCCTCAAAACTAAAGTGGAAAACCACACTACAGGCTGATCCAACTTTGATGTAATGTCCTTAAAACAAGTCAAAATGAGGCTCAGTAGTGTGTGTGGCCTCCACGTGCCTGTATGACCTCCCTACAACACCTGGTCGAATGGTCTCCTGAGGGATCTCCTCCCAGACCTGGACTAAAGCATCCGCCAACTCCTGGACAGTCTGTGGTGCAACGTGGCGTTGGTGGATGGAGCGAGTCCATAGCATCAATGCCTTCCTCTTGCAGGAACTGCTGACACACTCCAGCCACATGAGGTCTAGCATTGTCTTGCATTAGGAGGAACACAGGGCCAACCGCACCAGCATATGGTCTCACAAGGGGTCTGAGGATCTCATCTCGGTACCTAATGGCAGTCAGGCTACCTCTGGCGAGCACATGGAGGGCTGTGCGGCCCCCCAAAGAAATGCCACCCCACACCATGACTGACCCACCGCCAAACCGGTCATGCTGGAGGATGTTGCAGGCAGCAGAACGTTCTCCACGGCGTCTCCAGACTCTGTCACGTCTGTCACGTGCTCAGTGTGAACCTGCTTTCATCTGTGAAGAGCACAGGGCGCCAGTGGCGAATTTGCCAATCTTGGTGTTCTCTGGCAAATGCCAAACGTCCTGCACGGTGTTGGGCTGTAAGCACAACCCCCACCTGTGGACGTTGGGCCCTCATACCACCCTCATGGAGTCTTTTTCTGACCGTTTGAGCAGACACATGCACATTTGTGGCCTGCTGGAGGTCATTTTGCAGGGCTCTGGCAGTGCTCCTCCTGCTCCTCCTTGCACAAAGGCGGAGGTAGCAGTCCTGCTGCTGGGTTGTTGCCCTCCTACGGCCTCCTCCACGTCTCCTGATGTACTGGCCTGTCTCCTGGTAGCGCCTCCATGCTCTGGACACTACGCTGACAGACACAGCAAACCTTCTTGCCACAGCTCGCATTGATGTGCCATCCTGGATGAGCTGCACTACCTGAGCCACTTGTGTGAGTTGTAGACTCCGTCTCATGCTACCACTAGAGTGAAAGCACCGCCAGCATTCAAAAGTGACCAAAACATCAGCCAGGAAGCATAGGAACTGAGAAGTGGTCTGTGGTCACCACCTGCAAAACCACTTCTTTATTGGGGGTGTCTTGCTAATTGCCTATAATTTCCACCTGTTGTCTATTCCATTTGCACAACAGCATGTGAAATTTATTGTCAATCAGTGTTTCTTCCTAAGTGGACAGTTTGACTTCACAGAAGTGTGATTGACTTGGAGTTACATTGTGTTGTTTAAGTGTTCCCTTTATTTTTTTGAGCAGTGTATATGTATATACAGTATATATATGTGATGGGATGTATAGACATTATGGACAGTATGTGGAAAGAATATTTAGTATATCTGAAGAATACGCAGGATAGAATAGTATATATACAGCAATAGTGAAATAGGATGGCCTTGACTAGAATACAGTATATACGTATGAAGTGGATAAAACAGTACGTAAACATTATTAAAGTGACCAGTGTTCCATTATTAAAGTGACCAGTGTTCCATGTATATGTACATAGGGCAGCAGCCTCTAAGGTGCAGGGTTGAGTAACCAGGTGGTGGCCGTCTAGTGACAGTGACTATGTACAGGGCAGGGTACTGGGTGGAGGCCGGCTAGTGGTAGCTATTTAAGAGTCTGATGGCCTTGAGATAGAAGCTGTTTTTCAGTCTCTCGGCCCCAGTATTTTCTCTCTGTACTGAGCAAAAATCTAAACGCAACATGCAACAATCTCAACGATTTTACTGAGTTACAGTTCATATAAGGAAATCTGTCAATTGAAATAAATTAATAAGGCCCTAATCTATGGATTTCACATGACTGGGCAGGAGCGCAGCCATGGGTGGGCCTGGGAGGGCATAGACCCACCCACTTGGGAGCCAGGCCCAGCCAATCAGAATGAGTTTTTCCCCACAAAAGGGCTTTATTACAGACAGAAATACTCCTCAGTTTCATCAGCTGTCTGGGTGTCTGGTCTCAGACGATCCCGCAGGTGAAGAAGCCGGATATGAAGGTCCTGGGCTGGCGTGGTTATACGTGGTCTGCAGTTCGCTAAAACAACATTGGAGGCAGCTTATGGTAGCAAAATTAGCATTAAATTATCTGGCAACAGCTCTGTTGGACATTCCTGCAGTCAGCATGTCAATAGTGGGATTGTGTTGTGTGACAAAACTGCACATTTTAGAGTGGCCTTTTATTGTCCCCAGCACAAGGTGCACCTGTGCAATGATCATGCCGTTAAATCAGCATCTTGATATGCCACACCTATCAGGTGGATATATTATCTTGGCAAAAGAGAAGTGCTCACTAGGGATGTAAACACATTTGTACACAACATTTGAGAGAAATAAGCTTTTTGTGCATATGGAACATTTCTGGAATCTTTTATTTCAGCTCATGAAACATAGGACTAACACTTTACATGTTGTGTTTATATTTTTGTTCAGTATATAAATACTTATGGTAGTATACTAATGGTAATATATACATGTAAACAGGAGTAATAGTGACCAGTAGCAAGATAAATAGATAGATACTAATGGTAATGGCAATCGTTAATCAATGAACAGCAGCATAATGTAAATAATAAATCGATTTTAAAAGCAGTGTGGGTGTGAGGGGGTGTGTGCGTGTGGATATAAGTGTGTGGCTTCAGTAATGAGTGTATGAGTGAAGGTGTAATGTGACTGTGTGTATTAACTTGTTATTAACAAGTAGAGTTGGGATTATTACTATATTTCTCTAATGTGAGTTAATTAAATAAATGATATGAGAGTAGTGTCCATCGGCAAAGTTGTTTACACACATTGTATGAATCCTACCTCTGTCTGCCATGCTTCCTGGCCTGGCCTGTCAGTATAGGTTTAAGCTTATAAACTGTAGGCAGGGTGTCTGATGCTAACCATATCAATGTCCTCTTCCAGGTACACTCTGATACCCACCTCTGTGATCCTGGGTATGGGAGGGTCTCCACTCTGGTCTGCCAAGTGTACCCTTCTCACCATCAGCGGCAACCGGCAGGCCCCTAACGAAAACAAGAAGGCAGCGGATGTGATCAATAAGTACTTTGGCATATTCTTCCTGATATTCCAGTCTTCGGCTGTATGGGGAAACCTCATGTCGTCGTTGATATTCGGGTCAGATACAAATATAAGTAAGAAGGAAGTGCACACATACACACACGTACGTACACATGCACACACAAAACAAATGCAACTTGTTTGTGAAAGTCGTAACATTTATAAGTTAAAGACTGTAGGCTAAAGTCAATCATGTGTAGTGTACATTTATGACACTTGTTCTTGGCCAATCATCCTCTATTGTACTATCTGTCATAAAGATATCTTTATGTCCTCCTAGCTAGCATCTCTAAGGAAGATCTACAATATTGTGGTGCAGGCGTGTGCGCTGATATCAATGCAAACACCACGACCAAAAAGCCAGCACAACAATTGGTTTGGACGCTAGTTGGCTGCTATATTGGTAAGAACGTATTATTGTTTCTCAGTGTTGTAGGTTGATGCTAGTGAAATGTTCTGCTGCGACTATGTTCAATGTGTGTAACTGTTGTGTTTCAGGGGTGGGTGTGCTGGCCATGATCATAGTGGCAGTATTTCTGGATAACATAGACAGAGATCAGACCCGGGAGTTCAGGGGCAACAGGGAACCATTCTGGAGCACCTTCCTGGCCACGTTCACACTCCTGAAGGACAAGAGATTAGTCATTCTCATCCCTTTGACCATGTACAGTGGCTTTGAACAGAGTTTCCTCTCCGGTGAATACACAAAGGTGAGGTGACAACAAGACATATGGTTCATACTTTGCCACTAGGAATCCAACATGGAATAATTCTTAATCAACGTAAGAATGGCTAAAAGTGATGTGTGTGACCTTCCTTTGTTGTGCTTCCATTGCAGAACTATGTGACCTGTGCTTTAGGAATCCATAATGTTGGATATGCGATGATATGTTTTGGAGCCGCAAATTCGTTAAGTTCCTTTATGTTTGGGAGGTTGGCAGAATACACTGGAAGAGCCCCACTGTTTTGCTTTGGTAAGAAGCTTTCCAATAAAACATGACCATTTTCATTGGTATACAGTTGTGGATCTTAATTTGAGCCAGTTTGCTACAGCAGGAAAATAATCCTGCAGCAACAGGACATGTGAATTATTATGTGGATTATAATTAATGGACATTTTTGTAGGGGTTAATACATTTTTCATAAGGGAAAATCAAGTCTGATATTTCAAAGTGGAAATTACAAACTTCAGAAGCCTTTTTAAACCTCAAATACACTACAAGTTTTACATTTCCTGCATTGCAGGAAAGTTCACCTGCAACAGGGTGACCAAATTAAGATCTTACATCTCTATAAGACACATATATAGTCAAATCACTCACTACTCACCTCTCTTACAGCTGCGGTGACCAACTTTTCCTGTATCCTGGCTCTGCTGTTCTGGAGGCCTGACCCAGACCAGCTGCCAGTGTTCTTTGTGTTTCCTGCTCTCTGGGGCATGGCAGATGCTGTGTGGCAGACACAAACCAACTGTGAGTAGAGATATCATTTATGTATTACATGTTAGGTACATCAAACATTTTGTCCAGAACTGATGTAACAGGGGTTTTGTTCTTGTTTGCAGCACTGTACGGGGTACTCTTCCCCAGACAAAAAGAGGCAGCTTTTGCTAACTACCGTATGTGGGAGTCCCTGGGATTCGTTATAGCCTTCGCCTACAGTACCTTCATCTGTCTGGACATCAAGCTCTACATCCTCCTGGGAGTTCTGATCCTCTCCATGGTAACCTATTTGTGGGTGGAGTACCAAGAACACAAGAATCCTACTCTTCCAGTGGAGGAGGGAATATACGACACAGACTATACAAATGTCACAGACAAAAACTACTCCGCAAAGGGAAATCACATCATCAGTCAGACCAGCTTGTAGACAAGACATGGATTACAAACTTTAATCTACCATAGAGTTAAAACTCTTTAAATGACCAGTTATTCTGCAGTCCCAAGTCTTTGTGTCAACAACACGAGTGGTGGACCACAGCAGGGTCGTCACGCATAATGAAACTGCCACTTACATAATTGTTTTTGGCTTATCATGAGATTACTCAGGGTGGCACTGTGTTTCTTCAACCACTAGCAAATGTTCAACAAAAACAACTGATTTACCTTTCAGTGAAAGACTTATGGTGTGCTTTGCTTATGATGGTGTCTGGAAATAAAAAAAGAACATCAAACTGTGACAAGGCACTCATTTTTTTTCATAAATTATGAACTAAATTGTGAAACTAATTGACATACTTCAGGGCCAAAGTGTAGCTACTCTGAGTTTATATTAGATTGCATATCATAAACTGCTGTATTAATCCCTGACTCACAACCACTGTTGAATATCGACACGTAAAACCATAACCAAAATGGGCCGAAGTATGAAAAATGTCTTGGTTGTATCCTTTGGATTCTTGCTGTTGTTTACTGCAACTGGAAGCCTTCTGAATCTACAGGTAATTATTGGTAGAATTATACTGAGGCATGCATATACAGTTGAAGTCGGAAGTTTACATACTCTTAGGTTGGAGTCATTAAAACTCATTTTTCAACCATTCCACCATTTCTTGTTAACAAACTATAGTTTTGGCAAGTCGGTTAGGACATCTACTCTGTGCATGGCACAAGGAATTTTTCCAACAATTGTTTACAGACAGATTATTTCACTTATAATTCACTGTATCACAATTCCAGTGGGTCAGAAGTTTACATACACTAAATTGACTGTGCCTTTAAACAGCTTGGAAAATTCCAGAAAATGATAATTACAGAGCAGTTTGAACACTGAAGAAGGAGTAGGTGTGGCCTCAGCAAGTGTGCAGTTTGCCTCCATCATTCTGTCCTCCATGTTTGTTGCCCTCTTGGTTATAAAATACCTGGGCTGCACATGGACCATTGTTGCTGCGATGGGATGCAATGTTGTGTACACAGTTGGGAACTTCTACCCAGGATGGTAAAGCTATTACTGAAAAATACGTAATCATATGTTATGTACAGTATGATGTGGCTGTGCTTTGTGACAAAATGTCCACACCTACACACTCCTAGCTTGTTAAAAAAAATGAAAGGATCTTTATTTATGATCAAACCTGATAACAAGATATATCTTACTAGAGTTACATAACAACACAAGAACACAACTAAGCTCAGCAGTCATTTTTAGAGAGACAGTGCTGAGATTTACTGAAGAGATAGGAGAAATGCTATGGTAATAAATGGTTACTGCCAAACCTGAAAAAATCATATCACTAATGCCCACATAGTAAGTAATGTAAATATTCCTGATGCATATGTTAAGGTTAATCTGAAATGCCTTAGTGTCCATTGCGTGACCCTAAACTTAAATGCACATGCATCCCCAATAGGACACACAACCACTCTATTAAGTCTACTGATTTCCCACTGTACTGTACTATATTATACTGTGCTGCCTTGTCTCTCTTAGGGAAACTGTTAGATTAATTTGGATTTTAAGAATAATGACTAAAGAATTTCACCCCAAACACAGTATAAATGTTAGAATTATCATGTAGTGTCAACCCACTAACAGAAGGGGCGTTACTAACCATTCAAGGGGGAAGGCGGGAACTGTTTAAGAAAGGTGGGAGGAGCATAGTGTCTTTGTTTGTCAAGGGGTATAAAAACAGGAGATTTGTGTTTTTGAGGAGAGCTCTCGCCATGAATAAAAATACAGATAAGACTTGTGAGTTGTGGACCTTGAATCATTGATGATTAAAACCAGAGCCTTACAACCTCTGGTAATGATTCAAGCTTAGGGTGAATTAGAGATAAAAATTCACATGACAGAAACCCTGCTCCCCACTTCAATAATCCTTGGATTAGGGGAATCTCCTTCATGGTCAGCTACAAGCACCTATCTCACCATAAATGGTAGAATACAAGCAGAGATGTGATAAACCAGTACTTTGGGATCTTGTTTCTGTTGTACCAGTCTTCAGCAGTCTGGGGAAATCTAATGTCCTCCATTGTCTTTGGGCGAGACTAAACCTCAGGTCAGTGTGACAATAAATAAAAATTAACTGCTACTGCTGCTTTATGGGTTTCCACTGTAGAGGCAAAATGTGGCATGGTATAACTTTGCTACAAAGCTACATCTTGTATGTAATTCACAATATTGACTCATTTACACTATTGACTCATAAATTCTATGTTGCATTGAAATGCTGTGTCAGTGAGTTGTGCCTTTTCTCGCTACAAATTGTGTTTCATTGTCTTTACTGCTGTATTTCTCTCCAGTCAACATCAGTGGGAGTGATCTGCAGTTCTGTGGAGTGGGTAGCTGTGGGAACTTCAGTGAGGCCCCAGGCAACTCCACCAGACCACCAGACAGATTAGTGCACACTCTGATGGGCTGCTATGTTGGTGAGCCTACTACCGAATGACAGAAATATATCAGCTATACAAATACGATAGCCAAGCCAACATACAGTGTTTCATAATGCAGTTTTAATCAAATTGTGTCTTGGTTTTGCAGGTGTGGGTTTGCTGGCCATGCTCTTAGTGGCTGTGTTTCTGGATAACATTGACTGAGATATGACCCTTGAGTTTAGGAGCAATAAGGAGCCATTCTGCAGCACTTTCTTGGCCACGTTTAAACAGCTAAATGATAGGCGACAGGTGCTTTTGATCCCAGTCACTGCCTACATTGGTCTGGAGTTGGGTTTTCTCTATGGGCAGTACACCAAGGTACTCTAATAACAACCCTATATTCTTTAGAGATACCAGAAGGTACTGAAGTGATTCTGTTTATGTCTTGTAGGAATATCTGACCTGCGCATTGGGAATACATTTAGTTGGATATGTGATGATTTGCTTTGGTGCCACAAGTTCCCTGTTTTCCTACGTGTTTGGGCATCTGTCACAATATTCTGGACAGGTAAGCTCTTTTCGCTTTGGGTAAGACCCGAGTTATATATTTTAGTGAGATCTAACAATATCAATACTGTAAGACTCATCACTGGCCATTTAAATACTGTAATTTTCCTCTGGCAGCCACAACCACCCAGTTTACCTGTATCCTGGCTCTGTTGTTCGGGAGGCCTCACCCAGACCAGCTGCCTGTGTTCTTTGTGTTTCCTGCTCTCTGGAGCATGGCAGATGCTGTGTGTCAGACACAAACCAATGGTGAGTTAGTTACTGTATCTTTGCATACAGATCCTTCCATAGAAACATATCAACACATTACAAGCAAGGCACAATTAATGATTTGAGCTTGATTAAACTATCTCGTTATATATTTTTCAGCACTCTACGGTGTTCTCTTCCATGGCCAGGAGGCAGCATTTGCCAACTATCACCTGTGGGAGGCTGTAGGATATGTAATCACATTTGCCTGTAGCCATTTTCTCTGTGTGAATACCAAGCTATACATCCTTTTTGAAGTTCTGCTGCTCTCAGTGACACTTTGTTTTTCAGTGGAATATGGTGAATACAAGAGCCCTACACCAAGTGCGGTGACACTATCGATACGAAACTGGAGATAAAGAGCACAGAACTCAATGAGGAAAATGACAGACAGTGATAAAACATTGTGAACATTGTCTCCATGATGACTGCATTGTAAAATGTACTTAGCCACACTATTGGCTATCTATCAGCATATGTGAGATGCTTTTTACAATAAAAATGATGTGAAACCCCATTCATAATATCCATGAAGGTTAATAAGGAACTTTACTCTACGTAAGTAACTCCTTAAATCCATTATTGATTACTGAGCAGATATTTAAGATTAGCACTTGGCTGTAAGTATATGTATTTTCCAGTCCAAAGGATCGATCTTCAAGTGTCTGCAAATGCGTCTGGATACACAGGATTTCTTAGATTCTTAGTGTTTTTGTCATTAACTGATTCTTTGGATTTTTGCTGATGTTCACAGCAACTGGAAGTCTCCAGAGCCAATTATATCATATATCAGAGTCTTTGAAGGTGGTTAGTCAGTAGTACATCTGCAACTACTAAGAGACCAACCTGTACCAACAGTTTTTTGTGTTTCTTTTATTCATAGGGTTACATTTAAAGTAATTATCTTCCATTGTTAGTAAATCCCAAATGATGTTGTATTTTTCAGAGCAGTTTGAACCCTGAGGAGGGGATGGGAGTTGCGTCAGTCAGCATTGCCTATTCATGCATTATCCTGTCCTCTATGTTTCTCACACCAAGCCTTATAAGATACTTGGGCTGCAAATTGGCTATTTTTGCAGCTATGTGATCTATACAGTTTGAAGCTTCTTTCCAGAATGGTATGATGATCTTACCCTCAGTGAGCCCAGTCATACAGTAGATCAATTCAATCTAATAAAGACAATAGAACTACTGTCAAGATCTTTGTTTTGCAAAAAGCAGCTGCTTACTGAGTTGTTTTCGTTCAGGGCGAGCCTGATCCCAGTCTCAGTGATAATTGGTTTGGGAGGATCTCACTGTGGTCTGCTGTCAGAACATATCTCATCACTATTGGCAACCTGTAGGCAGAAGAAGTCAAAACAAAAAGTCAGGATGTAATCAATCACTACTTTGGTATATTTTTCCTCTTGTACCAGTTGTCTTCTGTATGGGGAAATCTGATGTCTTCCCTTATATTTGGCCAAGATACAAGCACATGTAACTAAACCTTCTAACAACCTGTGCAGTGTTCATAAATGTTATATAGTTTACCATAAAAATACAGATAAATATATAAATGATAAACTTCCCATAAAGAGATACAGCTTCATTTCCTTACTGATTGTGTCTCACAGATACGTGACCTGTCTCTCTCTCCTCACAGTGAGTGTAACTCAAGGTGAAGATCAGCTCTGTGGAGTGGCCAGTTGTAGAAGCTCTAGTGCAGTAATTTGTTACTGTAATTTGTTACTACAGTTGAAGTCGGAAGTTTACATACACCTTGGCCAAATACATTTAAACTCCGTTTTTCACAATTCCTGACATTTAATCCTAGTAGAAATTCCCTGTTTTAGGTCAGTTAGGACCATCACTTTATTTTAAGAATGTGAAATGTCAGAATAATAGTAGAGAGAATGATTTATTTCATTTTTTCTTTATTTCATCACATTCCCAGTGGGTCAGAAGTTTACATACACTCAATTAGTATTTGGTAACATTGCCTTTAAATTGTTTAACTTGGGTCAAAAGTTTCGGGTAGCTTTCCACAAGCTTCCCACAATAAATTGGGTGAATTTTGGCCCATTCCTCCTGACAGAGCTGGTGTAACTGAGTCAGGTTTGTAGGCCTCCTTGCTTGCACACGCTTTTTCAGTTCTGTCCACACATTTTCTATAGGATTGAGGTCAGGGCTTTGTGATGGCCACAACTTTGGAAGTATGCTTGGGGTCATTGTCCATTTGGAATACCCATTTGCCACCAAGCTTTAACTTCCAACTTTTCGTTCAGGGCGAGCCTAATCCCAGTCTCAGTGATCATTGGTTTGGGAGGATCTCACTGTGGTCTGCTGTCAGAACATATCTCATCACTATTGGCAACCTGTAGGCAGAAGAAGTCAAAACAAAAATTCAGGAAGTAATCAATCACTATTTTGGTATATTTTTCCTCTTGTACCAGTTGTCTTCTGTATGGGGAAATACATGTATGATGTCTTCCCTTATATTTGGCCAAGATACAAGCACATGTAACTAAACCTTCTAACAACCTGTGCAGTGTTCATAAATGTTATATGGCTTGCCATAAAAATGCAGTCAAATATATAAATGATCAACTTCCCATAAAGAGATACAGCTTCATATCCTTTCTTATTGTGTCTCACAGATACGTGATGGCCACAACTTTGGAAGTATGCTTGGGGTCATTGTCCATTTGGAAAACCCATTTGCCACCAAGCTTTAACTTCCTGACTGATGTCTTGAGATGTTGCTTCAATATATCCACATAATTTCCTTCCTCATGATGCCATCTATTTTGTGAAGCGCACCAGTCCCTCCTGCAGCAAAGCACCCCCACAGCATGATGCTGCCACCCCCATGCTTCACGGTTGGGATGGTGTTCTTCGGCTTGCAAGCCTTCCCCTTTTTCCTCCAAACATAACAATGGTCATTATGGCCAAACAGTTCTATTTTTGTTTCATCAGACAAGAGGACATTTCTCCAAAAAGTACGATCTTTGTCCCCATGTGCAGTTGCAAACTGTAGTCTGGCTTTCTTATGGCGGTTTTGGAGCAGTGGCTTCTTCCTTGCTGAGCGGCCTATCAGGTTATGTTGATATAGGACTCGTTTTACTGTGGATATGGATACTTTTGTACCTGTTTCCTCCAGCATCTTCACAAGGTCCTTTTCTGTTGTTCTGGGATTGATTTGCACTTTTCGCACCAAAGTACATTCATCTCTAGGAGACAGAACGCGTCTCCTTCCTGAGCGGTATGACGGCAGCGTGGTCCCATGGTGTTTATACTTGCGTACTATAGTTTGTACAGATGGACGTGGTACCTTCAGGCGTTTGGAAATTGCTCCCAAGGATGAACCAGACTTGTGGAGGTCTACAATGTTTTTTCCCATGATGTCAAGCAAAGAGGCACTGAGTTTGAAGGTAGGCCTTGAAATACATCCACAGGTACACCTCCAATTAACTCAAATGATGTCAATTAGCCAATCAGAAGCTTCTAAAGCCATGACATCATTTTCTGGAATTTTCCAAGCTGTTTAAAGGCACAGCACAGTCAACTTAGTGTATGTAAACTTCTGACCCACTGGAATTGTGATACAGTGAATTATAAGTGAAATAATCTGTCTGTAAACAATTGTTGGAAAAATTCCTTGTGTCATGCACAAAGTAGATGTCCTAACCGACTTGCCAAAACTATAGTTTGTTAACAAGACATTTGTGGAGTGGTTGAAAAACAAGTTTTAATGACTCCAACCTAAGTGTATGTAAACTTCCGACTTCAACTGTAGGTGAGCTGCCCTGTAAAAATGTAAACTGTATGCACATACGGACATTACATCATAGGAGGACATATCTCATGTTTACCCCACTGTAACCGTATCAATCATATGTCAATCACTTAAACAATCACCTCCTCTCGTGTTATACAAACATCACAGCAGAAATATCTACTGTATATTCTACATGTGTTGACCTTCTGGCAATGATTCTGCTGGCTGCATTCCTGGATAACATAGACAACAACAATAAACTGTACTCTAAGGGTGTCACGATGAGTCATAATGAGTGGACCAAGGCGCAGCGTGATATGCGTACAGCTCTTTAATAGTGTACTAGCAACACGATACAAACAACAAAACGATACGTGAAGTCCTCGGCCATACACAAACCTACACGGAACAAGATCCCACAAATAGCTATGCCAAACAGGCTGCCTAAGTATGGTTCCCAATCAGAGACAACGAGAATCAGCTGCCTCTGATTGGGAACCACCCTGGTCAACATATATCTACAATGATCTAGAACATAACATAGAAAATACAACATAGACAATCCACACCCTGGCTCAACATATAAGAGTCCCCAGAGCCAGGGCGTGACAAAGGGCAACAAAGAGCCCTTATGTACTGTTTTTCTTGCCACGTTCAAATAACTTCGAGATAAGAGACAAGTTCTTCTCATCCCTTTGACCTCATACATTGATCTGGAGGTGGGTTTCCTTACTGGGGATTACACCAGTGTAAGTTACGATGCACATTTCCGAAACACTCCTTAAAGCCGACTATAGTAATTAAAACATATTTTAAAATCACAAAAACTATCTAAGACATTTGTTTTGTTCAGGAAAAACCCTGTATCCTTTTAGAATTATGCCACATGTGCTTTGGGAATAAATGTTGTTGGCTATAAAATGATTTGATTTGGTGCCACAACTTCCCTATTCTCTATACATTCACAATACACTGGAAGAGAAGCATTATTTCATTTTGTAAGGAGAGACACTGTAAACACCAGATGATCAATTTGAACATATCAACAATCACTTTGTTTATCCACTTTTACTTACTGTATTAACTTAATTCTCTTCCAGCTTCAGTGACACACAGCCCTTATCCTGGGTCTGTTGTTCTGGAGGCCTCACAAAGACCAGCTGCCTGTGTTCTTTGTGTTTCCTGCTCTCTGGGGCATGGCAGATGCTGTGTGGCAGAAACAAATCAATGGTGAGTTACCTTTTTCAGGTAGTCATGACTGTCTTACCTTTATTAATGTGTGACCAACTACAGTGCATTTGTAAAGTATTCAGACCCCTTGACTTGTTCCACATGTTGTTACGTTACAGCCTATTCTAAAATGGATTGCATTAGTTTTTTTCCTCATCAATCTACACACAATACCCCATAATGGCAAAGCGAAAACAGGTTTTTAGAAATATTTGCAAATTAATAAAAAATACAAAACAGAAATACCTTATTTACATAAGTATTCAGACCCTTTGCTATGAGACTCGAAATTGAGCTCAGGTGCATCCTGTTTCCATTGATCATCCTTCAGATGTTTCTACAACTTGATTGGACTCCACCTGTGGTAAATTCAATTGATTGGACATGATTTGGAAAGGCACACACCTGTCTATATATGGTCCCATAGTTGACAGTGCATGTCAGAGCAAAAACCAAGGCATGAGGTCGAAGGAATTGTCCGTAGAGCTCCGAGACAGGATTGTGTCGAGGCACAGATCTGGGTAAGGGTGCCAAAACATTTCTGCAGCATTAAAGGTCCCCAAGAACACAGTGGCCTCCATCATTCTTAAATGGAAGAAGTTTGGAACCACCAAGACTCCTCCTAGAGCTGGCCGACCTTCCAAACTGAGCAATCGAGGGAGAAGGGCCTTTGTCAGGGAGGTGACCAAGAACCTGATGGTCACTCTGACAGAGCTCCAGAGTTCCTCTGTGGAGATAGGAGAACCTTCCAGAAGGACAACCATCTCTGCAGCACTCCACTAATCAGGCCTTTATGGTAGAGTGGCCAGACGGAAGCCACTCCTAAGTAAAAGGCACATGACAGCCCGCTTGGAGTTTGACAAAAGGCACCTAAAGGACTCAGACCATGAGAAACAGATTTTCTGGTCTGATGAAACCAAAATTGAACTCTTTGGCCTGAATGCCAAGCGTCACGTCTGGCGGAAACCTGGCACCATCCCTACGGTGAAGCATGGTGTTGACAGCATCATGCTGTGGGGATGTTTTTCAGCGGCAGGGACAGGGAGACTAGTCAGGATTGAGGGAAAAATGAACGGACCAAAGTACAGAGAGATACTTGATGACAACCTGCTCCAGAGCGCTCAGGACCTCAGACTAGGGCGAAGGTTCACCTTCCAACAGGACAACCACCCTAAGCACACAGCCAAGACAGCGCAGGAGTGGCTTCGGGACACGTCTCTGAAAGTCCTTGAGTGGCCCAGCCAGAGCCCGGACTTGAACCCAATCGAACATCTCTGGAGAGACCTGAAAATAGCTGTGCAGCGACACTCCCCAATTCACCTGACAGAGCTTGAGAGGATCTGCAGAGAAGAATGGGAGAAACTCCCCAAATACAGGTGTGCCAAGCTTGTAGTGTCATACCCAAGAAGACTTGAGGCTGTAATCACTGCCAACGGTGCTTCAACAAAGTACTGAGTAAAGGGTCTGAATACTTATGTAAATGGGATATTTCAGTTTTTTATTTTGTATACATTTGCAAACGTTTCTAAAAACCTGTTTTTGCATTGTCATTATGGGGTATTGTGTGTAGATTGACGAGGGAAAAAACTATTTAATCAATTTTAGAATAAGGCTGTAACGTAACAAAATGTGGAAAAAGTGAAGGGGTCTGAATACTTTCCGAAGGCACTGAATCCAGGTCACCCACATGCCTCAAGACTGTTAGCCCTTTGAGCTAAAAGACTGTGCTGTGCATTTACTCTGGACGCTAACACACTTCTCAGGCAAGGTTACTGACCTGTCCATAGTTCACTGAACCACCGATGTTACGACTTCTACCGGCTGTTCAGATGGAACAAAAAATGTAAGATGTCTTTAAATTTTTCAGTATTCTATGGAGTTCTTTTAAATGAACAGAAGGAGGCAGCATTTGCTAACAATTGACTGTGAGAGTCAGTGGGATTTGTAGTGTTTTATGCTCTCAGCAACTGGATATCAAGCTCTACAATCTGGCTGGAGTTCTACTTGTGGCAGTTGTACTCTATGGTTGGGTGGAATTCAACGAGAGAAGAAATCCTACACAAAGAAAGGGGAAAACAAAGTCCAAACCATAGAGGGATAATACATTAACCTGACCACAGAAACTTCAAGACTGTAGTAGAAGTCTACAAATCTTGTCTGTATTAAATAGTCAATGTGGAATACAGCGCTTGTATAAATAGATATGTATGCTGTGAATATTATGAGAAATATACATTCCATTTTGAATTTGTAAAGTATAGGTTATATAGCTGACCCTTATGGGGTCAACATGGTTCTTTTTACATGGTTTAAATAGTGTATTATTGCCTGTTAACTGATGTTACCAGCTACCAATGTATTTCGGTATGAATGTGTGTAGAAAAAACAACAACTTAAACTTCATGTATTCAGTATTCACCAGTAAAAGTGGAAGTGGAAAAAGCATTTTTTCGGTAAATCGTTGAGGCTATGTGAATATAATCTGTCTTCAAATGTAGGCTACATCGATTGTTACTTTAGGCTATATTGAATCATGAAAAACTGACCTCCACCTGTCCTGCTCGAGCCACACATGATAGGCTACACTATCTTTCGCGCGCAGTGGGGTCTCCTAGCAACACAGATGACAGGCAGGTGTGTGAGTCTTAATAAAACTGGCTGAACTGAAGAAAGCTCGGGACCAGGAGACAGGTGCCTGTGTTTAAAAGGAAGGGATATCTCATCAAGGTAGGTAGAATGTAAATGCAATATTGGACAATTTCAGTGAGATGTGTAATCGAGGTTAATTAATCATATGTTGAATTCTAAAGCCCATGTGTGAAGCCTACTAGACTGGTTCGTTGCAACTGCCAGTCTCTCTGTTCAGCTATTGTAGCCTATTGGCACATGACACGGAGTAGGAGTGGAATGTTATAGAGACTGGTACCCAGCACGGAGTACAAGGAGTGGAATGTTACAAAGACTGGTACCAAGACTAGAAGCTTGCAGCCTAGGTTTGATTACATAGGAACAAAATGATTTGCATTGTCATGATTGTTTTCAATTAAAATTAAAATGTCTTCACAAATTTTATTAGCAAAGAGCAATTTCTAAGCAAGAATTTTGCTAGGACTGTCTGGGAGTGGTCTGATAGCAACAGTTTACCTTACAAGTCAGGAATAAACTGTGACTCATTTTGTACCCCCATCAATATTATGATCATGTTGTTGTTTTTCATTGAAGGATCAGACTGTTGCTTCCCTGGTATGGCCGCGGGGGTGTGTGGCCCCACACCCCTGGTGTTCCGGCTACATGAGGGCGCCCCAGAGCTGGTGAGAGAGGTACTGCTGGAGAGAGGCTGGGAGGAGTATGACGAGCAGGAGCAGGAGGAGGGAGACTGGAACCTCTATTGGCGCGCCTCAGCCTTCCACAACTCGGACTATGAGAACATCCTGCCCTGGCAGAGACTCAACCATCACCCCAAGACTGTGGGCATCACCCGCAAGGATTGCCTGGCCAGAAACCTGAAGAGAATGAGAGGGACGTTCGGCTCAGGTATTTACAACTTCAGCCCGACAACTTTCATCCTCCCGAATGATTACACCAGGTTTCTGGCAGAGTACACCAAGCATCGTCTGAAGAATGGAGGCAGGTCAGGGTATTGGATCTGCAAGCCAGTGGATCTATCAAAAGGCAGGGGCATCTTTCTCTTTGAGGACATCAAAGACTTGGTGTATGACTCCTCAGTGATAGTTCAGAGATACATCAGCAATCCTTTCCTCATCTCAGGGTACAAATTTGACCTTCGGATCTATGTTTGTGTGAAAAGTTTTCAGCCTCTAACCATATACATGCATCAGGACGGATTGGTACGCTTTGCGACTGAGAAATACAATTTGTCCTCTTTGGACAACCTTTATTCTCATCTGACCAACACGAGCATCAATAAGTTTGGCCCCTTCTACACAACAGACAAAGAGAGAGTGGGACAAGGATGTAAGTGGACTATGAGTAAATTCCGCTGCTTTCTTCATAGCCAAGGTATCAATGAACTGCTCCTCTGGCAAAAGATCAACAACATTGTCACACTAACTTTGCTCACCATAGCCCCTTCCGTACCTTCCAGTCCCAACAGTGTTGAGCTCTTTGGGTTTGACATCCTAATTGATGCCAAATATAAGCCATGGCTACTAGAGGTTAACTACAGCCCTGCTCTCACTATCGACTTCCAAGCAGACGTGACAGTCAAGAAAGGACTTCTCAATGACCTGGTTGATCTGATGAACTACAAGTCCATGGACAGCGTTAGACAGAGAGGATATCTCAAACAGAACTACAAACGCCCCTGCTATCTAGGCAGCCAGTCTCTGCAGTCCCCAGTGCTGTTGCTCACCAAGTCTATGTGTGAGCACCACCCAGCAAACAAGAGAAGTCACAGCATCCACTCTACGTTTTCTGACAGTATGAGATACTTTCCATCAGTTGAGATGAACCTGATCCGCTCTGCAAGGAATTGCATAAGCGACACCACTGGCTCGGCTTTGAATCCAATACTCATCCAACATTCAAAGACTGCAGCTGTAACTGGAAACAGAAAAAAACGTCCGGTGCTCTCACAGATGACAGAGGCCATCCAGTGGTCTGAGGTTACAGACGTAGAGTCAGAGTTTGATGACAGAGACCTGTCAACACTTGTTAGCCCATGGCAGGCCTTAAGGCAACCAGCCGTGGGCTGCAGTAAGCTACCTGCCATTCACATTCAAAAGTACAAGACTCCTAAATTCCCATGTGACCCTAAAAGCCAAGATAAGAGCACCACACCACTCCGTGTGGGAGACTTCATACTGACGTTTCCTTTCAATGAGGTCACACTGAAGGCGTCGCGGGACAAGCTCAACATTAAGACTGCAGTCCACGAGGTTCACAAGCTCATCACCCAGCTAGCATTAGGTTGTAGCCCCAAACAGAAGAGAGGGAGGGAAGATGAGTTGGATATATGCAAAGACAAAAATTATTTTGGGTCTTTGTTTTGGGGACCTATGAACCCTCCTCTGCTTAGTGAGTGCCACATGTCAAACTAACTGAGCAACTGAACATTTTTGGAATAAAGCTTTTGGAATAATGTATTATTAGCACAGCTTGAACATTAATGTCTAAAAACACAAAAGTATACAGTATAAACACACATTATATGGAAAAGCAACCTTGTAATTTGACCACAATTTCAAAATAACAAATTTTGTATCTATACTGAACAAAAATATAAATGCAACATGCAACAATTTCAAAGATTTTACTGAGTTCATATAAGGAAATCAGTCAATTTAAATACATTCATTAGACCCTAATCAATGGATTTCACATGACTGGATAGGGATGCAGCCATGGGTGGGCCTTGGAGGGCATAGGCCCACCCACTTGGCAGCCAGGCCCACCCACTGGGGAGCCACTCGCCAATCAGAATGAGTTTTTCCCCACAAAAGGGCTTTATTACAGACAGAAACACTCCTCAGCAGGAAACCGGGCCCAGGTCAGTAAGTTATTAGCCCTACCCTACATGTCAGTCTTGTTGTTTGAGAGGCAAGGGATATGTGGGGACCTCATGAATAATCTGTAATTCTGTGCAACATAAGAATCCTGCTGACACAAATGAAGAGGTCAAGAAGGTTATAACATTGCCATGCAAAAAGAAGAAATCTATTCCTTCAAGAGAGCAGTATGGACATTCAAAGATCTCTACAAAATAGTTTCAACGCAAATGTATTGTATTGATTAGTATTACTTATTTAGTGTACAATGAATAATAAACATACACAATTTTAAAATGTCTGTTTACATACAAGCACTTAGAAAATGATCAAATATTCCACAAGAAAATAGCTACAGTCAAACACAATGTAGCATTGCTAATTTGGAATAAAGGCTTGAAAAACATAAACATCTGTTCTTCATTTCTTATCTATGATGATAATGCCATCCTTGTCCTTAATGCGTACTCTGCCCGAGGGGAACTTGGTCTCTTGCCTTCCATTGGAATAAACTGTCTTCACTGTTCCATCAGGGTATTCCCTCCGCTTGTACTGGGACGTATGGATCTCTCTTTGGCCATTGTTGAACTCCACTGTTTTCTCCCCACTTCTACAGATTCAGCACGCACACACGCACACACACACACACACACACACACACGCACATACACACACACACACACACACACACACACACACACACAAACACACACACACACACACACACACACACACACACAAACACACACACACACACACACGCACATACACACACACACAAACATACACACACACAAAATATAAAAATGCAGCAGTTGTTAAGATTTTTACCCTACATAAAATAGAGGCAAGTACTGTATGTGTATCTTACTCTGAGAGCTTGACAACTGTTCCATCTGGGAAGATGCTCTCCTCTCTGCCGCCAGGATAGAGGTACTTTATCGTCTGATCTGGGAAAACGATCTCCCTCTTTCCATCAGGGTGGTGTTTCTCTACAGACAACATTAATACATTTTTTGTTATTTGTGTCTATGCCTGGTCACCCTGAAAATATACACAAATGTATGTGGACACCTGCTCATTGAACATCTCATTCCAAAATCAAGGGCATTAATATGGAGTTGGTCCCCCCTTTGCTGCTATAACAGCCTCCACTCTTCTGGGAAGGCTTTCCACTAGATGTTGGAACATTGTTGCAGGGACTTACTTCCATTCAGCCACAAGAGCATTAGTGAGGTCGGGCACTGATGTTGGGCGATTAGGCCTGGCTGGCAGTCGGCATTCCAATTCCTCCCAAAGGTGTTCAATGGAGTTGAGGCCAGTCAAGTTCTTCCACACCGATCTCGACAAACCATTTCTGTATGGACCTTGCTTTGTGCACGGGGGCATTGTCATGCTGGAACAGGAAAGGGCCTTCCCCAAACTGTTGCCACAAAGTTGGAAGCACAGAATCGTCTACAATGTCATTGTATGCTGCAACGTTAAGATTTCCCTTCAGTGGGACTAAGGGCCCTAGCCCGAACCATGAAAAACAGCCCCACCATTATTCCTCCTCCACCAAACTTTACAGTTGGCACTATGCATTCTGACAGGTAGCGTTCTCCTGGCATCCGCCAAACCCAGATTTGTACGTCAGACTGCCAGATGGTGAAGCGTGATTCATCACTCCAGAGAACCTGTTTCCACTGCTCCAGAGTCCAATGGTGGCGAGCTTTACACCATTCCAGCCGACGCTTGGCATTGCGCACGGTAATTTTAGGCTTGTGTGCAGCTGCTCTGCCATGGAAACCCATTTCATGAAGCTCCCGGCGAACAGTTCTTGTGCTGACGTTGCTTCCAGAGGCAGAGGATTTTCAGCATTCGGCGGTCCTGTTCTGTGAACTTGTGTGGCCTACCACTTCACCGCAGAGCCAACTGGGCAGCTCTAGCAGGGCAGAAATTTGACGAACTGACTTGTTGGAAAGGTGGCATCCTATGACGGTGCCACGTTGAAAGTCACTGAGCTCTTCAGTAGGGGCCATTCTACTGCCAATGTTTGTCTATGGAGATTGCATGGTTGTGTGCTAGAATTTATACACCAGTCAGCAACAGGTGTGGCTGAAATAGCCAAATCCACTAATTTGAAGGGTTGTCCACATACATTTGGCCATGTAGTGTATATCAGATTAGAGCTTTCTTCAAAATATTACCCATCTGCTTGTTTGGAAATTGCAGGACCTCCAAACCAGTTGGGTATGTGGTGTGAGTTGTATGTGCATCAGCATAGTAGTACACCTATCAAAGAGAAACAATGGAGTTATAAAAAATAGAGTTATGAAAATGCACATCTCTTTAAAGAGCGAATCCGCATTTGGGGAAACAGCGCCACTGTTCGCCCCCCCACCGGCGCCTTTGTTATTGGTTTTATTTTGTTGATGAAATGGAGAAGAGGAGCATCCGGCAGCGTGGTAAAAAACAATGCATGACATATTCTGCTGTTCTATCACGTGTGCAATGATGTCCGAGGGGATTTTTTAGTTGTTGTTTGCAGTAATTTCTTTGTTGTTTCACCAATTAAGGATTCCAGCTTTAAGGCATTAGTTAGAGTTTAAATACTGGCATAGTCCCCAATACGACATAGGACTCACCACTTTTCCATCCGCCAGAATGTGTTTGACATCTCCATTGAAGAATGTGACAGTTACTGACTTCTGGTCAGCAGTGATCTCTTTTCTAGTTCCATTGCGGAATGTAAATACACGCCAGCCATTGGAGAGAAGTTGTTCTATCTGTGTATCAGAGCAATATCATGGCATCTTGGTGCGTTATTACTATTTCACAATGAGTGGTAACTCTGTGAGTGGGCTACTTCGGAATTGCTGAAATGAAACTTCAATGAAAAGGCAGAAAATGATATACTTCATACAAGTACTTGTTCAAAGAAATAACAACATAGGGGAATTTTCCTACCTTACCATCTGGATAGTGTATTTCTTCACACACGTCATTGTTTATGCCCTTGTGTGTTGTGTGGGGGGAGTTACCACTCATCGCTGCTGGATTACAACGTGGTTCCTGTAATTAAAGGGATTGCTAAAGCTGTCAAAGATGGTCCAAGACCTTGGCAAGGAACTACAGTATCTCAGAAACACAGCCATTCAAACAGACAGCCTAGCGGTTAAGAGCCTTGGGACAGTAACCGAAAGGTTGCTGGGTCGAAATCCCAGAGCCGACTACAGTTGGTGAAAAATATGTAAATGTGCCTTTGAGCAAGGCGCTTAACCCCAATTGCTCCTGTAAGTCGCTCTGGATAAGAGCGTCTGCTAAATGACTTAAATGTAAAATGTTTGAAGTGAGCAAGTTAACAATCTATCTATGTAGAATGGGTTATTTCAGTAACATTAGTTGAATTATTACTATATACATCAGAACCTCTGCTAGGCTAAGAGGCCGGATAAACGAAGGTTTCACTTCATTACCATGTGTTCTGACTCTGAGCAGGAGTATTTGCTGACTGATGGAGTGGCGCTCCTGCTCTGTTGACCTTTCATCTCCTTTTCCACTGACCGACCCAAACCCTGAGGACAGCGAGAATTAGTGGGCTATTTCATAGTGGTTGTTTGTTACATGTAGCATTGTGTTACAATCGACTGATGCTGTCTGAGTACCATGTTACAGACATAGATTAGTACCTGATCTCTATTGCTCTCACGCTGTTTTAACAGGTAGTCATTTGTGTGATGGGTGTCCTCAGAACTGCCTGAATTTGATGAAAGGCCCTCTGTTGTGAATTAAATTAACATAATTACCAAATCAATTGATTGAATGTATAGTAAGCACAGAACAGACTAGAGTACTTACTTAATGAGGCAGGTCCCCAATACCTAGTGCCTTGAGCATTGGTGTGATAGTTGTGATAAGGCTAAAGAAAGAATCAAGTCACATGATAATTATAAACAGTAGACCTCTTATTTGATGCTTCTAATGAGGAAGAGATACAAAGAACATCCGTTAGTCTAAATTGTTAATAAGGGACTTTAGGCTACTGTACATTTTCGTTTGCAATATACAATATGTTTAGCTGGCTTTGATGACCTATGAAAGCGTCACATGCCGTTTTAAAGACAACCTTTTGTCCAGTTTGGATGAAATTGCATTTTAACTGTGCTTGCTCCATCTATTATTGAACCTTGGTTCAAAAGTGTTCATACATTATGAAGAAGGAAAAACTATTGAAAAGTAAAATCAGGTTTTAACACTTAAGTTTCTAAGAATTGGCAATGAGTATATTCATTACACAGTATAAATAATGAATAATGGGCAGAGTCACTAATCTGACATGGCCCATTGTAAATCGCTATAAATTATTAGTGGTGTGCTTAAAGACCACTTCAGACCATTTAATACTTGAATAACTTGATACTAATTAAATTAGCATAACAAGTTGACTGCAGTCAGACAGAGATGTCTATCTCAGACAAACCTTGAAATAAAATACAACATTTACCTCTAAAATGGTAAATGGTGCAGTGAGCTGAAAATACAATGTCAGGTTGATCTGAATCACATGTAAAATACAGTACTGTACACAAATCAATGGCCTTCAGGTTTCTATGTTTGTTTTAAACAGAATGCATTACGTGATTGTTTACCAGACTGATATAAGATGCATACTGACTGTGTCCACTTTACTGTAAGCTGCTCTCTTCTGGACAGGTGGTGTGTTGAATGCAGGAGTGGCACTTCTGCTGTGGACAACTGAAGGAGCTGGGTCAGAAACCATATGTGACAATTTTCTTTGTTCAGGAATCTGAGGAACAAATATCGATATTATAGACATATTATAACATCCACTATTCTGGTTGATGCCCCTCTATCTACTGTATTAGTGTAGTTACTTCAGGGTATGTTGTGAACTGTTCTTTCATAATGGAAAAGGTTAGGACTAGTGTTGCAAAATTCTGTGAACTTTCAATAAATCCCTTGGTTTTCCCCGAAATCCCGGTTGGACGAAATCTGGAATCCTCCAACCAGGATTTTTGGAAAACAAGGACATTTATTGAAAGTTCCCAGAATTTTGCAACCCTAGTTAGGAATGAGTGAGGTAGAAAGGGCTGATCTTAGATCAGTTGAGCAGGAAGTAAACCAGCTCTGTTTGATCAATGGAATATTATAACCACAGAGGGGAGCTGTTGGTTGGTTTCTGTAAACTTTTCAAAGGATTTCTGCCCAAATATACAGTTAAATCTCTTAGAAATACAGCCAAAAAGCTATTTCCTGTTAGGATAATAATGCGAGCCTCATGGCTTTCATATGGTATGTAGCTATACTGTATAGAGTAACCGCACCTTGGACTTTGCAGCTGGAAAACTGTCAACTGTTGACCTTCTGGCTGGGTTTCCATTGTGACTGGAACAACTTGAAGATCTCCTCTCCCTTATCCTCTGACTGGTAGTTCTATGAATATCCTCAGATACCTGGGAATATGGATTATATACTGATAGATAATGAGCGCTACTGATGCCTTGATACCACTGATGACTGATACAATCAATGAAAAAATTATTTGGACACAGAACACTGATGAGGTCAGAAAGTGTTGACGTCATTAGTAGATAAGAGAAGTGTTACAAGTTATTGTATTAACTGACTTAAAGTATGGAATGGGTTAGTAATGGATTATTACTCAGGGTTCATGGGTTACTCATGGGTTATTACTCAGGTACGGTATGTCTTCTTACAGTGCTCTCTGCCCCTATGTGAGATGCAGTGATTGTGTCAGGACTCCTCCCTGCCACTTGGTGGCAGTGTTCAGGAGCACTGAGCTTGTCACGCAGCTCCACGTTCTCTCTGGTCAGGGCTTCCACCTGGTTCTGAAGAAGATGATGAGCCTGGGACCAGTGGGACTCCCTCTTAGAGAACTGCTCCTGAAGAGCTAGAATCTGCTGCCTGAGATCCTGAGTTCACACACACACACACACACACACACACACACACACACACACACACACACACACATACAAACACAGATACAAACACACACACATACACACAAACACACACACACACATACAAACACAGATACAAACACACACACATACATGTATATACAGACATGAAGACACCCACGCATGAACACACACACACCCTGGATGAGAGTGAGACAAACCAACCAATACGGTGGATATTTGACTCGGGTTCACAGTTTGGATGAGTGGGTGTTTGTTTATAAAGCCGTAGGGAAGTTTCTGGTACATTATAAACTGTTACAGATGTGGGATCTTAACTTGACCATTATTGTTGTAGCAAAATAATCCTGCAGCAACAGGATTTTAACGTTTAGTCCATAATGTTGCTTGATCGGTGGTTAGGCTACTAGCTGGACAAAAGTAGGCTACATGAAAAGTGCAATACTGTTAATATAACCGTGTATTAGAGTGGGTTTTTAGTGAATTTATGTAAATCACGAAGCTCATCTGCATTTCCTGCGGCGCCGGAAAATTCTCAGCAACAAAAGTGATCAAATGAAGATCCTTCATCGGTATCATAAGAACAGGACAAGCAAAGGGGATGTGTTTGATTCAGCCATAAAAGGGTAACACTGTTCCATGGTAATGTTAGTCAGTATGAAACTGATAGGCGCTGAGACAGAACGCACCTGACTCCTATGATGCGTCATGACTTACAGTATGTGTACCTCACGGAGATTCATTACTCACTCACAAATGACGTTATATCGATACCAGTTGGGTGACATACAGTAGGTTGTTTTAGGCCTCAAGGCTTTATGAGATTCTGATGGACAGATTTGTTTTACTAAGGGCTATAAAGACTAGATACATAATGACTTTACCTGACCATCACCAACGTCTAGTTTAGGAGGCAACGGCTTATCCTTCAACACCTGGCCTTCTGTATGGGTGAGTGGGGAACCATAACTGCTGTGGTGGCCATCTCTGTCACAGCACTCTATTTGGTCCATTCTCTTTCTGTGTAAAACCGACATTTCAGTGGAAATTAAAGAAAAAAAAAATAATTCTGATGCAGAACATGCTAGGTTTCTGATATTGCAATTCAGGAAGTGCTCAAATTCTTTATAATCTCGTGGATCATGTATCTTCAGTGGTTTTTACATAGTTTGTGTTTAATTTCTCCACCACGTCATCATAATCAGATATGGCACAGACACATTTTCCAGGGAATCACATTATCAAAACTAACCAAACATTTTACCTGAGGAGGTCCATTGCTCTCTCTTGTTCCGCTTTCATTTTGTCCAGCAAATCATGATTCTCTTCTGCTTTTATTCCAAAAAGAGTACCGCTGTGTGGCTTTGACACGGTTTGATTTGCTTGAAGGCGGTTAAAGTGACTGTTAGTAGACAGAAGACCTCTTCAAAGAATAACATGTCATGTAGCATGTAAACTAGTATACATCATTACATGATACATGTCTGTATACTTCATAATAGTAGTTCAATTACATAGTGAGTCTAGCCAAAATAAACAGTACACTCACCCCGCTTGGACCCCTGGTGATGTCTGCTCTTCACGGTCTCTTTAGTTATAGATGTTACTTTAGGGACCATGCTGGGTTTGAGCTCTGCAGAGGAGGGACGTTTTAACTTTATGTCTGTTCCCCTGCTGCTGCTCCCCAGTGGCAGGGCTCTCTCTATGCTTGTTTTCCTTGCAGACTGTAGGTATAATGGACGTGGTCCTGTCTTGTGCCAGTTTATATCCCGGAGCTCTGTGTCACTGTCACTGCTGGAGCAGGAGCTAGATGGGTGTTGGTGGTGGTGGAGAGTGAGTCCATGGGTGGGACAAGGTCTGGAGGGCAGGCTATGCCCAGCCTCGCTGGGGGCATCGCTGGCGTAGTCACCATCGGACAGGTCCAGGTTCTGGTCCTTGTGTCTGAGCCGTGGTGGAGACGGGAGGGTGGGCTGCTGGTGGCACTGAGAGTTAGGGTTGTCCTCGTCCTCGTCACTGTTAGAACTACTCAGAGACAGGAGAGAAATCACTGCTGTAGACCCGCTTTGAGATTTTGAAATATTGATGAAATTGGAGTGAGTGTCATTTTTCCCATCCGCAGTCCCTGATGAGACCGGCCCATTGTCAGTGACTCTAACTATGTGGTCGTTGACTGTCTTGAAGCCAACACTTACTGCCTGAGCTTTGACCTTAGGTTGGCCCATATTGTTTGGCTGTGTAGGGGCACTATCAAAAGGCTGCAGTGCCAAATGTGGCTCCTTCACCTCAACTTGTTTATGGACAAGGTCCCTCATAGCAGCATACACATGATTCTGTGACACCACCTCATCACTTAGCTCCACGGAGGTCACACACGGCGATGTCACAAGCCGTTTACGGGATGCTGTAACACCCAACAGATCTCTCCTCTCTCTAGTATCAACACTAGATGCAGTGTTTTCAGTGGCCTTGCTTTGAGTATTTTCTCTGGGCTTCGGTGCAATCTCCTGTCTGGCCGTTTGATTAACTCTGTTGTCTCTCTCTCGTGTGGCAGGTCCTGTTGTCTTTTCCCAGGACTCAGTCAGGGCAGGGCAGCTCCTCTGGGAGATCAGTAAAGGCTTGACCCTGGGTCTGGTCCTGTCACTGAGCTGCAGGGAGGGGGCTGATGAGCGCCTCTGCTGGTTGCCACAACTCACCTTCCTGGGCTGCTGGCTGAGGGAGAGGAAGGCCCTTCGCCGGGTCTTCTGCTGCACACTGTCCTTACCCCTCTCTATCCTGGACACGCCCTCCCCTTTCTTCAGGAAGTACCTCCTCTCTGCGACTCTCCTGGCCTCCCTGCTGTCCTGAAAGAGAACCAGCTGCTTAGATACAGTAGATATCTTATTTTAGATGACATGAGTACAAAGTGTAATGAATAGATTATGTATAATGGTCAGGGCGTGAACTACTCTGAAAATAGGCCATATGCAAATCCTCTATGCTCTCCATACCCGCTTGTCGTTTTGCTGTATATCTTCATCCACTTTCAGATGTTCCTCCACAAATTCCTGAAACGTTTTCTCTCTCTCTTTGACAGCAGGCCTAATGGGTCTTCAATAGTGTGACAGTTCAGTTAACGTATAGAAAAATGGTATGCAATATCAAATGACCACAACTAACTTGTGGATTCTTCACTATCATTAGCTGACAGTAAAAGGTGATAAATGTTGATTAATTGAAATATCATTACAGTACCTGTCCTCTGGGTTTCCGGGTGGCTGTCTACGTTTCCCAAATGGGCTGACAGTACAGTCCTCTTTGTCTTCCCCCTGTTCTGCTGCTTCCTCTTTGATAGGAGAGAGGTTCCTCTGCTCTACTTTGTCTTTATTTGGAAGAATGCTCTCTATAATTCACATGATAAGATAAATCACATATCAATACAATTTAAATTCTGTATTAATAAAAAAAAGTGGATAAAGTTCAGTATTGACTTCTGGGTAAACCTTGTTATGTAAATGAGAATTAATGTACTCAACAGAATACATTTTACAGTGCGAAATGAAGATAAACAGAACCGAGCAACAATTCTAAACGCCTTCTTACATTAAAGGGTTGTGATAATTATACTGGAGTTCTGGAACCAGTTCTGGAGCCAGTTTTGACAAAACACTCCTGGCTATTTAAATAAGTTAATTTATTCCTGTTTTTCTATAATCATGTAGATCTATCAATAAGCAACTGATGATGGATTTGCAATATAATCGGAAACACTTAGAATAGGTTGAAATAGGTAATGTCCTTCATATGGCTTTGAAAACAATACCCTGGAAAATCAGTCTGTCATCTCAGACTTGTCTGAACTGGATACTAAACTGCAGAATGAGTTTAAGGCTTGTGGGTAGCACACCAAAAAAAGTACACGTCCCTCAGGACGCCAAACTCTAGCTCACTTGTTAATTTATATATTTCTGGGGGAAATGTGGTAAAAACAACATGCACAGTTTTTTCTGCTAGTAAATCTATCCCTAGGATACAATCTCCTTCTTGAAAATATCACAACCCTTTTGTAGAATTTTTTACATTCCCAGCTCCTCTGAGATATTCTACGACTTCCAGCTAAGAATTGCCTGTAGTTTTACATTTTAGCTCTCTAGTCTACACACAGAGTCTACACACGGATTAGGAGCTTGCTTGGCTACCGTCAAACAGACCTGCTTTTCGTGTAAAGTAAGGACATCTTTGGAGCTGAGTACTTTGGAGGACTGTTCCTTCTTCTGACAGTCTGACTGTCAAGAGGACAGATTTTGACAATGCATATTATGGAGGATGATCAGCAGAGTAAGAACTGCACAGCAGATAATCTACCACTGTGTAATTTCTACGCCTCAATGATGATTGTGGAATTCTTCTTGGCTCTGCCGCTAAACCTCTCAGTGCTTTATCTTTCAATATTCAAGATGAAGTTCTGGAAATCTAACAGCAACAAGGGGAGCGGCGGAGTACAGAGGGAGGAACCTGCAAAGCCATGCTCTTCATGCTGTTTCTGAACCGAGGTGCCAGTATCGCCTTCCTGACTGTGATTTCAGTTGATCGTTACTTCAATGTGGTTCATCCTTGGAAAAAGAACTTTGCCAAGACTTTCAAAAAGTCTCCTCATATCTCTGTCATCATCTGGCTACTACTGCTCCCCCTGACTATCCCCACCATGCTGAAGACCTCTGAGTGCTGTAACAGTTATGGGCGTAAAAATGACACTCTGGTCGAGGACGTCACTGACACTCTGAGAGAGGTTGTGTTTTTCACCCAGATTCTCATCCCTTTCTTTGTGTTGGTCTACTGCACGGTCCACATTGTCAACAGACTCAAAAAGAAGACAGTAGGGAAGAAGACCAAGCTGCGTCGAGCAGTGTTTCTGGTCACCTCAGTTGTCTTGGTCTTCTCTTTCTATTTCCTGCCTTGTACCATAGCTAGAATGGTTCTGTTGATTGTGAGAGTTGAGAATTTACCCAGAGCAGAATATATAGTTGTTCAAGTATTTGACAGTCTCATGGATTTATCCTACATGGATTGTCTAGTGGACCCAATCGTGTACTGCTAGCAGCACTAAGTTCAAAAGCCTCTCTCTACCTGACAACATATTGCCCCTGTCTAAAATTAGGTGAAAGCACAAACTCGGTAGGAAACAACTCAAATCCAAAATGCAGCAACAATGTAATGCAGCATAGTAGGTAAAATACTTATTTTCAAAAAAATTGGAAATTAAAATTACAGTTTATGACTGCATTACTACTGTTTGTTCTCATGATGAGCCATTCATGTTAGTTTGCTAAACCAGACTGTGATTCACTACTTGTTTATATATCGTCATCTGGTTTCTTTAACCAGTGATGTCATCATGTTAAACAACTCATAATGACACTGTTGTTGCTAATTGTCTGGGTCAAATAAATATTCCTCTTAAGTTATGTTTATTTATGTGTTACTGCAGTACTACTACTACTACTCTTGATGAGGCCAATGTTTATACTTTTTTTATAGTGTGAGAGTTTTTTTTCTTCTAATTGTACATACCTCTCCTTTATGATTTTATTATTTGAAGTTTATCAAAATATTTTCTGAGCTTCTGTTATTATACCATATACATTAAAATTTTTACATTTTAGTCATTTAGCAGACGCTCTTATCCAGAGCGACTTACAGTTAGTGAGTGCATACATTTTTAATACTGGCCCCCCGTGGGAATCGAACCCACAACCCTGTCGTTGCAAGCACCATGCTCTACCAACTGAGCTATAGGAGGGAGCTATACTGCAGACGTGGTCATCCATACTTCTTACCATGGAGTGAATGTGTCAGAACAGGACCCGCCTTAGGCAGCCATCCATCTCCTGCGGGAGGTGAAGCATAAACGTTTGATCTCTGATTGGACCTCTGTGGGTTGGCAGAGAGAGAAGAGGTATCTACTCCAGCAGCCAGAGCAGGGATCAGGCCCAGCCACTGGGCAGAGAGAGAGGGGGATAACAGCTGTCCTGCTGATGAGAAACAGAGATGGACTTCAGGTGGAGGATTTAAAAGGTTAAATTCCTAAGAGACTGAGGAAAATACTAGGTCTTGTTGTTACAAGGAAGCATCCCCCAAGAGCTCCTCCTTTAGTCAACACAGCACTTTTTCTTTATAAAAAAAGAGAACAAAAAAACATTAATTGTCAAAGCCTTTAACTAAATAGAACTGTAAAACATTGCATGGTACAAAACACTACTTCAATAATGTAAATAAACATAATTTAATAAACAATCATTAATAAAACAAAAAATGTGCTTGTATTGCTTTTCACTGTGGAATTAAATAAGTAACTGATGAGCATCTCACAAAATTGTATTTTTAGTAACTTGGCCCGGTGCCTTTAGCTCTGTAAGTAAATGCACTCAACTGAAATATTTAGGTTACATTCCTTGACAGTTTAAGGCAGGACATTGACATCTGCTCTTTTTATGAAATATCTACATTGGTCATTTCATCGGATAATCACATTTCCATATAAACTATGTGTGAAGGAGAGCCTCCACTATGGACTAAATTACTATTTTTAAATATATGGATTCAAAGAATTTATTGCCATTTTAAACTATAGCTTATTGTGATGCAATGTTTTTTTTCTGTATCGATTCATTTAATCTATAACCTGCGCTTTCTATCATCTCCAACCATTTCCTGTTGTATTGCATTGCTCATTGTATTGCCTAATTGGTGGGAGTGGCTAATCGGCACAGGTGCCTTCAATGTGTAATCGGGGCCTGTGTTTCCTGACTGTGTGGAAGAGACATTTGTTTTAGCAACCAGCCATGTGTGCTTAATTTGTAAGTCTGCAGTTTCTTGAATAAAGGAAGTACTTTTAACTTTATTTCTCAGTTCCTCTTTTATGCCGTTTAGATGACAAGGTATCGGCCAGTCTGTCACACTGTCTATAGTCTTTATGGGGCTTGCCGTGTCATGAATGTTTTTAGATCAAACCAAGATATAGATTCATGCCTGCTTCTGTTCGTATGGATAAAGCCTTAAGCCACACCACCTGATTTTCTGTTCCTGTGGATATGAGATAAAACCAAGAGTTTGCACGTAGAGTCCTTACATTTTTATTCATGCTCCTGTGGTGGACACAGAAAGAGAAACATTATTTATCTTTATTCAAAAGGGGAAAAGGCTGGTCTTGCCGAGTTCTGTAGTTCTGGCTGAAGAACAATGGATGCGGTCCATCTTCAGAACACATCCTCAAACACTGAGTTCGATCACTGCAACGAGGGGAATCAGATGATATACAAAGTCTTCTCTTCAGTGATGATCGTGGAATTCACTCTGGCCTTGCCTCTCAACCTGTCAGTGCTCTACATCTTCCTCTTCAAATTCAAATTCTGGAAAACCAACAGCATCTTCCTTTTCAATATTGTGGTGGCAGATCTTCTGCTGGTGATATGCTTGCCAGCCAAAGCCTATCACTTCCAGCATGGACTAAGCCAAAGTGAGAACAACCTGGTCTGTAAGGCCGTGCTCTTCATGTTGATTTTGTACCGAGGGGCCAGCATCGCCTTCTTGACTGTGCTGTCCATCGATCGTTACTTCAATGTGGTTCATCCTTGGAAAAAGAACTTTGTCAAGACTTTCAAAAAGTCTCCTCATATCTCTGTCATCATCTGGCTACTACTGCTCCCCCTGACTATCCCCACCATGCTGAAGACCTCTGAGTGCTGTAACAGTTATGGGCGTAAAAATGACACTCTGGTCGAGGATGTCACTGACACTCTGAGAGAGGTTGTGTTTTTCACCCAGATTCTCATCCCTTTCTTTGTGTTGGTCTACTGCACGGTCCACATTGTCAACAGACTCAAAAAGAAGACAGTAGGGAAGAAGACCAAGCTGCGTCGAGCAGTGTTTCTGGTCACCTCAGTTGTCTTGGTCTTCTCTGTGTGTTTCCTGCCTTCTACCATAGCTAGGATAGTTCTGTTGATTGTCAGAATCAAGGATCTACACAATGCTGAGACCATAGCGGTTCAGATCTATGACAGTCTCATGGTTTTATCCCACATCGACTGTTTGCTGGACCCACTGGTGTATTGTTTCTGCTGCTCAGGGTTTAGAGATGTGTACATGTCAAATTTCTGTCCCTTTCTATTGAGCAATAGAAGATCCAATAGTTCCACAGTCACAGATGAACAAAAGGTGACCTCTCCCCCGCTGCGGGACAAACTGTGATTTTATTCCAGATCTACAGTACTGTATAGTCAGTTACAAATTATTGCAAAAAATCTGTACAAACAGGTAAGAGTAACGTTAATTTAAATATTGTATACATTTTGAACAGTTTTGCTTGAGGTAAAACTGTTTTTACAGTTGTTTCTTGACCTTATTAATTGCTTTATCAAAAATATAAACATAACTGTCTAAGTTTTTTCCTGAAGAGGTATGAAGTGATATAGTTATATTATATACAATTTGAAAGGTAATTTCATGACCTTTCAGAACCAGTAGTCAAACAAAGTTTAAAATGTATCAGGGTTTCCTTTTTAAAGCCATTTACACAGGTCATTCTGATATGTACCCTAGAGGTCAAAGTTTTGTTGACCTGAATATTCTGAAAATGTGTCTGATGGATAGCTGTGAATCTAAGCTTTCCAATTTATCATAGGGATTTTACCCCTATGACAAAGAATGTCAGTATATAATATGTTATTGCTCCCTTATACCATTTAATCATATAGAATTGGAAAGCTTAGATTCACAGCTATCTATCAGGCACATTTTCAGAATATTCAGGTCAACAAAACTTTGACCTCTAGGGTACATATCAGAATTACCTGTGTAAATGGCTTTAAAAAGGAAACCCTGATACATTTTAAACTTTGTTTGACTACTGGTTCTGAAAGGTCATGAAATTACCTTTCAAATTATATATAATATAACCAACTTTGAAAGCACCAGCTACAACTGTTGCTTACAAAATTGGCCATATTGTACCATTGATATTAGAATGTTGGAAGCTTAACCATAGAATTCAAAGTAATGGGGCAGCTACAGTATGTTTTTGGATTGTAACTTTGATGATGGAGGCACCACATTGCACACACACAGCTAGAACAGGGTTTTAAAAAGATTTGTAGATACAAAGCCTTAACCCCACAGAAGCCTTTTTCCAATATGTCCGCCAAACAACCAATGGGGTCTTATTGGACAATTTCACATGACTATACCTGTAGGAAATATAATTGTAGTATGCCCCAAAATGTTCATAGTGATGTAGAATACACAACCACATGAGCCAGGTGTGCCAGATATGTAAAGATGTTCAATTATTCACAGAATTGCGGTAAGAATGTGCCCAAAAAGCTGTCTGAATCGCTGATTTCTGAAGATGTTATGATCAATAATCTTCAAACATGTAAAATGGATATGTAAATGTGAATAGTCATGGATGTGAGCTGATTAAAATGATAAACAATGTTATCCTAGTAGCTGTTTTCATTATGAGGACTATAAACCTGCCCCGTACATTCCATTACAATGTAGCAAAATCCAATGTTGGGCTTGTTGAGGCCAATTATATTACTTTTAGTATTCTATTAACAGACCAATCTGCTATGACCCCATAGTAAGAATACAGCTTAATATAGAGTAACTACGCGTAATGGCTTGCTGCTCTCATCATCTGGTGAAAACGTATTGGCATTCCTATGGAATTTGACATTGTAATGTATGCTAGTCCTCTGTTTTATGAAAACAGTTAATAGGATAACATAGTATAAATCCATGTAAAAAAAATATGCGATTCAGACAGCTTTTTGGGCACATTCTTATCCCAATTCTGTGAACAATTTAACATATTTATATATATGGCACACCTGGCTCATCTGGTTGTGTATTCTACATCACTATGAACATTTAAAGATATTTTTAGGCATACTACAATTATATTTCATACAGGTATGGACAAGCGAAATTGTCCAATAAGATCCCATTGACTTGTTTGGTGGCCATATTGGAAAGAGGCTTCTGTGGGGTTAATGCGTGAATTCTGTGATGGCCCTGTATCTACAAATCTTTTTCAAACCCTTTTCTAGCTGTGTGTGCAATGTGGTGCTTCTATCACCAAAGTTACAATCCAAAAACATTGCTGCCCCATTACATGGACTTCTATGGCTAAGCTTCCAAAATTCTAATGTCAATGGCACAATATGGGCGATTTTGGAAACAATAGTTGTAGCTGGTGCTTTCAAATTTGGTTATATTAAATATAATTTGAAACATAATTTCATTACCTTTTAGAACCACTTGTCAAACAAAGTTTAAAATGTATCAGGGTTTAAATTTTAAAGCAATTTATACAGGTAATTCTCTGTAACCTAGAGGTCAAAGGTCAAAGTTCTGTTGACCTGAACATTCTGAAAAGGTGTCTGATGGATAGCTGTGAATCTTTCCAATTCTATATGATTAAAGGGTATAAGGGAACAATAACTTGTTGTATACTGACATTGTTTGTCATAGGGTAAAATCCCTATGGAAACATGAATGGGATGGAGGAATGAAAGAAAGAGTGCTAACACACAGAGAGCTGTCATTGGTCCACTGCTATCACACACTTTCCAACTCTAGGGACATAGACCTTCCAAAAAAAAATGTTGGGCCATCGGCCCAAGTGAGCCCGACATCCAGAGACAGCGCTCCTAGTGGCCGGGGGCTTTAATGCAGGGAAACTTAAATCTGTTTATATTAATAATAATAATAATATGCCATTTAGCAGACGCTTTTATCCAAAGCCACTTACAGTCATGTTCTACCAGCATGTTAAATGTGCAACCAGAGGAAAAAAAACTAGACCACCTTTACTCCACACACAGAGACGCATACAAAGCTCTCCCTCGCCCTCCATTTGGCAAATCTGACCATAACTCTATCCTCCTGATTCCTGCTTATAAGCAAAAACTAAAGCAGGAAGCACTAGTGACTCTAGTGGTCAGATGACGCAGATGCTAAGCTACAGGACTGTTTTGCTAGCACAGACTGGAACATGTTCCGGGATTCTTCAGATAGCATTGAGGAGTACACCACATCAGTCACTGGCTTCATCAATAAGTGCATCGATGACATCGTCCCCAAAGTGACCATACGAACATACCCCAACCAGAAGCCATGGATTACAGGCAACATCCGCACTGAGCTAAAGGGTAGAGCTGCCGTTTTCAAGGAGCGGGACTCTAACCCGGACGCTTATAAGAAATCCCGCTATGCCCTCCGACGAACCATCAAACAGGCAAAGAGTCAGTACAGGACGAAGATTGAATCGTAGTACACCGGCACTGACGCTCGTCGGATGTGGCAGGGCTTGAAAACTATTACAGACAACAAAGGGAAGCACAGCCGCGAGCTGCCCAGTGACACAAGCCTACCAGACGAGCTAAACCACTTTTATGCTCGTTCGAGGCAAGCAACACTGAAGCATGCACGAGAGCACCAGCTGTTCCGGATGACTATGTGATCACGCTCTCCGTAGCCAATGTGAGTAAGACTTTTAAGCAGGTCAACATTCACAAGGCCGCAGGGCCAGACGGATTACCAGGACGTGTACTCCGAGCATAATATAATAATAATAACATGCCATTTAGCAGTCGCTTTTATCCAAAGCGACTTACAGTCATGCGTGCATAAATTTTTTTTTGTTGTGTGTATGGGTGGTCCCGGGGATCGAACCCACTACCTTGGCATTACAAGCGCTGTGCTCTACCAGCTGAGCTACAGAGGACCATGTGCTGACCAACTGGCAAGTGTCTTTACTGACATTTTCAACATGTCCCTGACTGAGTCTGTAATACCAACATGTTTCAAGCAGACCACCATAGTCCCCGTGCCCAAGGACACTAAGATAACCTGCCTAAATGACTACCGACCCGTAGCACTGACGTCTGTAGCCATGAAGTGCTTTGAAAGGCTGGTCATGGCTCACAACACCATTATCCCAGAAACCCTAGACCCACTCCAATTTGCATACCGCCCCAACAGATCCACAGATGATGCAATCTCTATTGCACTCCACACTGCCCTTCCCACCTGGACAAGAGGAACACCTACGTGGAATGCTATTCATTGACTACAGCTCAGCGTTCAACACCATAGTGCCCTCAAAGCTCATCACTAAGCTAAGGATCCTGGGACTAAACACCTCCCTACCCAACTGGATCCTGGACTTCCTGACGGGCCGCCCCCAGGTGGTAAGGGTAGGTAACAACACATCTGCCACGCTGATCCTCAACACGGGACCCTCAGGGGTGCGTGCTCTGTCCCCTCCTGTACTCCCTGTTCACCTATGACTGCATGGCCAGGCACGACTCCAACACCATCATTAAGTTTGCCGACGACACAACAGTGGTAGGCCTGATCACCGACAACGATGAGACAGCCTATAGGGAGGAGGTCAGAGACCTGGCATTGTGGTGCCAGGATAACAACCTCTCCCTCAATGTGACCAAGACAAAGGAGATGATTGTGGACTACAGGACAAAAAAGAGGACTGAGCACGCCCCCATTCTCATCGACGGGGCTGTAGTGGAAAAGGTTGAGAGCTTCAAGTTCCTTGGTGTCCACATCACCAACAAACTATCATGGTCCAAACACACCAAGACAGTCGTGAAGAGGGCACGAAAAAGCCTATTCCCCCTCAGGAGACTGAAAAGATTTGGCATGGGTCCTCAGATCCTCAAAAAGTTCTACAGCTGCACCATCGAGAGCATCCTGACTGGTTGCATCACCGCCTGGTATGGCAACTGCTCGGCCTCCGACCGCAAGGCACTACAGACCCAAATATGGGGGTCTCATGGACTAATATGACCACAAAAGCAATCAATGTTCACACAGTATTCAAATGATCGGGGAGAGTGGGGTAAGTTGAGCCGATTTGTACATTCAGCATCACTCCGTCAAGGGAAATATAGTATTCTGTCTAACAAAGATATCTACATATACTGCAGAATGTTGTGTATCTCTGGAAATAATCAGAATTTATGTAAGCATTACAGTTTTGAAAACATAGTCTCTTTGCACAACTTACCCAAGTTATGGGGTAAGTTGAGCTGCGGGATAGGTTAGGTTAAGCCACCTACAGTATAGCAGCTTCATGTGCTTTACATGTCTCTGATTTATCACTGGAGATTATTCTACGGTCCTTATACACACCTGTGGCTGTTCATTAGTTCAGAAAAACCTGTTTAGCCTGAAAAGATTAGTGCTGCTACAAGATGAAATTCCATGTAGTTTCTTAAATTACCCAACAGAACACTGTGTTATTGCCTTGGAGCTGACATGATCTTCTTTGTAACCTCAAAAACAAATGACAATATCTAAGCTATCAACACTTCGGAAAGTCCCTTCGTACTAAATATATTTTGAAGATCATCAAATACAGTTAAATGGACAAAATTAACTTTGCACTTTGTAACAAAATACTACTTTGTAAACATATTTCATGCCTCTCCACTGAATGAATTTGCATTTGCTATTTGATGGTGGTTGTTTTACGTTGATCTCAGTCAGTCAGTACCCACCTGGCCCCATGAGGGAGAGGAGTCTGCTCTGCTCTTGTAGAACTCTGTGCAGCTGCTCCACCTGCTGTTGAACTAGCTGCTGTTGCCCTGGGCCCTGCACCGATGGAGACACAGACAACACTCAACACACAGCAGGGTCTGTTGACAGCTTTACCATCACTATGTTATACCACAACATAAATTAACGTTTATTCGTCACATGCACAGGATACAGCAGGTAGTATACATATTAATAAACCTGGTTGTGGTAGAATATGTACACATAGGATATACAGTATAAATGATGAGGGTGGCAGGTCGCCTAGCATTTAAGAGCGTTGGACCAGTAACTGAAAGGTTGCTGGTCCCAATCCCTGAGCTGACTAGGTGAAAACTCTGTCGATGTGCACTTGAGCAAGGCACTTAACCTTAATTGCTCCTGTAAGTCGCTCTGTATAAGAGCGTTCGCTAAATGACAAAAATGTAAATGAATGTGCTATGTCAAGTATGAATGTTATTTATAAGTAGGCTAATAAAGTGAATAGTGGTCTTGGTTGAGTAGTTGAATATTATATAAATAGTACAGCAGCACTAACTGTGTATGTGTGTGAGTGTGTGATTAGTGCTATGTTCAACTGATCGCCAACAGCGCAGGGAAGCAGTTCACATGAGAGTGCCAGTGTGAATGAAGGTTACTGTGCTACATGTACACATTGATCAATAATGCTGTTTCAAGTAGAGTGTAGCAAGTAACATTTGTTTAAGTGGGTAAAGTACCCTCAACTCAAGTAGGTTTGATCACAACTGCAAATTGGTATGTTACTGCCACCTACTGGTAAGCAAGAGTGCATGCATCAAATCAGTGAGCAAAAGCAATTCAGACCAAAACTTGAAACAAACATGTCTACAATAGTAGGCTACACTGTATGGTTTAAATACACTACTGACCTGCTGGAGAGCTCTCTGTAGCATTAGTTGTTGTGTAGTTTGTAGTGATGAGTTATTGTCTGAGGCAGCCTCCTGTGGATTTTCTCTAAGGACAGCATCATGGCTCAGTGAATGGGATGGAGACAGGGGACTAGAGCCCAGCTCAGCTGCATGAGGGTTCAGGTGGGTCCCCTGGTTATCCATGTCATTTGTTCCAGTGCTATGTGGCTCCTGTTGTGGTACCTGGCCCAGGTCTACCTCCCGCTAAAACGATGAACCTGCTGGCCATGTTCTCAGGCTGTTGTTGTCCATGGGTATGTCAGCTGACATTATTACTCTCAGAGACGCTTCATGAAATACTCTTGATTATCACCTTCTGTTAATAATGGCATGTTTTTGAGTAATGTCTGGTCTGTGCAAGTTGGAAAGAGAAATGTAGAGGTTTTAATAGGGTAATGTGGGATCACTAGCTCTACATATTTTAAGTCACTCTAACACAACGATTCTGAGGTATTAATAAAATAATAATAATAATATGCCATTTAGCAGACGCTTTTATCCAAAGCGACTTACAGTCATGCGTGCATACATTTTTGTGTATGGGTGGTCCCGGGGATCGAACCCACTACCTTGGCGTTACAAGCGCCGTGCTCTACCAGTTGAGCTACAGAGGACCACAAAAAAAAAAAAATATGTAACCTTTATTTAACTAGGCAAGTCAGTTAAGAACTAATTCTTATTTACAATGACGGCCTACCAAAAGACAAAAGGCCTCCTGCGGGGATGGGGGCTGGGATAAAAAAAAAAGTTATTCATATATAAATATAGGACCAAACACACATCACAACAAGAGAGACAACACAACACTACATAAAGAGAGAGCTAAGACAACAACATAGCATGGCAGCAACACACGACAACACAGCAATGTAACAACAGAACTTGAAAACAACATGGTAGCAACACAACATGGCAGCAGCACAACATGGTAGCAGCACAAGACATGGTACATACATTAATGGGCACAGACAATAGCACAAAGGGCAAGAAGGTAGAGACAACAATACATCACGCGAAGCAGCCACAACCGTCAGTAAGAGTGTCCATGATTGAGTCATTGAATGAAGAGATGGAGATAAAACGGTCCAGTTTGAGTGTTTTTTGCAGCTCGTTCCAGTTTCTAGCTGCAGCGAACTGGAAAGAGGAGCGACCCATGGATGTGTGTGCTTTGGGTATCTTTAACAGAATGTGACTGGCAGAACGGGTGTTGTATGTGGAGGATGAGTGCTGCAGTAGGTATCTCAGATAGGGGGGAGTGAGGCCTAAGATGGTTTTGTAAATAAGCATCAACCGGTGGGTCTTGCGACGGGTATACAGAGATGACCAGTTTACAGAGGAGTATAGAGTGCAGTGATGTGTCCTATAAGGAGCATTGGTGACAAATCTGATGGCCGAATGGTAAAGAACATCTAGCCGCTCGAGAGCACGCTTACCTGTCAATCTATAAATTACGTCTCCATAATCTAGCATGGGTAGGATGGTCATCTGAATCAGGGTTAGTTTGGCAGCTGGGGTGAAAGAGGAGCGATTACGATAGAGGAAACCAAGTCCAGATTTAACCTTAGCCTGCAGCTGTCTAGCCATACTCCCAAGTACTTGTATGAGGTGACTACCTCAAGCTGTAAACCCTCAGAGATATAAATCACACCGGTGGGGAGTGGGGCATTCTTCTTATCAAACCACATTACCTTTGTTTTGGAAGTGTTCAGAACAAGGTTAAGGGCAGAGAAAGCTTGTTGGACACTAAGAAAGCTTTGTTGTAGAGTGTTTAACACAAAATCTGGGGAGGGGCCAGCTGAGTATAAGACTGTATCATCTGCATATAAATGAATGAGAGAGCTTCCTACTGCCTGAGCTATATTGTTGATGTAAATTGAGTAGAAAGTGGGGCCTAGGATTGAGCCTTGGGGTACTCCCTTGGTGACAGGCAGTGGCTTAAATAGCAGATATTCTGACTTTATACACTGCACTCTTTGAGAGAGGTAGTTAGCAAACCAGGCCAAAGACCCCTCAGAGACACCAATCCTCCTTAGCTGGCGGATGGAATGGTCTACCATATCAAAAGCTTTGGCCAAGTCAATAAAAATAGCAGCACAACATTGCTTAGAATCAAGGGCAATGGTGACATCATTTAGGACCTTTAAGGTTGCAGTGACCAATCCATAACCTGAGCAGAAATCAGATTGCATACCAGAGAGAATACTATAGACATCAAGAAAGCCAGTCAGCTGAATATTAACAAGGTAAATTGATCTAATATTTTGTAATTTTATAAAAAGTTATATAATTTAATTAGGTTATAGCTACAAACTTTGTATACACTGAGTGTACAAAACATTAGGAACACCTGCTCTTTCCATGACATAGACTGACCAGGTGAATCCAGGGGGACTTCTTACCCCTCATTACCCTAAATGTTTTAATTGAATAGCTCACATGTGAGGTTTTGCACAATATCCTACATTATATGTGCATTATAGATAGGACCTTTATCCCCCCCAAAAAGTAAATAAAGTTTCTAACTTTTAAAAACTTGAGTTGTCTTTGAAGACATTATTAGTAGAAAAGTCTACATTCCATGAAACAGCAATTCATTTTTATTATAGTTAGATATAAACGTACCTTTTTCTTTAAATCAAATAAAGATAGATAGTTCCTTTCGCTTTGGCGTGTCTCTACCAAGAGTAAGCTACACTCTTGTTTTATCTGTCGCCAGTGGTAACTGTTACTGTAAACATCAACCTCCAATGAGAGAAAATATGAGTTGCTTTGTTTAGCCTACCATTAAATTAACAAATTACTAATTCGTTTAAAAGGCCGTATACAATAGGTCGTATCCATTGTCTCGAGAACCATATAGTCAATAACTTTCCTGCAAATTTAAGGAGGAACGGTTGAATGAATCCTGTGGTATGGCGCCAAACAATGGCACTTTCGGCGGCAAAAGTTTCAGAAGTTTAAGGTAGGCTATCTGACGTTGGCTATTGGCCAACAACAATATCGTTTTTTAACATGCAGGTGCAGTGAAAAATATAGATGTATCTATGTGTCATGCAGCCAGGTAATGTCGTTCCCACTTCCCGCCCAGGTGACGTGTATCCAAAATGAAGCCTAATCGAGGAAGAAGAGGTTTGCTAGAGAGAGAGAGAGAGAGAGAGAGAATAAGCCTAATGTGAAATAAAAGTCCTACAACTAAGGATATGGTATCATGATATACCTATAATTACCCCTCTCAGCTCACCTTCCCTGTCACTCATTGCTGAGGCAAAATGAGTGAATGAGAGGGAGCCGTTTCAGTAATTCTTGCAAAAAAGAATAGCAAGTACCTGAAATGAGGCATTCAGTGAATTACTGAATTACAAAAGGTTGTTTTGTAAAGTTCTGTTTGCAAAAGAGGACATTGGTCTCTATTAGCTGATAATTAACCACCAATATCGATTTTTCACAGAACTAGTATTCACAGATAATTTGTTATCGAAATTAAATGCTCAGATTTTTTTAGTTGTTGATGCATTTGAATCGACTTTTATTTATTGCATAAACCTATCGATTTATGCACTAAAACATGTCACTAAACACTTCTGCCTCTGCCTTTGATTTCTAATAGGGTTTTTGAGATGTGGCTGTGCATGCAAGTGATGTGACATGACACAACATTATTGATTAGAATACAAATCCCTCATTCTGTATAAAAAGGAGTTATGGATGAAAGATTCCACCATCAGAGTTAGGCTGAGAGGAGCTGTAGCCTACTGTACATCATGACAGTACTATGTATGTGAATGGAATAAAAACCCATTGACCAACACAGCCTGACCTCTGCTCCATGTCCTTGTTAGGCCAATGATTGACTGATGAGTGACATCTATCTATTTGTCTAACTGACATTGCTAAAAAGACACAAAACGTATCACACTGGTGAGTTTGTATGCACTGCTTGACAGTGTCGCATCATGGGCCTGTACAAAGCAGTGTTCTTGCTAGGCACCCTTTTCTCTGCAGGTAAGATACAGCTGGCATAATTTTACGCATTTTAAGTTGAAGTGAACTGAAGGACTCAAACACAGTGTTTATACTTGCAAATTGAACATTTATTCACAAATGAGTCCTATCTGTTCACTCAAGTTTTGTTTTAGGTTCCTGTGTCTAGTTCTTTAATCTAATCATTTTGTAAGATTATCTTCTGCCAACCTTATAACTGAGGCAGTTAGTTTAATAAAATGGTATGTATTATTCTTCTTACTGGGTAATTACTCTCGTAGATTGGCCTACTGTACAGGGCTAGCTTTACTGCTGTAGTGTAAGTAGGCTACAGTGGAAGAATTAGTAACTACAATACTTTTTTTGCACCGTACTTAAGAGAATAAGTATACAGTAATAGGAACAATGTGGTGTTAAAACACTGTTCATCACACAACAATGTATTTATTCTATGTCTTTCTCTTACTTGTAAATTGTTTTGAAAATTGTCTGTGGTGTATGTCCACTCCACAAATGACTAATCTGTCAATATAACTTCATGTTGCAACCTCCATTCTATAGTGGTCTTTAACAGCAGCTTAGCCCTGAAACCATTGCGTTTTAGCTTTGCATCACAGAGCAATTGTAAGCAAATTCAGTCTTACTCATTGTTTCTTATCTGTTTGTCCATTTAGTCAGTGCGGGTGTCCTGGATGAATATGCAAAAACAGAGGGCGCCCGGATTATATCTATCGTAAAGAGGGAGTACTCAGTAGGCACAGTTTTAGAATGTGCCATCAAGTGTAACATTGAAACATATTTCACCTGCAGGTAACATAAGGCTTATGGCCATTTCATGAACAGTGATAATGATTTACACATGATTTACATAGTCATATTTCATTCTGAATGTTTCTTGGCAGGTCCTTTATATACATTGAAAAGGATCAAGAATGTTTGACAATACCAGCAAACACCAAAACAGAGGAAGTTCTGAGAAGAGCCAGCACAGCTCTCTACGAAAAGAAAGGCAAGTCCTAAAGTTTTTCAGATTTTCTCGATAAGTAGCTAGGCCTGAAAGGGCTTCCTATAATCATTAATACATAATGGATTACAAATATTTGAATACAAATGTAGGACTGTTAGTTTCATGTGATTGTATTAGTCCTCATTATTTTCAGTTAATATTTAGCTAACCTCTGTGGAGTTTCCACTAAGAGGTTTGGACTGTGTCAGTAAACAAACAGAAGAGGTGATGCAGATTATCTAAACAACCCAGTCCAATCAGTCCTTCAGTGGGAGGTACATACGGTATATCAAATTCCATACTGACCATATCTGACAACATCTCAGATAGTAAAGGCCTGATGATGCTTTTTAATTACCCAAGAGGGGTGTTTAGTACACTTCTGAATTTGCCTAATAAAATCTCAAAGATTACTAACCAAGCCACCCACCTTCTACTGTTGATACATGCTATTCTATGTCTTTATAGTGTACTTGATGGAGTGTGTGAATGGAATCGGTATGGACTACAGAGGGACGAAGTCCAAAACAAAATCAGGGAAGACTTGCCAGAGATGGGCATCAAAATACCCACATAACCCCAAGTATGCTCACCCACACCTACAATATTTATCATATTCCTATAAAGTATTTTATTTATATATGATTTACTACCAGCAACTTGAGGTTAGATTTCTTTGCAGCAGAAGTAAATTCACATTATCCTTGTGAATCTTTCCCACAGCATAACTCCGTTAACACACCCCAAAGCCGACCTAGAGTCCAACTTCTGTAGAAACCCAGATGGCGACAGCAAAGGCCCCTGGTGCTACACCAGAGACCCTGAGACCAGGTGGGAGACCTGCAACGTCCAGGACTGCAGCGGTACCCTTAATATCTTGTTATGTCCCCACTGCCAATAAGCTGATAAAACAGCTGATGTCATGTTGGTACAAAAGTTAAAATCTCAAAAGCAGATTACACTCTTAGAAAAAAAAAACGCTATCTAGAACCAAAAAGGGTTCTTTGGCTGTCCCCATAGGAGAACCCTTTGAAGAAGCCCTTTTTTTGTTTCCAGGTAGATCACTTTTGGGTTCCATGTAGAACCCTTTCCACAGAGGGTTATACATGGAACCCAAAAGATTCCTACCTGGAACCAAAAAGGGTTCTCCTATGGAGACAATTCAGTGGAACCCTTTTTTCTAAGAGTGTATATATATCTTTAAACAAATAGTTGACCAGCTTTTTTTGTCACTTCTTCTCATCATAACATCACTTTGTTAATACAGTAGGTGTAATTTGGAATTGTTTTACTTCTAAAGTGCTGTTGTTTGACCCACAGAGGAATGTATGCACTGCAGTGGTGAGGACTACAGGGGAAAGATCTCTACCACTGAGAATGGCTACACTTGCCAGAGATGGGACGCCCAGAAACCTCACAACCACGGCTACAGTCCCAGCGCGTAAGAGCCTTTACTGTCTCTCACTCTATGTAATATCAGATAAATATTACAGGTTATATGTTTACCATGTGCTCTGTCATCTGCCCCTCTTTACCTCTTTCTGTGTCCCTTTCTCTGTGTCTCCCTCCCTCTAGTCTTCCTGAGAAGTACCTGGAGGAGAACTACTGTAGGAACCCAGATGGGGACCCCAAACCCTGGTGCTTCACCACCAGCCTCTCCAAACGCTGGGACTTCTGCTCTATCCCTCGCTGCAGTGAGCTTTCACCCTATCTCCTCTATCTCTCCCCTGTCCCCTTTGCCCACCTTGACCCTACCATGACCCTACTAGCGACTGTCATCCCATTCATGTCTTTTAGTCTTTTCTCTTATTTGCCTCCAATCTAGGGCCCTACCCCGCATTTTCATCATCCCACCTCAAGAGGCCGATATAGCACCTTCTTACACCACGTGTAAATAAAATTGTCATTTAAAAATGTTTTATTTAACCTTTATTTATACAGGACCTGGTCCAACAGCAGCAGGGGGAACAAAGTTTCAGACAACACAACATTGAACAAAGCTATACACACACATACAGTACAACAATTACATATTACGTAAAGAATATGTGCGTACCATAATAATTTAACTTAATTATCCAATTAGTCCAAAATAAATTCCCAACCATTTATTTTAGGCAAATTCACTATTTCATTTGACCATGCTTGTTCACATATTGGTCGTTTGTGTCAGTGAATTTGTCCGTTATTATGGAGATGCTTTTTTATTTCTTGATTTCAAACGCGGTCTATTGCACATTTTAGTTTGTAGTAAAGTAGCCTAATGTTGCAGGTTTTGAAGAATACACTGAGTATACAAAACATTAAGGACACCTGCTCTTTCCATGGCATTGACTGACCAGGTGAATCCAGGTGAAAGCTATGATCCCTTATTGATGTCACTTGTTAAATCCACTTTAATCAGTGTAGATGAAGGGCAGGAGACAGGTTAAAGAAGGACTTTTAAGCCTTGAGACAATTGAGACATGGATTGTGCATATATGCCATTCAGAGGTTGAATTGGCAAGACAAAATATTTAAGTACCTTTGAACGGGTTATGGTAGTAGGTGCTAGGCGCACTGGTTTGTGTCAAGAACTACAACGCTGCTGGGTTTTTCACACTCAACAGTTCACGTGTGTATCAAGAATGGTCCACCACCCAAAGGACATCCAGCCAACTTGACACAACTGTGGGAAGCATTGTAGTCAACATGGGCCAGCATCCTTGTGGAATGCTTTCGACACCTTGCAGAGTCCATGCCCCGACGAACTGAGGCTGTTCTGAGGGCAAAAGGGGGTGCAACTCAATATTAGGAAGGTGTTCCTAGTGTTTGGTATACTCAGTGTATATTATTGTCATCTGCAGCGAGTGTCCCTGCAGGATATTCTGATCTTTCCATTTACTATTCTTTTATATAGACTGTACTTCCATGTATGGTTTCATTGACTCTCCCCTTTAACTGCCCCTAATTGACCAATTTCTATCTACAACTTCCAAGTCTGCTGGAGAAGATCAGCTTGAGCAAAGTGAGGTGTAGAACGACTGATCTACAAATAGTATTCCCTTGCCAAATAATAGGTTTTGTGTGATCAAGATTTGCAAAGCTACGCCTTTCCTGGCTCAGGCGATACCCCCGCCCTAACACACGAGCTCAACCAGATATTGATTGATTGTTTGAAGACAGCTTGTGTCAATTACAGAATATTTCCTTGGATTTTCTACCTGCAGCGACACTTGCAGGATAATGCTGGAAATGCTGGTAAAACCACAGTGCCTCATTTATGGACCAAAAAGCAGGACCCTACCCATGACCCCTGCTTTTTCACATAAAAATAAACAATCTGATTCAAACATGAGTTCACTAACTCCCAGTGAGTTCTCCTCACTCTACATTCTCTCTCCCTCTCCCCTAGCTTCTGAGCCTCCCACGGTGGTGGAGGAGATCACCTGTAGCACAGGCGACGGCGGTGCCTACAGGGGAACCGTTGATGTGACAACATCTGGGAAAACCTGTCAGGTCTGGGCAGCTCAGACGCCCCAAAAGCACAACAGAACTCCAGACAACTACCCATGCAAGTAAGATCCACCCACGAGATTGGGCAACTTGTTTTTACTCAAGCAAGAACAGAGCATTGCGTTTATCAGTGTTTTAATGTCTTATAGATACAGACTGACTGTGATCGAACCTATATGAGTGGTTGTTTGTGTTCCTGTCAGAGGCCTGGACCTGAACTACTGCAGGAACCCAGACAATGAGAGGATGCCCTGGTGCTACACTACAGACCCAGAGACACGCTGGGAGTACTGCAAGGTGCCTAGCTGTGGAGACGTTCCTGGACCAGGTCACTTTACACTTATGATGATGATGATGTCAACGCATTGGATTTATATAGAGCTTTCCCAAGTGCTAAAACTGCTTTACATTAACTACATAATGAAACTCATATCATCCACTACCAATCCATGCATCCTACATTTTCACCTAAATTCATATTTCATATGTGGTTAACATGGTTCATATGCTTTTTGATCTTCAGATGACGCAGCTCCCGCTCCAGCTGAGGAAGACTGCTATGTGGGCAGCGGGAGTGAATATCGTGGCATGGTGACAGAGACCATCAGTGGGAAGAAATGCCAGTCCTGGAGCTCGATGACACCTCACAGTCACAAGAAGACACCTCAGGACTTCCCAAAAGCGTGAGGCCTAGAGAATAGATAAAATCTCTAATGTCTATCTAGATCATCTATAGCTCTATTTATGTGTTCTACTATCTGGTAATTTAAAGTAGGGATGGGGGGGGGGGGGGGGGGGGGGGGGGGGTCGATATAGTAGAGTATCGCAATATTATTTTTTACGATATTAAATCAATTCTATGACTCCAAGTATCAAGTGTATATACAGTATATATATTTTTTGGGTGGCAACTGCAGGCAGATACATACAAATGGTATCCACGCGTTCATCTGACTCTGGGGAAGTAGATAAAGGGCCTCACTGCCAAAATCCCAAAGTATCCCTTTAATTTACCTAGCGGTAGTCGGCTGTACCTGCGCAAAACCTCAGTTATTTCTCCTTCTCTAGATTGTTCTCCATCTTCTTTTTAAAAGGTGAGCCAACATGTTTTCAGCACTTTTATTTCCATGACTGATTAAAACTTGTTTTCAAATGGCTCTCTCTTGTCTCTGCAGCAGACATGGTGAGCAATATGTTTGGTACATCGAATCGCAATACATATAGAATCGTGAGAATCGCGAGAATTGTATTACATATCGTATCGGCACCTAAGTATGATGATAATATCGTATCGTGAGATCCCTGGCATTTAAAGCCAAAATAAAGTAATATGTCATATTCAGTGTCTGAGGACATTAGATGACATGTATTTTACATATGTTTCACAGCGATTTGAGAAGAAACCTGTGTAGGAACCCTGATGGCGACCGTGCTCCATGGTGCTACACCACTGACCCCTCTGTTCGTTGGGAGTTCTGCGCTGTGGATAAATGCCCAATGGCTCCCAAGCCTACTTCTAAGCCTGACAAACCTGACCAGCCCAATCCAACCTCTCAGACACCCTCAGCCGGTCATCCTTTTTAATCCTTTAATCCTTTCATTCATTCATTCATCTTACATTATCAATGTTGAGGGGAACAATTTATTATATTATATACTGATATTGTTTTCTGTTGACGTTCAGATTGCAAGGTGGGCAATGGGGAGACATACAGGGGTCCTACTTCCATGACCATGTTGGGTGTCACATGTCAGAGGTGGAGCTCCCAGAGCCCCCATCAGCACGCCAGCTTCAACCCTGAATCCCACCCTGACAAAGGCCTGGAGTCCAACGTAAGTCCATGGAATTTTCTTACTAGATGTACTGTATTGAAAGGCCCAGTTCAGTCAAAAACATGATTTTCCTGTGTTTTATATATATTTCCACACTATGAGGTTGGAATAATTCTGTGAAATTGTGAAAATGATGATAATGCCCTTTTAGTGTAAGAGCTGTGTGAAAAGACCTCCTGAAAATTCAGCCTGTTTTGGTGTGATGGAGTTTTGGCAATAAATTAGTTAATAGACCAATAAGAGAGAGTTCCAAACCTCTCAGCCAATATAAGCTAGTTCTCAGTTAACCCCTCCCCACTCAGACAACTCCCAGACAGTCCTAGCAAAATTGACAATTTTATTTGAAAACAATCAAAGTAAGGTACTTCATTGTTACCCAGAAATTATTTGATATTGAGATAAGAACAGCTGCATTGGACATTTAAATAATAACATTTGAATCAGACAATATTGTGAAAGTACTGCATATGATAGAGGAGACATTTGGGAAGATGTACTTTATTAATTCAGCGTCCCTTTTCACTGTTAGAATTGCAGAAACCCTGACAATGACGTGAATGGACCATGGTGCTACACCACAGACAAAAGCAAAAAATGGGACTACTGCCAAATCCCAGATTGCGGTATGTGGCCTACATTGAGATGCAGTTTCTGTTAATCATTACACATATGGCTGTGCTGAAACAAACTTGTTATATCCAGATTAATGTGGTTACTGTCTACATTGTGTTATGCACCAATAAAACTGTATTTTTGCTCTCCAGCTGGCTTGAAATGTGGGCAGCCGGTTACAAAACCCAAGAGGTGTTTTGGTCGCATCGTTGGAGGCTGTGTGTCCAAACCCCACTCATGGCCCTGGCAGATCAGCCTGAGGACCAAGTATGGAGGATAGCATCCCATTCCCTTTCATGAATTGTATTAATATATTGATATTTCCATACAGAAAGATAAAACAATATATCTCTTGGAGAACTCACTTCTTCACTCTTCTGTCTGTCCTCCTGCAGCACTGGCATCCATTTCTGTGGGGGAACTCTGATCGCCCCTCAGTGGGTCCTCACCGCTGCCCACTGCCTGGAGAGGTGAGAGAGCAGCCCTCATCAGTGCCTGTATCAACTCAGTTGTCTTGAAGTTTATTTAAGCAATAAGGACCGAGGGGGTGTGGTATATGGCCAATATACCACGGCTAAGGGCTGTTCTTAGGCACAACGCAATGCGGAGTGCCTGGATACACCCTTAGCCGTGGTATATTGGCCATATACCACAAACCCCCGAGGTGCCTTACTGCTATTATAAACTGGTTACCAACATAATTAGAGCAGTAAAAATAAAAGTTTGGTAATACCCGTGGTATACGGTCTGATAAACCACGGCTTTCAGCCAATCAGCATTCAGGACTCGAACCACCCAGTTTATAATACTCAATAAATGTATACCAACCAGAAGAGCAGCTGTACATATACTGTGTAGGAGTGATAGCCTCTTACACAACAGAAGAGCAGCAGTACTGTTTAGTCATGTTCACTGTGAGGCCCTAATTATGGATTCAATAAAAGTACATCTTTCTACATTTGTGCGTATTAGATCAAAGAGGCCATCTGCCTACAAGGTGTTCTTGGGAACCCACACAGAGAGAGCAAATGAAGTGTCCAAGCAGGAGCGTAACCTGCAGAAACTGATCCTGGGACCTGACAGGACAGACATTGCACTACTGAAGCTAGAGACGTGAGTGAGGCCATTCCATGACAAAATAAAAACTCAATCGAATTTGTCATATTTGTCTTGCTGTTTGGAAGTCAGAGGCTGTAAAAATACTTGTTTAATTGGTTGCAGCCCTGCACTCATAAATGACAAGGTTTTACCAGCATGCTTACCTGAGAAGGATTACGTGGTACCACCTGGAACAGAGTGCTATGTGACAGGATGGGGAGAGACACAAGGTACAAGAGTCATGCATGTTTTTTTCCTTCCTGATTGCACTCATAACATCAGACAGAATTAAGTAATTATTCTGTAATTCTTCTGTCCAGGACTCCATTACTTTATTGATGCAAATGTACAATTATTTTCTATATTTTCTGTCATGAAACATTGATCTTTGTGTTTGTAGGAACTGGTGGAGATGGGCTCCTCAAGGAGACTGGCTTCCCTGTAATAGAAAATAAAGTGTGTAATCGTCCTGCCTACCTGAACAACAGAGTTAAGGACCATGAGATGTGTGCTGGGAACATTGAAGGGGGAACAGACAGCTGTCAGGTATACATGCTCAGCAACAACTAGTAGTCATTCAATTTCAGTAAGGACTGTGTGGTTGGTTGTAAACTGCAGTTTCCACAGTGATTTTAAACGTAACTGCTTTGGAGTGATGATGATAATGGTGGTGATGATGTTTTTGACCTCTTCCAGGGTGACAGTGGCGGCCCTCTGGTGTGTCATGCCATGAACAGCTTTGTCCTCCAGGGCGTGACATCCTGGGGTCTGGGCTGTGCCAACGCCTTGAAGCCAGGGGTGTATGCCAGAATATCAAAGTTTACGGATTGGATTGACAATCAGATGAAGATTAATTCTTAACCCCCTACTCTCCATAATCTGGAGAAATTTGTCATTTGAGCCACAAATCTAGTTTTGTTAAGACTTGAAAGTACAAATTAAATACCTGTAGTAAGTGATTTCTTCAGAAATTGCAAGGTTCATTATTTTTGTTAAGAAAAAATAAATAATTCAATTGTTAAACAATGCAATTATGTTCTAGCCTGGTAGACATCAATTGTGTTCAGTGACATGTTAAAAAACAATATAAAAAAGCTGACATTGTGTAGCAGCTTGTGTGCAATTGGGATCTTGGATGGGAAAGCTCTTTATTAAGTTCTGTCAGGTCAGTCAAAAATAAAAGTATATAACATTAACACGACTGGGGTATATTAACATTTGGGATAACTAGAGACAGTTGAAATTTCAGAATGAGAAAATCTTCTCAAAACACATGAGGACATTGTGCGCCGCCCCTGACCCATGGGGCGGTGCACAATTGGCCCAGCGTCGTCCAGGGTAGGGGAGGGAATGGCCGGCGGGGATGTAGCTCAGTTGGTAGAGCATGGCGTTTACAACGCCAGGGTTGTGGGTTCGATTCCCACTGGGGGTATGAACAATTAAAATGTATGTATGTATAGTGATACATATAAATACCAATATCACAAAACAATTAGAGGATTCACATCAGACAGTTATTGGAAACAACAAATGCAACAAACATATTGTACGATATAGGCTATGCTACATAGATTCATAAATACAGTATATGAGTTCAGTATTAGGTCAATTTGTGGAGAAAATAAGCAAGATCAATCAGATGATTAGTGGGCAACAGATTTGTCAGCTGTTGACTCTTTAGGTGGTTTTCTTTGTTTCTGATCATCAATGGAATATGTACAATTAATTCATATTCCCCATATAACAAGCTACAATGCAACTTAGTTTAGTTTGAACAGTGTTGAAGAAATCTCACCTGTTTGGGAACTCAACGTCATCGATGGTCTCAGGAAGTGGCACACCTCTGGCCTCAGGCAGCAGCAAGACTAAACCTCCAGGTACGAACGCTATCGCCCCTGGGTGGTACGTACAACACAACATATGAACACATTGAGTGTGACCCAGCAATGGACTCGGGTGTATAAGCATCTTATAACATGTTAATTCGTGTTTTAATCATGTTCCCGAAGATGATTAGTGGCAGCTCCAGCCTGTGGTGAGTGTGGTGAAAGGAGTCAGGCGCAGGAGGGTAATCACCGAATACAGAGTTTATTCCTTCGTTGACACACAAATGCGCTCCAATAGCGATCAACGAAACAGGCACAGGGGAAACAAACATCCCTGTTAATTACACTGTAACGGAATCCAATAATACATAGGCACAGGGGGAAAATCTAGCTCCACCGAGCTACATTACTCTCACAATTAACAATCACCCACAAGGACAAGGGGGCAGAGGGAACACTTATACACAGACTAATTAGGGGATAGGAACCAGGTGTGTGTGATTGACAAGACGAGACAATTGTGATGATGATTGGGGCGGCAGTGGTTAGTAAGCCAGTGACGACGAACGCCGAAGCCTGCCCGAACAAGGAGGGGAGGCAGCCTCGGCCAAAGTCGTGACAGTACCCCCCCCCCCCCCCCCCCCCGACGCGCAGCTCCAGCACCGCGCCGACCCCAGCCTCGGGGACGGCCAGGAGGACGCGGAGCAGGGCGAGCCGGATGGCGACGGTGGAAATCCCACAACAGGGAGGGATCGAGGATATCCCTCACCGGGACCCAGCACCGTTCCTCCGGACTGTACCCCTCCACGAGGTACTGAAGGCCCCCCACCCGATGCCTCTCAAATCCAGGATGGAGCGGACAGAGTACGCCGGGGCCCCCTCGATGTCCAGAGGAGGTGGAGGAACCCCACAAACGGGCTCAGCTTCTGGCAGGGCAGGCGGAGGGGCAGATTCCGGGTCGAGAGCCAGACCCGATCCCCCGGTACGAAGACCGGGGCCTCACTGCGGTGACGGTCAGCGTTGGCCTTCTGACGATGCACGGCGCGCTGAAGGTGAACATGGCCCACGTCTCCTCCGAGCGCCGAAACCAGTCAGCGACCGCAGGTGCCTCGGTCTGGCTCTGGTGCCACGGTGCCAGAACCGGTTTGAAACCTAAAACACATTGAAATGGTGTTAGGTTAGTAGAGGAGTGGCGGAGAGAGTTCTGGGCATATTCTGCCCATGGCAAGAACACGACCACTCCCCCGGCTGGTCCTGGCAGTAGGACCGCAGGAACCTACCCACATCCTGATTTACTCGTTCCACCTGCCCATTTGACTCGGGGTGGAACCCGGAGGTCAGGCTGACTGTGACCCCCAGACGTTTCATGAACGCCTTCCAAACCTTGGACGTGAACTGGGGACCTCGGTCGGACACTATATCCTCTGGCACCCCGTAGTGCCGGAAGACGTGAGTGAACAGGGCCTCCGCAGTCTGCAGGGCCGTGGGGAGACCGGGCAGAGGAAGGAGGCGGCAGGACATGGAGAAGCAGTCCACAACGACCAGGATGGTGGTGTTACCTTGGGAGAGGGGAAGATCAATCAGAAAATCAATGCTAAGGTGAGACCATGGTCATTTAGCTTACCCGCTGGGAGGTGCCTAGGTGCCTTACTCTGAGCGCACACCCTCACATCCTTAGACAAGGTAGGCCACCAGTACTTTCCGCTCAAGCAGCGCACTGTACGACCAATACCTGGGTGTCCAGAGGAGGGTGACGTATGTGCCCAGAAGATCAGACGATCACGAATAAGAGCAGGCACGTACCGCAGCCCAGCTGGACACTGCGGTGGAGATGGATCGGTGCGTAATGCCCGCTCTATATCCGCGTCCATCGCCCATACTACCGGCGACAATGCAGGAGGCCGGGAGTACGGGGGTGTTGTCTCTGGGCCTCTCCTCTGTGTCATACAGCCGGGACAGTGCGTCTGCCTTCACGTTCTTCGTACCCAGAATGTATGATAGTGTAAAATCAAACCGCTGCCCGGATGTACTCCAGGTTACGGTGGTCCGTCCAGACGAGGAATGGGTGTTTCGCTCCTTCGAGCCAATGCCTCCACATGGCCAACGTCGTAGTTCTGCTCCGCCGGGCTGAGCTTCTTCGAGAAGAAGGCACAGGGGCGGAGCTTGTGTGGTGTGCCCGAGCGTTGGCACAGGGCAGCGCCTATCCCTACCTCGGACGCATCCATCTCCACTACAAACGGTAGTGATGGATCGGGGTGGACCAGTACAGGAGCTGAGGTGAACAGACCCCGCAGTCTCCTGAAGGCCAGATCCGCCTCAGCAGACCAGCGGAGCCGGGATGGCCCACCCTTCAACAGGGATGTGATGGGAGCTGCAACCTTGCCAAAGCGCCAGATAAACCTTCGGTAGGAGTTGGCAAAGCCAAGGAATCGCTGCACCTCCTTAACCGTGGTTGGAGTCGGCCAATTACGCACGGCTGAAATGCGATCTCCCTCCATCTCCACACCTGAGGTGGTAATGCGGTATCCGAGGAAGGAGACGGACTGCTGTAAAAATGTACACTTCTCTGCCTTGGCATAAAGGTCATTTTCCAACAGTCTGGCCAGCACTTTGCGAACCAGGGACACATGCTCGGCGCGAGAAGCAGAATACACCAGGATGTCATCGATGTAGACCACTACACCGTGACCAAGCATGTCCCGAAACACCTCGTTCACAAAGGACTGGGAGATGGATGGAGCATTCATCAAACCGTAGGGGATCACCAGGTATTCATAATGCCCCGTGGTTGTGCTGAAGGCCGTCTTCCACTCATCCCCCTCCTGAACACGCACCAGGTTGTACGCACTCCTGAGATCTAGCTTTGTGAAGAAGCGCGCCCCATGCATTGACTCGATCACTGTAGGAATGAGGGGGAGAGGATAACTAAATCTAATTGTCTCCTTGTTCAGTGATCGATAATCAATGCACGGGCGCAGACCGCCGTCTTTCTTCTTCACAAAGAAGAAACTTGAGGAGGCGGGTGAAGTGGAGGGACGTATGTACCCCTGGCCCAGGGACTCGGAGACGTATGTTCCCATGGCCTCCATTTCAGCCTGCGACGAGGGTACACATGACTCCTGGGAGGTACAGCGTCTACCCGAAGGTCTATCGTGCAATCCCCCGCCCGATGAGTTGGTAATTTAGTAGCACAAATTGAGGTATTCGGGGGGGATGCGCACGGTGGAGGTACCGTCTGGACTTTCCACCGTGGTTGCACCAACGGAAACATCTAGACACCTACCCTGACATTCACGCGACCACCCCGTGAGAGCCCTCTGCGGCCATGAGAAGGTGGGGTTGTGGAGTGCTAGCCAAGGGATACCTAATACAACAGGGAAAGCAGGAGATTCAATAATCGAAAAAATAACCTGCTCACAATGAGTCTCATGGGTGATCATGGTGACCGGTATAGTGACTTCCGTAACAAACCCGGACTCTAATGGTCGACTATCAAGTGCTCTGATGGGGAGTGGAATGGAGAGGGGAACCAATGAAATGCCTTGACGGCGTACGAATGCCCTGTCCATAAAGTTCCCAGCTGCGCCGGAATCGTCTAGTGCCTTACACTGGGGAACTACCATGTGATCGGGAAAGTGGATAGGTAGGGTACAGTGCGCAACAGAGGGCTCTGAACAAGTGTGGGTGTTCGATACCTGGGGTGATGCGTGAGTGCCCTGCCTGCCGCCTCCCGGCCCAAAAGAACGTTGACTACGACGCGTGGTGTACTGTCCCTTCGTGCCACCAGAGTGGCACTGTCGCTGTCCTCCTCCGCTCTCTCGGCCGGCGGCTCCACCCAGCTCCATCGGCTCGGGCTCCGAGTCGTCCGGGGTGGAAACGGGCATACCCCTACCAGGACGTCCTCCGGCTGCCAGCAGGTTGTCCAAACGAATGGCCATGTCCACTAGTTTATCGAAGGACAACATGGTGTCCCAGCAGGCTAGCTCCCGTCGGACGTCCTCCCGCAGATGGCACCGGAAATGGTCGATCAGGGCCCGCTCGTTCCACCCGGACCCCGCTGCCAGCATACGAAACTCCAATGCGAAGTCCTGCGCGGTCCTCGTCCCCTGCCTCAGGTGGACCAGCCGCTCACCCGCCTCTCGACCCTCGGGCGGGTGATCGAAGACCGCCCGAAAGAGGCGAGCGAACTCCCTGTAGTCCTCCAACGCGGCTCCTCCCTCATTCCACACCGCGTTGGCCCATTCCAGGGCTTTCCCACAGAGGCAGGAAACGAGGATGGACACCTTCTCCCGCTCCAATGGCGCCGGTCTGATGCTGGCGAAGTAAAGCTCCAATTGGAGGAGGAATCCCTGGCACAGGGCCGCCGTCCCTCCGGGTGCTGGGGTGTAGATGGCTGGATCCGGTTGGCCAACTGGTCTCGACGGATCAGGTCCTCTCCTCTCCAGGCGTTGGACGACCTGAAGAACCCAATCCATCGCTTCCCCCAAGCTGGCCAGCATCGTGGAATGCTCCTGGACCCATGCCACGACTCCAGGCATGCGCTCTTCTCCCGCTGACTCCATAGCGAGTGGGTGATTCTGGGGTGAGTGTGGTGAAAGGAGTCAGGCGCAGGAGGGTAATCACCGAATACAGAGTTTATTCCTTTGTTGACACACAAATGCGTTCCAATAGCAATCAACGAAACAGGCACAGGGGAAACAAACATCCCTGGCAATTACACTGTAACGGAATCCAATAATACATAGGCACAGGGGGAAAATCTACCCTGGCAACACAATGTTATGAGTAGCTCCACCGAGCTACATTACTCTCACAATTAACAATCACCCACAAGGACAAGGGGGCAGAGGGAACACTTATACACAGACTAATTAGGGGATAGGAACCAGGTGTGTGTGATTGACACACCCAGGTTCATGAAGTGGGGCACACTGACACACCCAGGTTCATGAAGAGAGAAACAATTGTATATCCAAGCAATTTCCATACATTTTGTCCTATCTTAGTTATTAGTTCTCCATTTTGAGATGCTACCTGTTAGTTTTGTAATGCCCCCCTAGTTACCCTTACCTGACAACAGTGTGGTATAATTCACTGTTCACAAACACCACCATCTCAAAAGCCATGGTGATGCACAACCGGCCTATGCAGGCCACAACTGTCTTGACCCATTAACCAGAAGTAAACTGTTAGAGAGAGACATTACTGTGTACCGTATGCACTCTGCACATTAAATAAGATGGGGTACTGTATTAAATCAAATCAAATTTTATTGGTCACATGCGCCGAATACAACAGGTGTAGACTATACAGTGAAATGCTTACTTACGAGCCCATTCCCAACAGTGCAGAGTTAAAAAGTAAGACAAATATTTGCTAAATAAAAAGGAAATAGTAACACAATAAAAATTATAACGAGGCCAAATACAAGGAGTACCAGTACCGAGTCGATGTGCAGGGGTATGAGGTAATTGAGGTAATACAGTATGTACAGTTGAATTCTGAAGTTTACATACACCTTAGCCAAATACAGTGGGGAAAAAAGTATTTAGTCAGCCACCAATTGTGCAAGTTCTCCCACTTAAAAAGATGAGAGAGGCCTGTAATTTTCATCATAGGTACACGTCAACTATGACAGACAAATTGAGAAAATAAAATCCAGAAAATCACATTGTAGGATTTTTTATGAATTTATTTGCAAATTATGGTGGAAAATAAGTATTTGGTCACCTACAAACAAGCAAGATTTCTGGCTCTCACAGACGTGTAACTTCTTCTTTAAGAGGCTACTCTGTCCTCCACTCGTTACCTGTATTAATGGCACCTGTTTGAACTTGTTATCAGTATAAAAGACACCTGTCCACAACCTCAAACAGTCACACTCCAAACTCCACTATGGCCAAGACCAAAGAGCTGTCAAAGGACACCAGAAACAAAATTGTAGACTGCACCAGGCTGGGAAGACTGAATCTGCAATAGGTAAGCAGCTTGGTTTGAAGAAATCAACTGTGGGAGCAATTATTAGGAAATGGAAGACATACAAGACCACTGATAATCTCCCTCGATCTGGGGCTCCACGCAAGATCTCACCCCGTGGGGTCAAAATGATCACAAGAACGGTGAGCAAAAATCCCAGAACCACACGGGGGGACCTAGTGAATGACCTGCAGAGAGCTGGGACCAAAGTAACAAAGCCTACCATCAGTAACACACTACGCCGCCAGGGACTCAAATCCTGCAGTGCCAGATGTGTCCCCCTGCTTAAACCAGTACATGTCCAGGCCCGTCTGAAGTTTTCTAGAGTGCATTTGGATGATCCAGAAGAGGATTGGGAGAATGTCATATGGTCAGATGAAACCAAAATATAACTTTTTGGTAAAAACTCAACTCGTCGTGTTTGGAGGACAAAGAATGCTGAGTTGCATCCAAAGAACACCATGCCTACTGTGAAGCATGGGGGTGGAAACATCATGCTTTGGGGCTGTTTTTCTGCAAAGGGACCAGGACGACTGATCCGTGTAAAGGAAAGAATGAATGGGGCCATGTATCGTGAGATCAGCAAGGGTATTGAAGTTGAAACGTGGCTGGGTCTTTCAGCATGACAATGATCCCAAACACACCGCCCGGGCAACGAAGGAGTGGCTTCGTAAGAAGCATTTCATGGTCCTGGAGTGGTCTAGCCAGTCTCCAGATCTCAACCCCATAGAAAATCTTTGGAGGGAGTTGAAAGTCTGTGTTGCCCAGCGACAGCCCCAAAACATCACTGCTCTAGAGGAGATCTGCATGGAGGAATGGGCCAAAATACCAGCAACAGTGTGTGAAAACCTTGTGAAGACTTACAGAAAACGTTTGACCAACAAAGTATGAGAAACTTTTGTTATTGACCAAATACTTATTTTCCACCATAATTTGCAAATTAATTAATTAAAAATCCTACAATGTGATTTTCTGGATTTTCTTTTCTCATTTTGTCTGTCATAGTTGACGTGTACCTATGATGAAAATTACAGGCCTCTCTCATCTTTTTAAGTGGGAGAACTTGCACAATTGGTGGCTGACTAAATATTTTTTTTCCCCACTGTACATTTCAACTCAATTTTCCACAATTCCTGACATTTAATCCTAGTAAAAAATTCCCTTTCTTAGGTCAGTTAGGATCACCACTTTATTTTAAGAATGTGAAATGTCAGAATAATAGAAGAGAGTGATTTATTTCAGCTTTTATTCCTTTCATCACATTCCCAGTGGGTTAGAAGTTTACATACACTCAATTAGTATTTGGTAGCATTGCCTTTAAATTGTTTAACTTGGGTCAAACGTTTTGGGTAGCCTTAAACAAACTTCCCACAATAAGTTGGGTGAATTTTGGCCCATTCCTCCTGACAGGGCTGGTGTAACTGAGTCAGGTTTGTAGGCCTTGCTTGCACACGCTTTTTCAGTTCTGCCCACAAATGTTCTATAAGATTGAAGTCAGGGAGTTGTGATGGCCACTGCAATACCTTGACTTTGTTATCCTTAAGCCATTTTGCCACAACTTTGGAAGTATGCTTGGGGTCATTGTCCATTTGGAAGACCCATTTGCGACCAAGCTTTAACTTCCTGACTGATTACTTGAGATGTTGCTTCAATATATCCACATAACTTTCCTTCCTCATGATGCCATCTATTTTGTGAAGTGCACCAGTCCCTCCTGCAGCAAAGCACCCCCACAGCATGATGCTGCCAGCCCCGTTCTTCACGGTTGGGATGGTGTTCTTCGGCTTGCAAGCCGTCCCCTTTTTCCTCCAAACATAACGATGGTCATTGTGGCCAAACAGTTCTATTTTTGTTTCATCAGACCAGAGGACATTTCTCCAAAAAGTCAGATCTTTGTCCCCATGTGCAGTTGCAAACCGTAGTCTGGCTTTTTTATGGCGGTTTTGGAGCAGTGGCTTCTTCCTTGCTGAGCGGCCTTTCAGGTTATGTCGATATAGGACTAGTTTTACTGTGGATATAGATACATTTGTACCTGTTTCCTCCAGCATCTTCACAAGGTCCTTTGCTGTTGTTCTGGGATTGATTTGCACTTTTCGCACCAAAGTACGTTCATCTCTAGGAGACAGAACGCGTCTCCTTCCTGAGCGGTATGACAGCTGCGTGGTCCCATGGTGTTTATACTTGCTTACTATTGTTTGTACAGATGAACGTGGTACCTTCAGGCGTTTAGAAATTGCTCCCAAGGATGAACCAGACTTGTGGAGGTCTACCATTTTTTTTCTGAGGTCTTGGCTGATTTCTTTTGATTTTCCGATGATGTCAAGCAAAGAGGCACTGAGTTTGAAGGTAGGCCTTGAAATACATCCACAGGTACACCTCCAATGGACTCAAATGATGTCAATTAGCCTATCAGAAGCTTCTAAAGCGATGACATAATTTTCTGGAATTTTCCAAGCTGTTTAAAGGCACAGTCAACTTAGTGTATGTGAACTTCCGACCCACTGGAATTGTGATACAGTGAATTATAAGTGAAATAATCTGTATGTAAACAATTGTTGGGAAAATTACTTGTGTCATGCACAAAGTAGATGTCCTAACAGACTTGCCAAAATGATAGTTTGTTAACAAGAAATTTGTGGAGTGGTTGAAAAACAAGTTTTAATGACTCTAACCTAAGTGTATGTAAACTTCTGACTTCAACTGTACATGTGGGTAGGGGTAAAAGTGACTAGGCAGAGAGAACAGTCTATTCATTTATTTTATTTGATTTCACCTTTATTTAACCAGGTAAGCCAGTTGAGAACAAGTTCTCATTTACAACTGCGACCTGGCCAAGATAAAGCAAAGCAGTGCAGTAAAAATAACAACACAGAGTTACATATGGAATAAACAAAACGTACAGTCAATAACACAATAGAAAATCTATATACAGTGGGGTGAAAAAGTATTTAGTCAGCCACCAATTGTGCAAGTTCTCCCACTTAAAAAGATGAGAGAGGCCTGTAATTTTCATCATAGGTACACGTCAACTATGACAGACAAAATGAGAAAAAAAATCCTGAAAATCACATTGTAGGATTTTTAATGAATTTATTAGCAAATTATGGTGGAAAATAAGTATTGGTCACCTACAAACAAGCAAGATTTCTGGCTCTCACAGACCTGTAACTTCTTCTTGAAGAGGCTCCTCTGTCCTCCACTCGTTACCTGTATTAATGGCACCTGTTTGAACTTGTTATCAGTATAAAAGACACCTGTCCACAACCTCAAACAGTCACACTCCAAACTCCACTATGGCCAAGACCAAAGAGCTGTCAAAGGACACCAGAAACAAAATTGTAGACCTGCACCAGGCTGGGAAGACTGAATCTGCAATAGGTAAGCAGCTTGGTTTGAAGAAATCAACTGTGGGAGCAATTATTAGGAAATGGAAGACATACAAGACCACTGATAATCTCCCTCGATCTGGGGCTCCACGCAAGATCTCACCCCGTGTGGTCAAAATGATCACAAGAACGGTGAGCAAAAATCCCAGAACCACACGGGGGGACCTAGTGAATGACCTGCAGAGAGCTGGGACCAAAGTAACAAAGCCTACCATCAGTAACACACTACGCCGCCAGGGACTCAAATCCTGCAGTGCCAGACGTGTCCCCCTGCTTAAGCCAGTACATGTCCAGGCCCGTCTGAAGTTTGCTAGAGTGCATTTGGATGATCCAGAAGAGGATTGGGAGAATGTCATATGGTCAGATGAAACCAAAATATAACTTTTTGGTAAAAACTCAACTCGTCGTGTTTGGAGGACAAAGAATGCTGAGTTGCATCCAAAGAACACCATACCTACTGTGAAGCATGGGGGTGGAAACATCATGCTTTGGGGCTGTTTTTCTGCAACGGGACCAGGACGACTGATCTGTGTAAAGGAAAGAATGAATGGGGCCATGTATCGTGAGATTTTGAGTGAAAACCTCATTCCATCAGCAAGGGCATTGAAGATGCGAGGGCATGTTTAGCAGCATGAGTGAAGGAGGCTTTGTTGCGAAATAGGAAGCCGATTCTAGATTTAACTTTGGATTGGAGATGCTTAATGTGAGTTTGGAAGGAGAGTTTACGGTCTAACCAGACACCTAGGTATTTGTAGTTGTCCACATATTCTTAGTCAGACCCGCCGAGAGTAGTGATTCTAGTCGGGCAGGCGGATGTAAGTAGCGTTCGATTGAAGAGCATGCATTTAGTTTTACTAGCGTTTAAGAGCAGTTGGAGGCCACGGAAGGAGTGTTGTATGGCATTGAAGCTTGTTTGGAGGTTTGTTAACACAGTGTCCAATGAAGGGCCAGATATATACAAAATGGTGTCGTCTGCGTAGAGGTGGATCTGAGAGTCACCAGCAGCAAGAGCGACATCATTGATGTACACAGAATTGAACCCTGTGGCACCCCCATAGAGACTGCCAGAGGTCCAGACAACAGGCACTCCGATTTGACACATTGAACTCTATCTGAGAAGTAGTTGGTGAACCAGGCGAGGCAGTCATTTGAGAAACCAAGGCTATTTCGTCTGCCAATAAGAATGCGGTGATTGACAGAGTCAAAAGCCTTGGCCAGGTCAATAGTACTGTACTGTCTTTTATCGATCGCGGTTATTATATCGTTTAGGACCTTGAGCATGGCTGAGGTACACCCATGACCAGCTCGGGAACCAGATTGCATAGCGGAGAAGGTACGGTGGGATTCAAAATGGTCGGTGATCTGTTTGTTAACTTGGCTTAACTTGGCTTTCAAATACTTTCGAAAGGCAGGGCAGGATGGATATAGGTCTGTAACAGTTTGGATCTAGAGTGTCACCCCCCTGGGGATGACCGCGGCAGCTTTCCAATCTCTGGGGATCTCAGACGATACGAAAGAGAGGTTGAACAGGCTGGTAATAGGGGTTGCGACAATTTCGGCTGCTAATTTTAGAAAGAAAGGGTCCAGATTGTCTAGCCCAGCTAATTTGTAGGGGTCCAGATTTTGCAGCTCTTTCAGAACATCAGCTATCTGAATTTGGTTGAAGGAGAAGCGGTGGGGCATGGGCAAGTTGCAGCGGAGGGTGCAAAGCTGGTGGCCGGGGTAGGGGTAGCCAGGTGGAAAGCATGGCCAGCCGTAGTAAAATGCTTGTTGAAATGTTTGATTATCGTAGATTTATCGGTAGTGACAGTGTTTCCTAGCCTCAGTGCAGTGGGCAGCATGGACTTTACAGTGTCCCAAAACGTTTTGGAGTTAGTGCTACAAGATGCACATTTCTGTTTGAAAAAGTTAGCCTTTGCTTTCCAAACTGATTGTCTATATTGGTTCCTGACTTCCCTGAAAAGTTGCATATCGCGGGGGCTGTTCGATGCTAATGCAGTACGCCACAGGATGTTTCTGTGCTGGTCAAGGGCAGTCAAGTCTGGAGTGAACCAGGGGCTATATCTATTCTTAGTTCTGAATTTTTTGAATGGGGCATGCTTATTTAAGATGGAGAGGAAAGCACTTTTGAAGAACATCCAGGCATCCTCTACTGATGGAATGAGGTCAATATCCATCCAGGATACCCGGATCAGGTCAATTAGAAAGGCCTGCTCGCTGAAGTGTTTTAGGGAGCGTTTGACAGTGATGAGGGGTGGTTGTTTGACCACGGACCCATTACGGACGCAGGCAACGAGGCAGTGATTGCTGAGATCCTGGTTGAAGACAGCGGAGGTGTCTTAAGAGGTAAATTAGTCAGGATGATATCTATGAGGGTGCCCATGTTAACGGATTTAGTTTTGTACCTGGTAGGTTCGTTGATAATCTGTGTGAGATTGAGGGCATCTAGTTTAGATTGCAGGATGGCCGGGGTGTTAAGCATATCCCAGTTTAGGTCACCAAGCAATACGAACTCTGAGGATAGATGGGGGGCAATCAATTCACATATGGTGTTCAGGGCACAGCTGGGGGCTGAGGGGGGTCTGTAGCAAGCGGCAACAGTGAGAGACTTATTTCTGGAAAGGTGGATTTTTAGAAGTAGAAGCTCAAACTGTTTGGGCACAGACCTGGATAGTATGATAGAGCTCTGCCGGCTATCTCTACAGTAGATTGCAACTCCGCCCCCTTTGGCAGTTCTATCTAGACGGAAAATGTTGTAGTTGCGAATGGAAATGTCAGAATCTTTGGTGGCCTTCCTAAGCCAGGATTCAGACACTGCTAGAACATCAGGGTTGGCGGAGTGTGCTAACGCAGTGAATAACTCAAACTTAGGGAGGAGGATTCTGATGTTAACATGCAAGAAACCAAGGCTTTTGCGGTTACAGAAGTCAACAAATAATAGCGCCTGGGGAGCAGGAGTGATACTGGGGGCTACAGGGCCTTGGTTAACCTCTACATCACCAGAGGAACAGAGGAGGAGTAGAGTAAGGATACGGCTACAGGCTTTAAGAACTGGTCTTCAAGTGCGTTGGGTACAGAGAAAGAATGGGGCAGATTTCCGGGCGTTGTAGAATAGATTCAGGGCATTATGTACAGGCAAGGATATGGAAGGATATGAGTACAGTGGAGGTAAACCTAAGGATTGGGTAAAGATGAAAGAGATAGCATCACTGGAGGCACCGATTGAGCCGGTCTCCGTGTGTGTGGGGGGTGGGACAAAGGATCTATCTGAGACAGGTTGAGCAGGACTGGGGGCTCTACATTGAAAGTACAGTTAGAACTAACCAAAACAGCAATAGGCAAGGCATATTGACATGGGAGAGAGGCATAAAGCAGTCACAGGTGTTATTCGAGAGAGCTAAGACAACAGCTGGTAATGGCGACGAAAGTTTGAGCTGAGGCTAAACAGATAAACAGGATGGGGTACCGTATAAAGGAACAGTCCAGCAGGCATCAACTGTGTAGCTGAGTGATCATAAGGTCCAGTGAACAGCAATAAGTAAGTCCGGGAGCAGTTCAGTGGCTGCTACGCTACAGGCGAGCTGGAGGCACGGCTGTTGATTGCGTGTGCTAGCGGGCCGGGGCTAGCAGATTGATCTTTGTGGTCGTTGCAACGGGAAGCCTGTTGAAACCACATCAGACGATTACGTCAGCATCAGACGATTACTATGACTTGCGTGGCTGTGGTCTTTGACCATTTTTAGGTCCTTCCTCTGACACCGCCTGGTATAGAGGTCCTGGTTTGCAGGGAGTTCGGCCCCAGTGATGTACTGGGCCGTACGCACTACCCTCTGTAGCGCCTGGCGGTCGGATGCCGAGCAGTTGCCATACCAAGCAGTGATGCAGCCAGTCAAGATGCTCTCAATGGTGCAGCTGAATAACTGTTTGAGGATCTAAGGGCCCGTGCCAAATCTTTTCAGCCTCCTGAGTGGGAAGAGGCGTTGTCGTGCCCTCATTCTGGGATGATGGTGTTGATGTGAGCCATGACCAGCCTTTCAAAGCGTTTCATGGCTACAAATATGAGTGTTTCGGGGCGGTAGCCATTTTATAATCAGGTTCGCTCTCAGATTTTGCACACTTACTATCTGGGATCATAGCTGTGATGAAGCAGGATGCTCAACATGAGGTTTTTAGAAGCATGCAGTAAAGTAGTATGGCACAGGGAAGGCCATCTGTAGCCAGTGCCAGTCAGTGATGAGGTAGGCAATGAGGGTCAGGATGAGAAAGCCCACACTGAAGATCTGTAAAAGCACACCCACCATCCTCCTCTACTCAACTCCCACCAGCTCAGTGACTGAGGAGACAGGAAAGATACATACTGTATAATAAAGCAAGTAACTTTAATCAAGCAAGAGTTATTACTGAAACACTGTAATTTAACCATCCTCCTCAGTTGAATGTTGTATAGGAAATAAAATATAAGTTCATATTTGCTAAAACATATAGACTAATTTGCTGCTAATCCTTTATCAAAATCATATACTCCGTAGTTAATCTATTAACTTTTATAACATAAAAAAAGGTATGCCATTTAGCAGACACTTTTATCCAAAGTGGTCTAAGGCACTGCATTGCAGTGCTAGCTGTGCCACTAGAGATCCTGGTTCGAATCCAGGCTCTGTCGTAGCCGGCCGCGACCGGGAGACCCATGGGGCGGCGCACAATTGGCCCAGCGTCGTCCAGGGTAGGGGAGGGGAGGGGAGGGAATGGCCGGCAGGGATGTAGCTCAGTTGGTAGAGCATGGCGTTTGCAACGCCAGGGTTGTGGGTTCGATTCCCACGGGGGGCCAGTATGAAAAATAAAAAAAATAATGTATGCACTCACTAACTGTAAGTCGCTCTGGATAAGAGCGTCTGCTAAATGACGTAAATGTAAATGTAAATGTAATGTCATGCTTGCATACATTAACTTTTGTGGGACAAATTGGGTTTTTCATACTAAGTACATATCCAGACATCCAGCGTCTTTTGACAGCAACGCCAAATATTGTGCAAAATACTGTGGTGTCGAGACAACGATGCTGATATGCTGTGATGACAAGAAATCCGCTGACACTGTCCTTGATTATAATGGTTTATTACATCAAAGATTACAGTATCAATTTACAGATTCCTGCAGACATCTGGAGAACAACTGACCCAATCTCTAATATGTTATTCTCTCCGTCCTTTGTTCAAAAACATGGTATTTATATCCTATGTAACATAATATGGGTGGTTTTAGATAGACCAATAGTTCAGATACTACATATTTCTCCCCTTCGAGACTAATTAAGTCTCGAAAACAAAAATAATAGGATTATGACAAATATTGTGTAACTTTAACAATAAAACAAAATTTATGTAGTGTGAACAAATTTTTATGAAGTGTAAACAAATCGTTATGGAGTGTAAGAGCGAAAAACCTGTCTGGCAGCTTTCTTTCCAAATATCCATCAATCAATCAAGACAGTAAAATTCTCTCACGGCCCCTCTGCCCCAGGCGACCACCTAAGTACTACAGATCAATTTATAAATCTTTATCAATGCATTTTAAACTATGATGCAATTGAATACACATGAAAGCCTCAGAAAACAAAGTACAATCAAACTTGTCCACATTCAGGCTGGTCGACCCATCGGACCCTCCTGTGGATTCTCTCTGTCCCTGCCTAGACCCAATATCCTTAAGCATCCACGAAAAAAACAAAAACATCTGAGGTCCCCACATGTACCCAACAACAGAAAACATCATTCTTCAAAAATTAATACAGAAAGAATATGACACAAATTATTTATTACACATACAAATATGTCTATATATCATTGCAGACACTGGAATGTAGTCTACTACACTGCATCTCCTCAGCAGTGTCGACTTTTAATGCAACGTCGATGATGGAATCTGAACATTTCCACACCTTCCTTGTTCCACTTCCTCCAGTCCATTCATATTGTCCATGTTTGAGTATTTGAATCCCACTCTACACATTCCCCCATATGCTTCTGGAAGAAAAGAAAACACCAACCAGTATCTTTTGCAAAACAACACATGCTAATTAAAACATCAATATCAACAATAATAGAAAAATGATATGTAAAATGAATCACATTCCATTTCCCCCCTTTGATTCATAAGAAAATACTAAATATCACAATAATATGTAAAGACGTGAAAAATGATTGGATATTCAAAATTTCCTAGAGTTATTTCAACCCTAGTTTTCCTAACATTTTTGGTCTGACTTTTTCCCCCAATTTTTTCAAAAACCATTTCCCTGATTTATCCACAAAACTCTCTCCCACTAATTTGAGGATATATGATCGGGAAGTCCCCACCTGCTTATGACTTCTTTACACAAGAACTTTCCAACCGACTGAGCATCTTTTAGCTTAGTTGTACATCTTATGCACCTCTTGGTGTAGGAATGTAACCAAGAAAAACAGTCACACCCCTGCGAACATTATTTTTCAGACAGATTGTGCACCTGCCTATGACATAGTCAACCTGTTCAAGCAAATATGGTGCCCAAAAACCATACTCCTTTGTGATCTTTCTCCTAACCTCCCCCCTTGCAACATTAGCTAACCCATGTGCTTCCTAAATCATCAGACCTAATAGGTCTAGAGGCGCTACTATCAACCCCTCATGGTTTCTCCAAAGACAACAAAGGATTGTTACTCTGAAGATTTTTTGTTGTCCTTAAAACACCTGCTTTCGAAAGTCCTTCAATTTGTGGTTCAATCCCTTGGATTGCTTAATCTTTCAATGGATACTGATTCTTCCAAGGAGGTCTGGCTCCTGGTCGAAGTTCAACTTTCACCTCAATTGTTGGATCTTTTTCCAGTCCTGATGCTACCAACTGACACCCCCCTTTCGGATCTTCTGGGCACCTCTAGAATCCTTGCTCCGGGCCCCTATAAGGGTTCACCGGTCCTCCAGATGATCTTGACTGGCCCCTGTATCTTCCTCTGAAATTCCCTCTGGTGTTTCCTCCTGGCCCATTACACTCACGGGCAAAGTGACCAACCTGTCCACAATTATAACACACTTCTGAAGATTGCTGGAAGTATGGCTTAAATATTCCTCCTCTTCCTCTTCCTAAGCCTTCTCGTCCTCTTCCTCTCCAATTCTGTGTCTGTCCAGAAACTGGCTGTGGATATGAAACAACTGGTACCGCTATTGGTGGCTGGTACAATTGCGGTTGGAACTGGTTCGATTGAAGCTGTGGCAGTGATTGTTGATTTGGTGCACGCTGATTCTGCATGACCAAAGCTTGTTTCTTCTCCTTCTTATTCTCCACCAGTTGTATTTGATTGAGTTTTCTGAGAGTTTCTTGGTCCTGTTCTTTCTGGTTGTGTTCCTTTTTCCGGTACAGATCCACTTGATGGGCTATATGATCTGTATAGACACCTTTTGTCATGCTTCCAAGTCCAACCACCTCTGCCAGTTTGCTCCTTACTGGTGAGGGCAGTCCCATCTGCAGTTTAGCTCTCAAAATTGACTGCTCAATTTGACTCACATCTGGATCATTTCCGGTAATATTTCTCCACACTTGATGAACTCTTGACACATAGGCTCTCGGATTTTCTTGTTGTCCTAGTGGGTCAATCAGAATGTTGTCAGGATGCACATTTGTTGGAAACGTATCTTTCAGTGCTCTCCACAGCCGATTTCTACTTGCAGCCAACAATTCAGGATCATTCACCGCAGTCCCCACATATCGATGAAGTCCAGCTCTCTGAAAAATGTCTTCCATACCTGGAATCCCAAGGAGATTAGCCAAAAGTCTCTTAATGTCTCCCATGGCAGACTGTGTTCCCACCGTAATTTCTTCCAATTTTGAAATCCAAGGATATGCTCCATCTTGAAGAGTAGGCAGCTTCTCAAGTATATCTGACATATCGGTATTCTGCAAAGGCTTATACTCCAGGTTCTGTCCTCGAATTATCACTGGCATCATCTTCTTACTTGTGCTCCCTTGTCTTGGCCTCAATGTATACCTCTTCTCCAATTCTTGGGATCCTTTTTTCAGCAGTTTTTTCTTCTGTATCTTCAGCTTCTTGAGTTGTTCTTCCGGTTCTCTTACTTCTTCTAAATTATTGGCCTTATCCAGGCATGATATGCATCGGTCTATATCTCTTTCTATTTCTTCTGTGCTAGTCATTGTAGGATAAAATCCTCTTGAATATGAAGCACCTTTAATCTCCAAATCTTTATCGCTGTCTTCATCTTCACTTTCATCAGAACTCGAATCTCTTGTATTCTTCTCCTTCCAACTTCCATCACCCCTTCTTTCCGCTCTGGCCAACCTCCGTCTGATCACAGGGTCATATCTACCCATGATCTCTTCTGAATCACTCTGATCATCATCATCATCATCTTCAAGTTCCATCCTCCTGAACCTCACTCCACCCTTAGTATCCAGACATCTCGTTTTCTTCTTACTTTTGGAGTTTGGATTCATCTTTATGGTTGTTTCTGCTTGTCTTCTCTCTATTATTCGTTCATCTTCATCTCTGATGCAATAATCACCCTCCTGAATGATCACTGGAAGCTGAGGATAGACGTCCTTAAACTCTACTTCTTCCTCGTAAGGTGGGGGTCTTTTTGCTGAATCCGTATGTGAGAAAGGTGTATTGACTTCTGCCATTAGTTTTTCTGTCACCTTCACCTCTTTTGCCATTTTCTCTATACCTCTGTCTCTTTTATCTTTTGTATCTTTTATCAGTTTTTGTCCTTCATTTTCAAACAGCTTAAGAACACCCAGCTCTCTTTGTCTCTTTTCTGTATGTCGTTCCCCTTTTTTCCCCTTCTTTTGATCTGCCTTATATGTGGCCACAAGCACTTTCATTATCTTGATGACGTCTGGGTTAAGAGTCCCTTCCACTGGCCATGGTTGTTCAATGTCAGGCCAACGTTTATTCCATTTTCCAGATAACCTTGCAATACCATTAACTAGACGATTACTATTTTGTACTATACTACATCAACAGGAGTAATTACTTTCGTAGTTTTGATGTCCTTTTTCCCCATTGTAACAACTATTTTATATTCCTTTATTGTGACTTATTTTATTATTATTATTATTTTAAACCAATTAATTTGTAAACCAAAAATACTTTAGACTATGTAGCTTATGTTTCCCTCCTTTTATTTTTTAATTTTTTAAAAAGTAATTAATTAATTAATCAATTAATTAATTTATCAATATATCTATTTATTTTTATTATTTTATTTTATTTTACCAAATTATTGATTAGTGGCAATCTTACCACATCCGATCAGGAAAGTAAAGGAAAGTAGTCAACTTCAGAGCAATCCAAAAAAGAAAGACCTGTAATCCAGCAACACTACAGCACTCACAAACCAATTGCTTAATAAGCACCCAATTACCTTAATTTTACAGAATAATGTCAGTGCTGGATTTCCAACACAACTCTAATCAAACCAATCCATGCACAAAAAACTCCAATGTGCAATTCTTAATTACATCAATTGATCAGTCTGTTGCCAAGTCCCTGTTCAATTGTCACAACATGAAATATGCTAGGCACACACAATATCCTGTATGGGAAAGTAAGTTTGTGAACAGAACAGTACTGGCCTTGATTGGACTGGATCCGCGGCAGCACACACTGTTGCGTGACGCACTGGTCAGCACCTCCTCTCTCTCTCTGTCTCCTCCTTCTCGTCTCTCACATGACAGGAGAACAAAGGAAACAGACAACAATTTAGTATTTTATGCATACCTATGTTCACATTCGCGCTAAGAAATAAGCAAACAGCTTAACTCAGGAATATTATAAATAACGCAATAACATTTTTTTTTAAATCCGTCAACATATCTCTCATTTATAAATTCATTAGATCTCAATCAAATAGTTTCATAGTTAAGCAACAGCCACATCAAACAGAATACTTTATCTGTGTGTATTCAAAATCTTCTTCTCTGTCTGTAGCACTAATTCTGCGTGTCACAGCAGCTCAGTGCAGGCAGGGGAGTGGCATATTTGCTCTACGTAACTCTAAACTCATAAAATCCCACGCATGCGTAGCTCATTCACCAGTGCGATTTCAATGCGAGAGGAGCTCTCCCAAGCAGCTCTCTCCAAGCTAAACAACAGAAAGCAGACAGACAGACCAGCTGTCCCTCCATTATTTCCAACACAGACAAACAGTAACACTTAACAAAACTCACAAACCAACACAGAACATAGAACACAAATCCTACTTCGAAGTGTCTTTACTTTACCACAATTTATTTTCTCTCTCCTCTATCTTCACATCTTTTACTCTAATCTGTAGACTTATTTTCTTATCCATTACATCTAACGTCCTCCCAGGGGCTCATAGTTTTTTAACAATTATTAAACATTCTCTTTTATAGAGACTCATACAAGGTTTTAACCTTAACTAACATATTTCCTTACAAAAAACTAAAACCCCTGTTGTCATAGCCTTAGTCGACACACAGCAGAGACCTCCCCTTTTATACACACGCATAGGCTCTCTTTCTCACACACACACAATTCAACAAGAATGCATCCGTTCATACAATACACTAAGCATGCTACCGTCGCTCCTTATTTCTCATTGTTCCTTCCTAAATTTCTGCTACCTCGAGTTGCAGATATTCAATGAGAGGTTACTTCGAACCCATACCTCGTCAACTATATGTCGAGAGGTAACTTACAATTAAATGTATCTTCCACAAACTCCAGTTCCCAGAACTGACCTTAAAAATCAACCTAGTGAGTTTTCAGGATTTTCGGCCCATCCTAATGATCGCCTCGTTTGAGGGCTTCCTTAAATCAGCGACGTCCTAAAAGTATACTTTTTCCTTATTTCCTGGCCTTATTCCTTCATGCTATCCCTGGACACTCCTTTTAATTTTATTCAAGCCAAATATCCGTGTGCCCAGTGTTAACAATTCCTATAGACACTCCCCCCTGTTTGCGTTGTTCCCAACGCAAACAAATTTAGAAATTTAGAATGGATCCTCATCCCACAGCAAATAACAGCAAAGCGCACACACAAGTTTTTAAACGGTACATCTCCTCAACGCACACACACAGCACACGAACTGACCAGCGCCCAAAATTGTGAGAAATCTCACCTTATCTGCCGGCGTCTTGAGCGGGAGTCACTTCGTAGCTCATGAGTGGAACGCTGAGAAAAGACGCAACACGTCCCAAATCCTCGTCGCCATTCTGTGGTGTCGAGACAACGTTGCTGATATGCTGTGATGACAAGAATACGCTGACACTGTCCTTGATTATAATGGTTTATTACATCAAAGATTACAGTCTCATTTACAGATTCCTGCAGACATCTGGAGAACAACTGACCCAATCTCTAATATGTTATTCTCTCCGTCCTTTGTTCAAAAACATGGTATTTATATCCTATGTAACATAATATGGGTGGTTTTAGATAGACCAATCCCTAGCCTTTACACATCCGAATCTCCTCTGTCTTAGGGGGCCCCTATAGTAATACTTTCCAGATGTTTCCGCAAGCAGAGCCAAGTTCTGGAATGTTCAGATACTACAATACAAGCATGGATATATAGTTTGGAGCCACTGCTACAAGTATTCAAGCAACCCCATTCCAGAGGTTGGACATCAAGAAGCACATTTTTCTGCCGAACCTCCAAAGTAGAAGAAAGAAACAGGATATAAAAACAGAATCTAATATTGAAAACTGCCTTGCCTTGTAGTCATACTCCCATCCTTCCTTGCAGGAGGTCATGGGAGCTTTGCTGCGGTGGGTGTCAGTGAGGTCACAGGTCAGACCCGTAGCGTTCCAGTCCAGGTTGTACTGCTCACACTGGCTGTGGACCAGCACTCCTGAGGTGTTGACCAGCTGGAACGTGATCTTTCTAGTGTCCATCAGGTTCCAGCCACAGCTCTGCCGGATCTGATTCAACCCTGAGTCCCGGCACCAATACTCTGGGGTGAACCCCTAGAACACAATGCCCACAGAGACCCCAGAAAAAGGCAAAGACACAGTACATAGCAGAGCAAAGATGTGCTTTTGGCAACGACCAGAATTCAGTGCCTCCTCCAGAATTTCATCGAAAGTGGTCAGGTTGTTGAGTTGGGTGTCAGAAGCAGAGATACTACAGTCGTGGTCAAAAGTTTTGAGAATGACACAAATATTAATTTTCACAAAGTCTGCTGCCTCAGTTTTTATGATGCCAATTTGCATATACTCCAGAATGTTATGAAGAGTGATCAGATGAATTGCAATTAATTGCAAAGTCCCTCTTTGCCATGAAAATGACCTTAATCCTAAAAAAAAACATGTCCACTGCATTTCAGCCCTGCCACAAAAGGACCAGCTGACATCATGTCAGTGATTCTCTCGTTAACACAGGTGAGAGTGTTGACGAGGACAAGGCTGGAGATCACTCTGTCATGCTGATTGAGTTAGAATAACAGACTGGAAGCTTTAAAAGGAGGGTGGTGCTTGAAATCATTGTTCTTCCTCTGTTAACCATGGTTACCTGCAAGGAAACACGTGCCGTCATCATTGCTTTGCACAAAAAGGGCTTCACAGGCAAGGATATTGCTGCTAGTAAGATTGCACCTAAATCAACCATTTATCGGATCATCAAGAACTTCAAGGAGAGAGGTTCAATTGTTGTGAAGAAGGCTTCAGGGCGCCCAAGAAAGTCCAGCAAGCGCCAAGACCGTCTCCTAAAGTTGATTCAGCTGTGGGATCGGGGCACCATCAGTGCAGAGCTTGCTCAGGAATGGCAGCAGGCAGGTGTGAGTGCATCTGCACGCACAGTGAGGCGAAGACTTTTGGAGGATGGCCTGGTGTCAAGAAGGGCAGCGAGGAAGCCACTTCTCTCCAGGAAAAACATCTGGGACAGACTGATATTCTGCAAAAGGTACAGGGATTGGACTGCTGAGGACTGGGGTAGTCATTTTCTCTGATGAATCCCCTTTCCGATTGTTTGGGGCATCCGGAAAAAAGCTTGTCCGGAGAAGACAAGGTGAGAGCTACTATCAGTCCTGTGTCATGCCAACAGTAAAGCATCCTGAGACCATTCATGTGTGGGGTTGCTTCTCAGCCAAGGGAGTGGGCTCACTCACAATTTTGCCTAAGAACACAGCCATGAATAAAGAATGGTACCAACACATCCTCCGAGAGCAACTTCTCCCAACCATCCAAGAACAGTTTGGTGACGAACAATGCCTTTTCCAGCATGATGGAGCACCTTGCCATAAGGCAAAAGTGATAACTAAGTGGCTCGGGGAACAAAACATCGACATTTTGGGTCCATGGCCAGGAAACTCCCCAGACCTTAATCCCATTGAGAACTTGTGGTCAATCCTCAAGAGGTGGGTGGACAAACAAAAACCCACAAATTCTGACAAACTCCAAGTATTGATTATGCAAGAATGGCCTGCCATCAGTCAGGATGTGGCCCAGAAGTTAATTGACAGCATGCCAGGGCGGATTGCAGAGGTCTTGAAAAAGAAGGGTCAACACTGCAAATATTGACTCTTTACATAAACTTAATGTAATTGTCAATAAAAGCCTTTGACACTTATGGAATGCTTGTAATTATACTTCAGTATACCATAGTAACATCTGACAAAAATATCTAAAAACACTGAAGCAGCAAACTTTGTGAAGACCAATACTTGTGTCATTCTCAAAACGTTTGACCACGACTGTACATGTGAGACTGCAGTGGGATCTGTGCAGGGGTTTTAAAACACAGAGCAGATCAAAAGTCCAATAGAGAGGTTCTTGACCAACGATGGGCTGAATTGCCAACTGAGTCAGCGGGTTACCCTTAAAAGAGCTGGCTGCCATTGTCTGGCTGAAGAGCTAGAGATGGCTGAAGTTATGCAATTCTGTCACACCCTGATCTGTTTCACCTGTCTTGTGCTTGTCTCCACCCCCCAGCAGGTGTCTCCTATTTTTCCCCATTATCCCCTGTGTATTTATTCCTGCGTTTTCTGTTGCCAGTTCGTCTTGTTTTGTTAGGTCTTACCAGCGTGTTTCCCGTTTTCTCCAGTTCTTGTTTTCTAGTCTTACCGGTTCCAACCTTTCTGCCTGCCCTGACCCTGCCTGCCGTTCTGTCCCTTTTTGACTCTGCCTTGGACTACAAACCTCTGACTGCCCTCAACCTGCCCTTTTGCCTGCCCCTTGGTTATAATAAATATTCTGACAACTAAACCATCCTCCTCCTGTGTCTGCATCTGGGTCATATCCTGAGTCGTGATAGTACAAACTGGCCATGACTGACCCAGCAGACTCAGACCAGCTCCACAACGCTGTCTCCCTGCAAGAAGCCACCATTGGAAGACACGAGGAGCTACTTCAAAACCTTATGGAGGGACTCCATACCTTGGAGGAACGCTGTTACCATATGTTCAACTCATTACTGGAGCAAGCCACAACGGAAACCTCCCGGGCGCTCAGTAACCTCGCTACTAGCGATGCTTCTCCCCAGCCTACCCTGGCTTCCCGAGAACCCTGCTTACCTCCTCCGGAGCGCTATGCTGGAGATCCTGGAACCTGCCGGGAGTTTCTCTCCCAGTGTTCACTCATCTTTGAGCTACAGCCCTCTTAGTTTCTTTTGGATTGATCAAAGATAGCGTATCTTATAACACTGATGTCTGGAAGGGCGCTCGGTTAGGCTACAGCGGTGTGGGATCAACAATCCGCCGTTTGCCTTAGTCTGGAGGATTTTGTGGCGGAGGTAAGGAAGGTGTTCAATTCCGCGGTGTCCGGGAGAGAGGCGGTTCGGAAGCTACTTCGTCTGCATCAAGACTCCCGCAGTGTGGCAGACTATGCGGTAGACTTTCGCATGCTGGCCGCCGAGAGTGCCTGGAACCCGGAGTCCCTGTTCGACACCTTCCTTCTTGGATAATCGGAGGAAATCAAAGACGAACTCGCAGCCTGGGAGTTACCCAGGGACCTCGACTCCCTCATAGCCTTGACTATAAGGATCGATGGGCGCCTGCGGGAACACAGGAGGGAGAGGAGTTCTGTTCTCAGCCACACTCGCTCATCCACGGTTTCTCCCTCACCTCCGAAGAACCCGGAAGTTTCATTGCTCCAGAGGCACAACCCCCTGATCGACTGAGCTACTGGTTCTATCCTGGGTTGGAGACCGTTCTGCCACGCACATTGCCATAAGACGGCGCAGCCTGCCTTAGGACGTCCTTCTGCGGGTTTGGGAAAAGCCTCTGATCTCTCTGCCATTCCCGCGGAGTACCAGGACATCCAGGAGGTTTTCAACAAGGCTCACGCCACATCCCTTCCTCCGCATTGACCCTAAGATTGCGCTATTGACCTCCTCCCGGGCACCACACCACCTCGGGGGCGGCTTTATTCCCTGTGTGGCCCGGGGACCAAGACCATGGAAGTATACATTGAGGACTCTCTATCATGTGTCCATCTGCCTCCCCTGCCAACGCAGGGTTTTTCTTTTTGGAAAAGAAGGACAAAACCCCCGGCTCCCATGTATCGACTACCGGGGCCTCAATGACATCACTGTAAAGAATAGTTACCCGCAACCACTCCTCTCCTCGGCTTGCGAGCCTCTCCAGGGTGCAACCATCTTTTCGAAGTTGGACCTTCAGAACGCCTACCACCTGGTCGGATACGGGAAGGAGATGAGTGGAAGACAGCCTTCAACATGGCTAGCGGACACTACGAGTACCTGGTTATGCCGTTTAGTCTGACCAACGCTCCCGCAGTGTTCCAGGCCCTGGTCAACAATGTGCTCCGTGACATGTTGAACCAGTTTGTGTTTGTCTATCTTGATGACATCCTTGTCTTTTCCCGGTCAGCTCAAGAGCATGTTCTTCAGCGCCTCCTGGAGAACCAGCTGTTTGGTAAAGCTGAGAAATGTGAGTTCCATCATTCCACTATCTCCTTTCTGGGATACGTCATCACTGCGGGGAACATTCAGATGGATCCTGACAAGGTGAGAGCGGTGGTGGATTGGCCCCAACCCACATCCAGAGTGCAGCTGCAACGTTTCCTGGGATTTGCTCATTTCTACCATCGCTTTATTCTGGGCTACAGCACCCTGGCCTCCCCCCTCTCTGCACTCACCTCTTCCAAGGTTCCGTTCATGTGGTCCCCAGCTGCTTAACGGGCGTTTCTGGATCTGAAGCACCATTTCACCACAGCCCCCATCCTAATTCATCCGGACCCACCCCTTCAGTTCGTGGTGGAGGTTGACACCTCGGACATTGGAGTGGGGGCCGTTCTGTCCCAGCGTTCTGTCCAGGACCAAAAGCTGCATCCCTGTGCTTTCCTCTCCCATCGTCTCAATTCCGCTGAGAGGAACTATGACGTGGGAAATCGGGAACTTCTGGCGGTCAAGATGGCACTGGAGGAGTGGAGACACTGGCTGGAAGGGGCGGAACATCCATTCTTAGTATGGACCGACCATAAGAATTTGGAATATCTCCGCACCGCCAAGCGCCTCAACTCAAGGCAGGCTCGTTGGGCTCTGTTATTCACTCGATTCAATTTTACCATCACCTACCGCCCTGGGTCCATGAATGTGAAGCCTGACGCCCTGTCCTGCCTGTATAGTTCCGCTGCTACACCATCTGACTCTGAGACCATCCTCCCTACCTCCTGTCTAGCAGCTACACTAGTCTGGGGTATTGAGAGCCGGGGGGCCCGGGTAACTGGATTTCATCCCAGATTCGGCCCGGTCCCCGGTCCTGAATGGGCCCATTCCTCTAAACTCACCTGTCATCCCGGCTCCCGTCGGACCCTGGTCTTCATCTGCCAACGTTTTTGGTGTCCCACCACGGTTCTGGACATCTCCGCATTCGTCGCCGCCTGCACTGTGTGCGCACAGAACAAGACTCCACAGCAAACTCCGGCTGGCCTCCTTCAACCACTCTCTGTTCCTAATCGCCCCTGGTCCCATATATCCCTGGACTTTGTCACTGGTCTCCCTCAGTCAGATGGCAACACCACCATCCTTACTGTGGTGGTAGGTTTTCCAAAGCTGCACATTTCATTCCACTTCCCAAGTTACCCTCAGCCAAGGAGACGGCCCAGCTTATGGTGCAGCATGTCTTCCGGATCCATGGACTGCCCGTCGACATGGTCGCCGATCGGGGTCCTCAGTTCTTGTCCAGGTTCTGGAAGGCATTCTGTGCCTTCATTGGGTCATTGGCCAGCCTGTCCTCCAGGTTTCATCCCCAGTCCAGCAGCCAATCAGAGTGAGCCAATCAGGACCTGGAGACTAATCTTCGCTGCCTCGTCTCTGCCAACCCCACCCCCTGGAGCCAGCAACTTGTGTGGGTGGAGTACGCCCGCAACTCCCTTCCCTGCCCGGCCACTGGACTCTCGCCCTTCGAGTGTTCCTTGGGTTACCAGCCCCCGCTCTTCCCTGAGCAAGAGGTCAGCATACCCTCGGCCCTGATGTTCATCCGCCACTGTTGGCATAACTGGAAGAGAGCCCGGTCCGCTCTTCTGAAGACCACCTCCAGGTATCGCCGACAGGCGGATTCGCCACCGGACCCCGGCTCCCCGCTATTGGCCCGGGCAGAGGGTATGGCTGTCTACCCATGATCTGCCCCTCCGGGTGGAGTCTCGAAAACGTTCTCCCAATTTTATTGGTCCATTTCCCTTCTCTAAAGTCCTTAGCCCCTCTGCTGTTCGTCTTCTGTTGCCCCGGACCCTCCGTATACAGCCAACTTTCCATGTGTCTAGGATTAAACCTTTGTCTCACAGCCCTGTGTCTCCTATTTTTCCCCATTATCCCCTGTGTATTTATACCTGCGTTTGCTGTTTGTCTGTTGCCAGTTCGTCTTGTTCTGTCAGGGCTTACCAGCGTGTTTCTTGTTTTCTCCAGTTCTTGTTTTCTAGTCTTCCCGGTTCCGACCTTTCTGCCTGCCCTGACCCTGAGCCTGCCTGCTGTTCTGTCCCTTTTTGACTCTGCATTGGACTACGAACCTCTGCCTGCCCTCGACCTGCCCTTTTGCCTGCCCCTTGGTTATAATAAATATTCAGAGAACCGAACCATCCACCTCCTGTGTCTGCATCTGGGTCATATCCTGAGTCGTGATACAATTCCACTGCGTAGCATATCTGAATGGTAATCTACTGTAACATGTCACCTAGGCAAATCAAATAAGACACTTTCTTACTGTTTCACAAAGAAATAGAGCCATTGAGAACCCTTATAAAGTGTATATATTTTCGCTATAAAAAAAACATTCTGACATTTATAGTATGCTCTGTCACAGAGTGTACTTTTATTATGCTAATACTTTACTCTCAAACTTGTAAATTGGGTGGTTATTGTGAAAATTGGACACTGTGGAATTCAGGGTATACTCCTGCAAGATAATCACACATTTTAAAAATTGTAATTGTCACTTACATTTGTTAAAAGTTGGTGTGTGTAACCATATAAATATTATTAGAGTTACCATCCGTAAAGATACAAATCTTTAATATTTCTGCTCACACAGAATAATGTCAATTCACAGAAACAACACAATCCATCTACTTCTCTAGAATGGCATGTAAGTAACTGTCAAAAATACACTCACTGTTAAGAAATATGACAATATTACCAACATTTATAATACAAATAAATCAGTAAATTACTTTAAACACATTATCTAAAAAAATACATGGCACAATGCACATGATCTGAGAGGGAAATCTTACTGTAGCAGATTGGCACATGGGATAAGTAAAACCAGGAAACATGGTAGAGGTGAAAGAAATCGAAATAAGTTCCAATATTTCGCCAACACAAACACAAACACTCCTTAATTCGTATTAGAAACAACAAATGAAACAAACAGGTAACTTAAACATAAAATAATAAATACTGCTCATCACTACCTTCTCATTCTTTCATCACACAAACTCTAATTTCCCAGGAGGGAATCAGACAGTCTCAGGTTCTTTGTTGGGCATCACGTCGGCGGCGGTGGGTAACAGGTTTATCATCTGTTTCCGCCTCAGCTCTATACTCCTCAGAGCTTTTTCTTTGCATCTGAGACGGCAAGAGGAACACATACATACACAATGAATAGATTGTTCACCTCTGACATATTATTTAAATAATAACCTTATTGTTTGAAGGCATGATGTTTCAGTACATTCACTTGTAGAAATAATAGAAACTGATGGGTAGAAATCTCACTTTTCTGGAAACTCAATGTCATCGATGGTGTCAGGAAGTGGCACACCTCTGGTCTCAGGCAACAGCAAGACCAAAGCTCCAGCCACAAACGCAAGGGCCCCTGTGTTGTAAAACACAAAGAAATCACCATCAGCATATTAGTCCCTGCTTGTATCTAGAAAACATTCACTAAACAGCTGTGCTTGAGGCTACATTAGCCAAAAGTATTAGTTTCAAGCTCAAGATATTGAGATACTGGTACAGTACATGATTCAACTTCTTACAGCGTTGCTGTGTTAAGATATTAATAACATGTGTATAATCATGTTATAACATTGTAATTAGGTACCGAAGATGATGAGTGGCATCTCCAACCAGATGGCAGCCAGTCTGTAGAGAAGGAACGGGGCCACGATGCCTCCGATGTCACACAGAGTGGAGCACACAGAAACACCCAGGTTCCTGAGGATGGAAACAATTGTCACTGTCTGGAATTTCAGCTTTAAACTAAACTTTCTGTTATATGTAATGTCAGTATTCAGGAAGTGATTTTAATAGAAAAATTCTAAAATGGAAACATTTTTGAAATAAATAGCTTCTATTCCTCAGTTTACTGACAAGTCATTGAAAATAGATGGCGTTTTTTCAAATGAATTGTTATTTAAGTTTACTTCCTGAATCGACCACCTTCAATTTCAATTGACCCCAGCCCTGCTGGTTACCCTTACCTGACAAACGTAGGGTACAATTCAGTGTTCACAAACACCACCATCTCAAAAGCCATTGTGATGCCCAACCGGCCTATGCAGGCCACAGCTGTTTTGAACCAGAACATGCCTGTATGTGAGAGAAAGAAAAATGAGAGAAAAACTTAATACAAATTCAACCAGGCAGGTAATTGCCATTTAACATCAATGTTATCACAGACTCACTCTCAGGAATCATAGCAGTAATGAAGCAGGCTGCTCCAGCTACAATGTTGGCCGTGGCAAAGGGAAGACGCCGTCCGATACGATCGATGGTAAAGAGGATAAGGAAGGCAGCAGGGAATTCCACCAGACCAGAGATCAGGAAGTCAATGTAGACATTTCCTCCCAGGATTCCTAGACGCATGATAAGACCCTGGTAGACAATAGCACTAGTGAACCTGGAAGAAAGACAATTTATTTATTGAGGGGTCTACAGTGGCTGTAAAGGAAATAGTATAGTTGTGAGCTGTGACTAATAGGGCTATTATAGTTCCAGTAATGTTCTTGTTGTTTGTGGAATACATTTTACCAGTTGAAACTAAGGATGAAGGTGTGTTTTCTCATTTTTGGAGTTCTGATTAGGTCCATGAACGAGGCAGTTGAGGTTTCGGCATTGTCGTCTCTCATCATCTGTAAGTACAGTAGCATTATAAAAGTTATAATACAACCTACTTTACCATGCAATGCCATATTTGAGTGTCTGTAAGATACAAAATTTGAGTAATATTAAACTACATTTCAGTTACTCAATTTTTTTAGTTTCTTAAATTTGATCTACCCTTCAAAGTCCTAATTTCTCACCTCAATGTTCTTGGAGAGGGTTTTCTTGTTTTCTTTCGCTATTGCCTCAGTGATCTCCACAGCTTTCTTTGCATTGTGCTGAGAGAGAAGCCATCTTGGAGACTCCGGGATGAACCTGGAAGCCAGAATAGAAAACTCAATATAAAAAGCTTGAAAAACAAACTTAAATCTACCTGAATATCTACAGTATGAGGCAGTTCCAGGTCTTACCAGTAGTAGGACAGGAAGAGGATATAAGGTGCAGTGATGACCACTTGCAACCAGCGCCAGTCTGTGATGAAGTAGGAGATGAGGGGCAGGATGAGAATTCCAACACTGAAGAACATCTGGTAGACGACGCCGACAGTCCTCCTGTACTCTACTCCTACCAGCTCAGTGACTGAGGAGAGAGGCAGGACATGAGGACAGGACACCGAGAATACATAGCCTCTGACATGATGCTATAGTCAAAAGTGTTGTGACTGAGATATCTCCACAAGAGTAATATGCTGTAAATATTACAACCACAATTAGTAAAACTACAACTTGAAATGTAAAATTAAAATTTTAGACATTGTGTAAGTAATGTTGTCGTACTCAGAACATATCCAGCCACCCAGCCTCCCTTAACCCCAAAGCCATAGAATGCTCGGAAGACCAGCATGGATACCCAATTTGGAGACCATGCTACAAGAATTCCAAAAATCCCATTCAAGAGGTTGGACACCAAGAAGCTTGTCTTTCTGCCAAATCTAAAATGTAAGACAAAAAGGTACATTCGGGGGATGTAAATTCAAATGTCATGTTTCCGTCTCAGAACATACAGTATTTCAGAAGTTTATTTATTTCATTCAGGTGCACTCACTTTTAGCAAGTCCATTTTCCTTAACTTTTCTGTTTTTAAGTATTTCTAAAAGTCAGCAAGTTATCTGCACTGGTGGGATCTTCTGTCTGACCACTGACACAGCCTTCCTTACCTGTCAGCCAGGTATCCAATGGCTATGCTGCCTATGAAGAAGCCCACGTTGAGTGTAGCCTGGTACATGTCCACCACCCAGGCATCAGCACACACCAGGTCAAACTGAAATCAACAAATACCTTATCATCTACTGCCATCTTAATCTGTTCTGACATTCAATTTAAATTCAATGTCTTGAACATATATTTCATAAAGTTCTCACCTCAGTTACAAAGGACTGCCTCCCCTTGTAGTCATACTCCCATCCTTCCTTGCAGGAGGTCATGGGAGCTTTGCTGCGGTGGGCGTCAGAGAGGTCAGACTCTGGGTTGTCACAGGTCAGACCTGTAGCGTTCCAGTCCAGGTTGTACTGCTCACACTGGCTGTGGACCAGCACTCCTGAGGTGTTGACCAGAGGGACCGTGATCTTTCTAGTGTCCATCAGGTTCCAGCCACAGCTCTGCCGGATCTGACTCACCCCTGAGTCCCGGCACCAATGCTCTGGGGTGAACCCTTGGAACACAATGCCTACGTAGACACCAGCCCATGGCATGGACACCATGCATAGCAGGGCAAAGATTCGCTTCTGCGATCGGCCAAACTTGCCCGCCTCCTCTAGGATGTCATCAAAAGTGTATGAGTACATGGTTGCAATTCTCTCGGTCTCTAAGACATTTGTGACTGCAGACGGACCTGTGCATGGTTTTTAACAGTGTGAAGACCTCAAAGGTCCAACAGAGACGTTGACCTTCGACCTACCAGTGACCAGCAATGCATTCAGACACGTTCGCTAGAGCAGGCTGCAGACATCATGGGGAACTTAAAACATAATTTTTGAATGATTAATTTTTGGTTTGGTAAAGGTCCAAATCCAATTACACATTCACTGATGGTCCATCACAAACCACAAAATGAAGGGAAAAACAGCTAGAGGACAGCCATCAGTTCCACATTTGAGTTTTTCATTGTTACATTATACATTCATTTTTATACTTCTCTTCGTTTACTTGCTTGATTACCTGGTCTTCGGGAGTTTTAGAATGATTGGTCTTACAGCAATGTGGGCCTACCTCAAGTTTGCCATGCGAGGCCTCAGTGATTTATTACAATAGGGAAACATGTAGTCACTTAGAAACAAACAGTACTTGTGTACAGTAGAGACTTCTGAGGTTCTGTTTAATAAATGCATCAATGTGTTGAGGTCAACCTGTTGACCTTTCAGAAAATCTCCACAATCCTGGAAGTGATAAAATATGTTACTCTTTAAACTGTGTCGGACAGCTGATCAATTCTTTATTAAAATAATGCAATATGTTTTTTAACTAACATTTTAAATATTAAAACAGACAAAAAGCAATAAAACACGTTTGAAAACATAACATACAAGAACAAAATCACCTCCAAAAAGTACCACCTCATCAGAATGGAGCCCCTTATCCATGTTTTGTACCCAAATGAATGAACCAAGCAGACATGCTTTGTTGCTTACAGCAGAGCTAGACATTATGCAACGAGCAGAGTTTTCTTCACATTACTACCACACAGGATTCCTTTCTATCGCTCCAGAGAAGGTACAGTAGCAAGGGCTCTTTCCCCATATCAAAGTGCCTTTGTGTAGTTTTGTCACAATGTGACAAATTCAATTCATGATCTTGGAGGTGTGGAAACTTACGAAAAGAACTACAACATTTTATGTTTTTATTTTATTTTGCAAAACATTGTGAAGCTTTTTCTTCAACTGCGGGGAGGACCACCTTGGCAAAACTTTTCTCCTATTAATAACATGTGTATAAACCTTAATAACTGAAAAGGTGAACCGTTATTTTTTGGATAGGTTTGCTATATGGCCGACCGCTTGCTACGGTGTGAACATTAGCTTCAACACCGGTGATAAAACACTGGCATAACAAAGAAAGTCTCCAACTTCAAGTCTGACTTGGAGTCCAGTCCAAGAGAAATAACTTTGTCAAAGAATCATATAGCTAGACTTGTTAGTGAGGTGAGTTCCACTTCAAAAGCATTTTCTCATTACTGTTCTGTACCACTGACATGTATGAGACAACTAGAGATAGATGAGTGGCATTAGTGACTGCCTGTGTACATGTGGTTTGTGTACTGGTGTTTTGTTTGTGTCCTGGTCTGTGTGTTTGCCAACTGATAAATGCTACATCTATTTCAAATAATCCACATACAGTGAGCTCCAAAAGTATTGGGCCAGTGTTACATTTTGTTGTTTTGGCTCTGTACTCCAGCACTTTGGATTTGAAATTATCCAATGACTATGAGGTTAAAGTGCAGACTGTCAGCTTTAATTTGAGAGTATTTTCACAAATACCATACCCCCAAGACATGCTAACCTCTCACCATTACAATAACAGGGAAGGTTAGCATTTTTGGGGAGGTATGATATTTGTCATTATTCACAATTCCTTCAAGACTTTCAGTAATCATGGTAGCATCCACATTAATGTAGAAGTGTTTAGAAACATATTCTATTTACAATAAAAGTGACTCCAAAATACACAATACATTATTTACCATTAATTTCTATTGGGTACAAAATCTGAAACACATCCAAAACAAACAGCAAACGCATCCAACACAAGCTTGATGTAATCATTGTGTGCTAGGAATATGAGACCAAATACTAAACTTTTGACTACTTTAATACACAAGTGAATTTGTCCCAATATTTTGGTCCCCTAAAATGGGGGGACTATGTACAAAAAGTGCTGTAACTTCTAAACGTGCTGGAGTAGAGTGCTAAAACAACAATAAATGTGTCACTGTCCCAATACTTAGCAGCTCACTGTATTTTTCCAGATAAATAATACTCACACTGTGATTGCTGCTGTAGACCCAGTAAAGCATGTGTCAAACTCATTCCATGGAGGGCCAAGTGTCTGCAGGTTTTCACTCCTCCCTTGTACTTAATAATAAAAGGTCACTAATTAGTAAAGAACTCCCCTCACCTGGTTGTCTAGGTCTTAATTGAAAGGAAAAACCAAAAACCTGCAGACACTAGGCCCTCCATGGAATGAGTTTGACACCCCTGCAGTAAAGAGACTGCATGGGATAGATACTGCTGAGCAAGACTGAAAGAGGATCTCAAGCTCACAAATACATGTAATCTTTCATGGCACTACAACGTTCCTTACTTCCATTTATGAGGGATAGCACATGCAGTTTGACAAAAAGGGGAATTTTAGCTCTACAGAAAACGTCCCTTTTCAAATAAACAAGGCAACATCTAGAACCCTCAAACTCAACTCTGGAACGCGAAGCCAGTTCCACTGTGTTTTGTTATTGTTCCCCTCTAAACCAGGGACTAATTTAGACCTGGGACACCAGGTGGGTGCAATTAATTATCAGGCAGAAGAGAAAATACAGGCTCTGGACTTCATAGGGTAAGAGTTGAATACCCGTGATCTAGAAGCAGAAATAATTTTTAGCATTTAACAGATACAGCAACTAGCTGTGCCTGTGATGTATATATGGTGCACAAGTACAAAACCACATAATTATTTGATATACTGTTATCAAATAAATATGATTTGGGGAACTGGAAACAATACAACCTAAGAATCCCATTAACCAATGCTATGAGCCAGGAAATGAGCACCAGTTTCAAGTCCCTGTTTTCCCAATAACTTAAAAGGTATTTCATGTCCAATCCTTGCAAGGTTAGCAGTAGAGTTTCACTGAGAAAATCAGTCCACATAATTAAATACACGTGAATAAGCAATTCTCTGGAAGATGCAAGTGACAAAATTCAAATCCATCTATAATATAATATAATATAATATGCCATTTAGCAGACGCTTTTATCCAAAGCGACTTAGTCATGTGTGCATACATTTTTACGTATGGGTGGTCCCGGGGATCAAACCCACTACCCTGGCGTTACAAGCGCCATGCTCTACCAATTGAGCTACAGAGGACCATACAGTGTCTTATGCATACAGTGTCTTCAGAAAGTATTCACACCCCTTGACTTTTTCAGCCTAAATTTAAAATGGATTAGATTGAGATTGTGTGTCACTGGCCTACACATAATACCCCATTATGTCAAAGAGGAATTATGTTTTTAGAAATGGTTACAAATTAATTAAAAATGAAAAGCTGAAATGTGTTCAGTCAATACGTTTTCAACTCCTTTGTTATGGCAAACCCAAATAAGTTCAGGAGTAAAAATGTGCTTAACATGTCACATAATACATTGCATGGACTCACTGTGTGCAATAAGAGTGTTTAACATGATTTTTGAATGACTGCCTCATTGCTTTACCCCACACATACAATTATCTGTAAGGTCCCTCAGTCCAGCAGTGAATTTCAAACACAGATTCAACCACAAAGACCAAGGATGTTTTCCAATGCCTCGCAAAGAAGGGCACCTGTTGGTAGATGGGTAAAAATAAAATGCAATATCCCTTTGAGCATGTGAAGTTAATTACACTTCGGAGGGTGTCAATACACCCAGTCACTACAAAGATAAAGGCGTCCTTCCCAACTCAGTTGATGGAGAGGAAGGAAACCGCTCAGGGATTTCACCATGGTGACTTTATAACCTTTACAGAGTTTAATGGTTGTGATAGGAGAAAACTGAAGATGGATTAACAACATTGTAAGTTACTCCACAATACTAACCTAAATGACAGAGGGAAAAGAAGGAAGCCTGTACAGAACAAAAATATTCCAAAACATGCATCCTGTTTGCAATAAGGCACTAAAGTAAAATGGCAAGAAATTAACTTTATGTCCTGAATACAAAGCGTAATGCTTGGGGCAAATCCACACATCACGGATTACCACTCTTCATATCTTCAAGCATGGTGGTGGCTGCATCATGTTATGGGTATACTTGTCATCGGCAAGGATTAGGGAGTTTTTTAGGATAAAAATAAATGGAATAGACCTAAGCACAGGCAAAATCCTAGAGGAAAACCTGGTTCAATCTGCTCTCCAACAGACACTGGGAGACAAATTCACCTTTCAGCAGGACAATAACCTAAAATAGTTTTGGGCCAAATTTACACTGGACTTGCTTACCAAGACGACATTGAATGTTCCTAAGTGGTCTAGTTACCGTTTTGACTTAAAACGGCTTGAAAATCTATGGCGGCAAGACTTGAGAATGGCTGTCTATCAATGATCAACAACCAACTTGACAGTGCTTGCAGAATTTTTAAAAGAATAATGTGCAAATATTGTACAATCCAGGTGTGCAAAGCTCTTAGAGACTTACCCAGAAAGATTCACAGCTGTAATCGCTGCCAAAGGTGATTCTAACGTATTGACTCAGGGGTGTGAATACTTATGTAAATGGTTTTTTTCATTTTTTCATTTCCATTCCCTTTGTGATTATTCTGAAGAAGGCCACTGAGGGCCGCAACGTCAATTTTTTAAACTTGTCTTATAAAGCGCTGCACACTTTCCTGTCCAATGATGTATTTCATTATTTAACATTTCTATAAACATGTTTTCACTTTATCATTATGGGGTATTGTGTGTAGATGGGTGAGAATTTTTTTTTTTTAAATAAATGTTGAATTCAGGCTGTAACAACAAAATGTGTAATAAGTCAAGGCGCATGAATACTTTCTGAAGGCACTGTCTAGCATTACCTATGTACATTAATTAAATCAAATAGTCCAAAAACAATTCATTGATGAAAACACCATTTGTCATCAGGAAGGCATCAACTTTCTTTCGAAGAGGGGACAAAAACATATCTGCTCTTTAATACTGTAAAACAGCCAACAGACATTCTGCATCGTTCCCTTTAGATAAAAAAACAAAAAGCCTCTAAGGGGTTTCTGCTTTCTTGCGTTGTGTGGAGACATTCAGAGAGAGAGAGAGACATTCAGAGAGAGAGAGAGACATTCAGAGAGAGAGACATTCAGAGAGAGAGAGAGATGAGGAGTCCCTCACACTGTCAGCAGGTCCTCATCGCTGTCATCCTGGGGGTTTTGTTGTTTCCTGTGGGGGGGTCTGTTGTCACGGCGAGGCTTGGCCCTACCCCTCCTGTCCTCCAGGAGCCCTACCAGGTCCTCGTCACTCTCCTCCTCCAGCAGGGCGCTGCGGAGGGGCCCCGAGGAGCGGGTCCTGGATCCTGAAGGCCGCAGGGTGGTCCGGCCACCGAGGACGCGAACCCCGGGGACGGACAGGACCTCCTCCTCGCTGTCCTCCTGCTCTTCCAGGGAAAAGGAGCGTAGGGCGTCGGCGTTGACGGCCTTGGTGGTGATGTGGCCGTTCTCCTGGCGCACCTTCCCCAGGCGAGAGGACATGGCTGGGGCCTCAATCTCCTCCATCAGCCACTCCATCTCATCCTCCCCTCCCTCATCATCCATGTTCACCTGCAGGGACAGACAAGACAGAGGTGAGATTTAACACTGGGCACTTACCACAACAACACCTACATTGACATGGAATCAATGGCTGTGAAATAATAAACATCGAATTGAAAGAGAATCTATAGCATACTAGGATTTGATGTTGTCTTTAATATAGGAGCGTTACCGGATGTGTAACGTTTGCAGAGCATGCGCCGGCTTATCAAGAGGCTCGCACGGCTCTAACTTACATTTTGAAGATTTCGACGTGCAGCTCAGGCCTGCCTGAGAACAATAGGATAAAGTGGCTCATGCTCTGCTCACGCCGGCAAAAAGTTAGCTTCCAGTGCACCTAGTGCAGCTCCCATAGACCATACATCAGGTTTCTATATCTATGGTAGCATAGCTATGTTGGTTTGATCGGTGTACTATAGTATTTATTAACATGCATACCTTGGAGTATTTATAAGAGACAGGATTTCCTCTCCTACAACATCCAGTAACTTTCTGCATCACCAGCTCCCTGGAAATAGAAAAAGGAGACTTAGGAAAAGATTATAGGGGAGCTATTTCTATATAGATTATTTAATAACAGTACAAAGCTGTGGGGAGTAAAAGAATAGTAGGTATCTCTTACCTCCGCTCTTGTTTGTGCAGTAGCAGAACCAGCAAACAGATGGTCAGCACAAACAATAGCATGCTCAGGACCGCCCGTCTCCTCCCAGACAAGCCCATACTGTCCTCTCCTCCGTCATCATTAGTCTGCTTGGACTCTGAGGTTCTGTATGGCACACCAGACAAAATGTCACACCTCTTTACTTTACACCTCGTAGCATTTTTATAGGACAACTTCGGGTAGTACTTCCTCTGTTTCAAAGCACTTTCTCCTGTTTCGAGACTGAACACCACCCTGACGTCCGTGTGTAAAGAGTTGTTGACTCACACTAGGCCACAGACAGTGGCGGTGTGCCAGGTAAAGAGGTACTGGCATCCATCCGTCTCCAACAGGAACTCTGGGATGCCCTCCCCGGCTGAGGGGTTACATTGGAACAAGATGGTCGACGACACTGTCGTGGAGTTGTCCCGCCCACACACAGACTCAGATGGGACCAGCACATCCAGGTTACCATCTGAGTAGAGAGAGTCCATCCATCAATCACAAGCAGCTTAATGGAGTGAGCTCGTTAAGTCATTGATGTCAATGTAAGTATCATTACTTGATTGCCAAGTACTGTATCTTGTGTTGAAATCCATTTAAATCTTTAATAAGTGCAAGGTGAGACACTGAGGATGTTCAAAACTACTCCCCAAACCCACTCACACTTTATTACCCAAAGCCCCATACCACTTTGGAGTAAACCTGTGTCTGGCCCACGTGTCTTACCTTTGATGTAGTACTTGGCCTTGCTGGAGGATCCGATCTTCCTCCTGTAGTTGTCATTGATCTTCACCTGGCAAATGTTGGCCCCCAGACACTTGGAGAAGGAGCTGTTGGTGATGCCTGACAGCTGAATGTCATAGATGTACTTGTCCCCATTGGCGCGGATGTCCCCAGAGGCCTGGTGGAGCCTACAGAGGGGACAGGGGGACAAAAACCCTGGTCTGAGTACATTCATAAAAGGCTTATTTTATCTTCCCTCTAGTACATTTATAAATGTTTGTTTTATGTTGCCTGCTGCAACTGTAGAGAGGTTAAAATGTGTCAGAGGCCCACTGTTGTTGTGATAGGCATTCATGCAGTTCGGAGCAATATTTGACTCTATCTGATATAAGAGGCTTTGACCTGTGATCTCGCTCTGTCTGGGTTTAGGAAATCCTGATGTGAATCCATGACCAGTCACAGGCACTCCCAACTTGAGTTTACAATTTATAACCTCAATGACCTGAAGATAACATGTTTTTGGCTCAGCAAATGAACTTGACTCATAACAGGTTTCAACAAGATGGTCAGAGTTAATGGTTTAACTCTGGGTGTTGTGGTCCTCTGTAGCTCAATTGGTAGAGCATGGCGCTTGTAACGCCAGGGTAGTGGGTTCGATCCCCGGGACCACCCATACGTAAAAATGTATGCACACATGACTAAGTCGCTTTGGATAAAAGCGTCTGCTAAATTGCATATTATATTATATTATATTATGATGTTTACTGGTTACTGTATGTCAATATCCTCATTAGTGGATCTGTAGGGTGAAGATGATACATGGCCTGGGTTGTTGTGACAATAAAAGTTGGTTGATTGAACTGTGTTGGTGGTGAGAGGTGTCACCTGTGGTAGAGGGCCCCCAGGCTGAAGTTGGCCCCTGTATTGGGGACTTTGATGGTTCCATTGACCATCACCACCTCACGTTGTTGAACAGCGCATGCCGCACGCGTCTCCCAGCCCAGCACGAATTCACACGAGGCTTCATCCACGCTACGCAGAAAGAAACAGAGTCACTGAGTGTGTGTGTGTGTGTGTGTGCGTTTGTGTGTGTACAGTATGTGTGTGTGGTAGTGAGAGTTAACAAGCATCCTTCAAGGAATTACAAATTAAACCGTGAGCGATGAAAAAGTTTAACTAAAAAAATAAATGACGTTCAAGACTTGAAACTGACGTTTAAGTGGTCAATTTTCAACTATGAAGGAGGTTAGAAGTGCCTCTTCAACTTGAACATTCAGTAACTTTTCCTAGTGTTGCTGAGTTGGATACAGGTTTGTTTTGCCCACAAGGCCAAATATTTTTGCTGACTGAGGGCCAGTTGGCTTTTCCCTGTAGGAGAGGTAACCTGGTCCCAGATCTGTTTGTGCTGTATAGCCAACAACAACACAAGTTGGTTATATGTCACAAAGAGATCTGGGACCGGGCTACAGGAAAGGAAGCTCTCCCAGGCTAACTACTCACAGCCCACTCACCTCAGCAGCTTGGGATGGCCTATATTAGGACCACATGTCAGCTGGACAACTGTCTTGGCCTGGAGGCTGTTGCCACACACAGTGTCTCCCATAGCATAGCTCACTAGGATCTTCTTATCTGGGAAAAGGAGGGATGGTTAAAGGGGATACGTCTACCAGGACTAATATTACTGGGTTCCTTAAAGGGGATAAGTCTACCAGGACTAATATTACTGGGTTCCTTAAAGGGGATACATCTACCAGGACTAATATTACTGGGTTCCTTAAAGGGGATAAGTCTACCAGGACTAATATTACTGGGTTCCTTAAAGGGGATAAGTCTACCAGGACTAATATTACTGGGTTCCTTAAAGGAGATAAGTCTACCAGGACTAATATTACTGGGTTCCTTAACAAACACACAAACCTAAGAAGAACGTAAGAAGTTTCAGTTCATTACACAAACATGACATCTTGAAATAAGTAAGTGTCAGTAAGTCAGTCTGTAAAACCCACCAGAGACGGCCATCTTCTGGGTGTAGATAAGACCCAGGGTCTGGGTCTTCCCCTCGCTGGTCCTCCGGCACACTGTGGCTCCCTCAGGGCAGTCTAGCAGGCCCCCATGGATCCCCTGGCACAGGTTGATGTAGTACCTGGAGACAGCAGAGACAACCTAGAGTTGAAATGTTTTCTAGCATCTAACCACTACTGTGCATGTTCAGTCTTCATCAAGTGGTACAGACAGAGAGATAGAGAGAGAGGAGTAGGGAAAAGTTAAACATACGCTGTTTTGTTGTGGCTGAACTTCCAGGGCTCGGTGAGAGAGGAGAGGGTGCGCAGGTTGTAGGTCTGGTGCTGGTTCACCAGCTTACACTCCATCTTCTTAGGCGGGCACACAGCCTTGGTTTTCCATTGGAAGGTGGCAGCGCAGCCCCCTGTCTCACTCAGCAGCTGTGGGGTACCATGGCCGGCCGACTGGTCACAGGTGAACAGGATGGATGACTGCCTCTTCCCCGTCACTGAGAGACATGACACACACAGCAGAGCTAAGCCCAGAACCTCAAGGAAACACACACTCAAAATAAGACGGCCCCTTCATTGCTTTGACCAGTCATTACCGTGAGCGCAGAATCCCCATTTCTTGTCCTTGTCAAAGTCATTGGTGGTGGCACACCAGAGTCTCCCATCCATCCTGCCCTCGGTTGTACACAGTGTATACGACTTCTTCAGGAAGTTGAAGGGAAACACGCACACCTCCTCATTCTCAGTCACTGAAATGGAGAAATGGAAACCATAAGGCCCAAATGAGCTTCACTTTGGGATACAGCACCACAACAACTTCATCAAAGCATCATAGGCTGCCTCTTATGTGACACCCTATTCCCTATAACCCACTGCTACATTGGACACTGGTCAAACAATGTGTGGTATAGAGGTTGTCATTTGACTTGCCCATAGACACCAGGGTGTGGGACTGAGGATAGCATGTCTAACCTGGAGGGCAGATGTCTCCTCCTCCATACTGCATGAAGACAGCTTGCTCCTCGTGTTTGTAGTCCATAGTCATGGCCTGACTGATGCCATAGGAGAACACTGATCCGCCTGGCGACTGCACACACACTGCACTGTTCTTACAGCTGGGGTCTGCCACCACCCCACACACATTGATCTTATAGGTCTCTGAGCCAACAGGCACCTGGCAGAGAAAGACAATGGGTCATGAAAAACAATAATGCCTACTTTTAGAAAGAAAGCCCTGTCCACTGAATAGATGTGTTAATGCATAGATAACACGTATAGCTAAGTATAACATAATATGTAGATATGTTGAGGGTAAAGAGGTCACATATAAAAGGTCAACCCACCTGAATCTCCCCAGAGAGGGGTGAGAGGTCAAAGGTGAACTGCAGCTGTGAGTCTGTCAGGTTGCAGCCTCTGGTCTGCGTGGCGTCAGGACAGACCACGGGAGTGGCCCACTCAAACACATACATACAGTTGTGCTTTCTGATCATCTGGGGCGAGCCCTGGGGGGACAGGAGAGAGGCTTTAATACCGCAAAGGCTAAACATGCACAAGCTTTCCAAGACACCAAACCTCATTTTCAAAGAAATTACTTCCATTTCTGAACTCTGCCATCTTTCAACACAAGAGACATCAGTGAGAAAACAAGCCAATAAGAGGTCTCTAATATACAGACACGTCATCTCTTCCACTGGTGTGGTACTGACCAGCTCCAGGCCCCTCTGGCAGGTGAACAGGATGGTGGAGGTGTAGTTCTGGGTGGGGTCAGAGGGGCAGGCGGTGGTGCTGTTGAAGGTGATTGACACCTCATTGGTCACGCTGTTAAACTCCGGACCGGAGGTGATTCGACCAATGTCCTGTTAGCAAGAGAGAGACACAGGGAGAGAAATCATTGAACATGTTGGTTTGTAAACACAGAGGTAATACTATTGAATAGTCTTCATTTCTGCTGTGTGTGTGTGTGTGTGTGTGTGTGTGTGTGTGTGTGTGTGTGTGCATGCGTTTCTGTGTTTGTGACTCACTACGGGGGGCCCTTGTTCAGGGTCCATGCAGACAGCGGCCCCTGGGGGACATGTGACCCCAGGGATGGGGTTTAGGGGCTGGCAGATGTTGACATAGAAGTCAGGAGACTGGTCCTTGTCCACCAGGTCCTGGTTGATGGCTGTGTAGTAGCCCGTCACGTGGATCAGTGGGGTCAGGTCGATTAGGCTAGAGCCGTTCAGGACTGAACACTTCATCTACGGAACACATCATGAAAGTGAGACAGACGAGGGGGCTAGCAAAGACAAAAGGCATACATCAGGCAGCAAAGTGAATTTACATATTAAAGTCCCTATTGCAAAATGTACAAATATAATACACCTATTACAGCAAAACAATTCTAATACAAAATTGATAGCTGTTAAGATTTTTACACCTCTATATGTCAGTTGAGGTTAAACTGAACATACAGATAATCCATAAAGGTCTACCATTCAGCAGACGAAACATGATGTATTAATAAACCCTTTTTCCTTCCACCTCATAGTGGTAACTAACAGTACAGTCAATAGCACACAAACGACTTAGTTTAGCTAGTCAACACAGACAGTCAGTTAGCCTCAGTAATCAGTAGATGGGCCTCTGTTGACATCTGATCTCTACCACACTGCTACTTTATCAAGCAGCACACTGACTTGTTTGAAATGACTTTACATCAAGGGCTCATTGGTTGCCTGATCTGTATGGCATGACTGGTAAGCACTATTGAAGAAATTCCACCTATCAAAAGGCAAATTGCCATAATGCTTACATCTATCCAACCCTTCAGATCTACTAAGTCAAAGGGGTAGGAGGCTACGGGTTGTTTTGGAATTGGGAAACGCCACTGGTCATTACCTGGTGTTGGCACACCAAGGCTGTGTGCCAGGAGAAGAAGTGTGTGCAGGTGTTCTTGTCTGAGTCCACCAGTACCGGCCCCGTGCTGGCCTCACCATGGGCCTTGCACACAAAGCTGATGATGCTCTTGTGTGTGAGGGCGGGGTTGGCGGCACACACAGCCCCACCCTCATAGGTCAGTTCCACCACTTGGTCCAGGTATGACAGCTTCCTGCTGGCCCGCCCGCCACTCAGAGCACTCTTGGTCCCCTTGATACACACACCTGCACCTTCACACATCAAAACGACCATAAGTGACTGACTGGTGACAGTCTTCAAGACAATAAGGACGACATGTTACACAGAGCCAGAGACCATTACATAACCCAGCTGCATACAGTGATGGAAAAAAGGATTTGATCCCCTGCTGATTTTGTACGTTTGCCCACTGACAAAGACATGATCAGTCTATAATTTTAATGGTAGGTTTATTTGAACAGTGAGAGACAGAATAACAACAACAAAATCCAGAAAAACGCATGTCAAAAATGTTATAAATTGATTTGCATTTTATTGAGGGAAATAAGTATTTGACACCTCTGCAAAACATGACTTAGTACTTGGTGGCAGAACCCTTGTTGGCAATCACAGAGGTCAGACGTTTCTTGTAGTTGGCCACCAGGTTTGCACACATCTCAGGAGGGATTTTGTTCCACTCCTCTTTGCAGATTTTCTCCAAGTCATTAAGGTTTCGAGGCTGATGTTTGGCAACTCGAACCTTCAGCTCCCTCCACAGATTTTCTATGGGATTAAGGTCTGGAGACTGGCTAGGCCACTAGCAATACCCATCCACGACCCATTTTTCAATGCCCTGGCTGAGGGAAGGAGGTTCTCACCAAAGATTTGACGGTACATGGCCCCGCCCATCGTCCCTTTGATGCATTGAAGTTGTCCTGTCCCCTTAGCAGAAAAACACCCTCAAAGCATAATGTTTCCACCTCGGTGGGGATGGTGTTCTTGGGGTCATAGGCAGCATTCCTCCTCCTCCAATCACGGCGAGTTGAGTTGATGCCAAAGAGCTCGATTTTGGTCTCATCTGACCACAACACTTTCACCCAGTTCTCCTCTGAATCATTCAGATGTTCATTGGCAAACTTCAGACGGGCCTGTATATGTGCTTTCTTGAGCAAGGGGACCTTGCGGGCGCTGCAGGATTTCAGTCCTTCACGGCGTAGTGTGTTACAAATTGTTTTCTTGGTGACTATGGTCCCAGCTGCCTTGAGATCATTGACAAGATCCTCCCGTGTAGTTCTGGGCTGATTCCTCACCGTTTTCATGATCATTGCAACTCCACGAGGTGAGATCTTGCATGGAGCCCCAGGCCGAGGGAGATTGACAGTTATTTTGTGTTTCTTCCATTTGCAAATAATCGCACCAACTGTTGTCACCTTCTCACCAAGCTGCTTGGTGATGGTCTTGTAGCCCATTCCAGCCTTGTGTAGGTCTACAATCTTGTCCCTGACATCCTTGGAGAGCTCTTTGGTCTTGGCCATGGTGGAGAGTTTGGAATCTGATTAATTGATTGCTTCTGTGGACAGGTGTCTTTTATACAGGTAACAAACTGAGATTAGGAGCACTCCTTTAAGAGTGTGCTCCTAATCTCAGCTCGTTACCTGCATAAAAGACACCTGGGAGCCAGACATCTTTCTGATTGAGAGGGGGTCAAATACTTATTTCCCTCATTAAAATCCAAATAAATGTATAACATTTTTTACATGCGTTTTTCTGGATTTTTTGTTGTTATTCTGTCTCTCACTGTTCAAATAAACCTACCATTAAAATTATAGACTGATCATTTCTTTGTCAGTGGGCAAACGTACAAAATCAGCAGGGGATCAAATACTTGTTTCCCTCACTGTAAACCACCTTTGTGAATCCTATCTGATCCATGACTCAGTGAGCTGATCACTGCTGGCAGGACTGTTGACTGATTCCTGTTGGGATCTGGTTTTGACCAGTACCGGGCAGAGCTTTCCCAGCCAAACCAGAGCTTGTGAGATATAACATGGTTGTACCTGTGTCTGGTCCACAGCCTGCGTTGGCTACTTCCGTACACACATTGAGCCGGAACATCTTCTTAGGGTCCAGGTTGTCGTACACAGTGTATCCTCCCTCTTGGCTTAGTCCGTTCAGGTCAAAGAGGTGGCCTGGGTTCAGGAGGGCAGCATAGTGCAGACACATGTCAAAACAAAACAATAGCACATGGAGGAGTTGCACTGAGATCCTATGAGAATGATGGTATTTTTCCATGTTAATCATACTCAATGCAAATACTTTCTCAGAATTGTAATATGGCCTAGTGCAGGCAAACTCCTTTCAGTTTTCAGTGTTGGAGTGGGACTCACCCGTGACTGGATTGGTGACTCTGCAGTCTCCGTGCTGACTGCTGTTGAGGGGGCAGGCAGCTGCAGTGAACCACACAAAGGTGTAGACACAGTCCTCTATGGCCGTTATCAGTGTAGGCCTTGAGTCCTGGAGCAGGGACAGGAGAAACATGTTCAGTCTACTCAGCCTGTGTTACGTGTGTATGTGTGATGTCTATGATCCCTTACCACTTTGTCCCGGTCACATTTGAAGCGTACGATGGTACTCTTCTTCCTCTGTCCACCGGGACAAATCTCTCCGTTGGTGTACTTGAGTACCAGGATGTTCTGGTCCCACCGTGGCGCCGACTCGGCCTCTCCTAGACTCACATACTGCTCCCCACTCTTCAGACAGGAAGCTGCGTTGGACGGACACTTCCAGGAGCCTACAACATGAGGAGAGGAAATAAATATGTATCCCATGGTTCAAGCGTGGATTATAATTGCACCACATTCAAACTGTGACTGAAGACTTTACGAGAATTTTGATGTTTGTTCACACAAATTGGGAAATTAAAACTACACAGGAACCACCAGTGTCCTTCATATAAAGGATGCTGGTGTTGGGGATAGGCACTTACCCCCCTGTTGCACCAGAGACTTGCAGACGTTGATGTAGTAACGCTCCTGCTTCCCAGTGGTGGGCTCCACCACCCAGTTTCTGGAGTCCAGGGCCAGAGAGGAGAGGTCGTACGAGTTGCCATTAGAATCTCTGTGGGGGGGAAAATACCGAACAGTCAGTCAGAAATAACTGACAAAGGGGAAACTTGTCATTGTCTGGGAGGAAGAGGAGGTTGTGTTGGGAAGACAGCTCCCAGAATAGAATAGAATAGAATAGAATAGGACTATCCGTACTGGTAGGAGCAGCTGGTAGTCTTGACTGGGATACAGGCGAGAGCAGTACGCCAAGTAAAAAGGTAGGTGCACTCTGCAGTCTCCTTGATGAACTCTGGCACCCCCTACAGGCAGAAACAACACAACAACCCTGTAACTTCCACATTCACAAACACTTTGTGACGAGCATAGATGTTATATTACACGTTTGCTCTTTAGCTTCACTCAGACTCACAGGGTTCATTTTAGGATGACAGGAGAAGTAAATCTCTGTGGATCTCTGGTAGATCTTGTGGCATGTCTCCCCACCAGTGTAGTTGAGGATGAACTGATCTCCAACATAGCTCAGCGTCTGTGAGGCCATCCCTTTGATGAATAATCAACAAGCTGTTTGTCTGAGGTTTCATCAAAGCTTTATAAAGAAGTTGAACCAACTCAAGTTATTTTTGGACAGATTTACATACCAGCGATTCTGTGGGTACTGCCTTTCACCTGACAGGCTGACACCTGGTCACTTCCTGGGTCTTTGTGTGTGCAGATCCCGCTCTGAAGCCCCCCGCAGACAGAGAAGTGGTACTGGTACTGGCCACTCTTCACCATGTAGTCCTTCCCTGACAGGGAGCTCATGTCAAACATGTAGCCACTTCTGGGATCCTTGACTTTACAGTTTTCACCTGCAGGAGTCAGGGAGAGGAGAGTTACCTTGAGCACGATGATGACACCGGTGGAGAGAAGTATCAGTCTTAGCCAGAGCCACGACACTAAACATGGCAGCCTCCTCCTCCCAAACCTACCCTGAGCACTGGTGAGAGGACACGCCTCGGAGGTTCTCCAGACGAACACATATTCACAGCCGTCTTGAAGGTCAAATACAGGAGATCCCTGTTAGTAAAGGAACCAAACAAGAAAAATATAGGTATTAGGAGGGAAAATATATGGTAAATGGGATCAGTAACATCAATAAGTAACATTTCATACAGATTCTTGCCACAACATAACATGGAAGAGCATTCCCATACAGAGCAAGCTGCAAGTGTATGTTACTCACAGGGTTGTCGTCACAATGGAAGATGATACGTGTGGAGTGGTGGCCTTTGTCACAGCGGTCCCCGTTGAGGTAGACAATGCTGATGGAGCCGTCAGAGGCCACCTGTGGGCTGGACTGGACGTAGCCCAGGTTTACACCTTTACCCTCCATGGTGCCACACGCACCCAGGAGACCAGCTGCAGATGGAGGTGGACAATTAGCAAAGAATGCCATTAACATTGACAGTACCTCACACAGAGAGAGAAACTAATCGACTCCTTTGTGGTACAAACGTATAAAAAGACAGACACTCATACTGTATACAGTCTGACTGAAACACATGCATGTAGTCAAACGCAAAAGCTGAACATCGATTAATACTGATTGACTGACGGAACAGCACCCTTTTAAAAAATATTTTATTTTACTTTCTACCTTTCCCCCCCCAATTTCATGATATCCAATTGGTAGTTAGTCTTGTCCCATCCTCGCAACTCCCGTACGGACTCGGGAGAGGTGAAGGTCGAAAGCCATGCGTCCTCCGAAACACGACCCTGCCAAGCCGCACTGCTTCTTGACACACTGCTCGCTTAACCCGGAAGCCAGCCACACCAATGTGTCGGAGGAAACACTGTATAACTGGCGACCATGTCAGCGTGCATGCGCCCGGCCCGCCACAGGAGTCGCTAGAGCGCGATGGGACAAGGACATCCCGGCCGGCCAAACCCTCCCCTAACCTGGACAACGCTGGGCCAATTGTGGTCCACCTCATGGGTCTCCCGGTCGCGGCCGGCTACGACACAGCCCGGGATCGAACCCGGGTCTGTAGTGACGCCTCAAGCACTGCGATGCAGCGCCTTAGACCGCTGCGCCACTCGGGAGGCCTGGAACAGCACCCTTTTAATCCTCATAAAGGCCAAGCAATGACTCATTGCCTGGCCTTCACATAGGCTAATTGCATGCGACTCACCGGGGCATCCCTGGACTGGAGGCAGAGGTTTACACACGTTGATGAAGAAACTGCGTTTCTTGGCCTGCTCAGAAGTGTCGATGGCCACCCAGGGACTGTCTTCACTGTCCCTGCTCAGGTGACTCAGGTCATACTCGTTACCATGGGAATCTGAAAGAGTAGGACAAACAATCACTCTGTGAATCCAGGATGAGAAGCTGAACAATATCTTTCAATTAATGAGAAGACCCATTTCTATGACCAGTTTGATAAAGTGATATACGCCACGTTAGAGCCATACTGAAGACATCTATATCGTGACCCCAATCATGTGAAAAAAGTATTTAATTAACAGCCAATGTTAACTTTTTTATTTGGGGCTATGGCAGTCAATAGCAAAACATTCTAACAGTAATTCTGATTGTGTTCTCAACTCGCATACAGTACATTTAATGTGGGGCTATGACAGTCTATTGCAAATTAGTCTGAAATGTCTAATGCCGTGTTCAAAACAACTGGGAACTCTGAAATCTCAGACTTTTGAGCGTTCAAGAGAACTCGGAAAAAACAAGCTCCGACTGGGAAATATCGTTTTGAACAGTCATCCAACTCGGAAGTCGGGAACTCGGGCCTCTTTCTAAAGCTCCGACTTTCCGACCTGTAGATCAATGATGTCATGATTTGACCTAGTTTTTTTTCTAGAGTTCCCAGTTGTCTTGAAAGCACCATTATCTCACCACCACTAATGAGATGGGTGTGCTTGATGCATGTCGCGTCAGAGCTTCTCAAAGTCAGGAGCTATGGTCAACAGTGCGCACCTCATCTCTGGTGTCACATCCAACCTGGATTGATATTTGGTTTTAATGCAGACGAGAGAACAGCTGAATCCAGCTTCACACAGATATGCGCTGGCGAAGGGTACCATGAGTTGTAATGCTCTGTGGGAGACGGCAGGGTATTATTCCCTTTGAGTCAGGAACCAAAAGTCCTCCGTAGTGACCCGTGAAGCCGTCGTCTGCAGCATTCGGTCACATGACAGCTCGAGAGGACCCACTTGACTGTTGCACTTGAATAGTTCCGATTCAAGCGCAATGGTCAAGTGCGGCCTTTTCCCACAATCTAAGGGCACTCTCTGGTGGAATTGTGTATTTTAGATTTCAATCATTTTTATTTTTATTAAGGTTATCCACATTACAATGATTTTGAGATACAAAGACGATACTTTAAAAAACATATATGTTTTTCTTTTTTGGGGGATTTTGGAAATTCGCAACCTCTAGTTTGGGAACCGCTGCATTAACAGTTTTGTTCCTACCAGTGACCCGACAATCCACAGGGGCAGGGATGCATGCCAGAGCTGTGGAGAACTCAAAGAGGACATCATGGGTGACGAGTGTGGACGAGCTGAGCTCCTCTCGGACCAGTTTCAGAGTGCCGAGGTGGGCGTCCTGGTCACAAACAAAACTAACGGTGAAGGTGTCCCTGGTGCCTGGGGGGGAGAGGGAGGAAACAAGTTAGTGCTCAGACTAAAACATTCATAACCTGACTTTAGTACACTTTAGTGTCCAAAACATGCATTTAGTTCAGACTTCCATATTCCAGCAATGCTAATTTAGCCACAGTGTTAGCCCGTTGGTGAGTGATGATAGTTGGATCCATCGACTGTACCTGTAGTCCTCTTCATGTCTCCTTTGTATGTGAGTGTGAGCAGGCCGTCAGTAGAGTACTGTGGAGATCTCTCCACTCCCACAGGACTAACAACCTGGCCATTGTCCAGCTCACAGCCAGCTACAGGCTTCCCCTGGTCCTTCCCACACTCTGCCACCTCGCCACAGATATTCACCTGGGGGGAGGACAGTGTCATATAGTCAGGCACAGTGCCCAACAACTCTACTACACGAAAAATGTGCTTCTGTACATTTCACTCCAATAGCAGACAAGAAATTCACCCCAGGAAGGGCTAGCCTTGGGCTAGCCTTGGGAAATACACATTATTCACAATTTCTGCTATGAAGGCCTGAGGACACAAAACTAAGACAGCTTGACTGTGACTTACCACAAAGGTTTTCCCATTGCCTTCAGCCTTGTAGCCAGTCTTGGAGGCCAAAGGAAGCAGATTGAACTCAAAGCCAGTGTTGGGATCCCTCACAGAGCAGGTCTGCCATAGAATAGAAGACAGAACCATCAACAAAAATAATTGATGAGACCAATCTAACAGAAGGTCTTTACAGACATCATGCACCCATTTCAGGGGAAATGGAAAGAAAGCCTGTGATGTGACTTCCGCTTTTGGATGTTAACAAAGCGACATTGCATCTTAACTCCTCCTCCACATTTACTGGATTGGTTGAACAGTACAGAAGAGAACCTACCCCGACAGTACACATTTTTCTGTCAGGACTAGAAAGAAGCACCGCTCAGGCGTTTCTTTTACACCTGCTATGTTAGGTTAGACATCATGACAAACATTATAATGCTTCCAGTTGATGTGTAATGTAACAGCTCACCATGTTCTTGTCATCAGCCGTACTGATGGCACAAGCTGCCCCGGTCTCCCACATGAAGTTGGTAGTACAGTTCCCATAATTGAGGAAACGAGGGCCGGACGACTGCAGATACACAGACAAAGACAGGCACATCTCAGTGTTACAATCCTAAGCAGACATTATGACATAAAGATTAAACAAAACCAGATTTATTTTTGACACAGTGCCCTATAAATATGCCATTCCACTTACCACAGATCCTCTGGAGCAGACCAGGTGGATGCGTGTGGTGTGGGTGAGTTTCAGGCCGTCTGAGATGCACTCAGAGCCGTCTGTGTACTCCAGCAGCAGGCGGTCCTTCTCCTCGATCGCTGGACCGCTCTTAGCCAGGCCCATGTTAGTGACAGAAACTGTTTCAGACAGAATGCCCTGTTGACAACAACACAGAGAAAGTCCAGAGTCACGTCGAGCTACAGTACTAAGACAGACCCAGAGTGAATGGCTACCAGAACCAGAAGAGGGATACTATCAACCTTACCTTCAATTTATATAAACAACAAAAAAAAAAATATTTTTTGGGGGAATAGTGTCAACTTTTTAATGCTGTTTATTAATGCGCTGTTTTCCAGATAACACCATTTGTCAGACACTAATCTGGTTATATGAGGAAACTGAAGTGCAAGTTCCATGACCCAAACAGTGTTTAACACACATCCTAGTGAGTAAAACTCATCCTACAGGACATCCTGTATTTCTGACACTAACCTGCTGAGGCTGGTATTTCATCTGGCAGACGGAGGCCTGGCGGTCACAGCCCTGCACGGCGTTCAGAGGACGACACACGTTGATGTAGTACTTCCTCAGGTTGATAGGGTCAGACAGGTCCATGGCCTGCCAGTTCCTCCCTCCACTAGACCGGGAGAGACTGGGAGAGAGGAGGGTTACACACATTATTCCTCAAATATTGTTTCATGTCTGCCTTCATTGGACATTACTAGGACTGGGAGATTTTCATGACCTGACCAGTATAAATTCTAAGCCGTAGTCATTGACCACGTTTACATGCCCACAGTATTCTGGATAGTAGCTCATATCCAGCTTAAGGTCTTATTCGAGATAAGCTATTTACATGCACCTTTGAATCCCGCTCACCGGTATCCCTGTATTCATGAATAAACATAATATTCCTAATTTAAGTTCATATGGGTTAAATGGAATATTAACTGAAATATGGACACTGACTGTAAGCCTATAACCTCTCACATGTAGCCTAATACAATATTAACTCTTGCAGAATTATGCATTTCTTGCAGTAAAATGATTCACCGAATGTTCATTTTGTCTCAGGGAACAGGAGTGGAGAAATATGATTTATTTCTTTCAGCATCTATTGAGAAAATGCGAATGCGTATGTAACGTGTTATCTTTGACACTGTTATGCAAGCAGACAGTATTTCAAACACATAAAATATGCACCCAAAACAAACTGAAGTCTTATCAGAAAAGTGCTTCATCGTTTTCTCAGCTTTTCATTTCCTTAAAACTGGTCAAACTGATGACATTTGGACATTTTGCACAGGAACAATCTTCCCACTGTTTTGGAATTATTGTGTTTTCTCCCCGGTCCCTAAACGAAACAGACAACTTATCCGGTGTTAACTAGATTACTGATGCATTCATTCTATCAATGTAAGACATTATTCTGGTGAGCACTACTTTATTTAGTCTTCTGGGGCAACAAGTTATGACAGAAGAGAAGCTGCATGTATCTAACTAACTATAGTTGACAAACAAATGGCCTACCAAATGTAGGAAATTATAATATGGCCTACCAAATGTCGGAAATTATAATATGGCCTACCAAATGTCGGAAATTATAATATGGCCTACCAAATGTCGGAAATTATAATATGGCCTACCAAATGTCGGAAATTATAATATGGCCTACCAAATGTCGGAAATTATAATATGGCCTACCAAATGTCGGAAAGTATAAGCAGAAACATGTCTAAATTAGGGGTGAAAGTAGCCAGTAGGCTTCACAGTCCAGTACGGAGTATCAGCAAAATAAATGATTATGGTGGATATACAGTAACTGCGCAGGTAGCCTACTTTTTGAAGTGATTTGTTTGACAATCAGATGAAAATATCATCACACAACACCCATAATATGCGAAACTGAGCAAGCGCACTGTGAAAAACAACAGTACACAGGATAAGGTGTTTACATGCCACAGTATCCCGTCTAAGATCAGCATATCCCAGGCATCTTATCCGGGTTTCTCATAACCAGGATACAAGCTTTTTCCGGTTATTGTAAACGGGATATGATGTTTATTTGCGTAAACTCAAAAACAGAATACTTGAGTATCCCAAATAATAATGGGATATTAGTGTGCATGTAAACGTGGTCACTGTCTACACCTGGAGTTTTTCCAGATCAAGCTTTGTGTTCTGGGAAAATCCCTGGCCCTAGTCATAACATATCCTTGTGCAGGGGTCTCACCTGGAGAGGTCATACTGGTCCAGTGTGTTGGGGTCTGTCACCACACACTCATGTGGCCTCTCTGGGCAGGCGTAGGATGTATACCACCTGAAGTTATAGGTGTACTTGTCTTCAACCTGTGAGGATCAATATGGTTATGAAAGTGGTATATTCATGGTCAATTATTATACAGGTGAATCACTGCATAGGTGAATCATATGAGGAACTACTTATTAGAGATTGGATGAGCTCTGTCAGCAGGACATGACATGACCCAGTCAGTACCTGAAACTCAGGCTTGCCGGCGCCGGCCTCTCGGTCACAGAGGAATGAGATCATAGTGGAGCGCAGAGTGTGCTGCATGTTGTTGTACTGAGAGCCGTTACCATAGGACAGCTTGATCATCCCATCATAGTAGGACAGCTGAGAGTTAAACTCCCCCAGGCTCCATGAGTTAGAGCCACTGTAACAGACAGACGCACCAAACACAAGAACAGAAGCTGTAGTATTACTACATCCTAAAACAGACAGTACATTCAGACCTCCTCTAACATTAGCCTGAACTCTAAAGCACATTTACAAAGCCCAGATATACGTTTTTTCCTACTACTGTTAGTGGGCATGTCCACCTCCTCTATATTCATAAGGATTTAGTATGATAAAACATGCCTCTGGTCCACCTGACAGGCCCCTGCTTTCAGAGGGCATTTGGCTGCAGTGACAGAGCCACAGACGTTAATGAAGTAGTCATAATCTCCATTGGACATGTTGTAAAAGCCTCCTCCAGGTTTAGACAGGGGGGACAGGTCAAATGAGAACCCTGTAGAGTGAAGACAAAAGAGAAACAGTTATAGTAATGCATTAAAACAGCCATAGTGCATATCTCCATTGCTGGCAGGCATCTGGGTCCAGTGACCTACCAGCTTGGGGGTCTTCCACCTTGCAGTTGTCCCCCACTGTCCTGGACATGACGCAGGCTGCAGCCGTGTACCACTCAAACTCATACACACAGCCATCACTGGACACACTCCGCATGATGGGGGCGCTCTCTAGGTCACCTGGATAGGAGGACAGGGGGTTTTGGGGGGGGGAAGAGGGGACACACAAAGAAAGTCAGGAGGAGTTGAACAGGTAGACTGAATGCTAGCTAGCTCCACTTTCAGACAATTCATTGTTCACCTTCAACTCTGCGACTAACTTACAAGTCTATCTCCCACTCACCTGGCTTGCACTTCAGAATCATGATAGTCTTCATTTTCATGTTCTTCCTGCATTCATCTCCTTCTGTGTATACCAGGCGTATGTCGTTGCTGTCATTTCTTTTTGTAGGAGAGGTGAGGAATTTGCCCAAGCTGATGACTTTGTCTTTTCCTAAAAGATAGGATTGGATAAATGTTTTAAGGACAACAAACATCTTTGTTTCTCAGATTTGATAGAATGCTGTGTATAGATTGGCATCAGGGGCTGTATTCATAAAGTGTCTGAGTAGGAGAACTGATCTAGGATCAGGTCCCCCTGTTCTTTCATAATCTAAAGAGGCAAAACTGATCCTAGAGCAGCACTCCAACGCCGAGACGCTTTATGAATACAGACCCAGACCTTCTCCAGACTTACCCACGGCGCAGATGGCAGCGTCCTCAGGGCATGTGCTGGTGGCCCCCTGCTGGAGGACTTTGTGACACACGTTGACGTAGAAGCGCATCCTGTCTGACTTGGGTGCGTTGGCATCCACAGCCTCCCAGTTCTGGGCCGACTCAGACTCTGAAAGACACAGATAACACCACGAACAGAATGTTATGTGGTTTAACCTCCATATTTAAATATGTTAGAGCTCATACTCATCTTTCGGATCACTTTCACTTCAAGTGTAAAATTGGAAGTCAGGTCCTGGGCATTTACATTCATACATGCTGATCTTCAACTCAAGGTTTCAGTACTATGTCTGCTATAGCCCATATAACATCTCTCTATGAATCGAGATTATCCAGGACTCTTACCAGGGTAGCGTGTTAAGGGGGACAGATCATAGTGTTTATACTGGCTGACCCTGCAGAGTAGATCCTCCTCCACCTCCTTGACACAGGCGTAAGCCGACTGCCAGTCAAAGTAATAGGTGCAGTCTGTTTCACCAGCGAACACCGGCGAGCCTCTGCCATCGTTTCCTGGGAATCACACAAATGAGGAATGAGGAAATGAGGAATAATGAGAACGTGATGGATAAGACATGGATTTCTGTCTTAGGGGAGGGACCTCTACAGAATAAAGTATTGTTCATTTAAAAGGGCCTTGTTTTCTTCTTAGACATGCTATGGGTTATGCTCACCTGCTGTTTTGTTGCACTCAAAGTTGATGATGGTCATGCGCTGAAAGCCAGAGCTGCACCTGCTCCCATCTGGATAGATCAGAGTCAGATCGCCATCTGAGTACCTGGAATAGAGTGAAATAAAACATTTTGTAATGTTACAAATTACAAAGAGAAGGAGAGATAAGCTGAGATGGAGCGCGATGAAGAGAAATAGCAAGAAAATATGTATTTATATTAAACAACCTTAGTGTTTGATTGTGGTATCTCCCAGCTATCTTTTTGCTCGGATCTCCCGTTGCTTTGACTTGGCAGGCAGACACATACTGATGGTCGTCAACACACTCTCCTGCCTTGACCTCCCCACACACATTCAGGTAGTAGAAATAGTTGTCCTTCCCATCGCTGCTCTTGGCCTCAGCCATATAGGGGACGTCTGTAGCTACACAGACAGAACGTGACACATTGATATTAGTTATATATATTTCAACACGTATCATTCACTGTTAGAGGAACTAGATTCAACTGTGAATTGAATTAACCTGAGTCAGTGAGAATTAGAAACGTCACATGATTACTCATAGTGTTACACAAAAAATATGCATTGCCAAATGTTTCTCAAAGCCTGTGTGTGGGGCTGGCGGACTCACAGCCGAGGGTGAGGTGGGTGAGGTCTATGTTGATGTTGTGCTGCTTGCTGGTCAGGGTGCAGTTGTGGCTCTCCAGGTAGTCTCTGTGGCAGGCATACTCCGTCACCCACTCTACCTCAAACCTGCAGTTGGACTTGGCTGTCATCTTGGGGTCACTACCCTGTAATGGCAAGGTCAAAGGTCACACATGACAAAAATGACATCTTATAGCCATAACTGCCTCAAGGAAATGTTGTAGTTTAATCCAAAGTGTTAAAGTGTAGGTTGACATGGAGCATACTTCTATTTGATGAATTACCACTATTCTATATAAAAATACTTTCTGCAGTATGATGAATAGTATGGTTTGATCAATGGTGGATCCATGGGACAGACACCCAGGTCTCTATTACCTCCTGCCTGCGTGAAGGGCAGATGAAGGTGATAGTGACAGCAGGGGTGTGGCCGCTGCAGAAGTCCGGCGGGCTGTCCGAGGCTCCCTCGTATCGCAGCCTCAATCTGGCACGGTGAGAAAGAGAGAGAAAAATCAGCCGTTCAGTAAGGCAATGCAGCTCTGGAGCTGGTCGATAACCAAGAGGTCAGCATGAAGGTCGCACAGCAATTATCAAGCTTGAGGTAGACTAGAGACAGAGGATGCTAGCTAGCGATTAGCATGGCCTGTGTTTGTGTGTGGAGAGGTTAGCGTTAGCATGGCTATACCTGTCACTGAAGGCCAGCTCTAGCTGGGTAGTGGGTAGGCCCATGCTGAAGGAGCCCTTGCTGGTGGTCAGGCAGGCAGCAGAGCTCGCGGGGCAGGGGCTCTCTGGTCGGTCTGGGGAGGAAGCAGAGCCATTTTTGTCACAATACGAAGCAATAAGAAAAACCACTGGCACTAACATCTTCAATCAATCATAAGACAATTAATACTATTAAAGAAACTTACTTAGGCTTCTGCATATGTTAATATAAAAGTCAACTTCATCATCGGAGTCATCCACCAGGTAACCATCTGTGAGTTTGATGAGTGGGTTCAGATCATGCTTTTTCCCATCCGTGTCAAAGACATAGCATGGGACCTAAACAGAGTTAAAAAGGTAGAATTACAACATGACAGGATTGGTCTTCTACTTTCAGTGTGTTTCGGTACATACTGTAACTGATGTCCAATATGAGTTGACATTTCAATGAAAACACATTTCCTTTATTCTATTTATTATTTTCTCTACACAAGAGACAGCGAGTGACTTTCTGAGAACTCATGGGACTATGTGACAGGCACATTCTCCAGTGTGGAAAATCTCAGACTCACCTCCCCCAACACAGGGGGACCACTGCGGCCTCACACACACACACACACACACACGCATGCCTGCATTCAAAGAGGTGAGACACACACACACATCCTGCTGTGTCAGCTGCACTTCACTATTCAGACATACCTCTTTATTGGGCTTGTATTTATCCTTTTTGCAGGCTGCATATGTTCTCCATTCAAAGTAATGAACACACTGGGCCACAGTAACAAACTCTGGTGTTCCCTGGGGGTAAGAGCAAAAACATTTTAGTTGACATATGACATGACAGTTTCATCTCCTCTCTGCTACAATATGTGTGATGACATACAAGGAAGTCACTACTTGAGGAACTGGACTACCACCATTATTGTGTTTGTTCAGTTGCAAAGCTACCGTTCCAGCTATGATCACTGTCAATACACACAACTGCTTATCAACAGGCAGGCCTGGTATTCTTTTTTATAAAGATATTACATCACTATATGCTACTTAATATAAATGTTTAATTCATTGTTCTGTTCCTAGAGACAACTTAAAATGTTCAATAAAGAGACCACCACAGTGGTTGCAGTTTCATTTCACCACCAGACTGACAAAGAACAGACATGCTTTGCGGTGAAATTCTTCTCAAACTAAACCCACAAGTCTAATTTGACAGGAAATTCATAAGAAACCTTCAATACATATATTTTCCATGACTACTCTTCATTTGTAATGACAGGTGTCACTGGGTGACTTACCATAGTCTTCCCACACTGGAAACTGATGCTGCTCTGGACATTAGTCCCACTACTGCCTGGGCACTTCTCAGTGCTGTTGAAATCTATCACGCTGCGCCCAGTCACCTTCTTCAAGGATAGATCACCTGAAAATAGAAGTGGATGAGTGAGAAACACATACCTCTTAAACATGCAAATGCTGAAAGAAGTAATATAATTGTTTAAGGATTTCAGTAGGCTATACTGAACATTGCACTACCTACAATACAAACTCAACAGTTCACCAAAACCCAGAACTTTCCCAGTGGTTTCTAGTGGATGATTAATACAGGTTTCAACTGAATCTGAAGCCTCTACCAACTCCCACTATCCCTACAGTGGTGGGGTCAAAGCATTACGGCACAGGGTCAGGAAGGGTTAGTAGTCGAGGACATTTTTCTGCCGAGCTGTCTGGCCGTGTACAGTCCAGAGAGATAAACAGCATGGGAATGTGACCCACTGGACAACACTGCCCGTCTCTGTCTGCTCTGCCAACAGCCTGGCCCCTGGGCAGGCTCCATACATACAGTTACAGCTAAACTTCAACCGGAGAGAGAACAGAGCAGAGAGAAACTTTATGACCAGATATAACCAGTTATTCCCCTCGAACCACATTGGCTGGAGTTTCTGTTTCCCAGGGGCAGAATCCAGCAAGGACTAACTGCTTTTCACAGCAGAAAACTACTTCTTAGGGATAGGTGATGAGGTTTAGGGGGCAGCACCAACTGCAAAGCTGTATGTACCCATCACTAGCCTATCTAAAATGTTCTACCGCTTTTCCCAGATAGCACTGCATAAACACACTGCTATTAGCTTTTATTGATTGTACTGTATTTTGATTGCAGTGACTGTATCCACTGCTGTGTTAGTGAACACTGTCACACTCACAAGTTCCATTGTAATCCCCTTCATGCTCACTGCACCATACTTTTTCGCTCATATATCTTCAGTGTCATAAATTAAATCTATTCAGCAGTGCCTAGAGCTGACAAATTGCTACTCAGCTGACCCAGTAACATAAATTACTAAACAATAGAGGTGACATGGAAGAATCTTTTTTTGTACGATATTATTTATATATTTTTTCTCAAACAATAACAACCATACATAAACAAAAGACAAACAGACGCACACAAATTTCAACAAAGATATCACACCTGCTCAAACCCACGTTGCCACCGCAAGCATACACATCACGTATCTCACAACGACACTCCCCCTCATCCTTCCCCTGGAACTTTCCAGTATTTGTAGCACTCTGTCATATGCCCTCAAATTGCATTGTTCAATTTTTCTCCAAAGTCCACACCTTTTCAATATTTAAATAATAATACTACATTTGATGAATCAAATCAAATCAAATTTTATTGGTCACATGCGCCGAATACAACAGGTGCAGACATTACAGTGAAATGCTTACTTACAGCCCTTAACCAACAGTGCATTTATTTTTAACAGTAAAAATAGAGTTAATGTGACTATGCATAAATAATTAACAGAGTAGCAGCAGCGTAAAAAGGATGGGGTGGGGGGGGGCAGTGCAAATAGTCACGGTAGCCATGATTAGCTGTTCAGGAGTCTTATGGCTTGGGGGTAGAAGCTGTTGAGAAGTCTTTTGGACCTAGACTTGGCACTCCGGTACCGCTTGCCGTGCGGTAGCAGAGAGAACAGTCTATGACTAGGGTGGCTGGAGTCTTTGACAATTTTGAGGGCCTTCCTCTGACACCGCCTGGTATAGAGGTCCTGGATGGCAGGAAGCTTGGCCCCAGTGATGTACTGGGCCGTACGCACTACCCTCTGTAGTGCCTTGCGGTCGGAGGCCAAGCAGTTGCCATACCAGGCGGTGATGCAACCAGTCAGGATGCTCTCGATGGTGCATCTGTAGAATTTTTTGAGGATCTGAGGACCCATGCCAAATCTTTTCAGTCTCCTGAGGGGGAATAGGCTTTGTCGTGCCCTCTTCACGACTGTCTTGGTGTGTTTGGACCATGATAGTACGTTGGTGATGTGGACACAAAGGAACTTGAAGCGCTCAACCTGTTCCACTACAGCCCCGTAATGATGGAAGATCATTTGATTTCCAGTTTTTTAAGTAGAAGTTTTTTCAAAATCATTGCCGAAAAAAGTATGGTCCACCCCATTGGGTTTCTCACTGCACCCTCATATGCCATGTCTTGAAATATGCAGCTATGGGGATTCAAAGTAAACTTGCATTGTAAAACTTCTGACAGCCAACTTTCTAACTACGCCCATCATTTTTGGACTTTATTGCACTCCCAGAAGGCATGAATTATTGAGTCCTTGTTAGTTTTACACTTAAGACATGACTCTGCCGTTGTGCTGTAGAATTTGAATAATAAATTCTATACATTCGTTTATACTGGATTAAGCATACATTTTCGTTAACTGTCATTTCATTAGTTATGTTCCAACACTCCCTGCATCTTGCGCCTATATCAGTTCTTTTTAAGTCTTGATTCCAATAGTTTATATTTTTTTCTAAGAGATTGTCAGTTGGATAGGCTCTCTGCAAGGTTTTGTATGTCTTAGCTATCATATGAGTATCTTTATCTGAGTCCCTCAACATTGCTCTGATGTCCAAAAGCTTTCAGGTCAAAACCATGATATAAAACTTTTAAAAGGTGCACTATGCAGAAATCGCTCCACCATCTCCTGGTTGCTAAAATTCTAATAGGTCGCCTAATTTCAGTTTATGTGACAAAACAAGCAAGTATAGTGTAGAGAATCATTGTACCATCTAAACCGCTGTGAAATATAGCTGGTGTTCAAAACCGAACACAAACGACGCAAAAACGAAACTTAAGAACGGGAACCATAGAAATAGTGCACATAGAACAGATATACCGCTTTTTAGACTTGCTTTCAATTAGAATGACAGATCTATAACTCACACTTTTATGTGAATTTGGTGGAGTCGCCCGAAAAGCTGCATATTGCAGCTTTAAGTTACATATATCTGAAAATGTCTACATTGGTCAGTCCAAAATTGCTTTTTAAATCTGTAATGGAAATTGTATTTCCTATTACCATGTCATTTACGGTTTCTATGTCTTTAGTTTTCCATGTGGGCCAATTTATCGATGAATAATTTATCGGTGAATTCATAAAAGCTATCCAAGGATTGTTCCATAGGGGTGTGTTTTTTAGGGAGTGATATAGGTTCTTGTAGAATCTGTTCAATTTCTTCCATGTTGTTAACTATGAAGTTGTTAATGATCTTAGCTCCTTCCTTTGAAAACAAACACGTGAAAAGGTCCCCTGTGGCTCAGTTGGTAGAGCATGGTGCTTGCAACGCCAGGGTTGTGGGTTCGTTTCCCACGGGGGGCCAGTATGAAAAATGTATGCACTCACTAACTGTAAATGACTAAAATGTAGATGTAAAAGATTCTGGGGATGAGCATGTGCATCATCAATATGTACGCATCGTTAATCTTTAGTGCATTTAACAATATATCTCAAGTAAAAGTATTGGGTGGCGAATTGATACAATTCCAAATCTGGAAGGTTAAAACCACCCTCAGATTTAGGCACTTGCAAAACTTTACTATTTATTCTATGAGTTTTATTTGCCCATTTGATGTCTGTTATGGACGAGTATACTTTTTAAAAGAATGTCTTCATGGGGTAATAGATATAAAAACTTTGGGAGCCATGCCATTCTAAAAGAGATTTGTTCTACCTGTAAGATTTATCGTGAGGTTATTCAATTTAATTAGATCTGCTTTCATGTTGTTGAGTAATGGAATAAAGTTATCTTTATATATTTGTTGTCACTTATTAAGCATCCTATGTATTTAATATTTTTTGTGGTCCACTTAAAGTATTGCTGTAGATCATGAGTTATTATTTTTCTTATTGCCATTATTTAAACAAAAAAATCACGTACATTTTTTATCATGATATTTTAGACTATTACGAAAATACTTTTAAAAAGGGGGGGCATTGAGTTTTCAATATTAGTCAGGTATATCAGGAGATCGTCGGCAAATAAGTTTAGTTTATATTCATGTTTACCAATACTGATACCTGTTATGCTTGGGTCCTGTCTAATTATTTCTCCAAGCAGTTCAATTGCCTCGTACCCCTTTCTAAAGCAACTTCATCAGATAATGCATTATTTGTATATATTTTTGCTTTAGGATATTTATATAATATTTTTATGACGGATTATTTCAGCTGGAAAGTTTAATGCTTCCAAAGTTCTGAATAGAAAAGTCCACTCAAGACGGGCGAAGCCTTTTCGGCATTAAGAGCCATTATTGATAAATGTACATCTTGTTTTTTAGCATATTGTATTATACTAAATCATGTATTTGTTTGTGTCTATTTTTAATAAACCCTGTTTGAGTAATATTTATAAAGTCTGGTAATACTTTTGCCATTCTGTTGCTAATGAGTTTTGTTATTGTCTCAATTTATTAAATGTATGGGTCTAATATGCAGGGGACTCTCCAGATTTTCCTGGTTTTAATACAACTGAAATAACTGTTTGATACATGGAACTCTGAAGCACTGAATTGAGTGGCATGTGTTGTCATTTGAGTAAGTAGGGGCACTACTTTGTCCCAGAATATCAAATAAAATTATATGTGAAAGCCGTCCATCCCTGGTGCTTTTCTGGAAGGTTTTAACGCATATTATGCAAGGTCAATTGCCTGCATGGAAGCAGCCTGGTGGAATTCAGAGCAAAGCTGTGTGAGAGGATTTCAAAGCATGCAAATTGTCTGTTCCATGCTTATCAGTGTTTCTATGTTCCATAGCATGAAGTCACAGTCATGTGAACAGGCAGCTGCTCTGGTTCACCTTTAACCTCTGATTATTCCTACACAAAAGACAGGTTAGTCGCTACAGTAGTTATCAGCATTAGATCCGTCAGAAGAGCCCCTTCCTGTCCTACTCTCACACTGAGAGATTGTCGAATTGAGACCATGGTGTCATACCAGCTGTAGGCATTTCTCTGATGTAGACTTTAATCATGCCTGTTTCTTCCTGAGAGTGACCTAACACTGACTTGTCACTGAGCGAAGGTCATGACCAAGTGCCCCGGGAATAGTCTAGCCCAGTAACCCTGTTCCCTGCCACGGTCTTCTTACAATGTATATTCATTCGTACAGATTCACTGGAGCTTAAAAAATGTATGAGTAAGTCCATGTAAACCACAAAAGATTTATAGCTGAAACAGCTAGCCTATATTTGACGAGCAAAACCACTTCTCTGAAATGCTTAGCTACATCAGGACCAAAGTGAAGCAAAACCAAGTATCAAGCTGTGTGATTCAATTAGTTTGATATCGTTGCTTCCTCTGTTTACAGCAAAAGCTGAGGATAAGGCTCCTGTGTTTTCAGTTTGGGGATTTTATGACATTCCTTACAAATACTACAGGAAAAGCCTGTGTCATCATTGAGGATCAGTCTGATAAGATAAACTCCCAGTAAAAGGTAGCCTACCTTTTAAGTCTTGTTTTGACTGACCAGACCTTACTCTTGACATATAACCATTACCCAAACTTAGTCCTTTATCACAAATTGTGTCTTTACGCAACAGCATTAAACCGACACTTCAGTGAAACAAATAAACTGAATCAATGGGCATTGACTTGACTGACATCTGACTGGAAGCCTTTAAGGCCCCTCATTACAAGGTGTTCATGTTGCTACTGCTGACCCCCACTGTGTCCTGACAGCAGAATCCACAACAGTGATCTATTTTCCAGCAGCAAAACATTCTGCCTTATCAGCAGGGCAGCTCATCAGATGCCAACCTCACTTAATGAACCCTCAGCACATCCTCCTGACAGAGGCAGAGCCCTGTACTAGACTTTGGGCCAGGGCTTTAAAGTGCGACGAATTTTGGCGGTAGCAACATCACTATCAGGCAGCCGTATTTGACATGAAACTGGTGGCAGCCCAAACCGGTCAACAGGCAGAGCTCATTGAGATAGAGATTCAATTTAACACATCTTACTGCATTGCCAAAGAGGAGATGGCTTTTATGAAATTCATACCCATGTTACTCACCCAGAAAAATGATGGATTAAAAATCAACCTGACATATGGAAAGTGTCCTGCGCAAACATTATTGGTACCATCGCGGACACTATCCGGGAAGTTGAATTATTAGCTAGATTCTAGATCAAATAAATGTATTAGTTATTCTGAGGAGAGACTAAACATTTATTTAATTATCCAAGTATCAGTTCTGTCAGCATGTTTCCTTGTTACAACATTAATATTATTACAGTTTTGTATTGTTATTTTTATTATTATTATTAAGATTATCTGAATGCAGTAATGGATAACAGTTTACAGTTGCACTTTTAAATAGGATAAAGGTTATGTTTTAATCACCTATATAAAAATGGTTGCTGTTGCACTTTTGAATACAATTATTAAAATGTGTTTTTATTCTAATGTCTTGCCCAATCTCTAGTGATGCGTTCTACATAATCAAGGTAACAACTGATGACAATTAAGAATGATAGGACAGTCATTTGCAGTAAAAAAGTCGTATTTTTTTCTGGTGCTCCTAAATTTTGTCTGGTGCGCCTTACTTTTAAAGTTAGGAGCTCCAGTGCTACCAATGAAAAAAGATAATTTAGAGCCTTGCTTAGGGCCAATAGTTTTCCCTCAGCATAAGTTACCAGACCAGGAAAAACTCTGGAGCCTTCTAAGGGGCTACAAGGGCCTGTGCCCAGTTGGTCCTGACCAGATCACACTATCAGGGAAAATTCCTGTCCCTAACTATACTCACCCACTGACTGATCATTTTGACTGGTGAGGTTGCGGGCACAGACAGCACTACCGGCCCCACATCCTGTGTTAGGTGAGGAGTCACAGAGCTTCAGTGTGTATTTCACTTTGCTGTCCTGGTCTATAGCCTCCCATTTGAAACTGGAGCAAAAGTGAAGAGAAGAAAAAAAAAAAATCACATGTAGAAATGCATTTGTTAACATTCACACAATCTCAAAGTTTACATAAAGCATACACATTTTACTGTTTAGTTGTCTGTGTCCACAAACTAGGGGAAAAAACTATTCCTGGGGTCCAAACAGAAATCAAAACACAACAAATAAAACACATAATATACATAGTACTACATTTACATCACAATTTAGTCATTTAGCAGACGCTCCCATCCAGAGGGACCCACAGCTACTGCATTAATCTGAAGATAGCCAGGCGAGACAACCACTTAACACTACATAATACAATGCAAAATACAATACAAAATACATAAAAAGTGTGTCTCATAATAACACCCTGATCAGCCAACTGACTAGAGACACCACCTTTCTATCCAAACTGCCTCGTCAAAACTGGACCAGGGGCTACGGTTGCGTAATAAAATCAGACTTTTAATACCAATTGGATCTTGGATACAGTCAAACAATGCACTGCAAAATCGTGGAAATCTGCCTTACAAGTCAGAATGTTGAATAAAATTACATTTGAACTTACTCTACCAGCTGTCCTTCAGCTGCTCGACATTTGAGACAGAAATGTTAACTTCAGTAGGCCTACTGGCGCTCTAAAAAGTTGGGTAAACAATACTTTCCTGTGGATATTTTATCACCTGGCACATGCGCAAAACATTTTACATTTTAGTCATTTAGCAGACGCTCTTATCCAGAGCGACTTACAGGAGCAATATTAGGGTTAAGTGCCTTGCTCAAGGGCACAATGACAGATTTTTCACCTAGTCGGCTCGGGGATTAGAAGCAGCGACCTTTCGGTTACTGGCACAACGCTCTTAACCACTAAGCTACCTGCCGCCCCAAAAACCATGTAAACACCTGTTTGTATGCATGCATGGCGTGCATGTACTTCCGTCTTGTGCACCTGCCTTCGGTCATGAACAAACATCTTGATTGCCACACAAATAGACCCGCGTTTTGAAGTTATTTTAATAATACTTTCCTGTGGATATTTTGTGTCTAATTTCGACCAGCTGAAGGACCAACACCACCGACAATCGTTCAACAAAATAAAATCTTATTCAACATTCGACACACACACACACAACAGTACCAGTCAAAAGTTTGGACACACCTACTCATTCAAGGGTTTTTCTTTATTTTTACTATTTTCTACATTGTAGAATAGTGAAGACATCAAAACTATGAAATAACACATATGGAATCATGTAGTAACCAAAGAAGTGTTAAACAAATCAAAATATATTTTAGATTTTAGATTCTTCAAAGTAGCCACCCTTTGCCTTGATGACAGCTTTGCACACTCTTGGCATTCTCTCAACCAGCTTCATGAGGTGGTCACCTGGAATGCATTTCAATTAACAGGTGTGCCTTGTTAAAAGTTAATTTGTGGAATTTCGTTCCTTCTTAATGCATTTGAGCCAATCAGTTGTGTTGTGTGTGTGTGTATACAGAAGATAGCCTTATTTGGTAAATGACCAAGTCCATATTATGGCAAGAACAGCTCAAATTAGCAAAGAGAAACAACAGTCCATTACCTTAAAACATGAAGGTCAGTCAATAAGGACAATTTCAAGAACTTTGAAAGTTTCTTCAAGATTTGATGTCTTCACTATTATTCTACAATGTGGAAAATAGTAAAAATAATAATAATACCTACACACATATATACATATTTTTGTTACATTTTTGTCATTTAGCAGACTTACAGTTAGTGAGTGCATACATTTTATTTTTTTCATACTGGCCCCCGTGGGAATCGAACCCACAACACTGGCGTTGCAAGCGCCATGCTCTACCAACTGAACTACACGGGGCCCTATATATATATATATATATAAACTTTGTATCAGTGTACTGTATTTATCTAAATGCACTGTATAAGCTGCGTTTGTTGCTAAATACACTTTCCATTTGCTAAGAAGCTTTATACGCTCTTGTTTACTGTCATGAGTGCGCGAGCGAGCGGTGCCTTACCTGCAGAGGTCTTGGTACCAGAGGCTGACATCAGAGCCTGCTGTAACGGAGGGAAATGTAACCAGGACCGTTGTGATCGACACAAGTAACGTTACAACGATTTTCCAAGGCACAGCCTTGTTACAATTGCACAGTGAGTCCATGCTTTGTATCCAGTATTATAAACTACAGCGCCATGTCCGACATCATAGAGCAGAAGTCCGTAGTGTTCCAGGAACTGGGTGAATCACATGATAAACTCAACACGCGACAGAAGACGTCACGTGGTATGACCTTCCATGAGTCATCGTGAACAACATATTTGAATTTAGAGCACAACAAATGTCTGGAGGAACAAAAGACAGCAATTTGAAATGGGGTTAAAATCACAAGTAATCTATGCTCTCTGTGTATTCTCAGAGCACAAAAAAACGAATACCAGACAGTCCATCATCAGCCTTTGATGTTGCGCCGTTACACTTTTTCCATTGTTTTATTTTTTCCTACCGTAGAACTAGCCCAACTGGCCACCAGACGGCGCTATTATTCCTTTTGGACTACCGAAGAACAAACATTTCTATATAGCGAGACGGCTGAACTGCAATGCAGCCACAGAGTTTCTAAACCTGTCTTTGATGTAGCTTTAAATTATACACTGTTTGTTGCGATGAATGATTTTGAGAAACGACTTCCTTTCCTAAAATGCACATAGGGCATTGTGTATTTCTGGCGCCAGATGGCGCTGCACATGCGTGAAATGATCATGTTTACATGCCTACGTCATCAATGACTGCTCCATTTCAACGCCCACGGAGAATGCTGTACAGCTGGTAGAAAAATGACTGCGGCGACGATGGAAGGGGCCGATGTCCATAGGATGGAGCAGAAAAAGTTGGAGTATTTCTCATCCATCAACTCCATGGCCAGGAAAATAATGCAAGAAAGGGAGAACATCAAGGAGAGACATGGATCCGATTGGGAGAAAATGACACCGAATGAACAAGACAGCGCCATCGACAATGGAATGATGGACCCCCATATTCGGGCTCGATATGCTATGCATAGGGTTGACCGAGAAGAAGTCATTTGTTATCCTAAATTACTCATTCAGACAGGACAGAAAATAGTCCATTTTGGTGACGAGGTATGGACTCTTACCCCATTTGCAATGGTAGCCACATATATTTATTTTAGAGAATTAGCTACGTTTTCTCGCATGATTCCAAATAGCTAAAATGGCTAACATGCTAGCCACGACGAATATTTGGGCTGGTGGTAAACGTCACACCAACAACACAATGCAAGAGCGCGAGCTGGATCATATGGCCATTTTCATAATGGTCTTCGCCTTCTCCATGACATATTCAAATGAGCATTTATATGATAACATGCTCTGTCTGATTTAGACAAATCTGGGGAAATAGCCATTTATGTTTTGCACTAAATTCGCTGGATTATCAAAACATTCAGACAGCCAGGTAGTACAGTACTATAATCCAGTAATCTGACTGGCAGACTGTTTCTGCCTGTGAAGAGTAGTGGTTTATCACGAATCATCACACTTTGATGACAACATCTGTTTTTGTGTTCAATTTCAGGACATAACTTGGCAAGATGAGCACTCTTCCCCATTCTCCTGGGAGACCAAGGTGTGTATGACGGTGTCCTTCATGTTTTCTTCTATCATTCACAAGATTACCTTAAATTGATGTAGCGCTACACATTTTATTTTCTGTCAACACATCATCTCCCCTCTTTTTACAGAGCCAGTTAGACTTCAGCCTGACAACCGGTGAATCTGTGCAGGGCATCTCCTCTTCAACAGCTGATTACAAGCCAAGCAAAGTCACCCAGAGCAGCCAGCTGAGCAAGGTGACCCAGAGCAGCAAGGTGTCCAACAGCGAGAGCCTCGGCCTGGGCAGGAAAGAGGAGGAGTCCTCCTTCTGGAAGATCAGTGCTGAGAGATCCAGGCTGGAGGGTGAACAGGCAGACTTCCACTCCCTAACACCCAGCCAAATCAAGTCCCTGGAGAAGGGGGAGAAGCCACTGCCCTCCTATCTCCGTCAGGAGCCCACCCCCAAGGAGACAGAGGAGACCCCACCTCCGCCACGGGTGACCAAGCAGAGAGCCACCAGGCCGCCTGCGCCTCCTCCCCCTGTGCCCATCAGTGTCCCCCCCCCAGCAGCCATAAGTGTGACCCCTATGAGCGTGACCCCTACCCCTGCTCCTATCAGTGTGTCGTCCACTGTGGCTGGCTGGGAGCGTGCTCAGAGCACCCTCCCCTCAGTCAGCAACACAGTGGAGGACGTCTTCACTCCAGGGCTGGCCACCAAATCCCCGGGGCTGCCAACCAAGTCCCCTGCCCGCTCAGGCAACACTGCCAGAGACAGAGAGGAGAAGGCTGCTGCTCAGACTGAGTCTCAACTGGCCACCAGTCCAACCTTCGCTCAGGTGAGTTTCTGGAACAACCCATTGTGAGCGTCTGCTGAATGACTAAAATGTAAATGTTAAAACTGATCAAAGATATTTTGATCCAGAGAAATTGGCAACAGCATTTACCTGTGTATTAAGTCTAATTACTCTACTAACAAAATTGTAATAACATGTTGTTACATAGTACATTTACTTCATGTTGTGTGCACAGTTCTAATTGAGATTTCCTATTTTTCTCCTACCAGTTTAATACCAGCAGTAACCTCCTGAAGACCGGATTTGACTTTCTTGACAACTGGTAACAGCGGCTTCAAGCAACACAACTTGAGTGACTGGATCAACTCAACACTAGAAGGACCATTGTGATGACCATTTTAATACATGTATTAAGGAAAGCCAACTATTGAACTGACCATGTCTATTTATCTTAAATGGCTTGTTATGGCATATCTCACTACATGTGTGCTTCTGTCTCCCCACTGCCAGAACCCCCACCTTCCAGCTGTTACTCTACCTTTATTACTCTGACCTCGTACTAGTGCTAAGCATTACAGTAGTGTACACTAATGAGAAGCACTCAAATCGGTATGTTTAGGTAAGCCAGCATGTTAAGTGATTTATACCACTTGCAATGTAGATCTACAACCATTTTACAATACTAGAGAGTACTATTTTACAGAATTTTGTATGTGAACTATATTCATTGTATCATAATATGCTATATTGCACTCATGCATTTTGAAAACACAGATTCAAAGCAAATAAATGAAACGGAACCAGGTCATTGTTCAGGGATGAAGTTATTTTTAGACAGTGACAATATCAGCCCACCATGTGGCAGCAGAAAACTTGTGGGTTCAATTGAGAAAATCTCTAAATCCACAAATAGAGAATGAACTGTCTGAGCTGACAATTATTGCAAAGGGCAAACGTTTCAACAGACCTTCCCTTGCCCTGATAAAATTTGAGATGTAAAACCGTCAAAGCAGACCTATATGTACTGTATACAGTGGGGAAAAAAAGTATTTAGTCAGCCACCAATTGTGCAAGTTCTCCCACTTAAAAAGATGAGAGAGGCCTGTAATTTTCATCATAGGTACACGTCAACTATGACAGACAAATTGAGGAAAAAAAATCCAGAAAATCACATTGTAGGATTTTTTATGAATTTATTAGCAAATTATGGTGGAAAATAAGTATTTGGTCACCTACAAACAAGCAAGATTTCTGGCTCTCACAGACCTGTAACTTCTTCTTTAAGAGGCTCCTCTGTCCTCCACTCGTTACCTGTATTAATGGCACCTGTTTGAACTTGTTCTCAGTATAAAAGACACCTGTCCACAACCTCAAACAGTCACACTCCAAACTCCACTATGGCCAAGACCAAAAAGCTGTCAAAGGACACCAGAAACAAAATTGTAGACCTGCACCAGGCTGGGAAGACTGAATCTGCAATAGGTAAGCAGCTTGGTTTGAAGAAATCAACTGTGGGAGCAATTATTAGGAAATGGAAGACATACAAGACCACTGATAATCTCCCTCGATCTGGGGCTCCACGCAAGATCTCACCCTGTGGGGTCAAAATGATCACAAGAACGGTGAGCAAAAATCCCAGAACCACACAGGGGGACCTAGTGAATGACCTGCAGAGAGCTGGGACCAAAGTAACAAAGCCTACCATCAGTAACACACTACGCCGCCAGGGACCCAAATCCTGCAGTGCCAGACGTGTCCCCCTGCTTAAGCCAGTACATGTCCAGGCCCGTCTGAAGTTTGCAAGAGTGCATTTGGATGATCCAGAAGAGGATTGGGAGAATGTCATATGGTCAGATGAAACCAAAATAGAACTTCTTGGTAAAAACTCAACTCGTCGTGTTTGGAGGACAAAGAATGCTGAGTTGCATCCAAATAACACCATACCTACTGTGAAGCATGGGGGTGGAAACATCATGCTTTGGGGCTGTTTTTCTGCAACGGGACCAGGATGACTGATCCGTGTAAAGGATAGAATGAATGGGGCCATGTATAGTGAGATTTTGAGTGAAAACCGGGCAACGAAGGAGTGGCTTCGTAAGAAGCATTTCAAGGTCCTGGAGTGGCCTAGCCAGTCTCCAGATCTCAACCCCATAGAAAATCTTTGGAGGGAGTTGAAAGTCTGTGTTGCCCAGCGACAGCCCCAAAACATCACTGCTCTAGAGGAGATCTGCATGGAGGAATGGGCCAAAATACCAGCAACAGTGTGTGAAAACCTTGTGAAGACTTATAGAAAACATTTGACCTGTGTCATTGCCAACAAAGGGTATATAACAAAGTATTGAGAAACTTTTGTTATTGACCAAATACTTATTTTCCACCATAATTTGCAAATAACTTAATTAAAAATCCTACAATGTGATATTCTGGATTTTCTTTTCTCATTTTGTCTGTCATAGTTGACGTGTACCTATGATGAAAATTACAGGCCTCTCTCATCTTTTTAAGTGGGAGAACTTGCACAATTGGTGGCTGACTAAATACTTTTTTTTCCCCACTGTATCTCTGTATTGGTCAAGGTCCTCCAATCAGAAGTGTATACTGTCAAAGACATGCATATGGAGGAAACTGCATATCCTATTTTTGCATTGTGCAGAGTTATTCTCTCACAGCAATCTGAACATTTCAGTTACGCCACACACCCAGCCATTTCAGTGTCTGGCTGTAGCCACATCCTAGCAGACCAAGCTAGCTCATGTCCAAGTCCTGGGGCCTGTGGAATGGAAACTGTGATTTTTGTGGCATTTTAACTGGCATTCCTCCTGTCTGCCATGGCTTCAGCACATAGGGATACATTGACACTCTCATTTTCCCTGCAATTCAATCACCACAACCACTGCCTCTATTACTGTGATTTATTTCCATTGGCAAAGCCTCACAGTTTAGCCCTAATAAGACCATTAAAAGTGGACTGTAGGAACATGTGTGCCACCAAAGGTCCGCCTCTGTAAAAGTACACTTTTAACACAAAGCATGGAAGTGGGAGGTGATAGGAAAAACAAAGAGATTTCCTGTTGTTGGAGCAGTGCGCTCAGGACAAGTCAGAACGACAGTGTGGAGGGAGTGAGATTGAAAGAGAGAGGAGGGATACTGAGGAAAAACAACGTTATTACAGAGGAAAATGGGAATAGCAGCCGTTCTCACTGTCTTGTGTATGTGTTCACTCAGCTTGAGTGATCCGGACGGCGGCACCAAAGTTGGAGATCCTGTCGATGCAACACCAACTGAGGTGAGGACTTGTACTCGCTGATTTTGAGCTAAGACGTCAAATCAGTTGAGGTACAGTAGCACCCTGTTAGTGCAGTAAGAATGGAATTAATTTTCCAGATTCACATAAACGCAAATAGAGTACTGTAACATCTTCATTATGTTGTCATATTTACATGGACACCCCTAGACTAGTTTTATGTATTTTTAACTCGTGTCTTTTTCTGGAATAAGTACAACAGCCTCACTATTATAAAGACAATCATTAGAGGAGCAGGAGTATCAGTTCCACGTGTTTCACCGTAACTGTTTCCTTCAGAACCCAGAGACTCACGGGAAACAGGCAAGAGGAGATGTACCGGAGGAGCCAGAGCCCACCAGTCCTGTCTCAGACTTTGACAACACATACAACTATATTTGTACGCCTGCACAAACTCATCAATAGTATATGCTACACACTGTACAAATTATTGCTGAGTTGTCAGACATAAACATCTTGCGAGGTCTTCTCTTGCACAGTGTCCAGACTGTCAGCGATGGATCAGGCCATCCACAGGCTGAATGTGGGCCACTACACACTGGACGTGAAGGTGACCCAGCTGGTGGACAGAGTGTCCCGGCTGGACGGCACCCTCGGGGAGATACAGGACACCATGCAACAGATATCCCTCCTCACCAAGGAGAACCGCAAGGAGATTGGCCGCTTGGAGGGTATGTCTTCATATACCTCCCTTTTCCTCTATTTTGTTAAAATGTTTTACTATAGAATGCTGAAAAAGAATTACAAAATCATGAAAAACTAAAGGTGAAATGTTTCTTCCTCTCCTAGGATGTCAGAAGGGCCGGCAGGTGGGATATAAGTGCTATCTGGTTTACCGCACATATGAGACGTACCCAGGGGCAGCCCAGAAGTGCCTGGAGCGTGGTGGAAGGATGGCCATGCCTCGGGACAGGAAGGAGCAGGAAGCCCTGGCAGACTACGTCAAGGCTTTCTTCCAGCCAGGGAACTGGCCTGTGTGGCTGGGCATTAATGACCTGCGCTCTGAGGGACTCTACCTGTTTGAGGACAACACACGCGTCACCTACTTCCAGTGGCGCAAGCACTTCCTCTCCAGCCAGCCGGACGGAGGCAAGCGGGAGAACTGTGTGGCCATTTCGTCAGATGATGGGGACTGGTGGGACAACTATTGTGACAGGAACATGTATTACCTCTGTGAGTTTGATGCCTGATCCTTTTACTTCAAAAGTATCAGACATTTCAGAAAAACAAATCCAACCAAGCTTGACGACAACTTTCTGAGTGGATAGTCTATCATGAGTAGTTATACATCTTATATATTTCAAGTAAAATCTGTTTTTTGTTTGTTTAAAAAGCAATAGGGGATGTCGCTGATGGTGCTAGTGTTGAATAATAATTCACAACACATTTAACATACTGTTAAAATATGAAGAATTATCAAATCCATGGCCTAACAATATACTGTAACTTTGTTAGACATATGGTGGTCATATTAGTCCACACTGAAAAAATAAACATATGTAACTCATTACTTACAGTAAGCTCAGTCTCTTTGGCTGAATACTGAATAGTTTGGATCGAAGACTGTTTTTATTATCAATATATTTATTAAATGTATCATGATTAAAAGTATAACATTTATTACTGTACTTTTTCAGTTAGTGTAAACCCAAAAACAGCATAGTTCTAGTACAAATATTGTGCAATAAAATATTTAAAAAGGTTCCTTTGTCACATTATCATGATCTGAATTATTTTTACTCAAAGTTAGTGATTATCCTTAAAAATCATCGAGTTCTGAATGAATTTAAATCAAAATGTCAGTAAACAGAATCTACAATCTTAGAATTCAGTCAGGAATAATAGCACTAGCACAGCACTGATCACTCAGCAGGAAGGGCAGTTGTCATTGGCTTGTGAGTTCCATCAGACACTGCTCTTCATGAGGTCATGAGTGTGATCTGTGTCTTCATCCACATAAGCCAAGGAGGTGCGCTTCCTCTGAGGGGTCAGTGCCATGTCCACTCAGATGGAGTGAGTCACTACTACATTATAAGCTAGTAGGATGGCCAACAGATGAGATGGTAGCCACCATCTGTGCTACTTCAGGCCTGTCCATTGGATTCTTGCAGGGATGAGAGAGGATCACTTTCCCGCCTTCATCCAGGACAAAATCACCGCCCATCTGAAATCATATCAAAAACTGAATTAGAATGAGGACATGGATTATACAAACCTATCCCGAAATAAAAGGGCATTGTATGGATACTTTTCTTCATGGAAAGAGAAAATATTTGATGTGTTTAATGTATAGCTACTGTACGTCGTATCTTAAGTAGGATGAAATATTTTCAGATATATTTCTGAATACCTGATAGAGATCTTCCAGGAAACGTGGTGGGATGTCAGGAAACTCTTGGCCTAACGCAACATACTCTGCATATTGAAGCAAGCAGCCAAAATTCATCACCTTTGAATAGGAAGATCCCAGGCCAAATGCCTTGTAAATCTGAAACACAGAGAATATGTATCCAGTTGGCGAAACATTGGCATAACACAGAGTACATAAAAGCTTTACATTCAGCTACCAAAGGTCAATAGGTCATGATCAACCCTGAGTGGCCCTCTATAGTGGCAGCCCAGCTCTTACCTTCCTCTGTGGGTCAAGCAGCATGTCGTACTTGCAGCCCGTCTGTTCTAGCCAGAGCTGAGCACCTTCTCGACAGCCAAAGGAGACCACCAGTACCCGAGTTGACTGAGAATCTAGGAGTCCCTGAAAATGAAGGATGGGCATTTGAAAGAATGTCTGTATTTCGAGTGCTCTTATGCAAATCATTTACTCGCTTGTTAGCGTAAAATGGGTCTGAAGGCAAAACAAGTTTGTGCAATGTTTTCACTGCATTTTACATACTCCACAAACAATAAACACATCTTAGAGATTAACATTTTGTCAGTGCTTATCAATTCAACCTGCTAAATAGTTGCATTTGTACATTGAGTACTTTTATTTCATTATTAGCAATCGAATACAAACCTTTAATCGAGTACTCAAACATATTTGAGTGCTCGCGCCCATACCAACTGAAGATACATAGTACAATAAAGGAACTGACACTAAGCTGCTAGAGGACGTTACAAGTTAAGGTCACTGAAAGATGGTAGGTTATGTTCCATGAAGTTAGGAGCACAGAGATGGTAGGAGATACGCTCCTCTCCTCTCAGGTAGACTGACCTGTTGGGTCTCCATCTCAGCCACGTGCTCGCGTCACGGTAGTCATCCAAAGTGTCGGATCAGAACCAGCAGCAGATTCTCCCGTTTCCCAAAGTACTGTCCCAGAGTCACATTCCTGCACAACACAACAGAGGGTCAGTTTGGGTCATTTCTGTACTCACACGATTTTCTCTAGAACTTTCTCCTAGTTCTTCAGAGACAAGTTTATTTATTTTTATACACTGAACAAAAATATAAATGCAACATGTAAAGTGTTGGTGCCATGTTTCATGAGCTGAAATAAAATAGCCCCAACATTTTCCATACACACAGAAAACGTATCTCTCTCAGATGTTGTGCAGAAATTTGTTTACATCCCTGTTAGTGAGCATTTCTCCTTTGCCAAGATAATCCATCCACCTTACAGGTGTGGCATATCATGAAGCTGATTAAACAGCATGATCATTACACAGGTGCACGTTGTGCTGGGGACAATAAAATGGTACTCTAAAATGTTTTGAGTTTTGTCACACAACACAATGCCACAGATGTCTCAAATATTGAGGGAGCGTGCAGTTGGCATGCTGACTGCAGGAATGTCCACCAGAGCTGTTGCCAAATAATTGAATGTTCATTTCTCTACCATAAGCCGCCTCATCATTTTAGAGAATTTGGCAGTACGTCTAACCAGCCTCACAACCGCTGACCATGTGTATGGTGTTGTGTGGGCGAGCAGTTTGCTGATGTCACGTTGTGAACAGAGTGCCCCATGGTGGCGGTGGGGTTATAGTATGGGCAGGCATAAGCTACGGACAACGAACACAATTGCATTTTATCGATAGCAATTAAAATGCACAGAGATACTGTGACGAGATTCTGAGGCCCATTGTCGTGCCATTCATCCGCCGCCATCACCTCATGTTTCAGTATGATAATGTACAGCCCCATGTCGCAAAGATCTGTACACAATTCCTGGAAGCTGAAAATGTCCCAGTTCTTCCATGGTCTGCATACTCACCAAACATGTCACCCATTGATCAGGTTTGGGATGCTCTGGATCGACATGTACAACAGCGTGTTCCAGTTCCAGCCAATATCCAGCAACTTTGCACAGCCATTGAAGAGGAGTGAGACAACATTCCACAGGCCACAATCAACAGCCTGACCAACTCTATGAGAAGGAGACTTGTCGCGCTGCATGAGGCAAATGGTGGTCACACCAGATACTGACTGGTTTTCTGATCCACGCCCCTAACTTTTTTTTAATGGTATGGTATCTGTGACCAACCGATCCATATCTGTACTCCCATTCATATAAAATCCATAGATTAGGGCCTTATGAATTTATTTCAATTGACTGTTTTCCTTATATGAACTGTAACTCAGTAAAACCTTAGAAATTATTGCATGTTGCGTTTATATTTTTGTTCAGTATCTATGTTGACTCACTCTCCACTCCTGGCATCTGTGAGGGGTGTATCAGCACTCAGATTCTGTGAAGTTGGGCCTCCTGTGAGCCGTTTGTCACTTGTCTTCAGCGCAGTGTCTATGCGGTCCAGAAAGGCATCCCATTCCTCCTGCAGGAAAACAAGCACACACACAACATCCTCATTTCTCAAGTCTTTCCAAGGGTACGCCTCAACCACAGATAACAATGGACCATTGTTTAGAACGGAAGACTAACCTCCAACTGCAGGAGTTCCTCTACTTGCTCTTGCACCTTGGCATGGCTGGTGAAAGATTGGGGGAGAGAGGTGTCCGTCAAAGAGTTTCTTCTAAAATATTTTTTTTTGCAGATTTGAGTTACGCAGTTCTCTGATATTTGATCTTCAAACTCACTGATAAGACTTCTTCCACAGGTTTTCAGCATCAATCTTCTTCTTCACACCAATACTAACAAATGTTAACAAAATTAGTCAGCAGAATTGGACCAAATGACCCCAACTCTCAGTATGTCAGCAAAACAAATGAGGAAAGGAAAATGAAGTAGGCTGAACGTCTCTAAAATGCACCCACCTGTTGTAGAAGTTGGCACCACAAGTCATTAGTCCAAATAAAGTTGTAATTTTATTTGGGACAAAATCTTCAATGGAACCTGAGGAATGACAAAGTAACAATGTATCCAGCCAATAGTGCAACTGTCAGTGTTGCCAACTGCATGACAGGGCTTAGTTCTCTATTGTTCAATTATTAATCCCTACCACACTTTTCTACTTTAAGAACATGTGATGTAGGCTACATGTAATGTATCAGATATATATATTTTAAACTGATGGTAGCAAAATTCACTCTAGTGCTTACAGAGATACCACACTGTCAATATTATTTCAATATTCATAGCTATTCATAGGCTGTTGCTATTGGCTCACTCTACAACTTTGCATAGGTTACATGTGACAGTCAGCTAGATAATGCCACAAGATAGCTACAGAAATACTGGTAGTATATACTGTACCTGCTGCTTCTTGCTTGCCATTTTCAAGTAGGATTCTTCCCATAGTATTCAAGCCTGTTAAACCATAAATAAGAGTATCTTCTGCCTCACTGATCTCTTCAGCCATCTCTGGTCCCTGTCAGCCCCCTTCAGCAGAGCAGAATCACTAGTGTTAGCTGCTACTGTGTAGCAAGAAAGCCATATCCAGGCTTATCAAACATCACATGATTTGGCTAAAGTCATGGTGGTTCACAGTATTTGGGAGCACTTGTGCGACATCTGCTGACCTGAATCATAAAGTACAAGTAATGTGTGTTGGAATGGTTTAGCAAGCAAGCTCATTAATTAAACATCTTTGTGGGTGATCTGGCATAACTGTAGATAAACATATAATTATCACTCCTGGTTGAATTGAAATAACAAGAAACAAACCACTAATGTGTCAACCAATTGTATTAACCATTGAACATCCCAATTCCCCAAAAACTCCACAGATTTCTTTCCTTCAAGTTTAAACTTCAAGATGGGACATATGGCTCGCTTACAAATCCACCTTTGCGCTTTAATAAACATAGCTAATTCACTCAGGCTAAAAAAATAAATACCAATCCCAGCCATTCAGCACAATCATTGATATGGAAACATTATTATAAAAACAGTAGTACTGACAAAAAAAGACAATCAAGCAGAGAACTCTGTTGTTGTTGGTTGTTTCACATGATCATCTGGAGCTCATTGAATAAGGACCCAAGCAGGCGATGCATATTCTATTGTGTCATTCATAGTAAAAGGGTAAGTGGGGAACAAACTGAAAACCAAAGTTCTTCAGAGCAATTGAACAACATCCCCAAAATGTATCCCTGAACGTTCGTTCTAATGTTGTGTCAATAAGACCATGGTCAAATTATTTACAAACATTTTACAGAAAAAAGAAAGGAAAGCAACAATGAAAATCACAGATGTCTCAAAATAAGACAAGAGGAATGATATCATGGCACAATGTGTGCTTTCCCCAAAACAAGTTGGACCCAACCTGAAACCAACCCTTCCTCATGCCTTTAGGTCAAGTTAAAAACAATTACAGAAAATGGCAATAGCACAGTGACACTGTCCAATATCGTCAAGACTAAATAAAAAGATTGCTTGACTTTTCTAAATGTTCAAGTATCCCAAGTGGAACTGCATAGCCCTGAAGGAAAGTTTAAATGTTAGAATCTCCTCCCACACTTTCTCTGCTTATAGACAGAATAGCTGTGAGGGTTTTTAAAAATAGGATTTAAAAAAAAGTGTCAATCACGATCGAGAGATTAACTCTCATTCAAATTAATGTAATTAATTACATTTCGTAGCTTTTACACACTAGACCCTAATAGGGTTTTGCTGGTATTGCATATATCGGGCCAGACCGGAACAACATGTAGTTGTTCTAAATCATGTTTAGACAGACATTGTGCTTTGGGGGTTGAGTTGGCCATAGACTATGAGCAGACAGACGGGCCCTTGTTCTCATCAGGAGATGAGGTGTTAGGACTTCTTTGGACAGTGCGATGTGGAGTCCGTGTTGAGGACCTCAATCATGGTTCTAGTCATTGGGAAGGTTTCTGCTACCGATGGAAGACTCTGGTACCACACTGGTAGGCTAAGAGGTAAAAAAAAATATATATATATAAATTATATAGTACCAGTCAAAGGTTTGGACACACCTACTCATTCAAGGGTTTTTCTTTATTTTTTACATTGTAGAATAATAGTGAAGACATCAAAACTATGAAATAACACATATGGAATCATGTAGTAACCAAAAAAGTGTTAAACTAATAGTATGCATAACCACTAAGAATAATGCATTTTTAATAGGCATACCCAATGGCATTATGCATTGACATTCACATTATGTTTACATTCTAAAATACACTACCAGTCAAAAGTTTGGACACACCTATTCATTCAAGGGTTTTTCTTTATTTTTTACATTGTAGAATAATAGTGAAGACATCAACACTATGAAATAACACATATGGAATCATGTAGTAACCAAAGAAAAGTGTTAAACAAATCAAAATATATTTTATATTTCAGATTCTTCAAATAGCCACCATTTGCCTTGATGACAGCTTTGCACACTCTTGGCATTCTCTCAACCAGCTTCATGAGGTAGTCACCTGGAATGCATTTCAGTTAACAGGTGTGCCTTGTTAAAAGTTAATTTGTGGAATTTATTTATTTATTAATGCGTTTGAGCCAATCAGTTGTGTTGTGACAAGGTAGGGGGGGGGGGGTATACAGAAGATAGCCCTATTTGGTAAAAGACCAAGTCCATATTTTGGCAAGAACAGCCCAAATAAGCAAAGAGAAACGACAGTCCTTCATTACTTTAAGACATGAAGGTCAGTCAATACGGAACATTTCAAGAACTTTGACACTTTTTTGTTTACTACATGATTCCATGTGTTATTTCATAGTTTTGGTGTCTTCACGATTATTCTACAATGTAGAAACCCTTGAATGAGTAGGTGCATCCAAACTTTTGACTGGTACTGTATACAGTTGAAGTCGGAAGTTTCCATACACCTTAGCCAAATACATTTAAACTCAGTTTTTAACAATTCCTGACATTTAATCCTAGTAAAATTTCCCTGTCTTAGGTCAGTTAATAGTAGAGATAATGATTTATTTCAGCTTTTATTCCTTTTATCCCATTCCCAGTGGGTCAGAAGTTTACATACACTCAATTATTATTTGGTAGCATTGCCTTTAAATTGTTTAACTTGGGTAAAACGTGTCGGGTAGCCTTCCACAAGCTTCCCACAATAAGTTGGGTGAATTTTGGCCCATTCCTCCTGACAGAGCTGGTGTAACTGAGTCAGGTTTGTAGGCCTCCTTGCTCGCACATGCTTTTTCAGTTCTGCCCACAAACTGTCTATAGGATTGAGGTCAGGGTTTTGTGATGGCCACTCCAATACCTTGACTTTGTTGTCCTTAAGCCATTTTGCCACAACTTAAAGAGGCACTGAGTTTGAAGGTAGGCCTTGAAATACATCTACAGGTACACCTACAATTGACTCAAATTATGTCAATTAGCCTATCAGAATCTTCTAAAGCCATGACATAATTTTCTGGAATTTTCCAAGCTGTTTAAAGGCACAGTCAACTTAGTGTATGTAAACTTCTGACCCACCGGAATTGTGATACAGTGAATTATAAGTGAAATAATCTGTCTGTAAATAATTGTTGGAAAAATTACTTGTGTCATGCACAAAGTAGATGTCCTAACCGACTTGCCAAAAGTATAGTTTGTTAACAAGAAATTTGTGGAGTGGTTGAAAAACAAGTTTTAATGACTCCAACCTAAGTGTATGTAAACTTCCGACTTCAGCTGTTTATATGGTTATCAATACAGATAGGAATAAATAATTGGCCAACTTATGACGTGTTTAAAGGTGAAAAAAGTGGATATGCCGAGCTACTCACCTCTTTAAATTCATCCAGTTTTTTGCAGTTTTACTAAACCTGTCAGGACTGGGCGTTGTCATGGCTTCAAAATCAACCAACTGGAGAGAAGAAAAAAAAATCATAAACAAGGAAAATGCTTAAAAACAGGCTAATTGATAACTACATATAACATACATGATTATGAATAACCCATTTTCCACCACTGGTAATGTATTATAATAAAGTGGTGTATAGTAGAGCAAAACTATTCATCAGTATTACCTTCCCTTTGGGGATTCTGCCTATCACCTCCTTTCCACTGGCCATCAGTGCTCCCATGACAACAGAGTATGCCACAACACTGTCCAAAATGGGAAATAGGGACAAAATATAGGGAAATGAGACTTATTTCATAACTAAAAAACCTTTCACAAAGTAAAATCACAATTCAGACAAGACCAACTGAAAACCGTGTCGTTACATCATGTCTTAATGGTTATAGCAGAAAATATGACTTGGACAACACCTTACCTGGACCCTCTGGAGAGGGGCATAAGATTACAAAAGTAGTAAACCAGGGAGAGAATTAAATTACACACTGCATCTGCATCCTGAAAGAGAGAAACAAAAACACAATACAGGGTCCACTTACAGAGGTAATATGATTATACAACAATAGGAGACTGATATTGATACTGTATGTGAGCCATCATGATTAAGTCATGTGAAGTTTGTTAATGGAATTTTAACTTGGGAGGGGTCTACTAAGTTTAAGGGACTGAATACTTAACAGGTTAGCTAGCCTCATACAAAACTGACTGCTCCCCATTTTCAGTGGTAGAGAGTGAATCTATCAACACGACAATAGGAACATTTTTGCGTTATATCAGATAGTAGAGCAACATTATGGATTGGATTGTTGAGATGACAGTCAGAGAAAAGAAAACAGAGGGAACGAGGAAGAGAGAGAGCATACCCCAAGTTCAGTGGACAGCATGAGAGCCTTGCCCTTGGCAGTCAGGTCTTTGTAGATGGACTCGATCTCAGACTGGTACTGCTGAGTGCGCTCCTCTGTGGTCTGGGTCTCCACTGAGAACAGCATGTTGCCCACTCTAAGGCAACACAAATACACAGTCTGAACAAACACTGTGGTCTGTACCATGGTCTGTACAAACACTGTGGTCTGTACCATGGTCTGTACAAACACTGTGGTCTGTACCATGGTCTGTACAAACACTGTGGTCTGTACCATGGTCTGTACAAACACTGTGGTCTGTACCATGGTCTGTACAAACACTGTGGTCTGTACCATGGTCTGTACAAACACTGTGGTACTGTACATCAACATTCATCAAGGGACAGACAACAAACTGCACTTTGGTGAAAGCTGTAGGGTTAGAGCTGAGAATAACAAGCTGAATCATAGTATTTCAAGTCTTGTATTTCAAGATGTCTTAGAAAGTTCGAACTGAATGACAAAGAATTCAAATCAGTTCAAATAGGGGACTTGGCTGTTTATATTTCATTTCTCAGATGCAACCATTATTTTTTAGATAATATTCCACACTTGAGGAATCCTTTACAATATGTTTCTCACTGCAGCTCTTGCCTCTGGCAGTTTCTCAGTATTTTTGTTCTGCACCCCCAAAGGGACTGATTGTCTGGTTCTTTCCCATCAAGGGGCTCTTGGGAAAGTTAGATTTTATTTCCCTGTTCAACATTGTTTAATGCTAAGAAAGGAGTAGGTCTTTCTACTACATAATGTAACTTCAACGCAACGTCAACAAACAGACCTAGAACATTTGCTAGAAGTTCCCTAACAAAAATGTCTGAGCGCTGAATTCGAATGAACAACAATATTATTCATTGAAGTACAGGTAACTGCCAAAATAAAGGAAACACCAACATAAAGTTTCTTAATAGGGCATTGGGCCACCACAAGCCAGAACGTCTTCAATGCACCTTAGCATAGATTCTACAAGTGTCTGGAACTCTATTGGAGGGATGCGACACCATTCTTCCACGAGAAATTCCATAATTTGGTGTTTTGTTGATGGTGGTGGAAAACGTTGTCTCAGGCACCGCTCCAGAATCTCCCATAAGTGTTCGATTGGGTTGGGATCTGGTGACTGAGATGGCCACGGCATATGGTTTACATCGTTTTCATGTTCATCAAACCATTCAGTGACCACTCGTTCCTTGTGGATGGGGGCATTGTCATCCTATGGGGGCATAGCCATGGTAGCCAAAATAATTGCCTGACAAGCATTTTTATACATGACCCTAATCATGATGGATGTAAATTGCCTAATTAACTCAGGAACCACAGCTGTGTGGAACCACCTGCTTTCAATATACTTTGTATCCCTCATTTACTCAAGTGTTTTCTGTATTTTGGTAGTTACCTGTATTTAACTGCTTTAAACTAAGCCAAGTTGACATATTAAACCCTGATAAAGTGTTCCTTCTAACCCCCCCCCCCCCCCCCCAAATTGTAAAGTGGTTATCCCACTGGCTATAGGGTGAACGCACCAATTTGTGAGTCGCTCTGGCTAAGAGCGTCTGCTAAATGACGTTAATGTGCCCTTGAGCAAGGCACTTAACCCTAATTGCTCCTGTAAGTCGCTCTGGATAAGAGCGTCTGCTAAATGACTAAAATGTAAATGTAAATGTAATGTTTTTGAACATTAAATTATGTTCTGTGATGGGAAAAATTATTGAATTTCCATTTGATTGGAATATCTTAGGTAAACCACTGACGGAGGTAGACTATAATGTCAAGAGCTTAGTTCTTTATTAATTTATTAGAACCAAATAAACTGACCTGTCTCCTGTTATGGTGATGGTGAAACCGTCATATTCTTTCCCAGGGTCCTTTAGACTGGGCACCTTAGAGTTCACTGTGAAGCCATCCCTCGTTTTACTGTTAAACTGCTTCAGGATAGAAATGCAAAACAGCAGCAAATCAGACATTCTATCAGCTGTGAAACTCATGCCAAGTTGACCTAGATCTCAATTCTGATGTACATGATATCACACACACCACTCAGTAGTTCCTAGATGCTATTCCCATGAATACATCAGGCCTCAAAGCTTTGACCCCTGGGTCCAGAGGAGTCAATATTTTCTTATCAGGGTGTTGTTCCTGGGCTCGACATTTAGGTAAATTTGCCAGTGGCTCACCGGGACAGTGCCAACTGAAAGCTACTGACGCAAATGAAAATGATACTGTCCAGAGTCTAGATCTGACAGGAAAGCGAATGATGCACGCATAATTTCAATAGTAAGTGATTTTATCTTCCATTTACGGACTGATTAAGTAGCCTATATAGGGTTTATACTGGCAGGTCAAATTCAAGGACTTAATTGTAATTTTCAAGGACCTACATTTTACATTTAATTGTTGTAAATAGCCTATATAGAAGAAGAACCCCCCCCAACAAAAAAAAAACTGATTATGGGCCTCCCAAGTGGCGCAGAGGTCTGTGACACAGATCCCAGGCTGTGTCACAACCGGCCGTGACTGGGAGTCCCATAGAGCAGCGCACAACTGGCACAGCGTCATCTGGGTTAGGGGAGGGTTTGGCTGGGGGGGGGCTTTACTTGGCTCATCGCGCTCTAGCGACTCCTTGTGGCGGACCGGGCGCCTGCAGGCTGACTTCGGTCGTCAGTTGAACAGTGTTTCCTCCGACACATTGGTTCGGCTGGCTTCCGGGTTAAGGAGCGCGGTTTGGCGGGTCATGTTTCGGAGGACGCATGACTCGACCTTCGCCTCTCCAGAGCCCGTTGGGGAGTTGCAGCGATTAGACAAGATCGTAATTGGATATGACGAAATTGGGGATAATTAAAAAATAAAATAATTATAATTATGCAAAAAAAAGTATGCATAACCACGAAGAATAATGCATTTTTAATAGGCATACCCAATGGCATTATGCATTGACATTCACATTATGTTTACATTCTAAAATACACTACCAGTCAAAAGTTTGGACACACCTATTCATTCAAGGGTTTTTCTTTTTTTTTTACATTGTAGAATAATAGTGAAGACATCAAAACTATGAAATAACACATATGGAATCATGTAGTAACCAAAGAAAAGTGTTAAACAAATCAAAATATATTTTATATTTCAGATTCTTCAAATAGCCACCCTTTGCCTTGATGACAGCTTTGCACACTCTTGGCATTCTCTCAACCAGCTTCTTGAGGTAGTCACCTGGAATGCATTTCAATTAACAGGTGTGCCTTGTTAAAAGTTAATTTGTGGAATTTCTTTCCTTCTTAATGCGTTTGAGCCAATCATTTGTGTTGTGACAAGGTAGGGGGGTATACAGAAGATAGCCCTATTTGGTAAAAGACCAAGTCCTTATTATGGCAAGAACAGCTCAAATTAGCAAAGAGAAATGACAGTCCATCATTAGCGCTATGATGAAACTGGCTCTCATGAGGACCGCCACAGGAATGGAAGACCCAGAGTTACCTCTGCTGCAGAGGATAAGTTCATTAGAGTTACCAGCCTCAGAAATTGCAACCCAAATAAATGTTTCACAGAGTTCAAGTCACAGACACATCTCAACATCAACTGTTCTGAGGGGACTGTGTGAATCAGGCCTTCATGGTCAAATTGCTGCAAAGAACCCACTGCTAAAGGACACCAATAAGAAGAAGAGACCTGCTTGGGCCAAGAAACACAAGCAATGGACATTAGAGCGGTGGAAATATGTCCTTTGGTCTGGAGTCCAAATTGGAGATTTTCAGTTCCAACCGCTGTGTTTTTGTGAGACGCGGTGTGGGTGAATGGATGATCTCCGCATTGTGTAGTTCCTACCGTAAAGCATGGAGGAGGAGGTGTTATGGTGTGGGGGTGCTTTGCTGGTGACACTGTCTGGTGATTTATTTAGAATTCAAGGCACATTTAACCAGCATGGCTACCACAGCATTCTGCAGCGATACGCCATCCCATCTGGTTTGGGCTTAGTGGGACTATCATTTGTTTTTCAACAGGACAATGACCCAACACACCTCCAGGCTGTGTAAGGGCTATTTTACCAAGAAGGAGAGTGATGGAGTGCTGCATCAGATGACCTGGCCTCCACAATCCCCCGACCTCAACCCAATTGAGATGGTTTGGGATGAGTCGGACGGCAGAGTGAAGGAAAAGCAGCCAACAAGTGCTCAGCTTATGTGGGAACTCCTTCAAGACTGTTGGAAAAGCATTCCAGGTGAAGCTGGTTGAGAGAATGCCAAGAGTGTGTAAAGCTGTCATCAAGGCAAAGGGTGGCTATTTGAAGAATCTCAAATATAAAATATATTTTGATTTGTTTAACAATTTTTTGGTTACTACATGATTCCATACATGTTATTTCATAGTTTTGATGTGTTCACCATTATTCTACAATGTAGGAAATAGTAAAAATAAAGAAAAACCCTTGAATGAGTAGGTGTCCAAACTTTTGACTGGTACTGTATGTCAGAATAATGTGGGCACTGACTGACTAAATAGACAGCATGCCCCAGTAGATCCTCCTGACAAACACAAATGCAGTCTGTCCATGTGGTAGCTACTCAGTCTCGCCATTTGAGAAGAGTTGTTGAAAAGTTATTGAGGGGTTATTGTACCATGTTTTAAAACGAGAAAGTGAACAAAAACCGGGTACCCTTTGTAATGGAACTCGTTAATTGAAACTGCAGAAAACAAACGAAAGCGGCAACATCTCTCATAAAAACTGATCAGAAATGATATCACAGAATAATTATATTGCCATTGGAGAAGTAGAACTTCTAAAATCGGCTAACATAACGTCAAGGACATTTCAAGGACCAAATAGAAGAAATGTCAGATTTTCATGGTAGGCTATTCCAGGATGCATGAATTGTGCATCACAAATATTCAACCAAGACTTTGAACTTTTTAAATACCTTGCCTTCGCGTTTACTGGTAGGCTAGATATCATAACTTGGAACATCTTTCCTACCCCTACCAATGTCGGTCTTTGGTGAGCGGCTCCACCAAACAACCAGCTGTTTGAGAGCTGCGCACTCTCTGCCTGACAGATTATCTCAAACTAGGCTGTGTGTGTGCAACGCACGTGTGATAAATAATCAACATAACAGCTTCGGGAATTCCGTTTTTTTTAATCAATTATATAGCCTAGATTAAAAATAGCATTATTACAACAACAAAAAAATCCCAAGCGGGCCACTGACGGGGATGATGGACTGGCCCGGAGGGTTTCCTAAACCTCCCCTGTGTCATTATTACCTTCATTATGGGGAGAAGGTCTTCCACCTTGTTCACATTTTCCAGTGCTTGTCTGACTTCCAGTAGCCCTCTTGGGTTGTATGCCCTGAGGACAACGCATCAGTAAGTCAACATATATCACCATGTAGAAGATATTTCTCCAATAAAAAGCTATCTGTATTTTTCTTTAAAAGACCCACTTGTGGTAAACCAATATTCTGTCTTTGATGAAATTGAGTATGTTGTCAAAGTAGGCCAAGTATCTTATGTTGATGATTTGTCCTCTGAGGAAACAAACAAAACAGGAAAACCACATTATCAAAAGGGATATCTAAAAATACAACTTGACTCAACAGTTGTGTGTCAGATTCACACAGTGACTATCTTTGAGATGATTTTATGTCATTTTCCTTTAGGTTACCTAATGAGGTTAATATGGTTATTGAACCCTCGGCTGAGACTTCTGGCAGGCATCTGGTCCAGCCAAAGAACAGGCTGGTCTGGATCAGCAATCCTTCAGAGGGACAGAACAACCTCACAGACTGACAATATAGAAACAGTAGACAGGGTGATTGATACTGCAGATGTGCATTGCGGTAATAACATTTTAAAAAATGTTACTATAAAACAATCTCACACCCAAGCCTCACCTCCTCCATTTGACAGCAATATCGAACATGTCTCTCCACTGCATCTGCCTGGTTTTGCCGTTGACTCGCACCTTTGAGTTGCTCCAGGTGCGCTGCATAGCCTGCATGACCTCTAGAGTTGCTAGGCCCATGGCTATTGAGGTGAAACACAGCACATATTCAATTTCAGAACTTTGAAATATACTGTTATGGCGCTACTGGATTAAAGACATAGGATGGGGTAAGACAATATGTATTCCAGAAAGACCAACTTGTACAATAGCTTGTTTGTTATTTTGACGTGAGTACCAGCATGCACATTCTTTTTAACAAAGGACATGTTGTTCAGGGCTGATACTAGTCACATTAAACTGACAGAGTTAATTGATTTCAACAACTCAATCTGATTTCAGCCAAGAATGTACAACAGATTTGAGGCTGAACTCGAATGTGCTCAGTATCTCACCCACCTCTGTGTATTCTGCGATTGGGAAGAAATCCTGGTGTGTCGTATTGCATAAGGGCACCAAGGTGATCAGCAGCGCAAATGAGCTTCTGAACTTCAGTGTTGTAGCTTTCAAAGTTCTGAGGTAGAACATCTCTACAATGGCAAGGCATGATACAAGATCAGTTGGGCAGGTTACAAATGGATTGAATAGCACAAACACACAGTATGTTAACGTCATCTACTGTAAAAGAGCCTGCTCCATTACCCATCAGTTAGCCTATACTGCAGTGCTGGCAGAAAATATTGAACTGTCAGCAGCAGGTTCTATCCCTTTAAACTCACTTAATATGAGGCTGCAGTCCTGGCTGCTCCTCATAGTCCTCTATAAGGAAAGGAAGGTGTTTTGCCCAGTGGTTTTTGAAGTTTCCTGGAAGATCCTGATCAACATTATATTCTGCCACAGGTTTGTCGAGATGTGAGTGCAAGTAGCGAGAGTATTCTGTGGGGGGAAATGACATGAGGAAAATTCTAACCATATCTCCATAGGCAAGAAATTATCAAAGACAAAACATTCCGCTTCAGGTTGAAATGTTAGTTAAGAGGTCACTATAGCTGACTAAACTCCACGGTGAAGGAAGTTTCTGATGAACTCCACCAACGGAGTGGAGCAGAGACCAGGCTTTGTGGAATTCAGCTTAGACTACATCGATTTGCTCAAGGTCAACACTTAAATTTAAATTATGAAATGCTTACCTTGTACCCATGTTTGTCCCCTGTAGTTGCGTGCCTTTCTTTGTTTGCTGAAATCCTTACTTGATCAATAAACAATCAAATACAACCACCGACTGTTTCCTCATTGCTGTTGCTCTAAGATGGCAACTCAGCGCAAATGCACCAACTGAATCTCAACAAGGAAACAGGTGGTGGTTGTATTTGATTAACGTTTATTGAAAAAGTATGATTTCAGCAAACAAAGAAAGGCACGCAACTACAGAGGACAAACATAGGTACATAGTAAGAATTTCATAATATATTTTTTTTAAGTATTGACCTTGGGTGAATCGATATAGTCAGAGCTGAATTCCACAAAGCCTGGTCTCTGCTCCACTCCGTTGGTGGAGTTAATCAGAAACGTCCTTCACCATGGAGTGGAGTTTAGTAAGCTAAAGTCACTAATGCTGCACTCACCTCGAAGGTATTTCACTTTGAGATATTCCGAGCTTGCCTTCTGGCCCAGCAGAGGGTCATTCAACATTACTTTAGTCTGAGCCTTGATGCCTTCATAGAACTGCCCCATGGACACGTGGCTCAGGCCCTTCATGTACTGACACACCTCGTTGTAGGGCTCCAAATGTAGACACCTCTGCAAAACACAACATGGAGGTGTTACACACCAAGCCCAATGACGCACATAGGTGTAAGAATTCAAAATGGAGGGAGGGAACCTCAAATTCACACATACATAATTCTGACTCAAAGTGGATGTCACTGCAGTCACTTAAACTTTCGCTGTTGACAGTGTGAATGGCCTGAGGCTAACAGCTCTAGCCCGGTGAGTCATGACCCCACCAAACCACATTCTCTACAGGCAGCCTGGGAAACACGTGACACGGTCATGCAAGGTGATGTGTTGGAGGGAGGTAATAGTAACCGTCATAGTAACGCCACATCTATTACACATCAATGCGTGAGGCCTACTGAGTCACCACAGCAGGGCTGCCGATGGGACAGTAGGCAAATAGGCAGGTCGCTTACGCTGCCAAATGCGACCATGGGGACAGAGAGAGGCAGTGGCCTACGTGACGCGCGTCTGATCAGCGGCACGGCTGCTCGTTAGCCTGCGATGCCATCAACCGCCTGACGTCACAGTGAAAACAAAACATCAGGAGAATCGCTTGTAACGGCTGGAATGATGAGTTACAAATGGAGTGGGACAAGTATTGATCCAAGGGTTTTTTCTCTAGACAGCATGCTTAGAAAAACTGATGCAAATGAGAATCATTTTTAGGCAGGCCAGCCCCATCCTAGCCAGTACTATTGCACATAGTCCACAGTAAAGCAGTCTGTTGTCATGAGAGGGTAGATGTAGAATAACTAGTTCAGCTGTACTGTCATTGGTAGACTGATATCGTGTCAGGAGAAAGAAGCTGTGTGACACGGCCATTACCTTGAAGTTGCCGACAGCCTCCTGGAGGCTGCCGTGGTGGTAGAGCATCATGCCTCTCAGCTGCAGAGACTGGATGTGGTTCTGGTTGAGCATCAGGGCTTTCTGGAAGCTCTCCATAGCTGCCTCAAAGTCTCCCAGCTCCCTACAGACAGGTTACAGGGATCACTCACTGCATTGGCCCATGAGTACTAAGGCCCTGAGTTTTTCCTGACCATGATGTGAACTGACCAGGTTGGAACCAAAGCAGGTCATAGAGCATTCCCACTGTACCTGTAGGCCTGTCCGAGACTTTTGTATGCATCTATGAAGTCAGATTTTAATTTCAGGGCCTCCTTGAATGTTTCAATAGCTTCCTGAATGGGGGACAATATTGAGTCATAAACATGCAATTATTTAACCAAAAACTGGTTATACTGGCAGTACTCAAAGTTGAGCAACTATGGTTTTGTACAAAAATGTCTATACCTTGAGCATTCCTCTGTGGAAGAATGTTAGACCTTTGTATAGCATGGCAATGGGTTGGTTTTTCTTCAGATCCAAAGACTGTTGAAAATCCTCCATAGCTGCCACATAATCCTATTTGGGGAAAAACAAAATCATAAAACCAACTGTGAGAACTTTATATATCAACACCACCAATCAGAGACCCCATATACATTGTCTGTCAGTCTGACCTCGGAGATGAAGAGCAGAGTTCCTCTGTGTCTGTAGAGGCGGGCAGAGGGCTGGAGCTGGATGGCTTTGGAGAGATCACTCTGAGCCTCACTGATCCTCCCAAGTGGAGAAAGGATCTGCAAGTCCATCAATCAAGTAAAACTTGAAACACATAAATGCTACTATAATTTCCATTTATTTCACTTGTGTGGGGGAGTCCAATGGTCTAGTAGCTAGACTACTTCAAGGCATATTGTTAATACAACAGCAGTTGCCTCCTCTGTAAGATGTATTTTAAAGCCTGCTTGAGAGAATACCACCGCCCTCACTCATTTGTAACCATTTTGCATGTGGTGACACAGAAACGTCCTCCATTTAAACAGACATGCAATTCAAGCATGATAGTAAACCCCAATGAAAACCAATACCCTAACACAAGGTATAACACAAGCAGCGGGTTAACCCATGAAGCCGTAACAGGCATAGAATTATCCTCACCTCTGCCCGCTGTTCGTACACCTCAGGGCGGTTGGGCTCCAGAGTGATGACTCGGCTCAACTCGAACAGCGCCAAGTCTGCATTCTTGATGTCCTTCCATAGAAGGAGAAGAGAAGAGACAGTGTCACCCCTATTGGACACACCAGGACAAAAGAAAAGGCAGCTCGCAGCCTTCATCAATCACGTCCACTGACAAGCACATATCCTAACTGCTGAGCAGTGCAGATTAGATTTGTATTTATGATGTGTCACAGTGAAAACATTTGCTGTCTGAATAAAACTGCTGGTATCAACATTCTGTGAACTAGTATCATGCTGCTGTGATCACTTACCTGCAGACTCTTTTTCCCGTATGCTATCCCTCTCCCGTAGATGGCACTGACCACCTCTGGATCCCCCTAGTACACCAGAGGACAACACACACTGATATCCTCCATTGCAAACCGCACAACATATTCAAAGCAGGGAGAAAAGAGAGGAAGTACTGTAATGTAAACAAGGCAACAGTAAACATGTCGTCCCCCACGAATGATGCAGCCCCCCCGGCCAATTAGCGACAACAATTCAAAGTAGACTTTACTGATAGTACCAAAACATGTGCCCGTTATAGCGCCATGAATATTCAAGTGGATATGAATGTTCTTGCATATGTTGAGTCTTGACAGTGTTTGCAACATGTGCACCACATTTTGTTACAGTACGATTATCTGTGACTGATTTATATGCATTTATGTGCCAGACCACACCCACGTGAATGTTTATTGGTCAATAGCAGCCATGTTATTTTAGGTACTAGTCTGGAAAATATTGCATTGAGAGACCTTTGTCCTTAGATGCCACATATCCAGTTTCGTGCGGATTGGTCATTTAGTGCCAGAGGAGTAACGTTTTAAGTGTTCATTTTCTTTTCCAAATTGCGGAAAATCCATCATGGCGGGCCTTAGGCGCATTTGTTCCTTGTGAGGAGAGGGACCTATGTACAGAATTTCATGACTTTAGCTCAAACGGGGTGAGGGGTGTGACCTTTCAAAGTTTGCATTTTCAATCGCTTGTTATAGCGCCACCATCTGGTCAATCTGTGTAATTTAGTAAATGCAGGATCTCTTTGGCAAGACGCATCATTCACCCAAGTTCCGTCAAAATCGGGCCAGTGCTGTCTGAGATTTTGCGTGTGACGAAAGGAGACAGATCGACAGTCCCCTCCCCGATTTAATCATGGGGGACGATGAAGTCTGTCTCTCTACTATTCATATATTTGGCTAAACAAAAAATATGCATTATTCAAACTGTCAAGAAGACCAGACATGTATAAAGATTAGTGTTGTAATTCATGCATCTATGAATGTTAACCAACCTGTAGTAACAAGGAGAAGTGTTTGATGGCTTCATCGTACAGGCCATTGCCAATAAGAACATATCCTATAGCTGCAATGAAATGAATAATGAGAGTCAAGCAATGTATAGCATACACTCCACAAACCAAACTCTTTCAGGAATAATTTCTTACCAAGCTCCTCATTTGTGTTGTGGTTGTCCACTGCAAAAGGGAATCGCTTCTGCTCTATGAACAACTTGGCTTGTCTCTGTTTGAACAAAGATAATGGTAGTTATTCCACGACAATGATGCGTCAGTCAAACAGAAATGCCCAGGCAAAAGCATTGAGATCTCAGTGAATTTGGTGCATCTCACCAAGATTTTCTCTGCGTTGAGAGAGAAGACAGACTCGCATGGTGGGTTGCTTCCTTCCTCACAGTCTGGGTCCTCCAACTGTAGAATGAAGGACTCTGTAGGGAAACATACAGCATCAGACAACAAATCGCCCAGACTGCTGCCAACATGGTCATTAAGGGGATATATATACACTTAGTGGCTAGTTTATTAGGTACACACATTTAACTTTGGATTGGAGATGCTTAATGTGAGTCTGGAAGGAGAGTTTACAGTCTAACCAGACACCTAGGTATTTGTAGTTGTCCACATACTCTAGGTCAGACCCGTCGAGAGTAGTGATTCTAGTCGGGTGGGCTGGTGCCAGCAGCGTTCGATTGAAGAGCATGCATTTAGTTTTACTAGTGTTTAAGAGCAGTTGGAGGCTACTGAAGGAGTGTTGTATGGCATTGAAGCTCGTTTGGAGGTTTGTTAACACAGTGTCCAATGAAGGGCCAGATGTATACAAAATGGTGTCGTCTGCGTAGAGGTGGATCTGAGAGTCACCAGCAGCAAGAGCGACATCATTGATATACACGGAGAAAAGTGTCGGCCCAAGAATTGAACCCTGTGGCACCCCCATAGAGACTGCCAAAGGTCCAGACAACAGGCCCTCCGATTTGACACATTGAACTCTGAGAAGTAGTTGTGGTCCTCTGTAGCTCAGCTGGTAGAGCACGGCGCTTGTAACGCCAGGGTAGTGGGTTCGATCCCCGGGACCACCCATACACAAAAATGTATGCACGCATGACTGTAAGTCGCTTTGGATAAAAGCGTCTGCTAAATGGCATATTATTATTATTATTATTATTATTTAGTTGGTGAACCAGGTGAGGCAGTCATTTGAGAAACGAAGGCTATTTAGTCTGCCAATAAGAATGCAGTGGTTGACAGAGTCGAAAGCCTTGGCCAGGTCGATGAAGACAGCTGCACAGTACTGTCTATTATCGATCGCGGTTATAATATAGTTTGGGCGTGGCTGAGGTGCACCCATGACCAGCTCGGAAACCGGATTGCATAGCGGAGAAGGTACGGTGGGATTCGAAATGGTCAGTGATCTGTTTGATATCTTGGCTTTCAAAAACTTTCGAAGGGCAGGATGGATATAGGTCTGTAACAGTTTGGATCTAGAGTGTCACCCCCTTTGAAGAGGGGGTGACAATCTCTGGGGATCTCAGACGTTACGAAAGAGAGGTTGAACAGGCTAGTAATAGGGGTTGCGACAATTTCGGCAGCTAGTTTTAGAAAAAAAGGGTCCAGATTGTCTAGCCCAGATGATTTGTAGGGGTCCAGATTTTGCAGCTCTCTCAGAACATCAGCTGTCTGAATTTGTGTGAAGGAGAAGCAGGGGGGGGGGCATGGGCAAGTTGGAGTGGAGGGTGCAGAGCTGGTGGCCGGGGTAGTGGTAGCCAGGTGGAAAGCATGGCCAGCCGTAGCAAAATGCTTGTTGAAATTCTCAATTAATGTAGATTTATCGGTGGTGATAGTGTTTCCTAGTCTCAGTGCAGTGGGCAGCTGGGAGGAGGTGCTCTTATTCTCCATGGACTTTACAGTGTCCCAAAACTTTTTGGAGTTAGTGCTACAGGATGCAAATTTCTGTTTGAAAAAGCTAGCCTTTGCTTTCCTAACTGCTTGTGTATATTGGTTCCTAACATCCCTGAAAAGTTGCATATCGCGGGGGCTATTCGATGCTAATGCAGTATGCCACAGGATGTTTTTGTGCTGGTCAAGGGCAGTCAAGTCTGAGGAGAACCAGGGGCTATATCTGTTCTTAGTTCTGTTTTGCCCAGTCTAATGTTCAATCGAACAGTAACTGTATGCCTCGATGCCTGTCTGCCTGCTTTATATAGTAAGCCATGGCCACGTGACTCAGTGTCTGTAGGAGCTAACCATTTTCGTGAATGGGGTGGTGTATCTAACAAACTGAGTATATAAGGATCACAAACATTGACAGGCTTCTAGGCTTCTACCTGCAATGAAGGGACTGCTCACATCAAATACTAATACTGTATTGTTGATTGATTCATAAAAGCCTTAACAAGTTGTGACACTTCAGTGGGAAACCCATAAAATGACCTCATTCATTCATTCTCCTGGATATTTTTATTCATTTACAAAGCAATTCGATTTTCTTTAGCTACAATTCACATACCAAATAATGAACTTGTGCCAGCAAGACAATGAATGAGCCAGTGCGAGCTTTGACGTGTGCTCTTGGTTACGTTCACGCCCAGGAAAGGCATACACTGCAGAGAGCGTGTACTAACTGGCATCGTGTTTAAAAACTTAACTACATAAGGACATCATAGTACTGCATTATTCAGGGCCCAGGGACCTTGACGAAATACTTTCTATTAGTCTTGATATATTAGTTGCGGATCCTCTGATTCTACCCTGACCTTTACTATCAAATCCTAACCTCTACGAGAGAAGGGGTTATCTCTCTGGCTTGCTATGTAACTTCCTGTCAACTGGTGCAAAAGAAGAAGTTAGTTTAGCTATCTACATTACACAGCGAGTTACGAGGACGTGGCAAAACAGTGTTAAAAGAGCGCTTACCGCAATCCGTTGTGTATTCCTCCCACTCTGACGGAGAGCTGCAACCATGTTTGTGCAGTTCGCTATTGAAGAAAGTGTGTGTAGAGAAGTATTCCGTGGAAAATATAGCACGGGATAAGTACAGAAGTGAGAGAGCTACCACAACAACACTGCCAGCAGGTGCCATGTTGTGTTTGATGTGTAGGTGAGGAGCGCGGGAGCTTTGGTAATGTAGTTCCCGGTACCTACGCCCCCTCGTGAACTAAACTACCAGTCAAATTGTAAACGACTACAACTCCCAACCAATCACGCATAGATCCAGGAAGTCAGGTTGTTCAAGACGGTTGCTCCATCGTTACCAACATAAAACAGAATGGCAAAGGGATTTAGATGTGTTGAATGCAATAAGGACGCGCACGAGCTTCACAGAGATTACAGTAATGGGATCTTGAAGATAACCATATGTGTGAGTTAACAAGCTGTCTCATGTTGATTTATTGGTTAAGATATTAGCTAGCTAACTGGTGATGCTAGGCTTAGCTAGGAATTAAGCCAAAGGGACCTGTGACTGCCAGCTGGGTTTCTCTGTTCTGTTTCTATTGAAGTTATGATGCCTGATGATGGATAGCTAGCTGAAATGTATATAGAGTAAATGGTTAGTGGTTGGGTCTCTACCATTATAACAGAGAAAAGAGTAAGCTAACTATATAGTTTAGCCATAGAAGCTGGATAAATGCTTGTGGTGTGATGGTGTGCCTGTCTGTCTCTATTTCTTTCAGGGATCCTGCCAAAAGCCTGTGGACAAGTACATTGAATACGATCCAGTCATTATTCTAATTGATGCCATTTTATGCAAAACCCAAGCATTCAGACATATTCTGTTCAACACTACATTGAATGTAAGTACAGTAAGACACTGAAAAACTGTTAGTCAGAGTACAGTGCATGCTTTAGAAAATGTATGCAACTTAACACAGCATTTACACTGCAGACAGAGACACAATTAATTATGCCATGTCTTGTTGATGGTTTCTTCCACAGATTCACTGGAAACTGTGTGTGTTTTGCCTGTTGTGTGAGGCCTACCTGAGGTGGTCACAACTCCAGGGATCTGAACATAGCAATGACCCAGCAGACATCATTAGATACACCAAGGAATGGGATTTCTATGGCATGTTTGGGATGGCAGCTCTTGGTGGGTCTACAAAGTACAAAGCACATTATTATTATTATTATTATTATTATTATTATTATTAACAACTCATGCATTTCATTAGCAAACATGCATATGACAATGTTAATAGCAATGTTATAACAAAGTTTCCAAGTGTAGAGGAAGTGACAAATCCTGCTTTCTTTACACACCGATTCCATACAAATGACAGCCTCCTGATGGTTGGTACTGATTTCATGTTAATTTGTCCACAGAATTGGGTGCGTTCTCTGTTGGAGTGCTGTCCTTCCTGTGGCTGGTGCAGTGGTTGCTTGGCTTTGACTTTGAACTGAGCTTACAGCTGAAAGCCCTCCTGCTGTCCAGCTATGGAAAGGTTCTGCTCATCCCTGCAGTCATATGGGAGCATGACTACTCCCCGCTCTGCTTCAGCCTCATCAAGCTGTTTGTGCTCACGTCCAACTATCAGGCCATAAGAGGTACATTAGCCAACACCTCCCTCAGTGTTCCAATGCTCCCATTAGTCACTCACATTTATAATATAAGATATAATATAATATGCCATTTAGCAGACGCTTTTATCCAAAGCGACTTACAGTCATGTGCGCATACATTTTTACGTATGGGTGGTCCCGGGGATCGAACCCACAACCCTGGCGTTACAAGCGCCATTGTCTACCAATTGAGCTACAGAGGACCACATTTAGCTCCATCTCTGTTCCTGACAATTCAGCGAGGGAATTGGAGGGAAAATGGATTGAAAAGTTATAATTTCTCATTATTGATACTACAATATAACCTATTTCATACACTACATGACCAAATGTATGTGGACACCTGCTCATCGAACATCTCATTCCAAAATCATGGGCATTAATATGGAGTTGGTCCCCCCTTTGCTGCTATAACAGCCTCCACTCTTCTGGGAAGGCTTTCCACTAGATGTAGGAACATTGCTGCGGGGACTTGCTTCCATTCAGCCACAAGTGCATTAGTTAGGTTGGGCACTGATGTTGGGCGATTAGGCCTGGCTCGCAGTCGGTGTTCCAGTTCATCCCAAAGGTGTTCGATGGTGTTGAGGTCAGGGCTCTGTGCAGGCCAGTCAAGTTCTTCCACACCGATCTCGACAAACCATTTCTGTATGGACCTCGCTTTGTGCACAGGGGTATTGTCATGCTGAATCAGGAAAGGGCCTTCCCCTAACTCTTGCCACAAAGTTGGAAGCACAGAATTGTATAGAATGTCATTGTATGCTGTAGCGTTAAGATTGCCCTTCACTGGAACTAAAGGGCCTAGCCCGAACCATGAAAAACAGCCCCGGACCATTATTCCTCCTCCACCAAACTTTACAATTGGCACTATGCATTGGGGCAGGTAGCGTTCTCCTGGCATCCGCCAAACCTAGATTTGTCAGTTGGACTGCCAGATGGTGAAGTGTGATTCATCACTCCAGAGAACGCGTTTCCACTGCTCCAGAGTCCAATGGCGTCGAGCTTTACACCACTCCAGCTGACACTTGGCATTGCGCATGGTGATCTTAGGCTTGTGTGCGGCTGGCCATGGAAACCCATTTCATGAACAGTTCTTGTGCTAACATTGCTTCCAGAGGCAGTTTGGAACTCGGTAGTGAGTGTTGCAACCGAGCACAGACGATTCAGCACCCTGTTCTGTGAGCTTGTGTGGCCTACCACTTCATGGCTGAGCCAGTGTTGCTCCTAGACGTTTCCACTTCACAATAATAGCACTTACAGTTGTCCAGGGCAGCTCTAGCAGGGCAGAAATTTGACGAACTGACTTGTTGGAAAGGTGGCATCCTATGACAGTGCCATGTTGAAAGTCACTGAGCTCTTCAGTAAGGCCATTCTACTGCCAATGTTTGTCTATAGAGATTGCATGGCTGTGTGCTCGATTTTATACACCTGTCAGAAACGGGTGTGGCTGAAATAGCCGAATCCACTAATTTGAAGAGGTGTCCATTTACTTTTGCATATATAGTGTACATCGAGCACCATAGATCTCACCTTTTGACATCAGTCATTTTCAATGAAAGGGTAAATGGACAGCTCACAGGGTATTGATTGGGAGGCTAGGAGCACTGGTGTGCACCAGCAGATGGCAGCACTTACTCCTAGCTTGAATCTATGTTAAAACATGAATTCCATTTTTCCTTAGAGTTACTAAAATAGGCAGTTATAAATAGTTCCAAAACTGTCCAAAGCTAATCCATTAATTCACTAAAACAATCATCCGCGCAAGCAAGCATTAGTTTCTATGTGCCCCTGTGGTTTGTCACGTTTGACAGGATAATGGCCTAATGGATTATTGTATCTGTTTATTGCACTGATGGGTTATTCCGTTTCCTGACAATAATGATTGGCAATAATGGCAGTATTTTTGCAATGGATTGGATAAGGTGAATTAATCATTAAACCCTATTCGGACGGGATTAATTTTACTGGGGGAGGTCGGGTAATGTAATTATGTGCACAAGCACAAAACACCACATCTGTAATTTTAGTCCCGTCCGAATCTGCCATGGCAGTAATTTTTACATGGCAGGAGAGTAACAATTCCAGTCAGAATAACCTACAGTTTTTTGGAAAACTCCAAAGTCCTCTGATAATACTAGTCCCTTGAGAATCGACATCCCAGTGTTTTGAGAGAAATGTCTGAGTTTGACAGGTTTTGCTCACAGTTTTAGCAAGAAAACTAACTGATTCGAAAGATTGAACAAAGTGCTGCGCATAGTTTATATATGAAGGGCCTACATGTATCAACTTTCACAGTGAATGCTTTTATGTACAGTGACTTCGGAAAGTATTCAGACCCCTTGACTTTTTCCACATTTTGTTAGGTTACAGCCTTATTCTAAAATTGATTAAATCGGTTTTAAATCTACACACAATACCCCATAATGACAAGCCAAAAACAGGTTTTTAGACATTTTTGCTAATTTATATATATTTTTAAACACGGAAATATTACATTTACATAAGTATTCAGACCCTTTACTCAGTACTTTGTTGAAGCACCTTTGGCAGCGATTACAGCCTCAAGCCTTGTTGGGTATGAAGCTACAAGCTTGGCACACCTGTATTTGGGGAGTTTCTCCCATTCTTCTCTGCAGATCCTCTCAAGCTCTATCCGTTTGGATGGGGAGCGTTGCTGCACAGCTATTTTCAGGTCTCTCCAGAGATGTTCGATCGGGTTCAAGTCCGGGCTCTGGCTGGGCCACTCAAGGACATTCAGAGACTTGTCCCGAAGCCACTCCTGCGTTGTCTTGTCTGTGTGCTTAGGATCGTTGTCCTGTTGGAAGGTGAACCTTCGCCCCAGTCTGAGGTCCTGAGCGCTCTGGAGCAGGTTTTCTCTGTACTTTGCTCCGTTCATCTTTGCCTCGATCCTGACTAGTCTCCCAGTCCCTGCCGCTGAAAAACATCCCCACAGCATGATGCTGCCACCACCATGCTTCACCGTAGGGATGGTGCCAAGTTTCCTCCAGAAGTGAAGCTTGTTATTCAGGCCAAAGAGTTCAACCTTGGTTTCATCAGACCAGAGAATCTTGTTTCTCATGGTCTGAGTCTTTAGGTGCCTTTTGGCAAACTCCAAGCGGGCTGTCATGTGCCTTTTACTGAGGAGTGGCTTCCGTCTGGCCACTCTACCATAAAGGCCTGATTGGTGGAGTGCTGCAGAGATGGTTGTCCTTCTGGAAGGTTCTCCCATCTCCACAGAGGAACTCTAGAGCTCTGTCAGAGTAACCATTGGGTTCTTGGTCACCTCCCTGTCCAAGGCACTTCTCCCCCGATTGCTCAGTTTGGCCCGGGCGGCCAGCTCAAGGAAGAGTCTTGGTGGTTCCAAACTTCCTCCATTTAAGAATGATGGAGGCCACTGTGTTCTTGGGGACCTTCAATGCTGCAGAAATGTTTTGGTACCCTTCCCCAGATCTGTGCCTCGACACAATCCTGTCTCAGAACTCTAGGGACAATTCCTTCGACCTCTTGATTTGGTTTTTGATCTGACATGCACTCTCAACTGTGGGACCTTATATAGACAGGTGTGTGCCTTTCCAAATCATGTCCAATCAATAGAATTTACCACAGGTGGACTCCAATCAAGTTGTAGAAACATCTCAAGGATGATCAATGGAAACAGGTTGCACCTGAGCTCAATTTCGATTCTCATAGCAAAGGGTTTGAATACTTATGTAAATAAGGTATTTCTGTTTTTTATTTTTAATAAATGTGCAAAAATGTCTAAACCTGTTTTCGCTTTGTCATTATGGGGTATTGTGTGTAGATTGCTGAGGATTTTTATTAATTTAATCAATTTTAGATTAAGGCTGTAACGTAACAAAATGTGGAAAAAGTCAAGGGGTCTGAATACTTTCTGAAGGCACTGTATATGTTTTGAGCGTATAAATTGAATACTGCCTAATGCATCAGTAAAAATATTGCGCATATTAAATGTAACCCTTGCTGTGAATAGATGGCAATGCAGCATATAACTGACCTAAACTTTTGGAAATGATAAATTCACTTTCTCATCCATAGCCTTAAAACGCATCTCAAGTGCAAGTGCACTGTTTAGCTCACATCTGAAGGCTGGGGGGCATTTAGGAGGTCTACTGCGGATCGCTAAAATATCCGAATGATTATGATCACACTTCCTCAATTCAAATATTATGGCGACGCTATACCAAAGATGGTTGGTATGGTTTAGAAACTCGGGAACCAAGCTCGAGTTATAAGTGTAGCCCTGTTATGTCCTGGACTTATTGAAATATCTTCACGCCTAGAAAAAAACCTCCAGGTTTCCGTCATAACTGTCAATATATTGAAAAAAGTAAAGAACTACAGGCTGCAGTATAAATGATTTTCTTATCTACAGGAAGTAGGAGTTTAACATGATTCCAAAGATGTTCAAAACAAGTACTTTTCCTGCATATTGTCATGTTTGTGTTCTTGCAAGATGTGATCATTTCCTCTCCTCTCTTTTCCAGTCATTCTAAACTGCAGCAGAAGGCTATCCCTGCTGGCTGTGTGTGTGGGTCTGCTGTTAGAAACGTGCGTAGCCTGGGCGTTTCAGACACTTCCATGGAGCATACAGGACATCCTGCCGTTCCAGTGACCTGTTTCAGGCCAGTCCTGAAGAACACACTGTTACAATGGCACCTATTATACCCTGGACCAGAGCACTGTGTGGAGTGTGCCTAGTCATATACAGTGAGGTCCAAAAGTATTTTGGACAGTGACACTTTTTGTTGTTGTTTTGGCTCTGTATTACAACACTTTGGATTTGAAATTATATAATGACTGAGGTTAAAGGCCCAGTGCAGTCAAAAATATTTTAACTGTTTTGTATCATATTTTACAACAGCTGTAAAAGTGTCAAAAGTTTTATCAGTGTTTCCTGATTGTTGCAGGTTGAAAATACAATCTACACACAACCTTCTAATCAGCAGGTTTGCATTGGCGGGAGTTTCGGCTTGCCTGGTGACATCACCATGTGGTAAATTGGTTAATAAACCAATAACAAAGAGTTCCAAACATTTCTGCCAATAACAGCTAGTTTTCAGTTTTATCTTCCCTTCTCAGACCACTCCCAGACAGTCCTAGCAAAATTCCTGCTTGAGAAATATATTTAGGCTAAAAAGCTATTGTTGTCAATTTATGGAAAACTATTACAGTAAGGTACCTAAGTTTTACCCAGATATTATTTGATATTGTTATTAAAAAATAGTTGCATTGGGCACTTTAATTTGAGGCCATATTCATCCATATCAGGTGAACCGTTTAGAAATTACAGCACTTTTTGTACACATACACTACCAGTCAAAAGTTTGGACACACCTACTCATTCAAGGGTTTTTCTTTATTGTAAAAATGTTTTACATTGTAGAATAATAGTGAAGAAATCAAAACTATGAAATAAAACATTTGGAATCATGTAGTAACCAAAAAAGTGATAAACAAATCAAAATATATTTTATATTTGAGATTCTTCAAATAGTCACCCTTTGCCTTGATGACAGCTTTGCACACTCTTGGCATTCTCTCAACCAGCTTCACCTGGAATGCTTTTCCAATAGTCTTGAAGGAGTTCCCACATATGCTGAGCACTTGTTGGCTGCTTTTCCTTCACTCTGCCGTCCGACTCATCCCAAACCATCTCAATTGGGTTGAGGTCGGGGGATTGTGGCAGCCAGGTCATCTGATGCAGCACTCCATCACTAAAATAGCCCTTACACAGCCTGGAGGTGTGTTGGGTCATTGTCCTGTTGAAAAACAAATGATAGTCCCACTAAGCCCAAACCACATGGGATAGCATATCGCTGTAGAATGCTGTGGTAGCCATGCTGGTTAAGTGTGCCTTGAATTCTAAATAAATCACAGACAGTGTCACCAGCAAAGCACCCCCACACCATAACACCTCCTCCTCCATGCTTTACGGTGGGAACTACACATGCAGAGATTATCCGTTCACCCACACCGCGTCTCACAAAGACACGGTGGTTGGAACCAAAAATCTCCAATTTGGACTCCAGACCAAAGGACACATTTCCACCGGTCTAATGTCCATTGCTCGTGTTTCTTGGCCCAAGCAGGTCTCTTCTTATTATTGGTGTCCTTTAGTAGTGGTTTCTTTGCAGCAATTTGACCATGAAGGCCTGATTCACACAGTCTCCTCAGAACAGTTGATGTTGAGATGTGTCTGTTACTTGAACTCTGTGAAGCATTTATTTGGGCTGCAATTTCTGAGGCTGGTAACTCTAATGAAGTTATCCTCTACAGCAGAGGTAACTCTGGGTCTTCCATTCCTGTGGCGGTCCTCATGAGAGCCAGTTTCATCATAGCGCTTGATGGTTTTTGCGGCTGCACTTGAAGAAACTTTCAAAGTTCTTGAAATGTTCCGTATTGACTGACCTTCATGTCTTATAGTAATGATGGACTGTTGTTTCTCTTTGCTTATTTGAGCTGTTCTTGCCATAATATGGACTTGGTCTTTTACCAAATAGGGCTATCTTCTGTATACCCCCCCCTACCTTGTCACAACACAACTGATTGGCTCAAATGCATTAAGAAGGAAATAAATTACACTTTTTTGGTTACTACATGATTCCATATGTGTTATTTCATAGTTTTGATGTCTTCACTATTATTCTACAATGTAAAAAAATAAAGAAAAACCCTTGAATGAGTAGACCTGACAACAACCTCTCTGTTGGGATTGGAGTTAATGAGGCTACGGGACATTCCTGAGGCAATTTGTGAAATACCTACCATCTTAGAAAGGGAGGGAGCACATAGTGAACATATTCTTTATTCCATGCAATGCCAAAAGCCACAAGCTGTGTTTAAGCAAAAAATATTTTGATATGGGACGTGTGTGTGTATGTTACAGAAATCAGTAATCCCATTTATTGTCTTAAATTGTTTTTGAATTGAAGCTGTAAAAAATAGCAATATTCTCTTGGTGATCAAGCCTATATGATTAAGACTAGGAACTGTGGAATGACAAGCATTTGACACATGCTCACAGAGGCTGGCTTTATGTGCTAAGGCCCCTTGAGACCTTCTAATCGGTTATGTAGTGCATACCCAGACATGAGTCTGCATATTTCCTGACCAAAGCCAGCTGATTTCTTGGTATTTCTTAACTGTATAAAGCACACTAACCTGTCCTCTGGAAATGTTGTTGTATGCAGACAGAGCCTAAAGTCAGTGGGAATAAAATTATATATTTTTGATAACTCACTGATTTTTCCAGCAGGTCTCATTTGTTGTTTCTCTCTTATTTTTTTACAGTAAAAAAAAATAAAAAAAAGACATGTTTCTCATTCCTGCCATAACTCGGTTCAAATGGAATGCCAAGATGCATGGTGTGCTCACAAGTTGTAACAGGACTTTACATTGTTGAGTGAACTTTGCCTTGGAATGTTTTGTTTGGTATCCTTACCTGGATACCTCAAGTGGATCTGAGCATCTGTCAGTCTGAATGGTCCAGGATGACAAATAGTCATTGTTTTTAGACCACTTGACTTGCAAGCACATGTGGAATGAGAGGAGAGAAGATTAAAAGGCATATCCTGAATGAATACTGAGTATATGTATCTTATCCAATCAAGAAGGCATGTCAAGTAGAAGCGAACACTAGTCACTTTAATAATATTTACATATCTTGCATTACTCAGCTCATTTGTATATACTATATTCTATAATATTCTACTGTATCTCAGTCCATGCTGCTCTGTCATTGCTCGTCCATATATGTATATATTCTTAATTCCATTCCTAACTTAGATTTGTGTGTATTGGGTATATGTTGTGAAATTGTTAGAAATTACATTAGATATTACTGCACTGTCAGAGCTAGAAGCACAAGCATTCTGCTACACCCGCAATAACATCTGCTAAATGTGTGTATGTGACAAATAACATTTGAATTTATTACAATAAAATGTCATTTGATTTGTAAACAACCTGGAGCCTGCAATGCTAGAAAAGAGATTCAACCCCACATGTTCTCAGGGCACATACTGTAGGCTAATGTATCTTGTAAATCGGAGATGTGTATTCTAAAGAGCAGGGGGGGTCACTTACGGCAGAAGTGTGCCCATCTCAAATAACCCTCTGTTAAAACCAACAAACAGAGATCTCCTAAAGCTTGGCGTGCTGAACCAGCCCGGTGCCTTCAAACTGGGAATTTGTTATAATATAATATTATAATATAATATTATATAATAATAATATAATATAATATGCCATTTAGCAGACGCTTTTATCCAAAGCGACTTACAGTCATGTGCGCATACATTTTTACGTATGGGTGGTCCCGGGGTTATGAAAGGCCTCAGGTGGTCGAGGGTAATTGTAGATCCATGATTTGAAAGATTACACTGCTTGTGAAATTGACCGATGTAATAAGCGTTCCAAATAAAGCATACATACCCAGCTCAGTGTTGGTAATTGAGAAAGTCTGAAAGTGTTCGCTGCCATGTGTTTGCTGCCATTCCATTGACTCCGTTCTTAATTCTATTGCGACCCAATGCTAGAAATGTGAAATAAGCAATAAGAAGTGTGCTCCATTATTATGATCCGTCCTCGCCTCAGCAGCCTCCTGTGGCATCCACAAATTAATACATACCATACGAAACGTAACATATTATACTAAATGGAGTGTCTCGGATTTACATATAGAATAATACGAAATGCTCTGAGACCAGGTTAGCTAAATTACTCAAATGTAAATATAGCCCCACAGTGGATGTGTCATAATACCCATGAAACTTAGCAGTCAAACAGGGAAATTGTTTCAATTGTTTTTACCCCCACTAATTTTCCCCATAGGGTTTTTTAGAAACACTTAAAATAAGGGCTGTGTTTCCTGTAGGCTTACCCTTGTGTGACGTTTTGATAACCATGTAAATCTCTCTCTGACAAGGTGACGTTTATAAATATATTAGACTCTATTTACTCTCATATTCGAAAATGCAAATTAGCATCAAAGTAGACATCATGTAAGAGTACAAATCCCTGCAAGCTCCTGCACGTCATCTCTAGCTGAAACCTTTGCTAAACAGGTATTGTGTCAATTTAAAACTTGCATAAGACAGTTCACAGAATTGCCAATTTAAATAAATGTAGCCAATTCATTCATTACTACATTTAGCTAACATTAGATTACCTTTGCCTCGAGTTGGCAGTCTCATCCAGATCAACATGGTATTTGTAGTTCTTTATGATAGCTACATTAGCAGCTAATTAGCATTACATTTTTTGCGGGTAAATACAGGTGAATATAGTGAAGTCCCCTTGTCCTAGAGGGTAAGCCTACACGAAACACAGCCCCTATTGTAAGTGTTTCTAAAATCCCCTATGGGAAAAATTTATGGTGTATACTACTTAATCTGAAAATTCCTAAACTGTACTAGTTACATGGTTTATACTCCAGAATGTTTTCTGGCGTTAGTAAAACCAAGGGAATTAAATGGTGTTATTTCCCATTAATTGATACAACTTTGAGGTGAGCAGTGTGTTTGTGATCTGAGTGTTGGCACAGCCCAGTTGCACATAGCCCAGTGCTTGTGTGGCAGAGTGACACATACTGTACCTTGGATTTGCTTTCAATCAAGATTATGTTAATCCACCACAATCTCCTAAACAGGTGCTCAGCACAGAGGCGTGTTCAGTACAGGCTGCATTCCAAAAGGGCACTTCTCCTTTGAATACATGTAGCCCATACTGTACTCTGAGGAATACGTAAATTTGTGTGTGTGGAGAGGGGATTAGTTCAGCTCTGCCCTGATTTTAGCTGCCCAGCTGGGTTGGTTGGTACAGTGAGGGAAAAAAGTATTTGATCCCCTGCTGATTTTGTACGTTTGCCCACTGACAAAGAAATGATCAGTCTATAATTTTAATGGTAGGCTTATTTGAACAGTGAGAGACAGAATAACAACAACAAAATCCAGAAAAACGCATGTCAAAAATGTTATAAATTGATTTGCATTTTAATGAGGGAAATAAGTATTTGATCACCTCTCAATCAGAAAGATTTCTGGCTCCCAGGTGTCTTTTATACAGGTAACGAGCTGAGATTAGGAGCACACTCTTAAAGGGAGTGCTCCTAATCTCAGTTTGTTACCTGTATAAAAGACACCTGTCCACAGAAGCAATCAATCAATCAGATTCCAAACTCTCCACCATGGCTAAGACCAAAGAGCTCTCCAAGGATGTCAGGGACAAGATTGTAGACCTACACAAGGCTGGAATGGGCTACAAGACCATCGTCAAGCAGCTTGGTGAGAAGGTGACAACAGTTGGTGCGATTATTCGCAAATGGAAGAAACACAAAATAACTGTCAATCTCCCTCGTCCTGGGGCTCCATGCAAGAACTCACCTCGTGGAGTTGCAATGATCATGAGAACGGTGAGGAATCAGCCCAGAACTACAAGGGAGGATCTTGTCAATGATCTCAAGGCAGCTGGGACCATAGTCACCAAGAAAACAATTGGTAACACACTACGCCGTGAAGGACTGAAATCCTGCAGGGCCCGCAAGGTCCCCCTGCTCAAGAAAGCACATATACAGGGCTGTCTGCAGTTTGCCAATGAACATCTGAATGATTCAGAGGAGAACTGGGTGAAAGTGTTGTGGTCAGATGAGACCAAAATGGAGCTCTTTGGCATCAACTCAACTCCCCGTGTTTGGAGGAGGAGGAATGCTGCCTATGACCCCAAGAACACCATCCCCACCGTCAAACATGGAGGTGGAAACATTATGCTTTGGGAATGTTTTTCTGCTAAGGGGACAGGACAACTTCACCGCATCAAAGGGACGATGGACAGGGCCGTCTGACCTCTGTGATTGCCAAAAAGGGTTTTGCCACCAAGTACTAAGTCATGTTTTGCAGAGGGGTCAAATACTTATTTCCCTCATTAAAATGCAAATCAATTTATAACATTTTTTACATGCGGTTTTCTGGATTTTTTGTTTGTTATTCTGTCTCTCACTGTTCAAATAAACCTACCATTAAAATTATAGACTGATCATGTCTTTGTCAGTGGGCAAATGTACAAAATCAGCAGGGGATCAAATACTTTTTTCCCTCACTGTATATGACAATGATGGTTGACGGTTGCTGTCTGTGAGAAGATACAGTAACAGGACAACTGTCTGAGGGTCCACCAGTGTTGATCACATGATTTGTCTACAGAGCCTTGACCTAATAAGAAAACACTTGCAGAGCCATATTGTGCAATTGCTCGCTACTGTATCTGAGCAGTTCTCAGTTTTCAGTATGAGATAGAAACACTTATCTTCAGCAGTACTCATACAGTAGATGTCTAGTTACATATCACACATCATATGAATTGGTGCTTATTTTGAACAAGACAATCTTTTTTAAAACTATGTCAAACAGAAATAGTGTTGAACTAGTGAACAATTCTCCGAACATAGATAGTCAAAGAAGAATGTCTCTATGGTAGCTATAAAGCTATTATAAACTATCCAAAAAGTAACTCTAAAGAAATGCAATGATGCACTGTTCTGTTGGTGCCAAAGGTGGAATTTGATCAATACACTATCAAGTGGTGAGTGCTGACCTGTAAAGCCAAAGCTAATTTTAGAGCTACGAAGTAGAGACAGTTGTGTTCAGTTGCCTGTGAATGACAGTTTCATGCTGGAATAAGACAAATCTGAGTAAAGTCATTTTATTAAATCCATAAGTATAACTATCACATAAGAGAGCATAAAAACAATCTTCCAAAAACAGTAGTATGGTCATTCACTGAAAAATAACAAATATGATGAATGGATTGAAACAAAACAAACCCTTTAAATATTGTCTTTGAGTTCTATCGGAAGGAACAATCAAATATACATCAAAACAATCTTCCACAGGTGAAATTCATATGACTTTCACTGGGACTGGGCCTTTGATAACAGATTCACTCATCTTGGCCTTTTTCGCTAAAAATATGGACTGAAATCATTGGGTAAAGAAGCAAATCTAAACGTAAAACATGTCAATGTTCTTTACACTTTGAACATAAATGTTTGCTAAGATTGATGTTTAATTTCCTTGGCTTGAGGTCTATATTGGCTCCTTTAGGTCTCCGTAGATTCTGATTCAGCACCAACAACTCGAAATGACTGTGGTAAGAAAACAGCTTTCCGATTGAATGAAATCAAGACATTGTGCATCTGGATATCGCCACATGAAAAAGGAACTCATCGGGATGCAGTTGTGTACATTTCACATCTGTATTACTCTGGATTATTGACGCTGGTGAAGAAACCTCAGAGGTTTCCTTTAAAAGGTGGGAATTGAACAAGTAACTGTGCTGGAGTTACAGTATAATGCGCACTATGTGCGCCATAAGAAATGACCAGATTGAGAAAAGTGCTGTGAGTTGAAGGGACAGATAACAGCAATAGCCAAGGTTGGACACCCAAAGGCACTAAGTGTGGAGATTCCTGTTTAGTGTGATGCAGAAAAATAAGACTGCTATCCTGTAATACTGAATTTCAACATGGGGCTGGTGGCAGCAATATATACATTTACGTTGAAGCTGGAGGTAGAAAATTCAGTACATGATAACACATTGAGGCATAAAGTTACCGAGGACATTTTCTTTAACTCCCCATTTTGAAAGCATGCTGTACCTGGCCTCCAGTCATCCTCTGGTGTGTATATTGTCAAATGGCATTAATCATAGTCAAGAAAACATACATCTAAACAGATCAACCTCCTGTATTACAAAACATTCTTGATATAGTGTAACATAAGAAAAAAAAAAAAACTGTCTAGGAGCATCTAGAAGAACATTGCACAGTATCATTCCTAAAACTCATTACAATTCAGCAAATGTGCGTCAATTATACTCTTTGGTTTGCGTACCACAAACACATGAATTGTGGACCAATTTACACAAAAAAAGTCAGGATTCACACGCAGAATTTCACTTCAAGAATGCACTTTCTAGCCTGTATTATTTTGATGAGCAGTCTATGCAGCTAAATGTTGAGTGCAGACTTGAGATAGGTGTCAGTTGGCTATGGAAGACTGTAATGGACAGAATTGCCAAACATGTACTAAATGCATGTCGTAGTGGGGTCAACATATTATAAATTCATAATGAGTACCCTGTATTGATTTGTTAAATGCAAACAATGGTTACGATGGTGATATCTGTACTTAATTCGACAATCCAGTTTCATTGAAGAACTGTTAACTGAAAAAGGTATGGAGAGCCACAGCACAATATGAAATGAAGCATACCATAGGGCTTCGGAGAAGCACATGCCTACTTCGCCCGGTCTAAAACCATTCCAGAAGTAAGCGTTTCCAGCATTTTAATACTTTTTTTCACATTTCTATACTTTTCTCCAGTCTACACCACACAAACCAGTAACAGTCAAAGTTGCCACTACATGCCATCTAAAAGTTGATTTCCTCCATCACTGATTGCAGGGACAGGACTCGCATCCCTTTTGTTTATCAAGACCTTCCCAGTCTCTGGGATTTCAACCCTGTAAACATTGTGATGACAGAGCTTGGAAGTACTCACAACCAATCATTTTAAAAAATACTCAAAATGTTCATAGTAATAGGAGAACAAAAATGACCATATTATAATTTATAATAAATAATGAACCTTGGTTTATATATTTGTATGAAAATGTCTGCTGAAAAATTACTATAAGCCAGCAAAACAAAATGCATGGCACAGCTCTTTATAAAAAAAAATAAAGCATATTGCCTCAAACGTGTGGAGTCAAGCTTTGGAGCCAAACAGCTCAGCTCTTGGGTCTCTCAGATGGTGATGTGGAAAGAGTCTCCTAGCCAGGAGTCCTTGCTAGTCCCGTTTTTGGGAGATGTAGCCTCACTTCCCTCCGGTTGGTCAGTTGGTGTTGTGCTGGTCTCTTGGTAGTATTCATCATCTTCATCGAAGTAGCCATTCTCTATCCCGTGCGCGGCACTGAGGTCATGGCAACTGCCCTTGTACTCCTGGATTGACTCATGGAGGGACCAGAGCTGACACAGCAAAGACATATCCTGCTGACGCAACCCCACCTGGAAAAAACAAAATTAAACCAGAATTATTTCAAGTTTTCACAAAAGGGTGTTTTGTACTATACCTAGGTCTAAATTTGAGAGAAGACAAAAATGAGCAGATGGTGCTTCATGCCTAGCCCAATATTGGACAAAAGGAACCTGACATTACTCAGTAGTCGTTGGGTAGAGAAGAAGCAGTCTACGAATCTAAATGTTCTGTTTAAAAGGCGAATTGGTTCTGGAAGTGAAAACAGCCAAATTCTCCATCTAAACGTGAATCGGTTCCCAATTGTGGTATGGTTCTAGAAACATAAATCCCCCTACTGTCATAATATATCAAAAATAATTTCACAAATGCAAAATACACACTTACTGTACACGTAACCGCTTTTAAACAGTTGCAGCCGAAAGTATTTTTCAGTGACATGTTTGTGGCGTCTGTCTTCCGCAGATAACGAATTAGACGCAGATAGCTAATTAGTACAGGTGGTTCATCGTGTGGGAACCCTAACCCTATAAAGTTCTGTATCCATTTTTTATTTTTTTAAGTCTTGCGTATAATATCTCCTTCATATTATAAATGAGAAGGTCCTTATGTTTCCAAAACCGTACCGCAAGTGATGCCAGTTAATGTTCAGACCGAGGGTCGCGACTCCCCCCTACAGAAGCTAGTTTAAAGTTGTGTAATGGAACAGTCATGATCAAGGGCTACTTCATGCCTTTAGCTATAAATATTTGCTTCTCTCCATTCAAATCAATAAATATTAATCCCATTAGAGAATAGGCCTACAGTGAGGCTGAAAGAAAGTTTGATTTGTAAACCTTCAAATAGCTACTCATACGGAAACATCTGTTCACACAAATCAATTTAGTATAGACTGTAGGCTATCAAAGAAAACCAAACTGGCACCAAATCCTACAAGTAATAACAATGTATCAATGTTTCATTGTTGTCATGTCACCGTTGAGTATTGGCTACAGTGTTGCAAATCTTATCACAGAAATTGGCAACAGCCAGTGTCAAATTTCTGTTTACATGTTTTAGCTGACTATAAGAGCTAGTGTACTAATTAGACCATGAATTAATTAAGTCATTTTGGAGTAATTTCGTGATTGTCAGAACAGCTGCTGCTCTCATATGATTTCACCATTCTGCCTTGTAAAACGAGAAGAAAAACAACCCCATCACGATCCTGTTTGCAATTATAAATCACATCCCCTCCACTTACCATTTCTTTTCGGAGGAGTGCTAAAGCCGCATCAAGGTTGGCCGGTTTATTCGCAAACAGATTGTCGGAATTGTTTCGCCCACGGCTAAGGTCGTCTTGGATCATGGTTTTCTTTGCATACATCCTTTCCATCTCTCTCCAAGACCCGCCGCTTGAATTGAGCAAGCCGCTTAAGCTCTTCGGCAGTGGGGGTAGCCCCTCAATGCAGGCCAGTGTTCCGCCCGCTGTGCCATTCGCCGATTTGCCGTTCATCGTTATACCTTTTTAAGTTAAATTCAATATTTTTAGTGGGAAGAAGTTTTAGTGTTTATAAATAACCACATTCGGGAAAGAAATTCGCCTCTCCGACGAGCACCATGCAAATCATTCGTTAACGCCAACAGCCGTAATCTCCTTTATAGCTCTGGCTGACTCGCACTTCCTGTCCCTTTAACACAGTTCCAGGCTGATTGGGCGTCACCCACGGTGACGGACAGGAAATGGGGGTTGAATATTTATAACCTTACCAGTATTTTTTTGGGGGGGGGTTAGAGACGCTCCTACCTAATTCATGCGATTTATTGCTGAAGTGAGTCACAGCTCTACAGTGTGGGGATTTGATTTATTTATAAGACAATTGGCTGCATTCACACAGGCACAATTTTCACTAATTGGTATTTTGACCAATCAGACAGGCTCTGAAAAAGAGCTGCTGTGAAAAGATCTGATGTGATTGGTCAAAAGGCCAACTTGTGAAAAAATGTCAGACCTGGACTGCCTGTGTAAACGCAACCAATGATGATGAGGAACCACCAAATAGACATCATTTAATATTTCATCAAATGAAAGTTATCAAGCTAATTTTCTTGAAAGTCTCTTGTGGGATTTAAGTGCATTGATATAATGTTGCACACTTCGCAAAGAAACAAACATGACATATGCTACATGAATACCGCTGAGAATAGTTCAAAAGGCATTACTCAGGGTAAGGTCATCATGACATGTGTCTGCAGAACAAAGGTGTCACTATGGACAGATGGTGGGTTTTCCAACCATGGTCCTGTTTCATTAACAGCCCCTTAACAAAGAGACAAAGCCCACCCAACAGAGGCACATGTGGCCTATACAAGGGCAGATGTCATTGAAGAAGCAAGGTCTCAACAAATGGTGTAATTTTAAACATGAAAAACTAAATAATCGATTTATTCCCTTAATTAAAAAACATTATTTTATACTCTATGAATTGGCAGTGCATCAATATGAGTTTAAATGTACTTTGATGATGCACTGCACAGTCAAGACAAGGACAGTTAGTGAGTGACTACCCATTAGGCCTTCCTAAGTGTTGGTGCCTTTTGACTGCAGTGCACTCAAGCTGTGGACATGTTCTTTAAATACAGGCTAGAGATAACAGGTGCAACTCATCTTCTTAACTTATCTTCTCAAGACAAGCAAATCTTCTCATTTGCTTATCTTCTCCCTAAAATGCATTGTATGCTATTTTTCACTGTGCTAATCTTCTGGGATGTCCTCAGAATCTTGCAGGTCAGGAGGAGCAGATGTTGTGAGATACAGCTGCCTGCCTCATTGTTGTGCCTTGAACTCTACTGCCCTCCCTCTCTGCCCCTCTGCCATGACATAGCTAACCCCACTGTCTCTGCATTTTCCTTCCCTAAATAACATATGCCTTGATTTTATTCCAGGATAAACCAGAAACCACTCAGGGAAAAACATTCCTTGGTACATGTTAAGACCACAGACACAAATAACCCCATTGGTATTATATTGCACAAGCAGGTTTTCTTTTCGGAAACTGTCATTGCTCTCTTGGCCCGGTCTAGATACAGTGAGGGAAAAAAGTATTTGATACCCTGCTGATTTTGTACGTTTGCCCACTGACAAAGACATGATCAGTCTATAATTTTAATGGTAGGTTTATTTGAACAGTGAGAGACAGAATAACAACAAAATAATCCAGAAAAACGCATGTCAAAAATGTTATAAATTGATTTGCATTTTAATGAGGGAAATAAGTATTTGACCCCTCTGCAAAACATGACTTAGTACTTGGTGGCAAAACCCTTTTTGGCAATCACAGACGTTTCTTGTAGTTGGCCACCAGGTTTGCACACATCTCAGGAGGGATTTTGTTCCACTCCTCTTTGCAGATCTTCTCCAAGTCATTAAGGTTTCGAGGCTGACGTTTGGCAACTCGAACCTTCAGCTCCCTCCACAGATTTTCTATGGGATTAAGGTCTGGAGACTGGCTAGGCCACTCCAAGACCTTAATGTGCTTCTTCTTGAGCCACTCCTTTGTTGCCTTGGCCGTGTGTTTTGGGTCATTGTCATGCAGGAATACCCATCCACGACCCATTTTCAATGCCCTGGCTGAGGGAAGGAGGTTCTCACCCAAGATTTGACGGTACATGGCGCCATCCATCATCCCTTTGATGCGGTGAAGTTGTCCTGTCCCCTTAGCAGAAAAACACCCCCAAAGCATAATGTTTCCACCTCCATGTTTGACGGTGGGGATGGTGTTCTTGGGGTCATAGGCAGCATTCCTCCTCCTCCAAACACGGCGAGTTGAGTTGATGCCAAAGAGCTCGATTTTGGTCTCATCTGACCACAACACTTTCACCTAGTTCTCCTCTGAATCATTCAGATGTTCATTGGCAAACGTCAGACGGGCCTGTATATGTGCTTTCTTGAGCAGGGGGACCTTGCGGGCACTGCAGGATTTCAGTCCTTCACGGCGTAGTGTGTTACCAATTGTTTTCTTGGTGACTATGGTCCCAGCTGCCTTGAGATCCTTGACAAGATCCTCCCGTGTAGTTCTGGGCTGATTCCTCACGGTTCTCATGATCATTGCAACTCCACGAGGTGAGATCTTGCATGGAGCCCCAGGCCGAGGGAGATTGACAGTTAATTTGTGTTTCTTCCATTTGCAAATAATCGCACCAACTGTTGTCACCTTCTCACCAAGCTGCTTGGCGATGGTCTTGTAGCCCATTCCAGCCTTGTGTAGGTCTACAATCTTGTCCCTGACATCCTTGGAGAGCTCTTTGGTCTTGGCCATTGTGGAGAGTTTGGAATCTGATTGATTGTTTCTGTGGACAGGTGTCTTTTATACAGGTAACAAGCTGAGATTAGGAGCACTCCCTTTAAGAGTGTGCTCCTAATCGCAGCTCGTTACCTGTATAAAAGACACCAGGGAGCCAGAAATCTTTCTGATTGAGAGGGGGTCAAATACTTATTTCCCTCATTAAAATGCAAATAAATTTATAACATTTTTTACATGCGTTTTTCTGGATTTCTTTGTTGTTATTCTGTCTCTCACTGTTCAAATAAACCTACCATTAAAATTATAGACTGATCATTTCTTTGTCAGTGGGCAAACGTACAAAATCAGCAGGGGATCAAATACTTTTTTCCCTCACTGTATATCCCCATAAAACCTTCCTGTACTTTTTGAATGTGAATCAAAAGACCATTCTCAACAATGCTCTATGCCCTTGGAGAGGCAGGAAATCTATTCAAAAGCATCTAAGCATGTAAGGGTATTGAAGTATATGTGTCTGAGAATGTGATTTTTCAGTCAAATGAATTAGTGTAGTTATATGATTAAATGGTATTTGAGACCATCTTATTGATTTCTATTAGTCTGCCATTGTAGTCTGACTTTGAGGAAGGAGGACTATGAAAAGTAATATTCAGTCAAAATACACATAAAGGGTATGTAAGAACATTTTATTTCCAAATAAATGAAGCCCTTCATAAACATTCCTATTAAAACATGAACCTTGGTCTTATTTCGGCAGAAACAAAACAAATTCAACATTCCACTTAACATTTATATCAGTAGCACACATGCAGAAAATAATCTGCAAATACATTAATACTATTTCAATGATGATATTACTAATGTAAAGAAAAAAACAAGACAACTAAAACACGAAATAGCTTCAATAACAGCCTTGTTACTGGTTGGCTACACACTACTACTACTGATAATTTACAGAGGCTTTAGTGAAATTCACATTAGTGCTTTCCATTGAACAAGGCATTAAACTATTGTTGATGACATGAGTCAACACATGCCCTTGTAAAATACTTGACCCTGTTGAATGTGACGAATTCTAAGGCCTAGAGAAGTGAATTGCAAGCACGTGTGAAATTCAATACTGCCTGATCAGCATACCAGGCAGACACTTTCCAAATTCAAGACTGCAGCAAATTGCCTATGTAATGGCAACATTGCCTTGACCCATCAAGTAAAGTGGTTATCCCACTGGCTATAGGGTGAATGCACCAATTTGTGAGTCGCTCTGGATAAGAGCGTCTGCTAAATGACGTAAATGTGCCCTTGAGCAAGGCACTTAACCCTAATTGCTCCTGTAAGTCGCTCTGGATAAGAGCGTCTGCTAAATGACTAAAATGTAAATGTAAAGTGGCACCAATTAAATCAATTCTTCCTGAGCGAGGACCTTTCCAGTGCTAAAACATTTGGAGAGTTTTCTTAAAAACATGGTAATTGATCAAAGTTTCAGGAAATATTTACATGGATCTACTAAGGCACAAGTCTCTCTGCAAAATATCATAAACTTAACAACTTAAAAAGAAAAGCAAAGTCACCTGGTGCAGTCCAGATGTTCTTCTTTAAGACTAAAACCAACAGGGTTTTTCCAGAGGGTTTTACATGATGTAGGAGATGCAAACTGGAAAACTGCATTTCTAATTACAGCAGTACTACATGAGATACAAATGACATTTCAACTTATTAGCAAAACCGACTTTGAATTGAAGGAAACAAACTCTATAAACATCACCTATGCTTAGACTTGTTAGAGGTTGTGCAATATAAAACAGCTGCTGGGCTTTCTCCTCACATTTCAGTTTTCTCACGAGAGACAGGAATCTAAATGTGCATTGATTTTTGACTCTTGCACCTTGGCTTGGCATACAGGGCAGCTGACGTTCACAGTAAGGCTTGCAGAGCTGTCAGTGTTGTTCTGAACTGCAGGATGGGCTGCTGGGGTAGTCGGCCTGGCAATGTCCTCCCTTGTACCCCTGGACGTTGATGACTCACCAATTGTTTGCTGAAAGAAGTCAAAGATGTGAGCAGAGGTGCGGTCTTCCCAAGGCCTCTTCCTAGAACCTGGAATGTTGACGCCACTAGGCTTTTTAGGGCCTTTAAAATATTTGGAGGGGTGAGGCTCGGTGGACACAACAGGATTTGATGCGGCCGGAACACCAGAGTAATGGCTGTGCAGTTGTCTGATGTCTGAGGAACTGGCAGCTTTGGCTGGTTGTCCAAACTTCAAACTACCCACAGATGAAGATGCACTTTTGGTCTCAGCTGGTGGATTTGAGACAGTGGAGGTACTAGAACTAGCTGCACGTCCAGACTTCCAGCCACTGGTATTAAAGAGGTCTTGGACAGACCTTTGCTCTGTTTTGGTCTTTAAAGCGTCTGAGGAGTCACTATGTGGCTTGGTCACAGTGGTGTTGGATTTGTAAATCCTAACAGGTGAGCCACTGATGTTGACAAATGCCTTGGTGTTGCTGACAGATTTTTTAACAGTGGGTTTCGGTCCTCTGAATGGACCGTGTGCTCCCCCTGCTATGGAGGTTGTGGTGCTTGTAGTCCCCTTCTTCTGTGGGCGGCTCAGACCTGGCCGTCCAGGCGAGTTGATTCCTTTTGCCGTCGCCTGAGCTGGAGGTGACAGCACAAGCCTGGGAGACGCAGGAGTAGTGAGGGTTGTTGTGGGACTGTTGACAAGAGGTTTCTTGAGTTGAAATGACGATGGCTGTGAACTCCCTCCAAGCAGAAAGCCTTTGCCACTGAATGGGATGATATTCCTTATGTCCTGTAAACCAGAGCCTGAGAAAAACATTGAAAATAAAATATAGATTCACCAAGACACATTCACTAAGCCATATTTTTAATTATAAATGATTTTACTGCTCTCAGCATTCATCAGATGAGAAAGAGACATGTATTACCTGCAGTAGCTGTACTGGAAGGCTTGCTGTTGCTTGTGGGCTTGTCTGTAGGCTTCTTGTCTTTGCTGGTGTCTGTCTTGCCTTGGCTGTTGTCAGTCTTCTTGCCTTTCTTTCCATAACCCTCCGGCTCCTTGACCTTGGTATAGTTGCCCCCACAGGAGCGCAGGTGGTCCCCCCACCACGTGTCTTGGGCTGAGGGGGCACGGTTCATTGCCCTCTTCACGTATCCAAAGTAGGGCTTGCGAGTCTGACAGGGCCCATCACAGCGCCACCAGTGCTGACGGTAGAGATCCACTTCATCATGGAAAGTGTGATAGACCTGGTGGAACACAGTTGATTCAGAAGTCAGATGCATATCAACACAAAGTACAATTTCACAGTTGACATTGACCGGACACAGAAGAACCTACTGTGATTTTAGTCCCAGTAGCTTGGTTGATTCTGTCCATGTGCTTGCAGAACTCAGGTCCATGCCCATCACGATCTCTGTTGTTTTGAGTCACGAAGAGCAGTGCATGGATCATCTCATGCAGAAGTGTCTGGAATAATTAACAGAGTATTTTTCATGTTATGCTATACTGAAGAAATGCCACCACAGCCACTTTGCATGTGTTAAATCTTATACAATTACCCTCAATCTGAGAAGGTTCAGGTTGGTTAGTCAAAGTACCTGTACAAGATCCCGACGGGGTCTGAGTTTCAGTAAAGGCTCACTGAGTCGAATAGAACACAGTCCACCTCGTCCTTCATAAGAACACACACCTGCGCACCTACAATTGAAGATTTTATGAGGAGACAGGCATTGAATAATATAAAATAAGGGAATACTCTAACCACAAGAGAACAATCACAGGTCGAGTTATACATGGACAGTGAATGGGCAACATTTTTGTAATGTATGAGCTCCAATCATAAACATGTGAATCATATCTGATGATTGATACAACAATGACTTACAGTGTCATTCGGGGGCTCCATTTGACTTCCACACCACTGAGCTTTCTCCAGAAGAACGTGTCATTGAACTCCAGGAACATTGCCCTCACATCTGGGCTTGGGTCAAGCGTCTCCCACGACTCATCCACGATTGACATCGGTTTCTCGGGGGCAATAGATGGAGGTGAATAGGGGATGACATCGCTGCTAGACTCAACTTTCCGTTTTTTGTTGGTTTGGCCACTGCTGTTGTCATTATTTGTTGTATATGTGGATGCCTCGGAATTAAACTGCTCTTGCAGCTGAATGGCAAGCAGGAAATCTTCATCCATGTTCAACTACTGATGAATCAACAGATCATTCAAGTTAGATGGATATTGAATAGCTAAATTAGCTAGCTTGTGATGTAACGTTCCTAGCTAAATAGCTAGCCAGTTGGCTAATGAACGCACCAAAACCCAATTCATATATGATTTGGCGCTGGATAGCTCTAACTTTAGCAACCATCAGATGACTGTCATCGCGGTCTAATAAATATGATTGTCATATATATCTACGTAAGCGTACCTCAATATCCAGCTTAAGTTAAATGTAGATTCATTTCGGTAATTGTTTAGGTAGTTAATGGGCAATACTACAGAAAAAAGTATCTCCTTTTCAAAATACTTCCTGTTTACGTGCCTTCCTAGTTTACGTCTGATTTCCTTCATTCTATGGTGCTGTTGGGAATTCTGGGATACGTTATTCCGCCACAGTAGCACTCGCGAATAAATGTCGTCAAACTTAACAGTTACTCGGGATTTTGTATAATTACACTGAAATGAAATAAAATCTATAAAATACAAATGTTGACTGTAATTTTGATCTCTCAATATGACTATCACAATTAATTTTTATTTATTTTATTTGACATTCTTTTTTTTTACCCATTGACGTTCTACTGGCCACCTAATTTACATCTCGTGACGTTTTGGGCAAAGATGTTGTTCTATCTGTGTTTTGGGTGTTAACCTAGTTCCTGTTAGCGCAGCAGCTAAAAAACCCCCAACATATTTATGTATATTAATCAGAAGAAGACACCCAGTAACTTGGGAGATGGCAGATCAGGCGAACAGACTGCGCAAGCAGTTAGAATCAGCTAATTTCGACCCGCAGAATTATGTCCAGCGTCTCTCACAACAATCTGATGGCGACAGAGATTTGCAGGAACATCGTCAAAAAATACAGACCCTGGCAGATGAAACGGCTCAAAACCTGAAGAAAAATGTCTACAAGAATTACAGACAGTTCATCGAAACTGCCAAAGAGATTTCATACTTGGAGAGTGAGATGTACCAACTGAGTCATATTTTGACAGAGCAGAAAAGTATCATGGAGAGCATTACCCAGTCTTTGCTCTCAACAGATAAGGATGAAACTGCAAAGGAGATGCTGGCAGCATTCCCTAAAGACACAGAGGAAGTGAAACAGAGAACACTGACTACACTGCTTGAGAAAGTGGAGGGGTGCAAAAACATTATGGACACCCCAGGCAGATATTTAGTGTACAATGGCGACCTGGTTGAATATGATGTGGACAACATGGCACAACTTCGAAAAGTGCATGCCTTACTGATGAATGACTGCCTTCTCATTGCCACCTGGTTAGCGAATCGCTGTGGTACAGTGAAGTACAAATACAATGCACTGTATGATCTGGAGAGCTTTGCCATTGTCAACGTGAAGGACCACCCCTCAATGAAGGACATGTTCAAAATCCTGATGTTCCCCGAAAGCTGCATATTTCAGGCAGAGAACAGCAAGATTAAAAAGGAGTGGCTGGAGATCCTTAATGAGACCAAGAAAAACAAAGTGACAAAAGAAGAACACAAGAAGGAAGAGGTAGAGGTTCCCAACTCACCTGTCCAGACGCCTCGGTTTTGACCAACCCTTTTGACTCAGAGGAGACTGTGGATCTGAGCTTGGAGTTGATCCAGGAGCTTTCCGAGGACCTGGACATGTGCATTGCCCAGCGGGACTTTGAAGGTGCCGTAGACCTCCCCGACAAGCTGAATGAGTACCTGAAGGACAAGCCTGTCAATCTGAGGGTGAAATACCTCCGGGTGAAGGTGGATGAGCGTGTCCGACAGCTGACAGAGGTGCTGGTGTTTGAGCTCTCTCCTGACCGTTCCCTCCGCAGGGGACCCAAAGCGAGCTGTCGGGCCATGTCTCAGTTAATCCGGCTGGGGCAGCCCACCAAAGCCTGTGAGCTCTTCCTTAAGAACCGAGCCGCTGCTGTGCAGACCACCATCCGCCAGCTGCGCGTTGAGGGGGCTACTCTGCTCTACATACACAAGCTTTGCAACATCTTCTTCACAAGCCTGCTGGAGACTGCCAAATAATTTGACTTTGACTTTGCCGGTAACACAGGCTGCTACTCTGCATTTGTGGTCTGGTCCCGGTCATCCATGAAGACATTTGTGGATGCCTTCAGTGGGCAGGTGTTTGACAGCAAGGAGAGCCTCTCCACTGCCGCTGAGTGTGTCAAGGTGGCCAAGGAGCACTGCAAGCAGCTCAGTGAGATCGGCCTGGACCTCACCTTCACGCTGCAGTCCCTCCTGGTCAAAGACATCAAGGCAGCCCTGCAGAGCTACAAGGAGATCATTATTGAGGCCACCAAGCACCGCAACTCTGAGGAGATGTGGAGGAAGATGAACCTGATGACTCTGGAGGCTCTGACCAAGCTGAAGGAGGAAATGCGCAGCTGTGGTATGAGCAGCTTCAATCAGTATACAGGAGACGACTGCTGGGTCAACCTCAGCTACCCCATCGTGGCCTTCACCAAACAGATGATGGCTTTTCTGGAGGAGGGGCTGAAGCTCTACTTCCCAGAGCTGCACATGGTGCTGCTGGAGAGCCTGAGGGAGATCATCCTTGTGGCTGTGCAGCACATTGATTACAACCTACGGTGTGAACAGGAGGCAGAGAAGAAAGCCTTCATTCTTCAAAATGCAGCCTTCCTGCACGATACTGTACTCCCTGTGGTGGAGAAGAGGTTTGAGGAAGGAGTGGGGAAACCTGCTAAGCAGTTACAAGACTTGAGAAAAAGTGCACGGCCCATTCGTGTCAATCCTGATAGTACTATGTCTCAGGTCTAGTGGGTGGATGATAACCTGGTGTGAACAGCACTTTGATGACACTGTTGAACTTCAAATCATTGGCCAGAATTTATTAAATCGATTTATTCTGTCGTAGAGGCTATTCAGTGATAATTCTTTCTGTTTATTGTGATGTTGAAGAAAATGACATCGAGATAGTTTGTGATTTTGAATTTCCCATATTTTTCCTATGCTTGATGATATAGCATTACGAATAGAAGGCTAACTGCAATAGGATGACTGATTCATGTATTAACCTAATGCATTGACAATGGTATTGATTTGTACAAATGCGCCTCTGAAAAACACTATGGTATCACACAAATTCTCTCACAAAATAACAATTTTGTCCAGTTTACTGAAAAAACTATTTGTTTATATATATATTTAACCAAATGGTGAAAAATGATTTTGACTTTATAATATAGCTTTGGACCTAGGCTTGAGTGTTTAAAAACAAAAAACAGATCAGGGGATTTTTTAAATCTACAATATTTGACACTATAATATTTTTATATTATATTTTTCATATCCCCAATGAAGATTTTCAGAACAAAGCCTCAAATAACCCTTTTGTTATTTCTGAATAAAATAGGGGTTTTATTTTCAATGTTTTCCATCATAACAGATAACAAAAAATTATAACCTTGTAACATGACATTGAATTTCACATAGAAAATCTCATGATAATGGATTAGATATTCAAAATATTTCAATGGGTTGAAATTTGTGACCTGCCTTGAACTCACTCTGATGATGGCGGGTTGAAAAACAACTGAGTTTCAGATAAAAGCCCTTATCCCTTTGATTTATTTTCTTCCTTATATTGTTACATTCCTAGAGAACATAGAACATATAATTAATCAAATATTCACAAATGACCCTTGAACTACAAGCAGGGATTAGGCTATGGGAGTGAAGCTTGCTTTTGGGGATAACCTGACCTCACCCCACCCCTTCAAATCTTCTAACTGCAGTTCTGAGAAAGGTTTCACGTTTGATTAGTCGTATGTGTGGGATACGCACGGTATACATCGTCCAACTAAATGCTTACTAGCACGTTCCTTCTCGACAATGCAACAACAATAAGAAATAATAAAAGATAAGAATACATACATAGGTATAATACAGGAAGGCACAATTTATAGTCCAATATTTACACGTGTATTGGAGAAAGGACACCAAGAGTGCTGATTTGTCTAGGATGCTCTTCAGCCACTTGCTGAGTGGTTAATTTTGACCAAACCAAATAGACCATTGAAACTTATTGTAACATAAACTCACATAGTAGGCAAGGTGATAAATCATATTCTGTGTGATAAAGCTCTTCAACAGCCAATTATCTTCCATTTGAAATAACTGCTATGGATTTGATTGACATTTTTGGGGAGAAAGGAATTCTGGCATCCCGGAGTTGTGACAGCTACCATATTTCCTGCATAATTGGAATCAAAGATTAATCTTGAAATCATTCAATTAAAGATAGCCTAGTCTTTTTTTGATTGTCTAATTTGGGAGTGTGTCATACAAAGCATGAATTATGAATTGTTCATGTTGTGGTGTTTTTCCCATTGTATGAAGCAATTAGAATCCTAGTATGACAGCCCTTTGACTGGATCTCAGGTAATCTGAGACCAATTGATTTATAAACTCCCACAATGGATGTAACTGCTGCAATGCACGTTAGGGCCAGGGGACACATTATATTGTCCTGACCGGTTAATTATGCCTGACAGTTGCACATTTCAATGATAGTGTGCTCACAGTGACACAGTAATGCCAACCAATTTGGCAAGAACAACGGGCGCATATGCAAAACGTGAATCATGGATAGATATACAGTACATTACCAAAAGTATGTGGACACCTGCTCGTCGAACATCTCATTCCAAAATCATGGGCATTAATATGGAGTTGGTCCCCCCTTTGCTGCTATATCAGCCTTCACTCTTCTGGGAAGGCTTTCCACTAGATGTTGGAACATTGCTGCCGGGACTTGCTTCCATTCAGCCACAAGAGCATTAGTGAGGTCGGGCACTGATGTTGGACGATTAGGCCTGGGTCGCAGTCGGCATTCCAATTCATCCCAAAGGTGTCCGATGGGGTTGAGTTCAGGGCTCTGTGCAGGCCAGTCAAGTTCTTCCACACCAATCTTGACAAACCATTTCTGTATGGACCTCGCTTTGTGCACGGGGGCATTGTCATGCTGAAACAGGAAAGGGCCTTCCCCAAACCACAAAGTTGGAAGCACAGTATCGTCTAGAATGTAATTGTATGCTGTAGCGTTAAGATTTCCATTCACTGGAACTAAGGGGCCTAGCCCTAACCATAAAAAACAGCCCCAGACCATTATTCCTCCTCCACCAAACCTTACAGTTGGCACTATGCATTGGGGCAGTTAGTGTTCTCCTGGCAACAGCCAAACCCAGATTCGTCCATTGGACTGCCAGATGGTGAAGCCTGATTCATCACTTCAGAGAACGTGTTTCCACTGCTCCAGAGTCCAATGGCAGCGAGCTTTACACCACTCCAGCCGAGGCTTGTCATTGCGCATGGTGATTTTAGGCTTATGTGCGGCTGCTCTGCCTGTTCTTGTGCTGACTTTGCTTCCAGAGGCAGTTTGGAACTCGGTAGTGAGTGTTGCAACGGAGGACAGACGATTTCTATGCGCTACGCGCTTGTGTGTTCAACCACTTCGTGGTTGAGCCGTTGTTGCTCCTAGACGTTTCCACTTCACAATAACAGCACTTACAGTTGTCCAGGGCAGCTCTAGCAGGGCAGAAATTTGACGAACTGACTTGTTGGGACGGTGGCATCCTATGATGGTGCCACGTTGAAAGTCACTGAGCTCTTCAGTAAGGCCATTCTACTGCCAACGTTTATCTATGGACTATGGACATGACTATGTGCTCGATTTTATACACCTGTTAGCAACGGGTGTGGCTGAAATAGCCGAATCCACTCATTTGAAGGGGTGTCCTCATACTTGTGTATATATAGTGTAGTTCTGCCTATATATATCAGTGAGAAAAGGGAAACGTTCTGGGAAAATTGGCAATTTTATTAATTCAGAATATGCATCCTGAATTTCATTAAAATATTAGGTTGAAACTCTAAATAAAATAAAATCACCACCAACATATGCATTGACATTCAATAGCCTAGGAAATGTGCAGCGCAGCTGCGCCTGCTATACCCTTTGGGTTAGATACTGGTTAATAACAGATTTACTACCGAGGTGTGACTAGCCTACACAATACTTTTCACGGCTGCTCACTTGGATTACGGGTCTTGTAGTTTTTTGTTAAAAGTGAAATTGTTATTGTGAAGATGCGTTTGCAGAACCCATCCACTCGGACTACAACGCCAAAACACCCCGTCGCGCGCGCCTGCGTAAACCAGTCAAGGGAGCTGTCGGTATCAAATAGTGCTGCTCTGTTTTCATTGATCGCTGCTCTTGTGTACTGTGTGAGGAGCGTTTTATAGAAGACATGATGGATGAAGAATTAAAATGCCCCGTTTGCGGCTCTCTTTTCAAGGATCCTATTCTTTTACCTTGCTCGCACAATGTGTGTTTGGCGTGCGCCCGAAATATCATTGTACAGACCCCAGAAGGCGAAACACCTCCGCATAGCCGTGCCTCCGGGAACTCAGACTACGATTATTTGGATATGGACAAAATGAGCATGTATAGTGAAACGGACAGCGGCTATGGATCATACACGCCGTGCATCAAGTCTCCAAATGGGGTAAGGGTGTTTCCTCCGACTCTGGTGCACCGCCACTGCTCCATAACTTGTCCTCTCTGTCACCGTAGTGTCTCTCTGGATGAGCGGGGATTGAGGGGCTTCCCACGTAACCGGCTACTGGAGGCGATCGTGTCTCGTTATCAACAGAACCGCTCTGCCAACGTGAAATGTCAGCTGTGTGACCGCAACCCTGTCGATGCCACTGTGATGTGCGAACAGTGCGACGTGTTTTACTGCACACCTTGCCAGCAGCGATGCCACCCTTCCCGTGGACCGCTGGCCAAACATCGATTAGTGCCACCGACCCAATCGCCCGCGGCTGGAGGCCAGCAGATGCCCGCCGGCACCATACGCAAACAGGGAACATGTGCAGACCATGACATGGAGAACTTTAGCATGTACTGTGTCAACTGCAAGACTCCAGTGTGTATGAAGTGTCTTGAGGGTGGCAATCACGGGAGTCATGATGTAAAACCTTTAGCTGCCATGTGGAAACAGCACAAGGTAAGGATGATGGCAGTGGGGATGGCCTTGGGCACCATCATAATAAGCTGCTCCACAGCATCACATCACTGATGTCATCAGTGCCATTTAAATCACACCAACTGAATGCATCAGTGGTAGCCTCTACTTACAGTAATCAGGCAGCAACACTGTATAGCCTTATCACAGAGAAATAAAATAAATGAGCCCACTAGCCTGACTCACCAGTATCAGGTCACTGTTCTCCAGTTTCAGGCCCAGATTGTTCCTGCCAACAGCTCTGGGTTTGCTATTTGAATTTGTGAATAGGTCACCAGCGCTGTGTAACATGCCCCATGGTTTCCTCAGCTCCCACTACATGGTGAAGAGGAGTAGGTGGCCATGACTCAGAGCTGTTCAGTGCTCCTCCTCCTCTCAGGCATGGAATGCCTATAGGCAGACTGAGACTATGATAGACAGTAGAGATGCACATTGAGCTATCACACCCAAATTCACAAATGAAATTAAAAGCCAAACTGGGTCACTAATCTTACATTTAGTGTGATTTGGAGAGTCCTGTGGTATTCTTCCCATCAAACAGCATGCCTCCTTCCCACTCACTGATAAGGGTTGTTATGAGTTCAGTTCACCTTTATCACTGTCCCACAAATGGACCTTGAAAATCACATACTGTAAGTGTGAAGCGATGTTTATAAGTAATGAGCCCTATAAATACAAGATGCAGAAGTGCTTAGTTAATATATTTCCTGCCGTTGAGTGAGATCGATTACACTCCAGCATGCCGTCCATTTTGTGATGTATTATATGGCCAACAGTCTGTATTGACAAGAATGGGATGGTCAAGTGAGCTCTGCTCAGGTTGGAGGGAGTGTGTGTGTGTGAGAGAGAGAGAGAGAGAGAGAGAGAGAGAGAGAGAGAGAGAGAGAGAGAGAGAGAAGAGAGAGAGAGAGAGAGAGAGAGAGAGAGAGAGAAGAGAGAGGAGAGAGAGAGAGAGAGAGAGAGAGAGAGAGAGAGAGAGAGAGAGAGAGAGAGAGAGAGAGGGCGACAGTAGCTGTTGATGAAGAGGACATGAATGTATTGGCCTACTATTATGGCAAATTATCTCTGAGTACTCTTGAAGGTACACTGTCCCTCTTCACTTTAGATGTTGGGTTGGGTCTACTTTGCATGCCTCCCCTTGAATGATTCCACTGCACCAGGCAGCTATCCATGCCACTGTCACTTGGATGGGATTTTGTTGTGACACAGGGGACTAATTCAAATCTATTACTCACATTCCCATCCACAGCTCCAGATCCACCCTCAAGCTCTGACATGCTGTCCTGTCAACTGTCCTCTTCTAGGAGCTGACAGAAAACTCAGTTGAACAAATACAACAACCAGTCTGTTAGTTAGGGTAGGAGGGCTTGGTGATTGCAGTGTTAAAAGGAGAGAGAGAGAACGGCTACTCCTCTGAGGATTGTTTTATAACCACAGATGGATTGTGGCTTGTGGCTCAGAGGCAATTGTCATCCTCAATGCTGCAGAGATCCAGAGTGCTGTGTGTGTGGACAGTCGGTCTGTGGAGAGCTTAATCAGCAGCACTGAAAGCCCAAACAAACGTTCACGCACGCATCCACGCATGCACACACGCACGCACACACCTCTACCGGACTGCGGCTGTTTCATTCTTCAAATCAGACCCACGTCCACTGGGAATGAGAGAGCATGTGTACACTAGTGCGAATAACGATAAGCCCCCATTTGTTTTTGCTTGACCTTCAGTAGTCAATCTTATATTCCTCCTTGGGTGATGCTTTTACAAACATGATTTGAAAGTAATGTCAAGTTATGTTTATGTTATTTACAGTATGTCAAATGAAACAAACGGAAAACAAGGGACTGCCTTAGGGTATCAATGACATTTGTCACCCCTTTAACAGTGACACTGTGAGTGAGTGACAAAAATGCTTGCTAGGAATACATCGTGAATATGTATTTACTAGCAGATAAGCCTCAGATAAGAGATTGGATGGAAAGTCACAGTAGTGAAGTTTCCTATGGATGTCCTGTGGGCAGCCAAGCAGAAACACCCAGATTCAGCATACAGTATATTTAAAGCACCCGCACACACACTACACACTGGTCCCAAACTCTGCACATGCATACACTAGGCCAGGGCATTGCTCACCAGGCTTCAGCAGGCATGGACAATTGGTCCCTGCCAAGTCTAGTGAAGGGCAGCTCGCCGACCTGATGAAAAATCAAGCTGTCAAATAGAGTGTTACAACCGACTGGTACTGAGCGATTAACAGAAATGTGGGTTAATTTTTATGTGGGTAAAACTTTAAAAAAACGTATTGACCGACATCAGTGAATAGACAGAAGATGATTAAGAGGAATAGAGAGAAGTTGCTTCGCGAGCTACTGTATCTCTACCTGAAAATACATGATTGATAGTTGGTATTCAGCAGTCATAAAAGTATGCCTTATTTACTTTGAAGAACTACTAAAATAGTGACTTTGTCAGACAGCATAGGCAGCAGCTCTATAGAGATGAGATGATGACTTGGAATGAAATAATAAAGTCATCAAATAAAACAAATGTTTAATACACAACAACTGAAATATTTTATTAAAGTAATGTAAATAAATGATGGTTAATAAGTGAAAAGCAGTAATGGGCAGTCACTACCATCATGGGACTTGTATTAATTGTTTTATTCTGTGTTGTTACAGCATTCATTCCACATAATGCATAGTGCATTTCATGTTTAAAACAATTATTGAATCCGAAATTGAAAAAACGTCATAATTTTTTTAGAATCGAACTGAAACCGAACTGACCTCAAAAAGCATTAATCGCTCAACACTACAACTGACTCAGCTCCTTTAGTTTTGTCCTGAATTCCCAAATACTGCACATTATAAATGGCCACAAAGAACCTTTCAGGATATGAAAGAAACCATGATTCCTCTCTGTTCAATTCCACATTTTGTTAAATGGGTTTGTGATCCTGTCATTAAGAGAGAGGATGACATATTGGGAAGGCCTACATTTTGACTACATCAACCTATTTATGGACCAATGTACAGTATGTACATCAGAGTCATGGATAGAATCCAATCAACGCATGTGTAAAGTACTATTGGATAATGGAGGATGGGGATACATTCCAGTGCCGTTATGTGGATAAGAATAGATGTAGGTCTCTGTGGTTTTGGCCATTGAAAGAGATGAATATAGGAGAGGATGCCCCCAGCTTGTACAGTACAGTACAGGAAGTGGTTAGCTCAGTTAGAGCACAGAGTCTGGCCGGGTCAGCTGGCTGACTGGCTAGCCTAGATACAGATGGTACTGTAGCATTGTAGCAGATGACAGGTTGTTCTGCTACCTCAGGCATACAGAGCCTCTCTCCCAGACCCTGCAATGGCGTTGGCTCCAGAATGTAGGTTAATGTACCGTGCAGTATCTCCCATCCCATTGAATATGTGTGCTGTGCCATATTCTAGCTGCCTAGTACCTAGTAGACTAGACTTGGTCCATGTTGTGTTGAATAAGCGTTTGGTGATGGGAGAGCCAGGCATAAAGGATGAGTATACTATATGTGTGCAACTACTGTAACCGAAGGCATAGGAACAGGATAATATTTTTGAGCTATTTTTAGAGGCAAGAATGAGTGCTTGGGCAAGACCTTTGTGTAGTGCTGTGTGCACATACTTCAAGGGTTACCATGGATACATGGAGGCAAGTTACCAGACTTTTTGCTCAAAATGAGGCCTAATGGATAAAATTACTCTACCTTTTGAAATATATGTAACACGCTTTACAATATGTGATATCGCAAATAGATGTTATAATTTGCAATTATCAATGATTGTAACTGTCACTTAGTATGAAAAAAATAAAATAATGAATTATTCCTTGCAAATGTAATTTGTACTGGTTTTAATATCATGAAATGTGTCCATATTCTGCATATTCATACATACAATATATTAATGTAGCAAATCCTATAAATATTTGATCAATTGTTAAGGCAATCTGAATTTTATTACATGTTCAATTGAATCATCCTCTGGAGATTTTCCTATACTGGTAAATATTGGGTGTGCTCTGATTTCATGGTTTATTTGGGTTGTTCCTAATTTGCCTGGCAGCGTGTGCATTCTCTCTGATGCCATGCTTCAAACGAAACAAGGGCCTTGGTGTAGCGGGGCTGTGCTGTGCTGGGCTGTGTTGGGGCTGTGATGGCTGTTGTGGACATGTTGTAAAATATCAGTGGTGGAGCAGTGTGCCACACAGCCAGAGGATTTGTGTGAGGCTGAGCAGGGGAGGGAGATTGGTTCTGCTCTCATCCAGATGTGGAGAGCTAATGACACAGCTGCTGAGTGAGGGAGGAGATGGAGGAAAAAGAGGGGAAAGAGGTGGAGGCGGTGGGACTTCCTGAATCTGACCCAGTCCTCCTGGCGTGTCCCTAAGGACCCATTTGGAATCAAGGTCAACACCGCAGAGCGACACTGCAGCTTTGTATTGTCTTACTCCGATCCCCAAACACTGGGCTAGAAATTCATAACACAGCTCCTCCCCTACTGAAAGCCTCTGCTCTTGAATGTCATGCACATTACTTAAGTGCTCTCTCTCTGATGACATTACTGGGGCTCTTTATTGCATCAGATAATAAGATAACAGCACTTGTCCCTTGTAGAGGAAGAATGCTGCTGACAGGAAAAAGGATGTCTCTTCCTTTTTTTCTGGAGGAAATACATTTACAATAAAGGGTACATTTTAAAATGAGTAATTTAAATCCTCTTTAACGAGTAATAGAGCCTCACCTTTCATCTTATGACCCATCCCACTGAGCACACACTGGTTGTTTTCACGTCATTTTAATGAAATTACGTTGCACCAACGTGGAATAGATGTTGAATTAATGACTGTGCCCAGTGGGATATTACTCTAATTACTTCACAACAGGTTTCTCCTCCTGCTATAACTGACCTGTCATCCTTAGTAATGAGATCACTGCCAGTTCTGAGCCACACGAGGGCAGCATCCCGATCTTAATTACACTGAAGTTTAATATTAGCTCATAAAAAATAACTACATCTTACAAGGGGGGCTCATGACAAGACTGATAAAACCTTGAAGATATGGGCCCCTTGATAATTTTTTCATATTGAGCAGTAGCATCCTTCCTGTCCATATTGAATCAAACTCTCACATTATACACTGTCAGGATAAACGAGCACAACCCAGTGATAGGACATTAATTGGTGATATGCTGGAGGTTGTCGAGTGACAGGCTCTCTCCCCATAGGAGGGCCGCCAGCCCCCTCCCCCTGACCCCTGGAGGTCACCCTGACACAGTGTCACAGAGAGAAAAAGGGCTGAGCCGACAAACACTGGGCTGGTACTGCCCCCATGTCTTGTATGGAGTTGTGGCTGGGGCCCTGGTGGAACGAAACCGCACGGGAGTGGAATCCCTCATCCCCTTGTTAGCGGCGCGGACAGACAGCTTGCTGGGCCAGATGGCACATTAATGGACCGTGGCGGGCTGGCTTGATTTGTGTCCCTCCTGAACCGACGCATGCGGCCCACAGAGGCCCAGCCCCAGAGAAGCCCTGACTGAGCCCAGAGGAATAGGAGCAGGTGGGAGGAGCGGGAGGGAGGTGAGAGGAGGGAGGTGTGGATCCGGGCCAGATTGATCACAGCAGGGTTGGTGTACACCATGATTACCCATCACTCATGGTCCATGAGCCTTAGCTCAGAGCAGATCTGCTGAAAGATAGAAAAAAAATGTCAAATGATTATAGGACTACAAGGTGAGGGTTTGACCTCTAAACGTGGTTTTGAGGCCCTCGTTTGAATTTGTAATCTCCTTGATTACTATAACCTCAGAGGTCGTTGCTGTGTGGTTGGGCTTGAGTACGGTGTTAATTATTTTAAATAACTGCCCATACTGTATATTTCTGGAACAATTGGCTTTAATCATAACATGTTAGAGAAGTGACACGGAGAGTGTTTTGATTTGTTTTGGATGAATAATTGCCAGTTTTTCATTTACAGTGTCAACTCTCCCAAGCTTTGAATGGTGTGTCGGATAAAGCCAAGGATGCCAAGGAATTCCTGATGCAGTTGAAGAACATGCTTCAGCAGATACAGGTAACATTCTCTTTTTGATTACGTGTCTTGTAAATCCAATGGGAATATCAACATGTATTGAAATATCAATTTAACCTGTATTCCCCATAACCTACTTACCTGTGCCTGTCAGCTTTAACAAATACTAAAAAGAAAGAGGTATGATGCTCCAGATTCATACAATGTCACTTCCTGGACTCTTTTTATTCTGCAACGAACTCATGGGGATTATAGAAGGTATTTTTGGGTTTAGACTGGCACTACATCTAAAGCACTTCTTATCACCTGGCGGGAACAAAAGTATCTGTTTGCGACCACACTCACAGCTAAAGCAGGAAAGGGCTGCTGTCCACAGGGACTGCCCCAGCCAATCATAGCTTTTATACTCTTACTGCACTGCCATGTCTTATCAGTCACAGCAATGCTGTGTATTAAGACTCTTATTCTGGGGTTGAGGGGATTGTATTTGAGTAAAATCCCAGCTCTGCTCAGCTCAGTAGAGTTAGAGTCTCTAACCATTTTCCTCATCCTTGAACCGATTGCAGAGTGTTGCTAGATTATAATTCACTATCTCAGGCCTCATCTGCGCTTAGATAAATTATTGATATGCAGTGGCAATGATGGAAGATTTAGCAGCAATCACTGTGGTGTTATCATATGCAGTCCGCTAGTGTCCTTGCCCCTCCGTCCCCTCTGTGTCTGGCCCTAGCACCCTGTACCTTCCTGTACCTCCCTGTTCTGTCATTGAGCGATGTGTTGTGTTGTGTCCCTGGCAGGAGAACGGGGTGGAGTTCGAGGCCTGCTTGGTGGCTCAGTGTGATGCCCTGATCGAGGCTCTGACGCGGCAGAAAGCCAAGCTCCTCACCAAGGTCACCAAGGAGAGGGAGTACAAGCTCAAGGTGGGTCAGAGGGATGGACGCTGCAGCGGCTGATGGATGGGAACGTCATGTTGACTGCCCCAGACACTTCTTCCCAAGCTCAGATTGTACTGTGCACAATTAGCCTGGGGACAAGGTTATGTTGACTGTAACATACAGTTGGTAGAATTCAGATAGGCTGACAAACACAGCAGGGCCATGGTTTATTGATAACAATAATCACAGTACTCTCTCTGCATCAAATATGTTAACTATACTTTGCACACTTAACACATATGATCAATAGATAAACATTATTAATAATACAACCCTAAGTAGTGATAGACTGAATCTTTTACCTCAGCTGGCAGCTCTTTCTAGACACAAAGGGCATCCAAGGTTGCACACTTGTCTTGGCCCAGGTCGAGGTGCATCTGGAAGCAGATCTCTCTCCTCTCCGCCTCCCTGTCCAGCTGAGGGGTGGGCCTGGGCCTGCAGGCTGGCTGGTGTTAAGTTCTTAGTGGGTCACATGGATCCATGCCCAGGCTCAATGTGCCGGCTGGGGGTTTGGGGCTCCAGAGGACAGCTGTTGTGTTTAGCAGGGCTGAAGCTGAAGAGCAGCTAGGACTGCTGCAGCATCACACAGCAGAAAAAAAGCTTTCTTAATTTCCCTATGATAAAGGCTGTCAAACTGATGTGTCCCTTTCAGAAGATTACAGTGGGAAAACAAGAGTTTTATGGAGTTTAGTACATGACCATATGGTAAAGTCAGTAAAGAGCAATTGTCTGGCTTTTACCAAACTGCTGTCGTGACAGCATTCGGGATCAATTTAATTTGATCTCCCACAGTATGGTGGAGATAGATGGTTGGTGATTAACTTGGATTTATTTAGTTTTTTAGGATCACCATTAGCCAATGTCAATGGCGACAACTAGTCTTATTGGGGTCCGACACAAAACGAAAAATACATTACAGACAAAATACTTTACAATTTACATACATTTAAAAACATGAACATGTAGTGTGCGTGTGTGTATCTATCAGTTACACATACACTACCGTTCAAAAGTTTGGGGTCACTTAGAAATGTCCTTGTTTTCGAAAGAAAAGCTATTTTTTTGTCCATTAAAATAACACCAAATTGATCAGAAATACAGTGTAGACATTGTTCATGTTGTAAATGGCTATTGTAGCTGGAAACTGCTGATTTTTAATGGAATATCTACATAGGCGTACAGAGGCCCATTATCAGCAACCATCAGTCCTGTGTTCCAATGGCATGTTGTATTTACTAATCCAAATTTATCATTTTAAAAGGCTAATTGAACATTAGAAAACCCTTTTGCAATTATGTTAGCACAGCTGAAAACGGTTGTGCTGTTTAAAAAAGCAATAAAACTGGCCTTCTTGAGACTAGTTGAGTATCTGGAGCATCAGCAATTGTGGGTTCGATTACAGGCTCAAAATGGCCAGAATCAAAGAACTTTCTTCTGAAACTCGTCAGTCTGTTCTTGTTCTGAGAAATGAAGGCTATTCCATGCGAGAAACTACCAAGAAACTGATGATCTCGTACAACGCTGTGTACTACAGCTGTTTTTATCATCAAATCCACTAATATGTGCTTTTTTAAATAATGTAATCCCAACAGGAAGGCATTTGTTTCCTCTTGTTCAATAGTCTGAAATGTTTGTGGCAGTGTGTGCCGGTGAAGGTCAGTTTCTACTCTAATTCATTTATTCCGAGCCATTAATCTGTCAGCAGTATTTTTTATCAGTGGTCTCTTTCGCCACACTACACATTCCCAGCGAGAGAGTAATTTCATGTGACTCGTGACAGTCTAGTCCAGGCATAATCCATAGACCGCTGGATTGGCATTGTTTTAATGTTGCATGATGTGAGGATTAAATATTCAATTCAATCTGAGTTATATATAATTGGATTTACCTAATGCATATTAATTATGATTTGATAGACATGACTGTTCCAGACTGTCCTCTGGTCTGTTTATATTTGTTGTTATTTTATTCTGTCTGCCCTTCAGGAATGCTAATTTTATGCTTACTACATTTTTCATATTTTTCATGGATTTATTTCAATAATGAAACCGGTTGACAGGTGAATAATTTATGAACATTTAATTAATGATAGGCTAATGGCCTGAATGTGTCAGTGGCTTAATCTAATTATTTATTAGATTCGTTTTTAATTCTAAGGCTTAATTTGATAATAGAGTGATTAAATAATTTTAATCAACCTTTTCAGACCTTTTCATTTATAATCTTACGAACACAAAAATTAATAATTTTTCACAAAAACGCATACTTTTCCACAAAAATGCAAAGATAAGTTAAACACATGAGCAATATAAGTTGTCTACCCAAACAAAGGCTCATAAAATGTTGACAGTCCACTGAATTTTAATTAGCTGTGAATGAATGGCTTTGACACCGGCCCAAATCCCTTTTCCCCAGTGCTTTGTGTTTAGCCAAAAGGAAGAACGTGTGTGTGTGTGTGTGTGTGTGTGTGTGTATGGGTATGTGTGTGTACACGTGTGTGTGCATGTGTGTGTGTGTCTGTGTGAGTGTGTGTGTATGTGTGTGTGAAATGCCTGCCCAGTATTAATATTACATTAAAAGGTGCCCGTCTGTATCCTCCTGGCTTCTCCTGTGTTCAGGTGGTGCGTGACCAGATCACTCACTGCACTATTAAGCTGCGTCAGACCACGGGCATGATGGAGTACTGTCTGGAGGTGATCAAAGAGAACGACCCCAGTGGCTTCCTGCAGGTACAGTAGTGATGTATGGATGAATGGGGCTGGAGCTCTGCTAGTAGAAGGCTGTGGATGAGGCTAGCCTGCCTGCCTGCCTCTCTGGCAGTGGAGACTTCCCTCACATTCCCCTCAGCTGTCCCTGTCTCCTACTGCTAAATGCTAAGGCCAATAACTACCTTTCCTAAAACGGGTTCAAAACAAATCATTTAAAGATCATCAGAAAACTCTATCCATAAAAATTCTTAACATCAAGACCTTTGAAAGAACCGCTTATATATTTTACTATACTGATAAATATTGATTCAGAGTGCATATGATAAGCTTGTAGCAAGATGTTGATTAAAATGTGTTGTTGGCTAAATGTGGATGAAGATATTGATACTTAATAGGTAATAAATAGGTCATCCCAAACCAATACTTGTTGACTTGCACTGATAAAGGTTAACCTGATAATGGTTAACATTGGTATATGACACCCTCATCGAGTTAAACGTTGACTTGTCATATTTAGTTCCCCTCACCATTAGCTGGAAGCCATTGATTCTCCTGGTCTTTTTAAAGGAACGGTCTGAATAAGACGAAATAGAGATGAAAGACTCTCTTCTGTAAATTGGTGCTTCCCTCCCCCCTTGAAATGTTTATGATGTATTGATTGTACAGTTTCTTATACCCCCTGAACAAAATCTGTGCTCTGTATGATAAAAGCTTGTATAAATCCTTACAAAAGCTGTTAACCTACATGGCTGGCTATTCCTAAATGCAGTACATTTCCAGCTGGCATTTTTCCAGAAGCACAAAGCCTCAGAGAAACCATAAAAAGTCAATTAAAACCATATTGCACTTTGTAATAGTATATTACGCTGTAGCTGAACCTTTTAGAGGAGCTGGTTTGAAGCTGTTCTCTCCTGTTGTGTGTTTCTGTGTAGATCTCAGATGCGCTGATCAAACGTGTGACGTCGTCTCAGGACCAGTGGGTCAAAGGGGCTCTGGAGCCAAAGGTGGGCCCTGAGTTTGACCTGACCCTGAACACCGACCCCCTGCTGCAGAACATACTACAGCTGGACTTTGTCCAGAGCAAAGGTAACCAATATATGTTAACTTTTTATCCAATTTCTAAGTCATATTCATATACTTGCATCTGTTTGTGTAGTGTGAGTCTATTCGTACACATTTTCATAGAGTATATTGTTACATTGTTAGATAGTCTTGCAGTGGACTCATCTTTCAAGTGTGCCTGTAATGTATTTTTGTATGGCTGTTCATCAGTTAAGTAGACACTCTTGTCTCTTGTGATATGCATCACCTGTACTCATTCTGTGCTTTATAGCTTGGTGAATAGGTAGAAAGGCTTTAGCAAAACTGACCAGAAAGGTCTCCATGTTTCACACTCCAAATACTTAGTTGATGTGATATTCTGAGTATCCGATGTCCACAGCAATTTTTTACATTTACATTTTAGTCATTTAGCAGACGCTCTTATCCAGAGCAACTTACAGTTAGTGCATACATTTTTTTTTTTTCATACCCCCAGTGGGAATCGAACCCACAACGCTGGCGTTGCAAACGCCATGCTCTATCAACTGAGCTACATCCCTGCCGGCCATTCCCTCCCCTACCCTGGACGACGCTGGGCCAATTGCGCGCCGCCCCATGGGTCTCCCGGTTGCGGCCGGCTACGACAGAGCCTGGATTCATTAGTCTATTTAAATATTGTGCTTGAGTAAACCTGAGGAAGATTTATAGTGTACAGTATATCCCCTGGCAATGTCCTAGAATACCAGGATATATTTTTCATATAAACAAAGATGTATTTCAATTCGCTCCAACGCTTTTCCATATCTGTCTACTGAAGCAGACAAGATTTTCCAATACACAGTTACCAATTTAGTCTGTTCCAAATACAACGTCATACAAAACCAAATGTGATTTGAAACCATGGGAAAATGACCCAGCATTCTCCTGAGAAAGCACAGTAGTTGATCAGCTCCATTATGTTGCAAACTAAGTCAAGCACCAGACATCAACCCATGTCCAATATCATGTTTCAGATATTCAGGAGACTCCATTATTGAAACAAATGCATGCAGGTGGATTGAAAGAGACGGAGAGCGCAGGAGGTATTTCCGAGTTGCTATATGATCATCCAAATCCACGTTTTTCCCTTTCCGTCCTTTAGCCCTGCCAGCTCACAACAGCCCACCACGTTAAGGTGGATAGAGTGGTTCCGACCGTGCTGTCCTCCCATGCATGTTTTACAACACTCTTCCCTTTTAATATTCTCACCTGGCTGACAACAACAACTATCAAACACTACCTATCCATGCAGAGATAGATTAGATAGTTAACTCCTCTTTGGTGTTCCTGCCATCCATTTCTATTCCAGTGGAGTCTGCCACGGTGCCCCCGGCCCCCCTGCTGCAGCTGGAGAAGTGCTGCACCCGCAACAACAGTTCCACCCTGGCCTGGAGGGTCACTGTGCCACCTAGTAATCCCATCGAAGGCTACATCCTGGAGCTGGACGACGGCAATGGAGGGCAATACAGGGTCAGATAATCCTTCACTTCACACATTAGAGAAAGTGTATGTCATCATGTTGGACACTCCATGTAGTCTGTCACTAGGATGGAGCACTTCACTCTCTGGTGTTTTAACAGTAGATTAAGTCAAAGAATGTAAACGTTTGATGCTCATTATGCAATGAAAGGTTTGTATGAGATGTATTTTATTTAGCCAGGCTCATTTCAATATGCGTAATACAGTTCCAATGTAATTCTATGTGGAGTAGGTGTCACACCCGTTTCCTATAGATAACAGTTGTCGCCTCTACTGCATATTTTATTATTCATAGTGCACATGCTGCAGTCAGAGCTCTAACTAACGCCAGATGGTCCTGTGCTGTACTGTATGTCTCTGTGTCCCAGGAGGTGTATGTAGGGAAGGAGACAGTGTGCACCGTGGACGGCCTCCACTTCAACAGCTCCTACAATGCCAGAGTCAAGGCCTACAACTCCACCGGGGTGGGGCCCTATAGCAAGACTGTGGTGCTGAAGACATCTGATGGTGGGTGTTCTGTATTCTCTCACTTTGTGTTGACCTAACTGTAGACATGAAAGGGAAGGAAGGGAAGACCCCCCCCGCCCCCCCAACTGGGGACCAGGGGACACCAGGCTTAATTCGTGCCCAGGGTACAGTATGATACTCTGTATTCACTGCTGCTGAGCCGAGCTAGTCCTCTGGGACATCCAGGCCTGCTGTTTATCGACAGAGCCTCGCCCTCCCATCAACGCTCGTGTCCTTAACGACGGAGTTCTAATCCACAGCAATGGCATCCCAGATTCCGCTTTAATATAAGGCGACTGGTGCAATCTGTCACTGTCCTGGCTGGGTGCGGTGGTACTAGCCAGCTCCGGGTCCCCAGAAACCTCCTGGTTTAGAGCAGTTAACACCAGGCTGCGCCATGCCAGAGCCAGAGCTGAAGGAGCTCCACTAAAGAGGTGTCCAGTCCTGATATAGTGCTGACAGACAGTGGAAGTGGTCTCGCAGTTTAGCAAAGCATCACAGCTAGCGCGTGCCAGACTGTGATTACTCTAGCCTGCCAGCTTTCAGCGCATTGCTGTGCTCTCCCTGTCCATCCCTCCACTCCCCATCCCAGTAATGGGAGGACAGAGAGAGGGAGGAGAGGGAGAGAGAATAGGCTGTTGATGCCATTGATTGAGTTTAAGGCTGGGATGGGGAGTGGCGGGATGGACAGTGAGAGCACGGCAATGCGCTGACAGCTGACAGAGAGTTTAGACTGAGCAGAGTACAGGCGGCTCCAGCTCTGGCTCTGCCAGCTGCAATAACAATGGATATCTGCATGTGGAGGCCTTAGCAAGTGCCTGTCGTGTGCCAGATAACTGTTTATTCTAACATAGCAGTGCCTGTCTGAGGAATGGGGCTAATTGAAGCAATACACTGCAATGATTTGACACAGCAGTGCCTTATGGGCAAAGTACTGCTGAATGAAAATGAATCCAGTGCTTGACTTTTAAATGAGAAGTAGAATGTTTCATTGGGGTGCTTTGTGAATATTTCATGTGTCATCTCACAGGATGCAGCCCAGCATGTGGTACTAGCTGACCATGCTGTTCCTTAATAGCATCATGTTTCATGCTCTCATGGGGCTCCATCCTCCACTGAGGTTCACTCAGACAGCCATGGCCTAGAGACCTGGAAATGCTCTTATTTCTCTCTGACTCATCCTACTACTCTACTTTGTCTCTCCTGCAGTGGCCTGGTTCACCTTCGACCCCACCTCGGCTCACAGGGACATCGTGTTGACCAATGAGAACCAGACGGTGAGCTGCAACAGCTATGATGACCGTGTGGTCCTGGGGACAGCCGCCTTCTCAAAGGGGGTCCATTACTGGGAGCTCAGGGTGGATCGCTATGACAACCACCCAGACCCGGCGTTCGGGGTGGCGAGGATCAACACGATGAAGGACATGATGCTGGGGAAGGATGATAAGGCCTGGGCCATGTACGTGGACAACAACCGCAGCTGGTTCATGCACAACAACTCCCACACCAACAGGTAGGTGACACATCTCTGGGGTGGAAGGCTGACTCCTGCTCCTCCACAGCTTCAGAGTTTAGAAATAACCATCATGTGCTTTGTGTGTCATACTGTCAGGAATAACACAAGTACGCACTTACAATACTTGGCAGGCAGTTAGTTGGAAATGGAAGAGATTATTCTCAGGGCAGTGCTCTTATCTTTAGTGAATATCCATTTTGATGTAATTTTACACCGAGTAACATAGAGTACTATTATACATAGATTCAAAGACGAAGAGGCCACAGGCTTAGCAATCTACAGTAGCCCCAGGGACATGAATATACAGAGCAGAATCCTCCTTCCTCGTTAAAGCAATAATACAGTAGTAGTTACTATTTTCAGTAGCTGATTAAAAAGTTTCCCTGTTTTTGTCTTACATAGCACATCATCTTTTTGTTTCTTCACCCTCATTATTTATCTTCCTGTCAGCTGTTAGGTTGGAGCCTATCAACCACAATGACTCACTCATTTCACTCATTAAAGTGCCAGCAATACATGTACTGTATGTCAGGTAATCATCAAAGGCTGATCGTGCTGCAATCCTGCTCATTTGTTTCTTTAGCCTAACCTTTCTCTGCAACCCCCTGTAGAGCCCAGTAGCTTTGTGACATAGCTGTTTGACTGGGGGCATACTTTCACACTACCACCATTTTGTTGTTTGAGCTGCTCACTCTCAAAAACAAAAACACTGCTGGCTTTTGGGGTTTCCAATGAGTTGACTGGTTTGAGTGTAACTATTTACTTACAGCTTTGCACTGCAAAAGTATTTAAGCTGTTTGGATATAGATGCATTTATTTACTTAGTGCCAAATGTTTTTTCCTTTATTCAATTGGAATGGAGAAAAGCTATACACCCTGAAGGAGAAGCTTGGGACTGTTTTCATACATTTGTTGAACTACAAGTATTCCAAATATATTAGGGATTTACTGGACATCAATTCACACATAGCCTACATACAAACACGAAAGATTTAGCAATTAGGTCAAATCTAATGTCTTGAATAGAGAAAACGATTAAGCGCTCAAAGCCATTTGCTCCAAACTGTATTTGGACTCATTGGGATCCCTCTACCCATCAGAGATCCCAGACCACTCTCAAAGGGCCTGTGTGATCTGTTTTAATATGGTACATTAGGCCTAGATTCTGTGTGTGTGTGTTCTGCAGGGCCGAGGGGGGCATCTCCAAGGGTGCCACTGTGGGCATCCTGCTGGACCTGAACAAGCACACTCTAACGTTCTTCATCAACAAAGAGCAGCATGGCCCTGTGGCCTTCGAGAACCTGGAGGGAGTCTTCATGCCTGCCGTCAGCATCAACAGGAATGTCCAGGTGAGCACTGACAGTCAGACAGAGCTGCTTAGATTTCAGAAATTCATTCAGATTGTTTTGTCTCGAAATTCAAGGATTATAGGCTTAATTTAGAAATGAAATTAATCTCCAGATTAAGGATATGCTAAACTGCGTAGGCTGTGCACATATATTTTTTTCAATTCTTCCTTACCAGCAAATATACATTATGTTGAGTTAATGAGCTCTGTGGTTCAAATCCTGGACCTTGAGTCAGCATCTTAATCTGTCATGATCTCATTTGGCAATGTTTGTCCTTCGCAGGTCACCCTACTAACAGGAATGGAGGTGCCAAAGAATATTAAGCAGCAGTAACCTCCCAAGGTGTCTAGGCACAGTCCCACCAATGTCAACATGGAGTCCTCCTGCTCCATCCCCCTCCCTTAGTACTACTGTATATTTTATGCTGTTCAATGCCTATGATCAAATATCACCCTTATATACAAGGGACTTTTGTACATAAATTATTATATTGTTTTTCCAAGTCTTAATTTCATCTCAATCCGTACAATCAGATTCTGTGTTTACAGTCAAAATGCCACAGGGTGCTTTAATTAAGTGCATCTCTGTAAGGATTGGTGTGAGGTGTGACCCAGGTGCGGTGCAGGATAGACAGTAGGCAGGGATGGTGAAACAAGGATCTTTACTGGTGGTCCAAAAGCCAGGATACAAAACAACGGACTATTCACAAAAACATGAGGAGCACATAGGTCTCCAAAAAACAGGCTGACAGCAAACAATACAAAATACTAACTCTGACTGGAAAAACACAATGACACAGGGAGAACACTTCTCGAGTACCTGTAACTCATTCACGTGATCCGACACTGATACGTACTGCTTGACATTAAGGAACTAGCAGAGAAAACTGAGCAAGGGAACACAGGGAAGTGAGGGCATAAATACACAGGTGAATCAGATAGACACAGGTGACACCAATAGGCAGATAATTAGTCCCGACTGTGAGTGAGGAGGTGCCTAAGGTTGTCGGAGGATGACACCAAGTAGGACGCTCCGGAACTGCGACCCACTCCTGTAACACATCTCTGGAACAAAATCCCATATGAGGGTAGAGTCTTGAGATGCCCTACTGTACAATGTCTCTATTCCTCTTCTTCACTCAGGTTAGTTCATAGAGAGTTTGCATACTCCTATTTCTTTAGAGGAAACTGAACGTCAGCCTATCTAACTCATAAGTAGAGATGAATAGAGCTTTTCTCAGACATATTAATAGTGATATACTGTCTTTTCAACTTTACAAAGCCTTACCAGAGTTGGAGTAAATTCTATTTCAATTCTGGTCAATTGAAAATGACGTATTGGGGATTTTTTACCCTATAAATTCAATTTCATGAAATTGAAATGGATTTCACCCCAGCCTCGCTTTCAATAAGAGAGTAAAGGTGGTCAGATCAGTATAAAGGACAAATCAGTATAAAGGACAAATCAAAGGACAAACTTTATCTTATCAAACACAAAATTCTGTCGCTAGATGACAAATCTTGGTTCAAAGTGAAGCCAAACCACTGTGACATTGAGATGTAACATTGCCATGTATATTTTGTCAAACTATCTACATACAGTAGATAGTATCTTTTTTCAAACTATTTTATTGTTTAATGCATTGGGTTTTACTACACTATTGAAATATTTATTAAGAGGGTGTATGCTCATGTGATGTTTGAATGAACAGATATTGTTAAAGGTATTTTAAAGCAGTTAAAAGTATTGTATTGACAGACCACCAGAGGGTCAAGTTTGCATGATATGTAAGGAAACTGTAAATACGACTGTCTCCCAAGCATGTATTACCTAAGCTTAGTTTACTTAAAACTCCATCTGTATATAGTAAAACAATGCACAACAGTGATATGCGGAAGCCTTTCAAACGACCTATTACAGTACAATAACAGTTAGCCCCCTAGAGTTTCAGTTAACATTACAGCATCACATTAATTTCCTCACAGTATATTTTTTACCTTTATGTGACAAGTTAATATCATTTTATTGGGCTAAAGCATATTAACATGCCATGTTAGATGACAAAATGAATTAAGAGGGCAGTGCGTTTGTGATTTGTCAGAGGGAGTCTTAATGGAATTGTAGATACTAGGCAGGCTTATATCCCACATTTACATTTGACCTCATTATGTTCCAGTTCATTTACATTTAAGTCATTTAGCAGACGCTCTTATCCAGAGCGACTTACAAATTGGTACATTCAACTTAGGATAGCCAGTGAGACAACCAATTTTTTTTTTATTGGGGGGGGGGGGGGGGGGGGGGGGGGGGGGGGTGTAGAAGGATTACTGTTATACTATTCCAGGTATTCCTTAAAGAGGTGCGGTTTCAAGTGTCTCCGGAAGGTGGTCAGTGACTCCGCTGTCCTGGCGTCGTGGGGGAGCTTGTTCCACCATTGGGGTGCCAGAGCAGCGAATAGCTTTGACTGGGCTGAGCGGGAACTGTGCTTCCGTAGAGGTAGGGGGGCTAGCAGGCCAGAGGTGGATGAACGTAGTGCCCTCGTTTGGGTGTAGCGTCTGATCAGAGCCTGAAGGTAAGGAGGTGCCGTTCCCCTCACAGCTCGGTAGGCAAGCACCATGGTTTTGTAGTAGATGCGAGCTTCAACTGGAAGCCAGTGGAGTGTGCGGAGGAGCGGGGTGACATGAGAGAACTTGGGAAGGTTGAACACCAGACGGGCTGCAGCGTTCTGGATAAGTTGTAGGGGTTTCACATACCGGTATATCATTAATCCGCATTAGATGCAGTTAGGAGTTTTGTATCATATTCTTTCATTATAATTTTGTGAACATCTTGATTTCTTCCTGCTACTAAAAGTGTTGCTTCAAAGTAATGTGCCCTAAAAGTGTTGCTTCAAAGTAATGTGCCCTAAAAGTGTTGCTTCAAAGTAATGTGCCCTTAATCCAAAATGGTAATATGTTTTTGGATTAAGAATACCAAAGCTGTTGCCATTAGAAGAAAATTCTGCTCAGAGTCTGTTTTGAAGCACTGTGGTACACTATTGGTAAAATGATTTGTACTGCTCTTGTAATATTTTCTCTTTGTAAAAACACCAAATATAGTACTGGCATTTTTTTATAGTCTTTAAATCTAACATGGGTGTTATTTAGCTGTGTTAATGGTGTTTTCCGAACAGAACCATTGCCTTGTACATTAAACATTTTGATATGATGTAGAGCAGACTGTCTGATGGAGCTAAAGTATGTCCAAAGCTAAAATGTGGAGGGGACCATTCCCAGGGTAAATAAAAATGGATGGGAAATGTACATGAAATGTTGATAGCTGTTAGGCTGGACTGATAATTGTCTAGAGCCATTTTGTATAGAGACAAGCCAATGTATCAGGTTCCAGCATGTATTGAGTTATTAAGTGTCTCCAAGTGAATGTTGTCAATTACAGAACCGTCCCTTTTATGAAGAAATTCGTATAAAACTGAATTAGTGCTTGTGACGGCAACTACAGTATAGTGAAGTGTGAGGTGTAATGGACCCCAAAGGCAAGCAAAATGGGGTCCATGTAGCATCTCAGCAATCACTATGGAAATGGCACACAAAAAACTGCAGGTACAGACCATAATATCAAAAGAACCTTAGTAGTAAATGAACATTGTAGTTTATCCTCTCTAAATGTCGTATATTAGTGTTTTTGGCATGCATTTCCCCTCCCCAACATGGTAGCCTGCTTCTGAATGTGAACCCCCAAAAAAGAACAAAAAAAATGGTGCTAGAAAGTCACTATTATCAGATTACATTTGCGTTTGAATCTTTTTATTTTTATTTTGCCCAAGTTTACTGTTCCCACCCTGACTATGGCATGTGGGGAGAGGAGATGTTGCAGTGTCTGTGGGGCATCTCTCTTCTAAAGGCAGGCACGCATCTCATGCCCTGGGGTGGCTGTTGCCCTCACTGCCACACTACCAGAGAACTAGGCCGGGTGCATCACCAAACCTTATGGGGAATGTCAAATGGTCCTTTAGGACACTGTGGCATCTATGTCCACAGTGTGTCCACAAAAAGCTGTGCTTCTTTTTCTAGAATTATGTTAATGTGTATGAATGTTCTTTAGCTCTCCTACAATGTAAACGTTTTGTACTTCTAAGTGGTTTGTATATGAAATGCGTTGTACTTGTCATTCTTTTCATATTATACTGTGTAAAAGAAAAGCAAAAAGCAATGTATTTTTTTCCTTTTTTAAAATTAATAAATGAATAACTGTGATGGAACATGAATGGGCTCTTCAGTATCTTTTTCTGTAGTCTTCCTGGGGTTATGTTGATTGAGGCATGGACATCAATTGTCCAATCTGCATCTTCATGTGAAGTCTGCAAAACTCCCCAAAATGCAACACTTTATCATTGTTTTCACTTCTTTACTTTGGAGGGTTTTATTTTATTTATAGATTTTTTCTTATGATAATTTTTTTATGGAGGCTTTTATTTTCTGGATTTCTTTGGTACTCAGGACCAGCATTCCATTTTTAAAGCATCCCATCTGGCCTTTTGGAGCTTTACTGGAAGATGATTCCCTCTTCTCATCTCTAGTAAATGGTACAGCGTGAAAGATTCTGTGAACACAGAGTATGAAACATGGAGATTCAGAGTGTTGGGAGGCAGAAATGCACAATACGTGGAGATGTGGAGCAAACATGCTACATAATACAGTTACTGACAGTGGTTCACCTTTGATAATAATAATATAATAATAATAATAAATAATGATAATCAAACATTACTATTTAATTGTCAAAATGTCCACAGATTTGGAAATCTATATACATCCCCTTAACTTAGATTAACATCACTAACCTTGGTTTATTCCTCTTCTTTTTCTTCAAGTCCTAGAATGGAAAATAATTGGCATAACAAGTCAGAACTGAGATGATATCACACTCAATGCTGGCGATATGTTGACCAAGCTACAGAGCGTGACAAGTAGAATGACATAGTCAGGCCGGTAATATCACTGGTCTCCAGAGGAGAATACAGTCAGTCATTATGACTAAAATATGGGGATATTAATCAACTCACCATCTGAATCTCTTCCTTTGTTTTTTGCTTCTTGTCCCTAACCCTTTGCTGCAACACTTTGCAGTTTACATGCTCCTTCTTAGGGGGCTGTGATATAAAATATCGTTTGTCGGACCATTTTGCCCTGCTTCATCATAACCAACTCCCACTTTACACAACTTTGTTTGAGGATCATGTTTGTAGATTACAAGGGGGGAAATTATATAAACTCTGTTGGTGTGCAAATACTGTAGCAGGAGAGATTAGACTTTCTGGAATGTGCATAAAATGTCATGTTTACTTTATGCAACTACAGTTTACAAGTGACTTACCGTTGCTCCAAGCATGATGGCTCGCTCTTGAGGTGAAATCATAATAGGCATTTACAGATGCCTTTAGGCCAAGTTTTGCAATTTGTCTCAACATAACAAAACTACAAAAACATAATTGAAGAACTCAGTCCTCTACATTGGCATATTACCATGCCGTTGACCTCGGGCACTGGTGGCTTTCTGGCTTGTCTCGGTCTCTTTGTAGGGTCCTGGAATGTGACCACCTCTACTTGTAGTGCCTGTTTAGTAGCTGAACTTGTGTTTCCAACTTCAGAAAAGTCAGGAGGATCAATCAATATCCTAATGTCTGACATCCAGACTGTAGTCTGACTGCAATCGTCTGCAGCGGTGTCTTCCTCATCCTCCACCTCATTATCTTTGGATCTCTTCTTCTGTGTCTTGTGTTTTCTCTTTGGCACTGATCCATCACCTGTAACAACATGTTGTTAGAAAAATCCTCACAACCACCTGAACCAAGCCACCCAGAAATTAGTAGCTAGCTAGTTACATATCTCCTTGACCAGGGGTGGCCACACATCCTGGAGAGCTACTAGTTGAACAGGGCTTTGTTCCAACCCTGTTAATGCAGGACTGGAGCAAAAGCTTGCACACCCAGTAGCTCTCCAGGAAGAGGTTGGCCCCGTTTCATCACGTCACACCGCTAGCTAACGTTAGCTTTTCTGCTAGCTATATTAATGGGTAGCAAGTATAATCAGCAGAGCTCAAGCTAAATAGCTATCTAACACCATTAAATAGACCCACACAGTTGAGGTGTCATAATACCCATAAAACCTAGCGGTCAAAAGTTTTTCCACCATTCATTTTTCTCAGAGGGGATTTTAGAAACACTTAAAATAAGGGCTGTGTTTCGTGTAAGCCTACCCTGGCGTGACGTTGTATGTAACCATGTAAATCTCTCTCGGACAAGGTGACTTTTATTAATATATTCGGCTCTATTTACTCTCAGATCGAAGATGCAAATTAGCATCAAAGTAGACATCATGCAAAATTACGAATCCCTGCAAGCTCCTGCTGTCACGGTTCAGACAGACGACCAGAGGACCACAATTGCGTCACACCAGAAAGTTTATTAAAACTTAAGGGAAAAGGGAAGTAGGGAGTGAATGAAGGCTCCAGGGGTAACAGGGATCCCGTCCAATGTGCTGGGTCTGTGCCCCCCCCAGTGGCAGCGATGCGTCCTATGAAGCCGGTGGTGGGTGGTCCAGAAGTCCTGGGGGGGGGAGACACAGACACAACAGGGCGGAATGAAACAAGGCAGCAGTACTGTTCAAAGGAAATCCAAAATACGTAGTAGCAAGGCAGAAGGCTGGTCAGAGTGACCGGGATTGAAGAGTAGTCAGGAGTCGTAATGGCAGAAGCAGGTCTGGATCTCCTGGGGCAGAAGAGTATCCAAAAATCAGGCAGGTCCGGGGTCACAAAACCAGGGTGAGCCAGAAGCGCGAGCAAACAGGTTCCGGGTGTGAGCTTTGCAGACGATCTGACACCGGAGAGCTGAAAGACAGGGCCTTAAATACTGGGAGAGGTAGTGGGTAATGCAGCGCAGCTGGCAGAGTAATTAGAGCAGAGCAGAGCAGGGACAGGTGGAGCTAGTTAGGCTGAGTAGAGAGAGTGGTGAGCAGAGTGGAAGAAAATTAAGGTGGTAACCCGGTGGAGTGAGAGGCTCATGACAGAACCCCCCCCCCAAGGGACGGCCCCAGAAGTCCCAAGAGCAACACCACGCCGGGCGGGAGGAGGGGAGCCGGAGGAGGGCTAGAACTCCTCCGAACGGTCCGAGTGAACGTCCTCATCCTCGGAGGAAGCCGGAGGGCCGTGGTCGGGAGATGGGACAGGTCCCGAGACAGGATCAGGCACAGGACAGGAAGCCGAGCGGGCAGGACGGTTAGGGACCCCTCTGGGGCGGCCCCTACGGATTGCAGGTTGATCAGGATGCCGTTGGTGGAAAGCGGTGATGAGAGTCCTATCCACAATCCGACTAGCTGGCACCCAGGTCCTTTCCTCAGGTCCATAGCCCTCCCAGTCAATGAGGTACTGGAGACCCCTACCCCTCCGTCTGGACCGAAGCAGGCGGCGGACGGTGTAAACCAGACCACCATCGACGAGCCGTGGAGGAGGAGGACAAGGCGCAGCAGGGACCAGCGGACTCTCATGGATGGGCTTAATCTTAGACACATGGAAAGTGGGGTGCACCCTCAGGGAATTAGGCAGTTGGAGCCGGACAGCAGTTGGGCTAATCACTCTTATGATAGGGAATGGGCCAATGAACCGAGGTGCCAGCTTCTGCGACTCCACCCTGAGTGGCAGGTTCTTCGATGACAACCACACCCTTTGACCAACATGGTAGGTGGGTGCAGGAATTCTCCGACGGTTGGCCCCGGTAGTGTAGCTGGCAACGGATCTGAGGAGTGTGGCTCGGGCTTGTGACCAGGTGCGGCGACATCGACGGGCAAAAGCAAGTGCAGATGGGCAAGTAACCTCCTCTTCCTGGCTGGCAAATAGAGGAGGCTGGTATCCATAAACACATTGGAAAGGGGACATACCGATGGCAGAGCAGGTCAGAGAATTGTGTGCGTACTCCACCCATGTCAATTGCTGCGACCAGGAGTGGGGGTTGCGTGAAGTCATGCATCGCAGTGCCTTCTCGAGCTCCTGATTAGCCCGCTCTGACTGCCCATTGGATTGGGGATGGAATCCGGAAGTCAGACTGACTGTGGCTCCCAGCAGGTGACAGAACTCCTTCCAAAAAGCGGAGGAGAATTGTGGACCACGGTCAGAAACTACATCCTTAGGCAGTCCGTGGATCCGGAAGACGTGTTCCAGGACCACCTGGGCGGTCTCCTTGGCGGTTGGGAGCTTGGGGAGGGGAATGAAGTGTGCCATCTTGCTGAAACGGTCAACTATGGTGAGAATGACGGTCATGCCACTTGAAGGGGGCAGCCCCGTGACAAAGTCAAGGGCGATGTGAGACCAGGGACGTCTGGGCACAGGCAGGGGCTGCAGCAATCCGGCTGGGGGCTGGCAGGACGACTTGTGTTGGTTGCAGATGGGGCAGGCTTGGACGAATTCCCGTACATCCTTTCTCAGAGAGGGCCACCAGAACCTCTGGGCGAGCAGGTTGTAAGTGCGGGTGGAGCCAGGGTGACAAGCTAGGCGGGAGTCATGTCCCCACTGAACGACCTGGGACCTCAGGTCTTCGGGGACAAAAAGGCGGTCAGCTGGGCAAGTGCTGGGACCTGGCTGGTTACGGAGAGCCTCCAGCACCTGTTCCTCAACAGCCCAGGTCAGAGCTGCAACGATGCAGGGACTTGGCAGAATCGACACAGGGTCCTTGGAGGGGGTGTCATCCTTCTGGAATTGACGGGAGAGGGCGTCTGGCTTGGTGTTGCGTGATCCAGGCCGGTATGACAGAGTGAAATTAAACCTGGTGAAGAACAGGGCCCAGCGGGACTGCCTGGAGTTCAACCGTTTGGCCGTGCGGATGTACTCCAAGTTCTTATGATCGGTCCAAATGAGAAATGGAATGGTGGACCCCTCCAGCCAGTGACGCCACTCCTCCAAGGCAAGCTTCACAGCCAGCAGCTCACGGTTCCCTATGTCGTAATTGCACTCAGAGGGGGACAACCGACGTGAGAAAAAGGCACAGGGATGGAGCTTCCTATCCTCCGCAGCCCACTGAGAAATCACAGCACCAACTCCCACATCCGAGGCGTCCACCTCCACAATGAATTGCCGGTCCACATCAGGCATCTGGAGGATGGGAGCGGAGGTGAACCTCACCTTGAGGGTACTGAAGGCTTTGTCGGCTGCTGGGGTCCAGGTGAAGGGTTGCTTGGTGCTGGTTAGAGCAGTGAGAGGGGCAGCAACGGTACTGTAGTTCCGGATAAACTTTCTATAGAAGTTAGCAAACCCCAGAAACTGTTGCAGCTTCTTTCTGTTCTCCGGAACTGGCCATGAAGTGACTGCTGATACTTTGGCAGGATCCATTTGGATACTTCCCTCTGCCACTATGTACCCCAGGAAGGCCACTGTCTTGACGTGAAACTCACATTTCTCTGCCTTGGCGTAGAGGGAATTCTCCAGAAGACGATGAAGGACTTGCTGGACATGGCGGGTGTGTTCAGACAGGTTTCTGGAGTAGATTAAGATGTCATCCAGGTAAACGAAGACAAACTTGTTTAACATGTCCCGCAGTACATCATTCACTAGAGCCTGGAACACAGCAGGAGCATTGGTGAGGCCAAAAGGCATAACCAGATACTCGTAGTGGCCTGTTGGTGTATTGAATGCGGTTTTCCATTCATCTCCCTCCCGGATCCGCACTAGGTGGTAAGCGTTTCTGAGATCCAACTTGGTAAAAACAGTGGCTCCCTGGAGCAACTCAAAAGCAGAGGTGAGCAGAGGCAGAGGGTAACGGTTTTTTCACTGTGATGTCGTTGAGTCCCCTGTAGTCGATGCAGGGGCGAAGAGATCCGTCCTTCTTCCCCACAAAGAAGAAGCCAGCACCAGCAGGAGATGAAGATGAACGGATTAATCCTGCGGACAGAGAGCCATTGATGTAGTCCTCCATGGACTTTCTTTCAGGAGCAGACAACGAATAAAGACGACCCTTTGGAGGGGCTGTTCCAGGGAGGAGGTCGATGGCACAGTCGTACGGTCGGTGAGGGGGCAGAGATGTGGCTCTTGCTTTGTTAAACACCTCTCTGAGACCATGGTAGCATTCTGGGACATTGGAGAGGTCAGGAGCGGAGTTAGTAGGTACTGGCCGAGGGGGGTAGTGCGGCAGCAAGCAGGCAGGTTCGGTGGCAGTCCTCTCCCCACTCCCTGATCACCCCGGTCACCCAGTCGAGCTGAGGGTTGTGCCGGCGGAGCCATGGGTAACCCAGGATGAGGGGTTGGCCTGGAGAGGGGAGCAGGTGAAACTGGATAGTTTCTTGATGGTTTCCGGACAGACCCATCGAGACCGGGGCCGTGACATGAGTGACCGATCCGAGTAAGTGTCCGTCCAGTGCCCGGGCAGGAATAGGAGGTGTCAAACGGAGGTTCTCCAGTCCCAGTTGGCGTGCCAGCTTGATGTCCATTATGTTGGCTTCGGCGCCAGAATCCACCAGAGCAGCCAGGGTGTGAGTTGAGTCAGAGAGGCGGAGGTGAACTTGCAGCAGGGGTTTGCGGTCGGAGGACTGGATGGTCATTGAACTCAACCGGACTCCCCCTATGCCCGGTGAGCTTCGGCCCTTTAAAGGGCAGGTTACCACACGATGTCCATCACCTCCACAATAGAGGCAGAGGTTTGAGGTGAAGCGGCGCTGGCGCTCTGCAGGAGTGAGAGAGGCTCGCCCAATCTCCATAGGCTCAGACTGATCAAGCTGACCTGGGTGAGTGGCAGTAGATGACAGGAGCCCAGTCGGATCTCTCCGAATGCCGGTAGTAGGTGGACCTTGGCGCCCCCTCTCACGACGACGGGTCTGTATCCTTCTGTCGATCCTGACAGTCAGTGCGATGGCTTCATCAAGAGTGGAAGGCAGTTCATGGGAGACCAACTCGTCCTTGATATAGTCAGCCAAACTATGGAAGAACGCGTCCACCAACGATGGTGTGTTCCAAGAACTTCGTCTAGCCAGGGTTCGGAAGTCGATGGAATGGTCTGCGACTGTACGTCTGCCTTGTCGAATACTGAACAGTTCACGAGACGCCTCTGCGGTTGGTGAATCCAGGTCAAACACCTTCAGCATCTCCTCAGCAAACAGGTCGAAGGTTGCACATGCGGGGGTTTGACGTTCGAACTCTGCTGTTCCCCAGAGTCGAGCTCGGCCCGTCAGGTGAGTGATGGCATACCCAACTTTAGCCCCCTCCGTGGCGAAGGTCCTTGGCTGCAAGGAGAACTGAAGTCGGCAGCTAGTCAGGAATGGCCGGACCTGGGTTGAATCGCCGTTGAACCGCTCGGGGTTTCCAATCTTGGGTTCCGAAGCAGCGGCTGCAATGACCGGGGCAGGTAACTCGGGGGCAGGGCTGGTGGGCAGACTGGCTGGGGTAAGGTTGGTGAGGAGTTGAATGATCATGGCGAGTTGTTGTTGCTGCTGCTGAAACTGCTGCTCATGCTCATCGGTTTCCATGTCGGGGAAAGTGTGCGCTGAGTCCATAATGGTCAGATCGTACTGTCACGGTTCAGACAGACGACCAGAGGACCACAATTGCGTCACACCAGAAAGTTTATTAAAACTTAAGGGAAAAGGGAAGTAGGGAGTGAATGAAGGCTCCAGGGGTAACAGGGATCCCGTCCAATGTGCTGGGTCTGTGCCCCCCCCAGTGGCAGCGATGCGTCCTATGAAGCCGGTGGTGGGTGGTCCAGAAGTCCTGGGGGGGGGAGACACAGACACAACAGGGCGGAATGAAACAAGGCAGCAGTACTGTTCAAAGGAAATCCAAAATACGTAGTAGCAAGGCAGAAGGCTGGTCAGAGTGACCGGGATTGAAGAGTAGTCAGGAGTCGTAATGGCAGAAGCAGGTCTGGATCTCCTGGGGCAGAAGAGTATCCAAAAATCAGGCAGGTCCGGGGTCACAAAACCAGGGTGAGCCAGAAGCGCGAGCAAACAGGTTCCGGGTGTGAGCTTTGCAGACGATCTGACACCGGAGAGCTGAAAGACAGGGCCTTAAATACTGGGAGAGGTAGTGGGTAATGCAGCGCAGCTGGCAGAGTAATTAGAGCAGAGCAGAGCAGGGACAGGTGGAGCTAGTTAGGCTGAGTAGAGAGAGTGGTGAGCAGAGTGGAAGAAAATTAAGGTGGTAACCCGGTGGAGTGAGAGGCTCATGACACCTGCATGTCTCTAGCTGGCACCTTTGCTAACAGGTACATTTTAAGAAATTGAGTCATATTATTCATTACTACATTTAGCTAACATTAGATAGTTAATCCAGAGATTCTTACCTTTGCCTCAATTTGGCATTCTCATCCAGATCATCATGGCATTTGTAGTTCTTTATGATAACCACATTAGCAGCTAATTAGCGTTTCATTTTGGGAGGGGTAAATACAGGCAAATATATTGATAAAAGTAACTTTGTCCTAGAGAGATTTACACAATTATCAAAACTTCACGCCAGGGTAAGCCTACACGAAACACAGCCCTTATTTGAAGTGTTTCTAAAATCCCCTAAGGAAAATGTAAATGGTTGAAAAAAATTAGTGGAAACATTTCCCTGTTTGACCGCTAGGTTTTATGGGTATAATGTGATACTCTATACAGGACAATGTTCAACTACTAGTAAGATAACCATCTCTGGGTAGCTAATGCTAAATGCCAACGAACTAGCTAGGCTATATGTGTGCTAGCTAGTTTTTGCTTACCGAAATCATACAGCTTATTCATGACATGATCAAGAAAAAACTGATCTGTGTCTTCCTCTTTTCCATTTTCATTGTTGTCCATTTCAAACAGTGACTAATGCCATGTAAAGACGAAACAAAACAGGGAAACAAAACAAAAGCATGAATGTGGATGACTGACAACAGACAGATGTTCCCACGTGTATGCAAGTGAAATGCAACAAGATGTAGTTTCTCGGCCACCGTAGTCCAACTTTTACGTGCATACACCGCCACCTACTGTACTTGTAAGAATGGCGCCTACTGTACGGGTAAGAATGGTGCCGGAGGGGATGGCTGCCGTTTTACGGGATCCTAACCAATTGTGCTATTTTGTGTATTTTTTCGCATTGTTTGTAACTTATTTTGTATATAATGTTGATGCTACCGTCTCTTATGACCGAAAATAGCTTCTGGATATCAGAACAACGATTACTCACCTCGAACTGGACGAAGATTTTTTCTTTAATGAGTCTGACGCGAAGGATATAATGTTGCTCCCAGACAAGGTGTGTCTATTTGTCAATAACAGCTGGTGCGCGCTGTCTAATATTAAGGTAGTCTCGAGGTATTGCTTGCCTGAGGTAGAGTACCTCATGAGCTGTAGACCACACTAAGGTGTAGACCACACTATCTATCAAGAGAGTTTTCATCTATATTTTTCGTAGCCATCTATTTACCACCACAACCTGACGTTGGCACTAAGACTGCACTCAACGAGCTGTATAAGGCCATAAGCAAACAAGAAAATGCTCATTCAGAAGTGGCGCACGTAGTGGCCAGGGACTTTAATGCAGGCAAACTTAAATCCGTTTTACCTAATTTCTACCAGCATGTCACATGTGCAACCAGAGGAAAAAACTCTAACCACCTTTACTCCACACAAAGCTCTCCCTCACTCTCCATTTGGAAAATCTGACCATAATTCTATCCTCCTGATTCCTGCTTACAAGCAAAAACTAAAGCAGGACGTACCAGTGACTCACTCAATACGGAAGCGGTCAGATGAAGCGGATGCTACGCTACAGGACTGTTTTGCTAGCACAGACTGGAATATGTTCCGGGATTCATCCAATGGCATTGAGGAGTATACCACCTCAGTCACCGGCTTCATCAATAAGTGCATCGACGACCTTGTCCCCACAGTGACCGTACGTACATATCCCAACCAGAAGCCATGGATTAAAGGCAATATCCGCACCGAGCTAAAGGCTAGAGCTGCCGCTTTCAAGGAGTGGGACACTAATCCGGACGCTTATAAGAAATCCTGCTATGCCCTCAGACAAACCATCAAACAGGCAAAGCGTCAATACAGGACTAAGATTGAATCTTACTACACCATCTCTGACGCTCGTCAGATGTGGCAAACTATTACGGATTACAAAGGCAAACCCAGTCGCGAGCTGCCCAGTGACGCGAGTCTACCAGACGGGCTAAATGCCTTTTATGCTCGCTTCGAGGCAAGCAACACTGAAGCATGCATGAGAGCACCAGCTGTTCCGGACAACTGTGTGATCACGCTCTCTGTAGCCGATGTGAGCAAGACCGGTCAACATTCACAAGGCCGCGAGGCCAGATGGATTACCAGGACGTGTACTCAGAGCATGCGCGGACCAACTGGCAAGTGTCTTCACTGACATTTTCAACCTCTCCCTGACCGAGTCTGTAATACCTACGTGTTTCAAGCAGACCACCATAGTCCCCGTGCCCAAGAAAGCGAAGGTAACCTTCCTAAATGACTACCGCCCCGTATCACTCATGTCGGTAGCCATGAAGTGCTTTGAAAAGCTGGTCATGGCTCACTTCAACACCATCATCCCGGAACTCTAGACCCACTCCAATTCACATACCACCCTAACAGATCCACAGATTACGCAATCTCAATTGCACTCCACACTGCCCTTTCCCACCTGGACAAAAGGAACACCTATGTGAGAATGCTATTAATTGACTACAGCTCAGCGTTCAACACCATAGAGCCCACAAAGCTCACCACTAAGCTAAGGACCCTGGGACTAAACACCTCCCTCTGCAACTACATCCTGGACTTCCAACAACACATCTGCCACGCTTATCCTCAACACGGGGGCCCCTCAGGGGTGCGTACTTAGGTCCTCCTGTACTCCCTGTTCACCCACGACTGCGTGGCCAAGCACGACTCCAACACCATCATTAATTTTGCTGACGACGCAACGGTGGTAGGCCTGACCACCGACATAGATGAGACAGCCTCTAGGGAGGAGGTCAGAGAACTGGCAGTGTGGTGCCAGGACAACAACCTCTCCCTCAACGTGAGCAAGACAAAGGAGATGATTGTGGACTATAGGAAAAGGAGGGCCGAACACGCCCCCATTCACAGCGATAGGGCTGTAGTGGAGCGGGTCGAGAGTTTCAAGTTCCTTGGTGTCCACATCACCAACAAACTACAGAGGGTAGTGCGAACAGCCCAGTACATCACTGGGGCTATGCTTCCTGCCATCCAGGACCTATATACTAGGCAGTGTCAGAGGAAGGCCCAAAAAATTGTCAAAGACTCCAGTAACCCAAGTCATAGACGGCAAGCGGTACCGGAGCGCCAAGTCTAGGTCCAAAAGGCTCCTTAACAGCTTCTGCCCCAAGCCATAAGACTGCTGAACAATTAATCAAATGGCCACCGGGACTATTTGCATTGACCCCCCGAGCCCCCCCCCTCCCTTTGTTTTTACACTGCTGCTACTCGCTGTTTATTATCTATGCATAGTCACTTTACCCCTACCTACAGTGGCTTGCGAAGGTATTCACCCCCCTTGGCATTTTTTCTATTTTGTTGCCTTACAACCTGGAATTAAAATGGATTTTTGGGGGGTTTGTATAATTTGATTTACACAACATTCCTACCACTTTGAAGATGCAAAATAGTTTTTCTTGTGAAACAAACAAGAAATAAGACAAAAAAACAGAAAAGCGTGCATAACTATTCACCCCCCCGAAGTTGGCACATCTAGCCACTGGGATTTTTGCCCATTCTTCAAGGCAAAACTGCTCCAGCTCCTTCAAGTTGGATGGGTTCCACTGGTGTACAGCAATCTTTAAGTCATACCACAGATTCTCAATTGGATTGAGGGCTTTGACTAGGCCATTCCAAGACATTTAAATGTTTCCCCTTAAACCACTCGAGTGTTGCTTTAGCAGTATGCTTAGGGTCATTGTCCTGCTGGAAGGTGAACCTCTGTTCCAGTCTCAAATCTCTGGAAGACTGAAACAGGTTTCCCTCAAGAATTTCCCTGTATTTTGTGCCATCCATCATTTCTTCAATTCTGACCAGTTTCCCAGTCCCTGCTGATGAAAAACATCCCCACAGCATGATGCTGCCACCACCATGCTTCACTGTGGGGATGGTGTTCTCGGGGTGATGAGAGGTGTTGAGTTTGCGCCAGACATAACGTTTTCCTTCATGACCAAAAAGCTCAATTTTAGTCTCATCTGACCAGAGTACCTTCTTCCATATGTTTGGGGAGTCTCCCAAATGCCTTTTGGCAAACACCAAACGTGTTTGCTTATTTTTTCCATTAAGGAATATCTTCTTTCTGGCCACTCTTCCGTAAAACCCAGCTCTGTGGAGTATACGGCTTAAAATGGTCCTATGGACAGATACTCCAATCTCCGCTGTGGAGCTTTGCAGCTCCTTCAGGGTTATCTTTGGTCTCTTTGTTGCCTCTCTGATTAATGCCCTCCTTGCCTGGTCCGCGAGTTGTGGTGGGCGGCCCTCTCTTGGCAGGTTTGTTGTGGTGCCATATTCTTTAAATTTTTTAATAATGGATTTAATGGTGCTCCGTGGGATGTTCAAAGTTTCAGATATTTTTTTATAACCCAACCCTGATCTGTACTTCTCTACAACTTTGTCCCTGACCTGTTTGGAGAGCTCCTTGGTCTTCATGGTGCCATTTGCTTGGTGGTGCCCCTTGTTTAATGGTGTTGCAGACTCTGGAGCCTTTCAGAACAGGTGTATATATACTGAGATCATGTGACAGATCATGTGACACTTAGATTGCACACAGGTGGACTTCATTTAACTAATTATGTGACTTCTGAAGGTAATTGGTTGCACCAGATCTTATTTAGGGGCTTCATAGCAAAGCGGGTGAATACACAGGAAGCGGCACAGGTCCTAATCCAGGCACTTGTCATCTCCCGTCTGGATTACTGCAACTCGCTGTTGGCTGGGCTCCCTGCCTGTGCCATTAAACCCCTACAACTCATCCAGAATGCCGCAGCCCGTCTGGTGTTCAACCTTCCCAAGTTCTCTCACGTCACCCCGCTCCTCCGCACACTCCACTGGCTTCCAGTTGAAGCTCGCATCTGCTACAAGACCATGGTGCTTGCCTACGGAGCTGTGAGGGGAACGGCACCTCCGTACCTTCAGGCTCTGATCAGTCCCTACACCCAAACGAGGGCATTGTGTTCATCCACCTCTGGCCTGCTGGCTCCCCTACCTCTGCGGAAGCACAGTTCCCGCTCAGCCCAGTCAAAACTGTTCGCTGCTCTGGCACCCCAATGGTGGAACAAGCTCCCTCATGACGCCAGGACAGCGGAGTCACTCACCACCTTCCGGAGACATTTGAAACCCCACCTCTTTAAGGAATACCTGGGATAGGATAAATTAATCCTTCTACCCCCCCTTACCCCACCCCACCCACCCCCCCAAAAAATGCAATAGGTAAGCATGACGTAAATGTTAATGTAAACGTAAATGTACATTGCACGCACCACTTTTCCGTTATTTATTTTGTATAATTTTTTGAAACAAGTAATTTTTTTCATTTCACTTCACCAATTTGGACTATTTTGTGTATGTCCATTACATGAAATCCAAATAAAAATCAATTTAAATTACAGGTTGTAACGCAACATAATAGGAAAAACGCCAAGGGGGATGAATACTTTTGCAAGGCACTGTACATGTACAAATTACCCCGACTAATCTTTACCCCCACACATTGACTCGGTACTGGTACCACCTGTATATAGCCTCATTATTGTTATTTTATTGCGTAACTTTTTTTACTTTAGTTATTTAGTAAATAT